TCCAAAATTTTAGACTGTCCTTTTAGAAAAATGTATTGTGGTTTCTTTTTTCGTCTTTCGATTCGATTCACTATAATATGCTTTTTAACTTACTAGCTGTATCCCGCAACTTCGCCTACGCGAATGTGGATAGAAAAAAGACTGTTATGTTCATCTATAATATGGTCTATCTATAGTGTACAATAATTCATTCAAATCTGTTCAACCATTACAGCACGGTTGAGTAAGAACACACATCCAAATCTCGAAACTTCCACATAAATGTAAGATTGTAATTCTAACACTAAGATCAAACAAAGTTCCCATCACAAATTATATCTGTGGCTATTCGTCCAAGGAAGGTGCAATGCATTACCGAGTGCGTGGCCGACCTTGTCCACATCACTATTACGTACTGTAGGAGGCATAGTTGGTTTTTTTTTATAATACAACAAGTTCCTAACAGGACCTTGTACGGTGGAAAATTTTGCAAATTAATTAGGTACATATGTATATTATTATATGTTCAATGACGTTAATTTTTCAATCATCTAAACTATTAGAACTTTATATATTACTTTTTAAGAATATTCAAGGTTGCTTCCTAAATATAGGTAGGCGTATTAATGACGGAGGCCGAGGAGGAAAGAGCGGAGCTGTCCTGGAGGATTTTGCCGATCCCAGAATTATCTGTTACCCACCTTACGATAAAGAATGAAACTTTCAGCTATAGACAACAACGTGTCTAGGAAACATATTTGCCTTTTTTAAGGACTCAAGCCTTTCTGGAAAATATCGTCAAGAATATATGTATACGAGGTCTGTCCGGAAAGTTCGTATAAAAGTGTTCTGGAATGCGAGAAAGAGGAGTGGGGAGGCCAGGTAAGCGCAGGACCCCTTCCTTATGTCCCTAACAATGCTTCAGTTTTGGTCTGACCGCCGTGCGGTGCGAACTGGCTTGTCACGCCATCTGTGAAGTTACCTCTTAACGAAACCCCGTCGGCATGGAGCCCGCTTCCGTTGAAGAGCAGCGCGTCGTAATCAAGTTTCTCTCGAAACTCGGCAAGAATGGCCGTGAAATTTTTGCCGATCTCAGAACAGTTTATGGGGATGATGCTGTGAAGGAACCAACCGTCCACAAGTGGCTAAAAAGATTCAGAGAGGGCCGAGAAAGAGTTCGATGTTCGGGGGATTGTCCATCAAGAATTCGTCCCTCCAGGCCAGACAGTTGATGGAAAATTCTACGTCGATGTGCTCAGACGCCTCAAAGCTCGTGTGGCACGAGTTCGTCCAGAATTGGCGCGAGAGGGGCGTTGGATTCTTCACCACGACAATGCCCCTGCCCACACCTCTCTTGTTGTCCGTGAGTTTTTGAGTAAAAATTCCATTACGGTGACCGAACACCCCCCCTATTCGCCGGATTTGGCCCCGTGTGACTTCTTCTTGTTCCCAAAAACCAAATTGGTACTTCGGGGGCGGCATTTGGGGGACATAAATGAGATAAAAAAAGCTACGACGGGGCAGCTGAGAAACCTACAACCAGAGGACTTTCAAGGAGCCTTCTCACAGTGGAAACGGCGTTGGCACAAGTGCATTATGTCACAGGGGGAGTACTTTGAAGGGGATAAAATTGATTTACCTGAATAATTGTAAAATAAAATTTTTAAAAAACTTTTATACGTACTTTTCGGACAAACCTCGTATAATACGTATTATTCCTGAACCTATAATAAATACTAATAGCAATATATTATTACGTAGTATATTTACAGTTGCATGGCAGACAGAGTACCCATAAAGTATTGGAATAACACGGTTAAAAATTTAAAATGTTAATCTTCAATTTATTATAATTTATCCTTCACTACTGTGTTAAGAGGCCACATATGAATTTCAAAATTGCGATTTCTCTTCTTTTGTGGTTATTTATTAATTGATTTCAAAATGGAGATTTTTATACACACGTTTTTGTGTACATGTGTTTGCTAATATTTTTAATTTTTGTTAATTTTAAAAACAAATTCTTAATTATTACTTGTATTTGGACAGATGTATTGTTATTTGTGAAAATTAGCATATTTAATATTTATATGGAAACTTCTTGTCAGTTTCCCTTTAAAAATTATTAATGTGTATATCTAATGATCTATAATAATAGTTTAACTACAATTAACGTTTAAAGGTCACAAGTGATGAATATTTACCTCAGGCAATAATAAATGAAATTTAAACATTCAAAGACATCTACTTATAGTAACGGGTGTGAATTACTTCTATGAGGAAAATACATATATCTTATATAGGATGCCTATAAATTTGTTAACCGACTGGGGTAAAAAAAAGCACCTGAATATGCACCCTATGTTACGGGACAGAAATGCAGTGACACAGTGTTAAATTACGACGAACAAAAATTCAAATTATACCTTTTTTAAACGGCGACGACAGTTGAACAAGCATACAAATAACTTCGTATTAGTAAACATTACCAAAAGATAAATAGGCACGTTTACGTTGCCGACCTTGCATTATTTTCAATTTGTTGTAATAGTTAGTAGTAGTAGTTAGCACGAGTATATAAAATGTTTACTAATATATAACCGATGTTATTCACTGATAATGCAAATTTCTATGGGTGAAAAGATTTTAAAATCGGCTAAAAATTTTTTTAAGTTTATCCGTTACAAACAATCAAATTTTTCCTCATAATTCCGTCTTTACAATAGTAGTATAGATATTATATTTATTTATTTAAACTTTATTGACCAATAAAAAGTGGTACAAAAAGCAGAGTTAATGATATAAGCATTCTCTATTAGTCAGCCTTTAGAATCTGCAAAGGTACTCAATGGCAGTTTAAAAAAATATATATTTTAATATCAGATATTTATTATCTGTGGTATAGATAATCAACGTAGTGGGAATACAATGTGTCACAATTCTAGTTTCTAGATTATCGTAAGAGGGGAATAAGGGAAATAACCACAAAATAATGGTGTAAAAAAAAAAAAATTCATAATAAAACCCTATATTTAGCCGCACGGTCAGCATAGCATAAAGTAGACTAATCCTCCACTTGCGCAAAGACATATGCCTAAAAATAGGCTTTTAAATTTGTATTGTACCTGGTATAATAACAATTTAAAATTTTTCTCCGCAAATTCGATCGTTAAAAAACTATTTCGATTGTGAAAAAAAAAATATAAAACACAGAGGTTAAATTCGGAAACCTTCTAAGTCACCTAAAAACTTAGAACATTTGATGTGCAACTGTGAATTGCTAGTAAATATGCATAATGCATGTTATAAAACCCGAGGAAATAGCTTATCCAAGCTCTGTAACTATAGGTATCTCAAACCGCGAGTTACCATAATATTTACACGATGGTAGAGTAAGATGCACAAAAGATCAGAACGAGTTGACGTGTTGCGGACGGGGACATGATCCTATATACGAAATTAAGATAAGAATTTGTTGTATTGTAAATAATACAAACAATGCATTATTAACGATGCCAATGAGCAGCGACTTGACCTCATATACGAAATTAAGATAAGTAGTTATATAAATAAACTCATTATAGTGCATTATTATTTACGTTAATCTTGGCACTTACAATTAAAACAAAAAAACAAAGAATAACAACGTAAGACAAAAAATAATTTACATATATTATTAAAACAATGGTTATCCTACGGTTACAATGACAGGGCAGGTTTCTATGCAAAGAAACACAAGTAGAAACTTGTAACATCTTTATAACACCAAAAGCTGTCACAACAAACAAGCTACCAAACTGATTTTATAATTAATACCAACTAACAGAGGTCACTGCATTGATTAACATGTGGATAATGACAACTCATTTACGAAAATCGAAAATACCTAAGGCAAGGCAAATGATCAAAGTCATTTTTCATGCATTCCTTAACCTGTATGGGTATGTGAAATATGTACAATTTAACAAAACTTGTTTTATAATACAATAACATAATTCAGATGATATCATCATCATCATATCAGCCTGCCTGGGGGGATTTACCAATAGTTGCCAAGTTTAGCAGGTGGATTGGCAACCACAGTCAGGCTTTAGAGATGTTTTAAGATGGTTGCTGCTGCCCATATCTCGCCCTCATTTAGTTGGCTCTTAGGACACCCACAGGAAAGGAAGGGGTGGCTAATTTTATGCTGGGACCACACGGATAAGTTGATTTACAACTTTTAAATGGTAATAGTTTCTGTGCCCTCATCATAATTACTATTGTTCCAAATACATGTTATTGTTAACATAGAAATTCAATTTATTGCTGATATTCTACTATCACATATTAAAGATGCTTTAATATATTTACTCCTTTTACAGCAATTTACTACCAAATACGTATACAATTTGACACTTATTATAACACTGTAAAATGTTAGTATGTTATTACCACAGTCAAAATATTTGCAAGTATAGCCTACAATTAGAATCAAAATGTGTAATAGCTATTTATCAAATTCTCAAATACAAGTATATTTTTTATGCAACTTAAAATGGCATGACAAGCTGACAACCCACCTGATAGAAAGTGGTAACCATCACCTATAGACATGAACAGTACCAAGACCATAACAGAATATACTATTTCATCCATGATAAACTACATGCATTGCCATTCCTGAGGACTATGGATCTATATTATGCATCTGTACCCTGTAAATTCACTGCCATATCCCACCCTTCAAAACTAAACACAGCCATGCAAACACAACTGCTTCACAGTAGAAACAAGAATGGGACAGAGGTACCCAAGCAAACAACTTTCTTACAAAGTCTCCCACTGATAGATGTTTATGCACTTAGCAAATAATCTGAGGAGAAACATCATGGAAAAAAGAAACCATTGCCTACAGACAAAAACAATCCCATTGAGCTTCACAAGTACCCCTCATGCACCACCATTCCTAATTATGGCCATAAATTTATTAATTTAAACAAATATTTTCTACATGTGAGACTATTAAAAAAGTTACACACCTCAAGTACAGCAGCATTCTGGAAGATGATGACTGTCCATTTAATCTGTGGCCAAAGAGTGTCAAGTGTTCCTCTATTCAAAAAATGAATTGCTGTGTTCAACAATAAATATGTCCATCTAGAAATCAAAGTGAAACATTTAAGTAAATACATGCTATCACATGTACATTGAATACTTTGTATGCGGTGATTTTAGAAGTAGATAACTACCTACTTCTAAAGTCACAAAATCAATTATTTTTAGATAGCATATTAATAAAACATGCACCAGATTTTAAGTCACACTTCCAGGCATACAATTGTGAAAATCACATTTAACTGGTGGGATGCTAGACCAACTCAGACTCAGATCAGGCTCAACAAAAATTCAAAATTTATTATTTTAGCTTCTATTGCTCCAATTACAGACATTGTCTAGTTACAATTTTACCATGTTGGTAAAATTTACATAACTTGTCATCATCATAGTACCAACAAATGATGATGTCATATTTTGTTGATATAATAAACCAGATTACCCATGTGGAGTCAGGAGTGAAAAAGTGGAAGCAGACTGTATAGCTACCATACAGTGAAATGTTAGTAGCTCATAACAGTAATAACATTCTAAATAATAAGTATCTATATAAATATACTTTTATTATTGTATACTAGATAATTTTGTCTAAATTTATACTTCATAAGTTAATTTAATTCTTTTTATTAAATAAAAAAGAAATTAATAAAACAAATTTAACAAAATTCAATTTTACAGATAAAATATTTTTTTTACATCTAAGTATACTTTTATTAGTTTACTTGCATGTAGGTTAAGTACACTTTTACTACTTAGTGAAAGGTCACACACCATCATCAACATTAGAATAAAACAGTACTATCATAAAATATATTAAGTAGTTCAATAAATACCTACCTGGTTTCTGAATGCTAATGTAACATAAATTCTGTAACTTGTATTTTTATTGATATTAAATTAAAAAAAAAATAAAAAAATAAAATAAAAATCTAAAATAAATTTATTTAGAAATTTAAATAATTACTTACCCTAATGTTTGAATTCCATTATATGCCAAAAGGTAACATTTAGCCAAAGCCGAAGGTTCTGACTTCTTGATCTTTTGTGTTTTGTCTGCCATAATTTATTATTTGTACTTTTAACAAATTATGAAAATTATAGCGTTTAATAGCTGAAAACGACACATAAGTTATTCACATGCCTACAGAAAAATATATAATTTTTAGGCACTTTTCATACAGAATTCTTTTAAATCGTATAATAAAGAACACTATACATATACTAACTAATAGCAAAATTTCCTTTGCTTTGCAGTTTTCAGTTTGCTCACGTCTCGTCAAACGGTATCATACTTAGGTAACAAAAAACTAGCTTATTAACAATTTTTAACTTTCAATTCAAGCGCTTAATGATCTAGTTAATTACCATACATAATTACCCGTTTATAGGCTTGCATCTACGAGTTTATTTCAACCAAAAACAACCGGTTTTAAGTATTAAATAGAAAACATAAAATTACTGAACAGAGCTTGAAAGTTAAAAGTATGAATAAGAAAATTCTGAATAAGGTTGAGAACACAAAAACAACACAGCAATAGTTTGACAACCTTGCGTAACTAACATACTAGCTTTAAATATATGTATTTGGTCAGAAACATGATGCCAACTTTTAGTTAAATAATAAAATCACATTAGTGCCAACTTAACTAACAAAAATACTGTCAAATGCAATGCAAATGGCTGCCATTAGTAGTGTTCTGTGCGTTAAAGCAGTAACATTGTTTGGTTGCATATTCCTATTACATTTCTGTGGGCTCGTATTTATTAATTTCATCATAAAATTATTCTAAACTAAATGATTCTTAAATAAATATTATAAACAAAATAGATTCGGATAATTTAATCAAACAGGTAAAATTTTCATTCTTTTCACGACTGGATAATTACTACATGAACGTCGTGTTTTTCAAAATATTTGTTATTTAATAAATAAATAAAATTTGTAATTGTGCATTATAGTTTTTCTGTCTGACGATCTGCCTATTGGAAATATATTATCATAGTTCTGTGAATTTTGATCGAACTCACCCAAATATAATAGTATAAAATTACTATTTACCATTTATTTATTTCAAATTAACACTGTTTGATTAATGTTAGCAATAGATTTTATATACGTTATATAATTGACAAAATAGAATCAGATAATTTAATCAAACACGTAATTCCAGCACTGAAAAAAGCACTATTATATGTATATATGTATACTATTGTATATCACTGGACTGTCTTTTATGGTCGTGTCCGTTAATCATTTGTTTACATTATGTTTTATTGAAATGGATTTTAATATGAATCTATATATCATTTTGCATTTTACAGGTATGGAGGGATCCAGCTCGGCCCACACAGATTCCGACACATAAACAACGCTGCCAAACAGGCCATTCAATAAGCTAGCTTGTTGAGGAAATGATTTTAATAAAAATTAATTAAATAAATTTAAAAGGAAAAACCTTTTTTTGCTATAATCCATATATAACCTACTTTTTAACCATCAAGTCAGTAATCATTTTCACTTATAATAATCTCTAATATCTTTTTTTATAAAATCCACTAATAATTAATCTCGCAATATTCGTAACAGTACTCATATGTTTGTTATTCAATCACGCTTAAATAGCCTAACGTATTTCAATAAAATTTGGTTATACCCCAACTTAATATATTAGATACTTTATCTACCGATTTACATGGGCGATGTTGCGGAAAATAACAAATTACTATTAAGAATATTTTTTAGAAAAATTAATTTAAATAAGTTACTACTCCTCAAAAATATTTACGCATAAACATGGTCTAGCGATTTTCACATTTTTTGACCTTCCGATGATCGGGTATTTAATCACCGTATAATAAAAGCATTTGTATTTATGAGTTTGTGTGTATCAATCTAAATTGAGTTCTGTTTTAGCTAAATTGGATCAAAATTAATCAAACTGGATCAATTTAAGTAAATTTAGTGTTCTAAACTCTACTATTTGTTTTATTTCATAATAGCAATATAATCGTAAAATACCAAATATTCGAATAGAAAACTTCAACAGGTACATCCGCGTAATAAATTTGTGTTTGTGATCTAAACATATGTGCATACTTGTGACAAATATATTTTAACATTTAAATATATTACATATATCTTGTCTCACATTATTCGCATTTTAGTGAGAAACATTTACATCTTATTAATATCGAAAAACTATCTAACTACTATAGTTAGATAGTCATTATAGTTATATGGTTATAATATCATTATAACCCTATTTATTTCCAATTTGAACATCAGGCTGGTCAACATAACGAGAAAAAGAGGATTTTTTATTTCTATAAATTGATTAGACATTCCTTACCGAGTAGTTTTACGTGGCTCGAATAAAGTGCGCTCTCTTTTTTCTTGGATATATAATCTTTGTTGTTTGACAATAATGAATGAAGAGATAGATAACCGTAAAGAACAAACCTGCGTCACTTAAAATCTACGAATTTACATGCAACCATTCAATAAATCTGAATATTTTACATTACAGAACCATAAAAATAAATACATTAATAACTCATTTTGTAAAGAAATATAAATAGTTGTATAAAACTATGGATATAAATTTTTTATTGAATTGATACTTTACGAGATTTCAATAATATAATTATTTAAAAAAAATCTATATAAAAGTGCCTTCTCTTAAACAATGTATGATTACTTATCTACTCTGTACTGTGAATAGCCAACCTAAAATCTTTGAGACCAACGTAGATGACACAACTGTCAGAAGAACTAAACAATGACATGACAGACTTGTGACTTGACTGTCAGATAGCGTTGTGTTATACGAATAATCGATTATTAATATATTATTCACTATGGAAATAAAATATTTCCATAGTGAATAATATATATATATTATATAATATATATTATATAGTCAGTAAAAATAATTTGGATTAATCGGTTATACAATATAATTGATTGTAGAGCCAGTTATAAATAACTAAGGCACTAACAATTAATTGTTAAAATTAATTTCAAATATTGCAAACATGCTATTAATTATATATAATTAATAGCATATTTGCAATTTTTAATTGATTCTCTTAACTGTATGTCAAATAATAATTATGAGCATTCCCCATTTGAACAAGCTATTGCTTGTAGCGTATATATAGTCCTTAATGAATCTTTCAAATTCCAAAACCTCATAGTAATTATACAACTATGTTCAGAGCCATTAACTTCTTCGAAATACACAGCATTATAACAATAATTTAATGTCATAGAACAATAACGGAACTACATTATAATCCACAAAACGTCAATTTGTAATTTATTTATTTATTACATTACTGCCAAATGGATTCATACTACATAGATATATGTTTGTGTAAATTTGTTCTATATTTGATATAGAACAAATTGACACGTGTATCTTTTAGGCCCTGTAATGGAAGCAAGAGAAATGGACATCCTGTTAGAACTGGACTAGAGGTTTTTATCACTAAGAAAATCTTTTACTATAATTTTGTTAAATTAAATATTTTTAATAATGTAACATATTTACTAAACTTATGTTCATTTTTTATTTATAATGATAGTTTATTATAAATTAATACTGATATTCAATAAGGGCTAGAAATACGTAATACTTAATTTTATTTTAAATTAACTTAGTTGTTTATATAAAGCGATTCGTAGCGACGAGGCATGTCAACTAGTGTAGTGTATGAATTTGAATAATTTCTGCCTAATTTGCAAATTTCTAATATCTAGATGCACAGTAGAGTCAGTATTTTTAGATTTTGAAAATTAGGTATAAAACTGTCAGTTTATTTAATGTTAGTCAAAATCCCAATACATTTTTTCTAAAGAATAAGCAGCTCCTTCACGCGAGCACTATTGCCCCATAATCTCACGCCGCAGCTAAGCCATGAATGAGCATAGGCTAAGTACGCCGTCGTTGTGGTCTTATTTATTAACAACTAGTTATTTTCTGCGGCATTGCCAGTGTAAACCGACATATAAAGAATATATACATTTTTTTTTATAATAGGTGAGGATAGAATAGTGCATCCACTTATAATAATGATATACAATAGCGGTGAACTAGTAGAGAATAAAAAGTTGAGGATGAAGTCAAGTCATTTGGCCTACTCAGATAAATACAGTAGAAATTGGGGGGAGAAGGGATTGTTAGTAATTGGGTTTAACAACCCCACTGCTACAATATACTACATCGGGTCGACCTCTACGCGGTTCCCCTGGAAACCATCGTGATTGATTTATTGTTAAATCACGATGGTTTCCATAAAAACACGAAGAGCTAACTGACCTGCTTTCATCGTCACCTGTCATCTCTCACTGGTGTTCCGCCAGCGTATAGTGATATAGCAGGGGTTACCATTTCATTTCACAAATAAAAAAAAAGTACATTAGGGAATTTACGACGATGGTTCCCAGGGGAGCGTATAGAGGTCAACCAGACAGGGTATATTACTAGCAATGGGAACTAGCGTATCTATTACTAACAATTTGTATCCTATATTTTAAATACACGATCGCGACTTAACACGATCATTATCTTCCTGCCCTTATCCCAATTGTTATTTGTGGTCAGCGTAATATATTTTAATCCACATTACAAAAAAAAAAATGTCTTTAAGATAGATAATTTAAGACAGATTTAACTTAACACGATGTATTAATTTTTTTAAGTAAATAGTATTTATATATCTACTTCTCTATTTAAAATTAGCAATTACTATCCCCACAAACCCCTATATTTTAAGATATGACCTTCCAGTGTACAATAGTTCATTCAAGTTCATTAAGCCGTTTAGACGTAGTTGAGTAACAAACATATAATTAATTAAACTTTTTTTTATACAACTTAGAATGGCAAACAAGCTTACAGCCCACCTGATGAAAAGTGGTAACCGTCGCCTATAGACATGAACAGTACCATGGACATAATTTAAAAATATATTTACATAGCATATACCGGTAGCGCAGACAGGATAACTATTCCATATTCATTTAAAAAAAAAAATCACATTTATAATATTAGTAATCTTACTTATATTATAAATGTGAATGTTAATTTTAAAATCTTTTAACATATCTATTGTAATATCATAATATTTATCCGTAGTTCGCTATATTAAATTACGATTACATTTTTCAACTAAATTCGATAAATAAATTTTTTTCTAGCTCTGTATGAATTTAATGTTTATTCGTAGACGTATCGTTCCATATTTTAGATATTTTCGATTGGAGAGTTTATTCGAATAAGTGAAAATCGATACTTGTATCAATTCACCTCACTATGCTACAACATTTGTGATATCATAATATACTATACGTACCATTTTTGTTCGATTTCTAATTTCTATTTTTCAGCGAATCAGTGAACTATATTTTTATTTTACTCTTTGTTTAAACTCTGAGAATTTAAACACAAAATAATGTAATCTGAAAAACATGTGTTATTTAATATATTTATAAACAGATAAGAAGTTTATAATTCTGTAAACATGTTCAAAAAATTGAAAGATAAACTTGCCGAAGAAGTGAAGTCATCACCTCAAAGAATTCAACAATTTGCGCAGGCTGCTCAGGTGCACCTTTTATGCAAATATTATAAAATTTTAGTTCCCTGTATACAATATACTAGAAATAATTAATAATAAATTAATGCTATTTAACATTATTTAGGTCAAACTGGCCAGTGCTTGTCTCATGCTTAGAAACATTAATATCATCTTAAAGTTTTAGCTGATAACATTTTTACATTTATTCTAAATTAATTTTAACTACAAATATTTAGTAATATTTCATCTTAATCATAATGTAATTTTCACATTATAACATAATAACCCATAGACTTCTCACTTTTAAGCAGAGGCCCTTTTTATGGGTCACCTTCCTTAACCACCAAATATAGACAGCTCAGTTGAAGAGTTACAATTTAACTATGGGTGTGGTTCTCATATGGTATATTGTTAATAATGTGAAATTTGCAGTTTATATTTTACTGTGGTTAGTTGTTTTAATCTATCATTCATCATAACTGCAAATGTCTATGCATTCTTATCTTTATATATGGTTAACAACTTTAATTTGAATCTGTATATACAATATTTATAAATTATATATATGTTTTATATATATATTAGGATGTGATATCTGATTTTACAATATTATAATAGAAAAGCAAAATACATGTATACCTTTTGCTACAGTAAATAACAAAAGTGTTTGTATCACTTTTGTGTGCACACAAATAAATTAACACAACACTAATATCTTTATCTAAATAAATTATATCATTATAGTGTAATTGATATCTTTTATTACTCTACAATTAGTATTGGTGCTAGGAGAACAGATAGGGGGGGGGGGGGGGGGGTGAATGGGCAGTGGTAGTAATGTATAAAACGTCCCTTAAGATTGCACCAAAATCCTCTCAGTGACCATTCTATTTTCATTTAAAAATTATTATATATATATATATATATATATATATATATATATATATATATATATATATATATATATATATATATATATATTATCTGTTTCCAGGCAGCAGTAACATCAGCGTCCAGTAGTATATCTGATATAACAAATAGTGATTTATTTTCTATTGGTGATAATGGTAAGAATCATTTTGACTTGGCAATACAACATTGAATGTCAAACAAGATGTATATGGCAGCTCCCATCACTTATGCACATTTCAGAAAACACTTTTATACTCACATTATCACTCATGTATTGTAAATGTAATAATTTTACTGCAATATCCCACCATTTGGACTTAAATAACTATGCAGCTGTTTAGCGATAAAAAATGAGTGGGACAGAGATACCCAAGCAGATTTCTTTTGTACAAAATCTCCATCTGGTAAAAACAATTTGCAGTACAGGTACATAGTTAGATGTCTTTCTGCTTAACACAACACCATAATGTTGTGGAGAAAAGTTTGTTAGTAATGGAGATTATTGGCCCCATTCTTAAATCGACCTCCACACAGCTCTGCTTGGAAGATATGATGGTTTATTCTGGATGAATCTGTCTCAATGGGTCAACTAACTTGACTCCTCACCTGCCATCATTCATTAGTATTGTACAATTCCATCAATGAGTACCGGTAACACAAGCAGAGTTACTATTACCTTTTCTCTATTTAAAAAAAATACAAGGTTAGCTGAAAACAGAATTCATGACTTAAGTCGGCTTTTTACATACACACATGAAAAAAGTCTAAGCAACACATACAAATTTCAATTTTACAATGTGTTTTCGCATTAAATCCTTAGTATTTTCTTATTTATATTATTTTTAATGCTTATTTGATATTAAACATCAATGGTTTTTTTTATTTATTTTTTAATAATCTTAACAATAATTACAAGTAAGTACTGTATGTACGTAGTACAAAGTAAGGTGCCTAATCAACTAAACTTAAACTAAAATTAAATTGTTGTACAAAAATTGCATAAATTAATACAAAGTGTCGCTTCCTCTGTTATGGAGAACTTGCTGGTACCGATTATTTATAGAATTAATGAGACTGTTAATATTATCCTGCGGCAATTGCTTCCAATGAAATTTTAGTGTCCATCAGTTGTTGGGTTGTTGTCACTCCATCTAAGTCCTTTAAAACATGTCCCATGCATGCTCGATGGGGTTGAGGTCGTGCGATTGTGCAGGCCAAGGCAATTTTCCTTTGCAAAGTACTTGCGTAATTGACGTGTGTGCAAAGCTGTATGCGAACGCGCATTGGCATGCATCAACGTTGAATCGGAGCAAGCGTTTGTGCGAATGAACGGACATAAGGCCTTAGAACATCCTCAACGTAATTTACAGCGTTCATGTAACCATTTACTAAAACGAGTTCAGTTCATCTGTTCTTCATAATACCCGCCCATACCATAACTGTTGATCTATGGTAACTGGATGCACTTCCTGAACGCACCTCAGTCTTCCAGTATTTCCAGTACGACGGTACACTCTTACCCTTCTAGTATCAGGCTTGAACCCAAATCGAGACTCATCGCAAAATAAAATTTTATCCCATTATTCCCGGGTCCATGTAATGTGTTCCTTACACCATTCATTTCGACGAGCGTGATTCCCGTGACGTATCGGTGGGCACTTAATTGGCCGTCATGCTCGTAGGCCATACTCATGCAATCGATTTCGCATAGTTTGGCAGCTCAACAACACTACTTGAATTTTGTAGCCTTAAACCTATCTCTTGCAGTCAGTTGTATGTATTGATCTTTCCGTGTGGTTGTACACCTTCCTCGACCTGGGTGCTACTCAGCAGGATCTCCCGTGTTAGTGCAACGTTGATGAAGACAGCAAATAACGCTTCTGTTGACACCAAAATACCGAGATACCTGAGATTGACTTTTTCCCGCTTGCAACATCCCTACAGCTCTTTGCATTTCATCTGCGTTTAAATGACGTCGCTCCATGACGTAGAAAATGTCTCAAAATCCAAATTTGTTCAAAACTTTTTTTAAATTATTGTTTAAATCATAAAATTGATAAAGCAAAGAAAACGCTATAAAATTCTAACAAATGCATTTGTGAAATTGAAAAAAAAAAAACAAATGATACTCGATTTTTTTTTACATCCAGCCAGTATGTTCTCTAGATCAAAAAAGTTTACCTAACAATCGGGTGGAGAAAGGCACTGGAGACGAAACTTGTTTTATAAATTATTTGTCGCTCTTCTTCTTCTTCAACATATTCAACAAAGTTCTTCTTTAACATATTACATGTTAAAGAAGAACTTAATAGAATAAAGAAATTAATATTTTTAAAGATTTATCTACATCTTAACTAAGAAATACGCTATGTATTTCTTAAATACCTACAATTATATAAAAATAAATTTTTTTCTTCGTAACAAAAATATTTTTAGAAAACTTATTTGTGAAGGTCACTATTATGTATTTAGTTATTTATGTAAAAATATACCAACAAATAGATGGATGTAAATGATAACAAAACTTTAACATGATCTTATTTTTATACATATTCCACTGAATAAATATTATTAATTTATTTCAGATGGATTGCAAAACCGACCTATTAAGCCTCAAACAACAAGTAGTCAGCAGAACCCTTTTCAGGACGTACCTCTCATACAGCCTACAGTGGATTCACAGGATTATATATCTACACACGACATAGCTGTAAGTTTAAATTACAGCAGTAATAATAAAAAATTATGATTTTGTTCTACAAAAAAAAAAACAATATGGGTCCAACACGGGTATTAACAAACACTATAAATTGTTTAGAATTAGATAGATAGATAATCTTTATTACCAGTAATAAAAATAAAAAACAATAAAAAGCATTCCCAGCAAAATTAAAGAACAATTAATTTTGCTGGTATTACCATACATAGGAAGAGAATATTAGTTAATATTGTGTACACTTCCTTTCACGCACAATCACGCTGTGAAATCGACTCTCAACAGCTATATTTCTGAACTGATGTGGCATAATTTTCATGAAAAGAGCATAATTCATTTTAAAAAGCCAGCTACACACTTCAATGCTCTGATATTGTGGGTGCTTATAAACAGACACAAAAATTAATTTAGTATTTATATGTATGTATCTAATGAATGAGGAAGTCCTGAAAAGAGTGAACGAGAAGAGAACATTAATTAAAATAATAGAGAATAGAAGAGGCAAAATGCTGGGCCACCTTATACGACATGACAATTTTTTTAAGAGCACAGTAGAACAAAAAATAGAGGGCAAAAGAGAAAGAGGAAAGCCGAGAAATAACTACATGAGACAGATAAAAGAAACACTAGGTGTCATGTCGTACAGGGAGGTCAAGGATATGGCCTGGGATAGAGCTGGCTGGAAGAAGATGCATGAATTAGTTGCACCAACAAGAGGAAACTCTAAATGAAGAGACAGATATATTATAGTCAAATATCTTAAGTCCATGTTAAACCTCTAAATAATATATTTTATTGTTTATAAACAACACCCTATTAAACTTATAAAAACGAATGTAAAGCTAATTTATACAATCTTTTTCAGGAAAATCAAAGGCAAAGACGTTTATCGAACAGTTCATTTGCTAGTGATGTGTCCTTTAGGCTACCTAGTTATGAAAGCCCGTCGATGTATCACTTACAGGTATGATATTCTATAATACCTAGTTAAAAAAATCATGTGTATCTTTATTTTTACTTGGTTTTTGTCCACTACTTCATACATGTGGATTCCAGAAGTAAGAAAATAATGAAATAGACAAAATGTAATTGGCATATCTATATAAGACATAATCCAGTTTTGACGTTAAAACTTCAAGAATACAACAGTAAGATCCACATTTAGTGTGGTAGTGTTTGCGTGACACTGGAACAAACATACAAACCGACAGTAAAAATTTCTAAAATAATATTTTTTTAGTAATTTTCTGTCGGTTTTAGTATCTATTGGTCTTATTAATTACCCCTCATATTTTTCTTGAATATCTCCCATGTACAGGCATCGTCTAGTAACAATTTCATTAAGATCTAATACTTATTAATATCACTTTTAGTCAGACATGGAAATATCTGCAAGCGAAGCTGAAGAAAGAGGCTTTTCTAGTAGCACGGTTAGTCTTGATCGTGTTACGAAAGAACAACTTTATGCAGCTTATAGACGAACACAGGAAAGATATACAAAGTATAGAACCCAATATGCGGATTTAGCACGCCATTATAAACAACTGGAAAGAGAAAATGCTAAAGCAAAGGTAATATTTGTTATGATACTTAGAATGTTTAACAAGCTGACGGCCCACCTGATGTAAAGCGGTAACCGTCGCCAGTAAACAAGCAGCACCATGGATATTGTAAATTCATAACCTTATTATCACCATTATAACAACATAACGTCTCGTTACTATGCATATTCTTACTTATAAGAGGAAGACGCTTGATCTTAATACAGGGTGGCCCATAAGTCCTTTGATATGAAAAAATAATTAAAATAAAACTTATTACATTATGAGTTATATTTTTATTTACCAATAAAGTTCGAAAACCGGGAATTATAATATTTTTTAAAATAACGTCTTCTAAATGGAAACCGTTACGATCACGCTACTCTTGCAAACGACTTCTAAAATTGTCGATGACTGCGCGGTACGTCACCGCAGAAATGCTTGCCATTTCACTGCGGATGTTTTCTTTTAAGGCATCAATTGACCGTGGGTTAGTGTCGTACATTTTAGCCTTAAGGTAGCTCCACAAAAAAATCCATCGGAGTCAGATCCGGACTACGTGATGGCCAGGAAATTCTCAAAAAGAAAATCTCCTCTCTTAGAGATAACTTTGCTAGAGAAAAGTTGACGGATAACGGGCATAGCAGTGTTAGAGGTGTGGGAAGTAACTCCATCCAGTTGAAACCACGTTCGGGCATTAAAGTCCGGAAAGTTTTGCAATTGTGGTGTGAAGCAGAAACCGCGCGCCCTCTGCCGTCCTCAAAGAAGTCAGGTCCTACGATGCCATGGGCTGACATAGCAGCCCAAACTGGCACTTTAGGACTACGTAAGGGCTTGTGATGCTTAAGTTTTCTATTGATGGGATCTCCAGTAGCGGCAATTTTGTTTATTAACTTGCCAGTTAAGTTGGAAGTGAGCCTCATCAAAGAACATTATATTATTGAACGGATTAAACCAATTCAACATTTCATTCGCATAATTTTCTCTCTAAATAGCGTCAGTTCTTGCACCAACAAAATTTTATAACAGTGCATAAGTAAATCTTTCTTTAAAATCCGTTGTAACGATGTCCTGGATACGTTTAATGCACTAGAATGTTTACGAGTTGACTGTGTAGGATTTTCACGAATAGATTGTGCCACTGTGGCTATGTTTTGGTCCGTCCGTGATGTCCGACCCGACCGTGGTTTATCTAACGTCGAACCGGTCTCCTTGAACGTACCAACCCAGCTCTTAATCATTTGGAAAGTTGGAGTGTCGTCAAAGTTGTATAAACCTTTGTGTTCTCGAAGGTTATTCCGCGCAACGGTTGCCGAATTGTTATTTTAATAAAACTCGTGCACACAAAACACACAGTCCGCTCCGGTGAAACGCTCCATCGCTACTCAATTTCCAGGAACCGAAGTTACTGCCCCCCTTTACCGCTTCCCCTGCACTGCTCACGCGCGACGTTTTCGTTTTATTCAAATTTTACTTTTCAGAGGACTTATAGGCCACTGTATTATCACGTTTGTAGTTTGGTATATGACTTTTCTTAAAGTGTGTATTGTGTTTTATTCCCCTAATAGCCTCTGATATTTTATATATAAATTGAATTATTACCATCTCACCGTCACAACATGGGGTGCATAGCATATAAATTTAATAAGACATTCTTCACCAAAAAAAGATAGTGAGCCAAAGGCGAATACATTTTTAATCCCAAAAATTGAGAATTGAATCGAAATAACGATAGAACTTCATGCATATCTGTGAGGAATATAAAATATCGTATTGTTATCAGAATAGGGTATGTGAATAATATTTCAGCACGGTTTTATCTAAAGAAGTGGTCGGAAATTTGTTTAGCAAGTCAGTCTACAAACTTTTTGATCATTTTTATATTTAATTCATGAATTGATAAACTTATATTTATAATTGTAGAGTGTATTAGTGGAAACTCAAGATAAGGCTCTTAGAAGAATTTCAGAATTAAGGGAACAATGTGCTCTGGAGCAAAGTGCCAAGGTAAAAATCCATTAAAGTTGATATCATAATCTTTGTAATACTGATTTATAAAATCTATATTTCAATAGTATTGCGTCACCTTGGGTATCATTATCAGCAAATCCTGTTAGATGGACCTAGCTCAGATGGTCAGTCATGGAAATATATTCAATTGCCAAGCGAATAAAATAATTATATAAAATTCAGCTTTGTACTGTAACATACGTACTTTTCTCAATTTTTTATCGGATTTTTAAGTATCAAAAATAATAGCCCGTGAAAAGTCAGAAAAATAGACACGTGCCAATAATAAATAAATAATATTTCTTATAGAACAGTAGTTATCATATTAAAAAAACTAGATTTAAATTTTAATATAGTTGAGGACTTTTTTGTACTTATATTACTCATTACTGAATAACACTCACCAAAAAAAAAATTGCGTTAAGAACGCCCACGTTAAGACCCATCTAACAGGTTTGAGATCTCAGTTTAACAATAACTATATAGTCTAATATGTATTTATAAAACGTTTTTATATAGATGCGTTTTGTTTATTTTAAAATACAATTACTAAGATATGTAGTTAAAATTGATATTCTCACGATTGTGAAAACGATCTTTTTTACACAAAAAAAAAAAGCTGTTACTACTTACTCCGCTTCCTCTTCATACCACTGATGTGCAATTGATTCATGCAGTCGCATATTGAGATCTTCTTTATAAGCAACGTTTGTTTTACGTATAAAACTAATGAATACATTCAATTACAGGCACATTTAGAAAAAGCCCTACGGGTTGATATTGAAGAAAGAAATATGAAAATTGATGCACTAAATACTAAAATAGTGCTTTTACAAAATAATGAACATATTTATAATAATGGCCAGAAAGGTGAAAATATAATTGATAAAAATCAACCAGGAAATGAACTTCAGATGAGCAATTTATCCACTAATGATGAAACAAAGCAAACTAATGTTGAAGTACCACCTGTAGAAATAAATGTAGTCACCAATAAAATTGAAAAAATGGAACAATTACTTAACAAGTACAAAGAATCCCTCAAGACAGCAAAAGAAAAAAATTCTCAAGTAATTGCAGAACTACAAATCTTATCAACAGAAATGGAAAATAAAAATAAAGAAAACGAGCAGCTGAAAGGTGTCGTGTCTGAATTAAATGCAGCAAAACAACGAATTGAGGAATTAAACCTTACGAATGAAGAATTACAAAACAAAATCAATGCATATGATTTCAGCAAAACAAAAGAAATGTCCACAATGGAATTAGATTTACAAAAAGCAAAAGAAGAAATAGCTCAATTGTATGCCAAAATTGAAGTATTTGGCAAAAGAGAGGAAGAATATGCAATATCTCTTGCAGAGAACAAATTAAGTATACATAAAGAATTAGAGAGTAAAGAAGCTGAAATAAAATCTTTAAAAGATGGTTTATCTACCACAAAAACAGAACTCCATTCAGTAAATATAGTTGTTAATGACTACAAAAATAGTACAGCTTTACTGGAAGAAAAATTATCTAAATCTGTAAATGAGCTCAGTTTAGCTAAAAATAAGATAACCGATATGGAAGTACAAATACAATCACTCACACAGAAGTCACAATCTTTAGAGCAAACAAAAATAAAATCTGATGAAGAATACAAGTGCTTACAACTGCAACTAAAACAGGAAACTGCAGAAAAATTAGCTATGATTGATAGAAATGTATATTTAGAAAGTAGGAATTCCCAGTTAACAGAAGAAAACTCCAATAAAAGTACACAGATAAGCAATTTAGAAAATTACATTGAAAATTTGAAAAAAGACAATGAAGATAATATGTTAGACCTTACAGAAAAATCTAAGATACTTGAAGAATTAGATGTTTGGAAAACGAAATATAATGATTTAGAATATGAAATTCAAGAAGAAAGAGAAGAATTAGTAAAATTACAATCTGAAATTGAAAAGCTTTTAGGTAATCATGAGCTAATACAAATGGAGAATTCGAAATTACATGATATTGTAAAAGATTTTAAGTTACAAGTTGCAAAATTAGAAGAAAATAATGCTGTTATAGACACTTTTAAACCGAGCATTATGAAACTAGTAAATGAAATTAAATATGTAAAGAAAAATATAATCAATATGGGACAAGAGGCAAAAACATATAAGAATGATATAAGTAATATTATACCCGAAATACATAGAAGTATTACTTTGATTTCTAAATTATCTGAGTCTCAATACTCTAATAATTGGCAAGAAATACAAAAAGAATACGAAAATTCTCAAGAGATGTTACTGAAGGTTAATAATCAAAATGATATGATTTCAGAAGAATTAAATAATTTGCAGAAAAATAATGATAACTTGGAGACAAAACTACAAGAAAGCCAAAAGGAGATTGAAAATTTAAAAAAAGAACTATATATTGTTACGAATAAATTTAGCGACGTCAAAAAAGAAAATGAACAGTTGCATTATAATTCACAACAATACTTAGAAGATAAAGAAACTATGCAAAATAAGTATCAACATTTGTTGAACGAAATTGAATTGTCCCAAAAGGAGCAACTAATAGTTACAGACCAGTATACTAGAACTCAACATAGCTTGGAAGAAGATATTAAAAATTATAAATTAAAACTTCAAGAAACCCAATCACAACTGAACTACATTAATACACAACATAATGACGATGTTGTGAAATTTAATACTTTAAAAGAAGACTATGAAAAGATAATAAAACAATTAAAAAAAGAATTGGCTGATAAAGAAACATGTATGAAAAAATTAGATGAACAGTTACAATCTGCATCACAGGAAAATATGTCACTTAAAAACCAATCTGAAATTCTTGCAAAGAATTTCAAAAATCTTGAAGTTGAAATTGAAGAATTACGCAGAGCTCATGATAAAATAGAAAGGGAAAAGAATAATCTAAATGCTGTGATAGAACAGTTGGAAAAAAGTCAATTAGTGCAAAGTAATATAAATCATAAAGATACTCAAACAGATACATATACAGTATTACCTGACCAAAATACAAATGCGTTATGTAATATTTACAAAGAAGATGAAATAGTGCCTAAAAATTTTGCTACCCTGGATCAAGTAAATAAATCATCTGAAGATGTAAGAAAAATGGATTATGAAATTCAGACATTAATACAAGAGGTCAATTCACTAAATTCGAAAAATATTGAACTTCAACACGAAATTAAACATCTCAAAGATGTCAATATTGAAATGTCAAATAAATTATTGGAACAAAATAATATAAATATCGATCAGATTGACAATTTTGGAAAATATCAAATTTTACAAAATGAATATGATTCATTAAACGAAGAAAATAGACGATTACAGTCAGATGTTGAAGGACTTCAAACATATTTAACAAAAATATCCAAAGAAAATGGTATATTAAATGATAAAATTAGAGAACTTATAGCTTCAAGTGAAAATTCTGTAGATAAAAATGAGATGGAAACTTCATATTTGAGTGATTTGAAAAATGAGATTCAGCAAGGAAAAGATAAAATTGATGACTTGCTAAGAGAAAACTCCATTTTATTAGAAGAAAATTTAGAACTGAAAGATCAGTTACAGTCACAAAATTATGTACAACCAAACAATAATAATGATAAAGATATGGAATATGATGCTATTAATGAAAAATATTTAAATGTTCTTGAGGCAAAGAAAAAATTAGAAGATCGATTGTTGACTTTAGAACAGATGAATAATTCTGTAAATGGTAATATACATGAAATGCAAGAAAACAACGAAAAATTAAGACTGAATAACGAAAAATTAGAAAGGCGACTAGATGAAGCGCTTGTTAGTTTGAGACATTTACATTCATTGCAAGAAAACACCGAATTAGAATATTTAAGAAACATACTTTATGAATATCTTACAGGTTCTGGAACCCATTCCATTACATTAGCGAAAGTTCTTTCAGCTGTAGTAAAATTTGATGACAAACAAACACAACTAGTACTTCAAAAAGAAAAAGAACGACAAGGGCTTGTAAGTAATTTCGGTAAACGTAAATAACAAATTTACAATTAATATAATATTTAGCTGTAATCACTCCGCGTTAAGTACCGATGATGGATTTAAATAATAATTGGCTTTTATATTATTATTTTTTTGATCATCATAATTCCAATTCTACCTATTTGTACTAATCTCAGTTTCTACTGATCTATTTTTTATTCGTGTAATTCTTGTTGAAAAATTAAGCAAAATTCATTCATAGTCTCACTGCTAGGCAAATGCCTTAGTCTTATATTAGTCTTACAACAACACCAAGCTTGGTACTGGTAGTTAATTTAATTTATTACCTGGGCTGACTACAATAAAAATCTTCATAGAAATAAAATCATAAAAATTATGTCTTATACTTTTTAGGAATCTATATCTTTATTAACAAGTAATCTATGTTTCAGCTTCGACAGCTGGGTCTCACATGATAATGTTTGAAGAATCATGATGAATTTATTGATACCAGTTACCGTTATTGAATATTATATTGCAATCAATGAAGGTTATAACCTTGATGTTGATCAGAAATCTAATGATGGGAAAAATAACTCTATACATATAAATTCGAATTAAAGATGCATATATTATCTGGATGCGAAACTTGAAGGATTCCAATGCTTTATGCCGGAAACATGTTTGCGGAACTAACTGGTTCCACTGGATCATATCATTTCACATGTACCTAGCAGTACAGCTGGAGCAATTTCAATCCAGTTTATTTAAATATGTTATATAAACATGAACATAATAATATAATTAATGTTGTAAGGAGTTTTGCTTTAATACTTTCAGATAAAATGTAATTGTTTAAAAAGAATGTAAAAAATTAAATTTGTACTACTACTAATAGGTCTTCAGTAATATTAAAAGAATATTCTTTGAACACTTGTATTAGAAATCACAAACATACAGTCATATAAACTTCCTCAATCTGAATGTTATTGTATCCTTATTCATACTATGCCAACAAGCACTGGATATAATTAGACTATATTGGCCCTGCATTTGTTTATATGGACTTGCAAAAGTAATTCAACATGCAAACATCTAGTGTGTTTGAAACTGTATCATTCCAGTAATGGACATAATTGCTAAAAAATTAAGTATTATATTTAAAAATAATAATTTTGTCATTTTAATATAATACAATTTTTTACTAAATTCTAATGAAGTTAATAAATCAGTTTAATAATTGATTTTTGTTTCCATCCAAATTAGATAAATTTACTAAAATAAAATATAAGAATACTTAAGTTATTTAATGTCATGTGGGTTACTTGTATGTATAGGTAATAATATATAAACAATAGTGTATATAATATATAAATATGTAGTTTAATTTAAAAATATAATTATATATAATATACAGAACATTTTTTATTTCTATGTTCCTTCATTGTCAGTATCAGATTGACTGCTAGAGAAATGAAAGTCATCATCCTCATTAAAATCCAATTTTTTCAAGCCTGCTAACACATCTTCAATATGGGCCATTATATCAAATGTATTTGTAGAGGACCCCTCTTGATGTTTATTAATATATCTGTAAAAATAATAATATTAATAATAGGTATATAATGGAATTGTCACATTAGACATAGTAAACTATTAGAGCTTGATTGTCCAGTTTAAAGTTCATCTAAAAGCCCTTTAAGCAAATGAATCTATAAATAGGTATACTATTATTTTTGTGTAGATGACAGAATAAGATAGTGTCTTTCAGCATCTTGTTTTTTTTTATAATTAGAGTACTTGAAACCTTGCAGCACAATAAGGTCTATTGGTATTTTTTTTTTATGGGATATAATGGAATAGTAACCCTGCTTGTGCTATCAGTATATGCTAGCAGGGCACCAGTGAGAGATGATAAGTGACCATAGAGGTCAGTTAGCCCATCATGACGAATTCTACTAGAATTAACCATGATGGTTTCCAGGGGAAACCATGCAGAGGCAGACTAGACAATATATAATAACAATACACCCTGTATTGCTAGCAATGGCAATCAGTTAGAACCCATTACTAACAATCCGCTTCCCCCCAGGTCTATGGGTTTAGGAGGAACTATCTCTTACCGAATTATACTGCGACGTTTCCTTTCTGGTAAGCCTTTTAACATTTGCTGTATAGTTTTATCTTCATTTATTTCTTCTTTAATTTGATCCTAAAATCGTTACCAATATATTATGAAGATTGAAAAAAAAAAATTATCTCAAATAATCAAAGTTGGTATCACTGTACCACTAACATCTAAACCTAAAAATTTTACTTTTAAATTTTTCTCTAGACCTGTTTGACTCTGAATTAAAATATTTCATAAATGTGTCCTAATACAGTTAAGTTCCATTTATACGAAATACCCTTTATCGGAACAAATTTTTCCATACTATTACCTTACACCTCTTCATATACATTTAAGTTTTCAATCATATTTTGGCACCTTTTTAACACAAATTTTGGTCAGTGACTACCAATAGGGATTTTTTTATTCTCAACCAATTTAATTTTTTATTGTCAATACAATTTTTTGTACACATGTTTTACAATTTCACAGTACTGATGTAACTCAGAATGTTTCAGTACACTTTAGTTTATCTGAAATTTTTGTTAACCATACTGGCCAATGCCCTGATAATTTTGGATAGACAGATCTTTCTTTACTGTAATAATTTTTTTAACCTCCAAAAATATTTAAGCAATTTGCTTATAAATAATGTACTTCTGAACTGTAAGAGCCCTTCTGAAAACCAATTTAAGGATTGTTATAATACAGTTGTGATGATAAGTATCTAATTCCGATTAAACTAAGTAGAATGTATGTTATAACGAAATAAAAAATTAATCTTAAAATCAAATTAAAAAACTTACATCAAATGGTTTACAACATTTGGCACAAACAGTTTTCTTCAATGCGCAGTTACTGCACAAAAGATGATAAGCATATTTAATTGATTTTTGTTCGCAATCCACACATTTCCTGGGTGCAGTAAGAGGTTTATACTTTTTAAATTTTATTTTCCATTCCAATATATCTTTACAACGTTTGCAAACACCTTTTAATTCCATTGAATTTAAAAATTTAGTTTTTTGGCTAGTATCGTGTAAATCATTTTTAAAAGCCGTTTTATTCTGATGTTTCTGAGCTCTTTTTCTAGATGTATTACCTCTTGAAGTACTCATATTTAATAAATAAATATGGGACACACGTTTTTGTTACTATCTAATGATTGACAGCTCATATTAGAGATGTACAGTATGTAATCGTTATCTAATGTATCGACTCGAATAATATCTTCTTAAATCTTGTAATCTATAACCGAATGTATACGCGATATAGATAATAATACAAAACAATTCCTAATCTATTGAAAAGTTCACCCACAATGACAATGTAGACTAGAGTGTATTTTTATTTGGTCAGTCAGACTATTTAATAAAATACACACGAGTAGAAGTCATTTTTGTGAAAGGGCCCTTAAAGTAAAATTAAACAAAAAATTTAAAGTTACTTATTGCTAAAATAATGGTGCACAACCTTATGTTCATTATTGACATCATCATTATCACTAAAATCAGTACAATTTCTTAGGTTGATTCTTATTCATAAACGCAATTGAAGTGAATATCAGCGTCAGAACTTGTAATAATTACAAAATGACTAACTGATGGAAAGATGACTGGTTGTGGCATTTTTTTTAACACAGGGGGCAAACCCGCATGCAGCACACCGGTACGCACACATACACGGTTAGTGATTACTGCCGCTCATGGTCACCCACAACATCAACGGCATTGCAGGTGTGCTGCCGGCCTTTTAAAAAGGAATATGAACATCGCGAGATATAACAACGACACCTAAACTCGACTTATTATCAAGGGAAGTGCCCTGAAAATGAGGATTATACGACAAACGGCGTCTTTTTTGCGGTGAACGCTCAGAATTATGTCTTCTTAGGTTTAAATTGGACAAGATTGTGTTCACCCCAGATCGAAACTTGATCGAATGAAGTTTCGATTTCAAAAACAAGTCTGTTCCGGCACTCATCGTTATGTGCCCGCAAGATCTTTGCATGACCGGTGGTATATAATGCATCTCCTGTACAGTTACCTGCATAGCAATGAATTGCCACAATCTTGAAGTAAATAGATTTATTCTTATTTATTACCCCTTTTTCACCATATTTTTATTCTTTTTAAAGTTATACTCTACCATAAATAACTGCTGAAAAGAAGCTACAAAAAACTCATTAGTCACTTTTTCAATAAAATAGTTTCTTATTGGGATAAGTTGCTTATCGGGGAAAAAGGAGTATAAAAATACTCACTTACCGTCTGGGAAATATTTTTACTTATATCTTTTACTAACTAAGCTGTGAGTAAGACGATCGCTATCAGATTATTCATAAATTAATTATAGACACTATTATTTAGCGATACGCGAATCCGTAAAATTTTGTTATTCGATTATTTAGCAATTACTAATTTTATAACATATATATAGGACTGGGCATATCATGAGGTCATCAAAAAATAAATGGACCCAAGATTTAATTGAGTGGTATCCACGTGATGGAAAAAGAAACCGAGGTAGGCCAATAAGAAGATGGGAGGATGATTTGCCCAAAGGCTGGAGACAAGCTGCAAAGAATCGTTACCAATGGAGAAATATGGAGGAGGCCTATGTTCTAGAACAACCTGAAAAATAAGATGTTGCTGATGTCAACATTATTTATACATATTTACAATTTAAAAAAAAATCTGTAATTCAGGAATAAAGGCTATTTTTATTTTTATTTATTTTTATAATTCAACTACCAAATTGTGATATTTTAATTTCCGTATTCGAATGATTATACTAATTAGTAATTAAATACATTCCTTTTTGAAAACTACTAAAAACGAAGACAAAAAAAATAAACGCTACCAAGTACTCAATATCATCAGAATATCAATTTTGTAATACGTAGTATTATAAGTTTGTAAGTATTACAAATACTTATGCAATTTCAAATTAAAAATAAAATCTGTACTTACTTTTATCGAAAATTGATAATTTTTACGAAGTAATGAATGATAGTCGGACGACATTAGTAGTCGAATGGATAAAATTAGTAATAAAATGATTTTCCAGTCAATTGAATAATCGGAATGAAGTGCTCAGTCGAATAATTAGTAGTCGAATTAGTAATGACGCACATCGCTACTACTACTTGACCTAAAAATTGTAATACACTTTTTTTAATTGTATTTGTATTATAAATTAACTTAAATATAAGGTTGTATTTGTTATCTAAATTAGGTCTAATTTTCAGACAAGTAATATAAGATACAGTAATATAAGATACACACAACGGTGGGTTTTTACTTTTTACATAAAAAATATCAAATTATAAGTAATGACAATCTCCACAAAAACATTAGTACAAATTGCCGGTTGGAGTGGTCTTATAGTTGCTTCTACCGGATTTTATTTACAAAGTCGATTAGTAGATCAAGTTCGAAATTATGACTATTACAAAACTGCTTTAAAAAGTTTAAGAATGCATCCTGGAGCTGTGTACTATCTTGGAGAACCTATTAAAGATAAGCGGTTTAAATTAAGTGATACGGAGAATAATTTCTCCGATGGCAAGTCTGCTAGATTTCGTATCCCAGTATCAGGACCAAAAGACAAAGGAACATATTACTTTTGGGCTAAAAGAAAGGATGACCAATGGATTATAACAAAAGCAGAACTAAATTTAAGTTCAAAATCAGATGTATCACTCGTCATAGTTAAAGATACACAAATTAAATAGAAGAATACTGTTTTATTGTAGCCATACTATATTATAGATGATAGAAAAGTGTCAATCTATTAATTTCAGGCTGTAGAAACTTAAATAACATGTTTGTTGGATCATCAAAGGAAAGATTTGTGTACCATAACACTTTATTGTGCTTAGTAAAAGCTTTGCAAGGTCAAAATATTACTTTGGATCTTCGTAATGACTCATATACATGTGGTCAGATAGTAACAGTTGATGGGTGAGTGATTTTAGACTATTTAAAATGAAATTTTAAAAATTGTTTTAATTGGAAATATTTTGTTTATATTTGTAGGAATAAATTATAATAGTTTGTTAAATTTTTTTTATTTCTTTGTTCTACTGTTAGTAAATATTTACACAAAGTATATCACAATTTAGTAACTTGGTACCTTAATGGCTAAACCAGTTATAAAAATGAGTGTAAATTTTCTTTTATACCACTGAGATGGGAAACAAACATACAGCCCACCTGGTGATAAGCAGTTACCGTAGCCTATGAATGCCTGCAATACCAGGGTTACTATGTGCACATTGCCGACCTTGAAAAAAAAACCTCGACAGGGACCTTATTCCTTAACGTGAGTGTTCATGGGAGGAAACATCTTTGAAACTGCATTGTATGCAACCATCGCATGCATGCATGCATTGTTATTATTGAAAATTTATATTTCGATAGCAAAAATATATTTGAAAAATTCCAAAGCAAAACTAATAATGCAAAATTTTTAGTAGTGGATATATATATATAGAAATTCTTAAATTTATTAAGTGATATTTTTTTTCTATCACTTAGACTATGCAATGTCTGCATGCAGTTTGTTGTATCAATTAGTGACACCTTACCCACAGATATAAAGGCATATCACTCAGAATTCACTGTCTTAGGTTTTTTTTTAATGGATGATAATGGAATGGTAACCCCACCCGCACTATCGGTATATACCGGCAGGGCACTAGTGAAGGATGGATTTTTTGCTATATTTATACAATTTCTATCAGCTATCTTTTGAATGTTATTGAGTCATATTTGTTTTTGTGTGCCAATAGTTTTCATTAATTTGATGGCCTCACTTTCATTTATTATAATGCAGTTTTTGAGCAGTTCACCATATGGTCTTAGTATAGATCCATGGGCCGTCTCTTCATTTCCCGTGGGTATTGTAAGAGGTAATAGTCGTCTCTTACCTTTGAAACTTAATGATTGAGGGATAAGTAGCAGCATCCCTCTTAAAACATCCTCAAAGGCTAACTGTTCAAACCCCCTTTTAGGGAAGTTCTCTATGTTAAATACTTTTTAATGTAGTTTCAAAAGTTATTAGTGTGTGAGTCTTTGAAGGACTCCAGGTACTATGGAAACATTCAAGTATTACATAACGAAGTTGGGGGGGGGCTTCTAAAAAACGTTACGATACGTTATAGAAACGGGACAGTTTTTTTGTTTAAATAAAAAAAAATTGTTAGTGACTTAAGTAACAATGGTCACTGGGGCGTTATGTAAAAGTTTAGGGGGGGGGGGCTACAGAAAAATGTCACGGCGCATTACATGGGAGAGTTTTAAAAAAATTCATTACGTAATATTTGAACATCCCCTATAGTATATGACTATTGACTTATAATAGTTTTATTTACTTTATCCTATATGACACAACCATGATCTTTTTCTCTTTCCTTTTCCATCCATCCATTTGTTCAGCTGTTAGGATGCCAAGAGGTAATAAAAAGGCAAACCCCCTTGCATGGTCCTCCGCCAGCGTATCCCATTAGCGCAGGCGGGGTTACCATTCCATTTTCACCCATAAAAAAAAAACTAATAAGTATAAGGAGAGTAATACGAGTACATTAAATCATATTACGATTAGCATAAAGCAACTTTTGTTTTCCTTGGACAGTATAGTAACTTCTGAGGATACTGTGGATCATAGGATTATCAAACCGGTTTATTTTATGGTTTTTAACTTTTTCTTTACCAAGAAGATTACATATGTAGCAGGAGCTTACTCTGTTTTTTTTTTTTTTTTCATATAAAATTATAGTCTTCATATTGTTGTATATTGTAATTGGTTCTTAAAAATTACTAGAAAATACATACCGCCGCTCATTAATATCTTCTGATAAGCATGAATTTATTTTTTTAAAAGGATTTTTTAGAAACAAACAAATAAGCATGTGACTCATATAGCAAGTGGTCACTGCAGCCCTGGATACTAATGAGATATATGGCGCGTCTTAAAAAAATTACAATATTTCTATATTACAAAACTTCTGCTCGTTTAATCTTATTCCTTGTTAATTGTAAATATTTGTTACTATGATACAAAATAATATGTATTTTTTTACAGTTTTATGAATATTTCCCTTTGTAGTGCTGTTTATTGTGATCCTCAAGGAAATGAGTTCTTTTTTGAAAACCTATTTATACATGGTCGTAATATTAGATACATACATATTCCTGAAAATGTAAGTAAAATTATTATTCATTAAGTATATTTGTTGCACATTATCTAATAACACAGTTGCTATTTCCTATTTTTTGTTATAGATGTCAATAATAGCAACTATCAAGAAAGAATTAAACAAAAATAAAGAGACGGGACCTGTTAAAAAGCCCATTGCAAAGTCGAGAAAAAATACAAAGGCACTACAACAACACATGCAAACCGTAGCATCGTTAGATTTGTAACATTTTTACGTATGTTTGTATATAAATAAAAATTGTTTTATTACATTCCACATTTTAAATTATTTTTTGTATTATATTTTAAACTTTAGAAATGTCCAACATCTAGTTTCATCCATTTATGAAACCATAAATATAGCAATCATTTATGAAGGTAAATTGAACAGTAACCCTTAATTTAGCTCTATTAGTTTAATACCTGTAGTATTAAACTGCCGAGATATACGGTGTATTTCCGGGAATACTGCATCCCGTTGGGCCGGTCATTTCTTAATTTCCGTTTCCTAAACTTATCCCTAAAATTACAATTTTGATAGTTAAGTAAATTGCTTGAGTTATATGCAAAAAATGCATTAATTAGTTGCAACGACAAGAGGAAACTCTTAAAAGAGAAAAAATCATTTATGACATTGATCATCCAGGATTAAATATAACACCTATTGGTTTTTAAAATATTGCGAATTTTGTTTTAATACGAGAGTCAAACTGAAAGTCCTTAGAAAATAAAAAACTGATTAAATTAGCAAGTTTTTACCTTTATCTTTTCGAAATAGTGTCCATTCACGTCAATACGTTGCTCCATCCAATAGAACCACTGAGAAAAGCACTGCCCACTCGTCCTTAGGGATCTCTTCGACGGCCTTCTGAAACGTAGCCACAGCTTCCTCGGCGTCCATAAAATATATTCCTCGAAGTTTTTCTTTTATTTTTCGAAATAAATAAAAATCGCAAGGTGCGAGGTCGGGGCTATAAGGCGGATGACCCAGTAGTTCTACGTCTGAGGTCGCCAAATAATCGATCGTTTGTCTGGCGGTGTGCGACGAAGCATTGTCGTGGTGAAGGAGGATCCTACTGCGAGGTCGTTTCTCACGCATTTTTTCCAAAACACGTGACAAACAATTGTTACTGTACCACTCTGTAGTAACTGTTTTTCGATCCTCTAAAACAATTGTTGCGTAATGACCTGTCCTTCCAAAGAACGAGGCCACCATCTTTTTTCCCACGCTTCGACCTCTCTTTACTTTAGTTGGCAACTCCTCGGAAGGAATCACCCACTGAGCTGACTTAGTTTCGTAAATCCAGCTTTCGTCTCCCATAACTATGTCAAACACAGAATTTGAGTCACCTTCGTTAAATCTTTCATGCTTTTCACGGCACCAATCAACACGACGGAGTTTGTGAGCCTCGGTCAAATTATGAGGTATCCACCGGGCACAAAGCTTCCTGATCACCAAATGTTCATGGAGGATTTTGTGCACTTGACTCATACCAATCCCTAAGCTTGCCCGGACCGGATAGGTCACTCTTTTGTCAGTCTCTATCATACACCACACAACACTCATGTTATCTTCAGTCGTCGCCGTAGAATCCTGTCCGTCACGCACATCACCGGTGAGATTAGTGCAACCACATTTAAACTCATTAAACAGTGTTGTAAACAGTGGCACTAGACGGGGCTTCATCGTGAAAGGCCAATCGTAGTCTATCATAACTTTCTTGTTGACTTAGATGACATCGAAAGTCATAAAAAATCATCGCACGAAACTTTTCTCATGTTAAGTTCATGATAACGTTACACAGACCATTTCAATTTGCCGCCAAACCGTAAAATAAATGACAAACGAATAAATTATATACTCAGTATAATTCATTTTTTTTAGTACGTTTGTTCCGTTGTAGAACAGGCTAAAGTCGGAGACCATGCTGCCTAGTCTTCAATATCATATTCAATTTGTCTGGAATCAGTATTTTTCATAAAAAGTTTCATTTTCAAAATTTTAACAATTTATTATATTGCTTTCAAGTAGCCAGTTCTAAACATTTTCAGTGTAGCCCTCGTATCAAACTGAAATAATTTAAGAGGTGAGAGAATGGTTGTTCAGAATCAACTCCAAAATCAAATTTTTATGTTACGTTCACCACAATATTAAGTCTACAAATGTCTGATTACACCAAAGGGCTTACAATTGTAAACATATATTTTTACCCAACTACGGCGAAGCAAAAAGTACTACTATGATTTTGGCCAATATGTATGTATGTTCCTCTGTTCTCTCATAACTTCTAAGTTACTTACATATATTATAATTTGACAAATAAACTATCGTTGAAAGCAGAAGATCGTCCATTGATTATACTTATAGGATAAATTGAATATTGCGCCTACTAAAAGACATAGTCATTGAGTAAAAAAAGAAGTCAGGTTTTCCTTGTGAAATAGAACAAATCCAGATTTTTTTTCAATTTTTTTGTTTCTGTTTGTCTGTACGAACTATGCTCCGAAACTATTGGACCGATTTCAATTAAATTTAGCATGGTGGTACCTTGTATTCTCAATCAACATTTTAGATACTTTTTTTTTTTTAGATTCACGGAAAATTAAAGAGTTCCATAAGATAGTTAAAAAACTATAGTAACTTATACAGCTTATTACACAACCTACTTAAGTCATTTTGGCCTAAGATAAAGAGAGAACGACATATTATTTGTTAATTTTAGTCCAGTATTCCCAGACATAATAAATAGGTAGGTACATACATCGATATATACTAAACAGAAATAATAAACACGTCGCGGAAATCAGCTACCAGAGGGAGACTTTGTATAAAAGTTGTTTGCTTGGGTACCTATATCCTATTCGTTTTTCAACTGTGAAGCAGTTGTGTTTGCATAGCTGTTTCAGTTTGAAGGGCGGGATATGACAGTGAATTTACAGGGTAGAGTAATAACACCCGAGTCCTCGGGGATGGCAAAGCATGGGGGGTATCATAGGCAAAACAGTATACTCTGTTATGTCCATGGTACTGCACATGTCTATATACGACGGTTACTACTTTCCATCAAGTGGGCCGTCAGCTTGTTTGCCATTCTAAGTTGTATAAAAAAAGCTAGTCATTAATAAATCCGTTATGGACAAACTTATCTATTATAACCTATCATCATAGGGGGGAAAGGGATTAATAGTGATGAAGACTGAGAATCCCATTGCAATATACCCAATCAGGTCGACCTCCTCGCGGTTCCCCTTGGAAACTATCATGGTTAATTCCTGATGAATTCATCATGGGCTAACTGGCCTGTTTTCATTCTCATCTATCGTTCTTCACTGGTGCTCCGCCAGCGTATCCCGTTACCATTCCATTTTCACCCATAAAAAAAAAACTATCATCATATGCGTAGAAGGCGGGTGGGCCAATTCGACCCCAGTATTTGAACAAAGCCTCAAAAGATATACCTATGCAAGAGGGACGCCAAAGACCCCCTGGAAAATATTCTTATATATGCCAATGCAGGCCAATTCCTCACTGGTGCCTCGCCAGCATACATCGATTACACAGACGGGATTATCATTTATAAAAAAAATCTGACTTCATCTTCACCTGTCAACCTTTATTAGTACCTTACGAAAGTAAATAAATAATAATATTTTATTCAAAGAAAAAAATAACGTCCAGTAGACCTTTTTTCAGCGCCATTTCATTATTTATTAATTTGTTACAATATTTGTATCTATCAAACAAAATAATTATATCTACAATATTAAGTTTTATTTAGACCAATTTATGATCACAGTTATATTCATTTGCAACGATAAATTTTTGATCATATTGAATGTTTCATAGAACGGAGACCATGTACTTGCTGTATCATGGTGTAATGTTGTTTGCCGAGGTATTAGTTTCATCTTCTGTAACTGCAAATACTTTATCAGAATTTATTTCCGGTAAACACGAACTATCACTTGGCTTCTCACCGACAGATTTTTCATCTACTGTGTAGTTCTTAGTAGATGCTGTAGAGACAAAACTTTGACTTGTATCATTACGTACCACACCATTATCAGTAGAAGTAAGATAAAATTTAGGTTTTACATAAACATAATTGCTATTCTTTAATGCATCTTGGCAGACTTCGTTTCCGTTCATTTGTTGGTTTTGATAAATTTCTCGATTAAAATACTCTTGATTATAATTATTTATAGCAAGATTTTTGAAGTTATAATTTTCTTGTGTAGTCTGTAATGTGTCAATCTTCTGATTAGTTTTATATGTAACGTTTAGCTGTCCATCATTAATGTAATTTTCTGATGACAATTGTGATCTCTTTATGATGGTCTCAGGAGTAACATTGGATTTTTGTTGAACAATTACCACTTGTTTGAATTGTTGTTTAGATTCGGCTCGTGAAATGTGTTTGCTGGGTTGTTGAAATACGTGAGTTGCTGTTTCTTTATAGGGTACCGCTTGAGACCCTGTATTTTGTGGGTCTGGCGTTTGACTGCACAAGTAGTTGGATTGATTTATACTCGTGATTATAGATGTTGGACTGGGAGACGATTGCATCACATTTGGCCTCTGCAGTGCTTGAGAATTTAGTGTTGCTAGAAAATAAATTACATATTGGTAAATATATTGGTAAATATATATATTATCTACATTCCCGGCTGTGGGACATACAATAGTATTAGATGTATCATATATATTTTTCTTTGGAAATAATATTCAGTTTGATTGCTAAAGCACTTTTTGAAAGATTTTAAAAATTTCATATATATCTTTAGGTAAATTTAAAATATTTACCTTGCGGTTTATACTTCGCTAACTGTGAATAAACTAATTTAATCCGTTCTATATTGATTTGTGAGACCTTCTCGTGGTTTACCATTGGCAATGGGTAGTCGCGGCCTATGGTGCAGCGAGCAGCTTGCTGTACGGATTCTGGAGCCATCCATGGTTCATGTATGTACCGAGTCGGCATATTTTTCAAGGCTGGGATGTATCTCCTGTAATATGGTGTTGCAGGAAATTGTAATGTTGGCACCTACCTCAAATGTTATAACATTGTAATTCCATAAAATTTTTAAATTATTTGTCATCAATTCTGAGGCGACTCTCAACAACCTTCTATTAATTATCAAAACGTATATGCTTATTTACTCGTACTTCATGACAAAGCAAGTGTAAAAAACAGGTCAAAATTTAGACACCAGCGTTTTTTGACACGTTTAAAACAAAGCGCATTAAAAATCAAAATATACACATCAAATTTCATTCAAAACTGTTCAGCAATTGTTGGATGAAAGAGTAACAAACATCCATTTTTAAGGATAAATGAATTTATCCTTATAACATTTCGTATTATAATATTATTAGGATTCATATTCAAATTGACATACATTAATTAAAATAGCGGACACGTTTAATGTTCCTGACTACAAATATACATACATTTATAAATTTTTAACATTATTCTAGTATATCAATTAGTCAGTATGAATGGAATAAAGGGCGAGCACAAAAAATCATGGTAAGGTCACAGTGTCACAAGTTTTTCTGTTTGCAAAAAGCCCATCTTTCAATAATAATTAATATGAATAATTTTTTTTTATAAATCACTAGCTTTATCTTCGACTTTGTTACGTGGCTAGGATATAATAACTAATTGGGATAAAAAAGGAGCCTATATTCTTCTCCATTCCATATAGGCAATGTATACCAAATTTTATAGTGATTGGTTAAGCGTTTAGGCGTATTTATGGTAGGACCCAACAGACTACATTCTGTTCAATTTATAATTGTTAAACAGTTGATAAGTTATAATAAATGTGTTTTCCTAAGTTTACCTGTGTGTTATCCTAGACTGAAATTGAATAACATGTACTTATTCCGGAATCTTCTTTGTGCTTATCCGACGCACGTTTGTATTTTTTTTATTATTAATGTGTAGAGGTAATAAAATTAATTGTACGAACCGGATGAAATCGCCATTAGGATCAGTCTTACGCCCAAACCGAACAGGGCAATAACAGTGGAAAAACTGTTGAAAGAATGAGGAACAGGAAAGCCACATCCACATGCCAGCATTGACTGACCAGTCAGCATCAAGTAATAGTTCGTCAAATACCTAAAAACATAATTAGTGTTATTTGAAATATTTTCGAAGAAAGTTAAGCAGTTAAGTAATAAATTTATAATTTAACATGCCTTCATGCCTTCTTCCCATGAAATCCATAAATCACCCCTAGTAAGAAAACAAGCGACAGCATGTCGTGCCAAATGGTGAATCCAACCCTCCTCTCTCAATTGAATCATTATAGCGTCAATCCAAGGAAATCCAGTTTGACCCTGAAAACGTCATTACCAAAGAATTACTGCAATATCATTATAGTAACATTGTGTACAGAACATGCAACGTACTTACGCTCGCCCATTTGGCAAGAGCTTCATGATTTTTTTCCCAAGGTATTTGCACACATATGGGATTGCCCTCCATACGATCAAAATTCGGATTCCGAGTAGCAGCACAGTAGAAAAACTCCCTCCAAAGAATCTGACCATGTAATGACAGCGGAGGACATACTTGTTTCACTCTTTTGTATAATTCAGTTAACTGATAGTAAAACAGTCTTGTCGATAAGCATCCAAACCTGTACATTATTTTTTTAGTGTCAAAAATGAAAATATTGCATAAATATCAAAAATTTATTAATCGATTGTTATACCTTAAATAAGGCGATAAGCCAGTTTGACTAGCTAATAATGATTGTGGAGTCATTTTAGGTCGCCCAAATGATGCTACCCAAGCTTTTCTTTCCAGATGTCTTTCTAATCTCACTAATGCTTCACTTTCTCCGCCCAGCCACACGGCTGGTTTCAGACCTTCTGTCTCAAAACCTTAAATATAATATAATATAGTAAACACACTACATGTTACTCAATGTCAATGTACCTACCTATTTTTTCGCAGTTAAAACCCACCGAGTTCTTCAAGAGTAGGAACACCAAAGCGATCATCATGATCGTCTGCAACTGGCGTCGTAGCTCCATTTAACATTTGTGCAGTAATTGCAGCCTCCGCTGGTGGAGGTGGAGGCATACTAGCTATTAAAGCTTGGAATTGATGATATGTCAAAGGTGCTTTCCCGCCATTTCTCTCAATGATTCTGAAAAGTAGAGAATTTATAATATTTTGATAATATGATATAACTTTTAGTTTCGACAATGTTATTTCAAATAGATTCCTCATAGCAGAGTTCAGTGTCCAACCAAGCATATCTTCTACATTGGTCATCAATGTATGTAACTTAAATGCAATTATATTTTTAGATTTTTATGAAACTCCTGTAATCTTTATTAAACTACTAGCTGACTCGGCAAACGTTGTTTTACCAGATACATTATTTCGAAAACTATGCATGATAATTTCTCGCACTACAATTATTATATTCGATTGCCATCTTGCAACCGTATTGCGGCATATAAAAATCGCGATTAAAAAACGGGTTGATACGATCAACCCCAGTTTTTTTATCGCGATTTAAAAGCGTGAACATTTGAATTTGTATGTATTTTTCAATGCTAAATCATAACAAAATAAGAAATATTGTCAAAAAAAAGAAAGTAATTAGGGGTGGGTCATCCTTATGATTTAGGGGTATGAAAAATAGATGTTGGCCGATTCTCATACCTGCCTGATATGCACACAAAATTTCATAAAAATCGGTAAAGCCGTTTTGGAGGAGTTTGGTAACAAACACCGCGACACGAGAATTTTATATATTAGATATGTATATATAATGTTTCGGTGTCACATCATTTAATAATACATGGTATAGGTAATATTTGCTTATTTTATGACGAAGGTAGTTCAATAGATTCTTAAGTGATATTACAAGGACACCGTTATTTCATATTAGTTTAACGATTCCATATTAAACAGAATATACAAATTCTTCATTTATAATTTTTTTTTTTTTTGTGAGATTGAATGATCATGGCGTTTTGGAAATTTGAACTGTATTATAAATCTTTATCATACAGACTGTTGGAGCGAAACTATAATTAATGTTCAACATTCTCAGTTCAACCTAGAGGTCGTTTCTGTAGCAAAAAACGAAATATTGCATTAGTGTTTTCATATTTCCTGGTGATCATCCTGCTGCAGCAGTTTAGCATCCTGAACTAAAGAACGATTTTTTAATAGTCAACATTAACTGACTGACAGACAAACACTATGGTGAAATCTTATAAAATGGAATGTTTAAACGAGAATTCGGCGATGTTCGAGAATAACTCTGTACCAAGGCATCCAAGGGGGAGACCTATGTTTAGCAGTGAATAATATAATATTGATGGCGATGATTGTTTCTGTAATTGACTAAAATATAGTAAAGATGGGAAGAAATCCCTATCAAATATATTTTTTTTTATCAAAATGTGTTGATTTTTTTTTTATCAAATATTTTGTATATGTGTATTGTTTGCTTCATCTTAATATTGAATACTCTTATCTAAATGAGAGGGACAAGAAAGAAGGAAGGGCGGATGGGCCGTGTGTTAGTATTATTATTTATTCCTTTTCCTGTTTTCCACAATAAGAAAGCTGCCATCAAGCACATCACTATCCACAGAGACAGTTTCTGGATGTTCAGCGTTGCGGCATCGTACACTGAATTAAAGACAATTCTAACCATTATTAAGAAGATTTAAATGATAACCAGTTTTTACATATAAAAATATTAATAAGAATACATAGTTGAACGTTTCAGTAGATAAGGGCTTCTATTTTTTTTACTGAAAATTATTATAATTAGATTATTTCCGAGTTTAACTGTACTGAGGTAAAGTAGAAAAAAATAAGCAAATTGAAGCACTATCCATTAATAGCCTCTAATGCTACTGTACTATTATAGTAATAAGTAATTTCCGAAAGATGTTGTACATTAGTGGTTCTTAACCTTTTGGGCTGGCAATCCAATGTATAAATATATTTATAGCCTGTGGCCCTAATGTTTTATTTATCTTCCAGTGATAATAAAATGATAGGATTAACTATATATAAGTCTGTAGTTTACTAAAATTAATAAAAAAAAAATCATTAACTTGTTTTCATAAAAAGTTGTGAAATTAAATTTCATCATTTCTTATAATGTCATTTGGAGAATCCCTACGATCCATCCCAATACCGCTTGCGACTGGAATTGAGGAAACACTGTTATACACTATAATTAGAAAAATACCTAATAATTTCAAAAAATGTCAAATAATTTGCCATTGTCTGATGAAAATTGTCCTTTAATTATTATAAGGCCAACTCTGATATTTTTTTAATAATGAAGCAATTTTTAAGCAAATTTTTGAAAAGAATATTTTGCCTTGATATACTTAGTTGTTTTACTTACTTGTCTAATTTATAGAGTGTATGTGATACGCGAGATATAACTGTAATGCCGACTTCTCGACATTTTGTCATAATATTATGATCACGAACACGGCCATATGGTTCAGGATCTTCTTCGAAAGTGAGAGCTGTAGTACCCCACTCTTTGAATAACTTTGGTAAAGCATCTGCAGGCTGTCCACGAACCACAAATAGGCGAGAATTAAGTTTCCTTAAACTATTATCGAGATCTTCCAAGCATTGTAAGAGGAACCTGTAACAGTAAATGAAATAGGTTTTAATATATAAATGTATGAATGAATAATGGGAATATTATGAATTTACTATGTCATTTTCAACAATTGTTTCAACTTCATCCAGACGACGAAATATTTAATATGGGCAATTTATTCTTAAAACATTTATTACTATGTTATTTATTAATTAATTTTTCGTTTTTTTTTTAAGATCTTATATTTTTTTATTATTTAATTTAATAAGTAGCTTTTAATATGACCATACAAAAATTTTCTGTTTTTGTGTCTGTTCATAGGTCTGTTTGTGTATTAATGTTTTACATTAAATACCCAGATTGATTGTGATGATATTGTCATTGTATATTAAACTAACATATAGGCTATAGATACTTTCAAAATAGTTTCCCAAAAGTGTTTTGTTTTTACTTGATAATAGATAACGTAAAAAATAAAAGTAAGTAAATTGAGTCCCAAAAGCAGAAAAGTAAAAACCCAATTTATAATTGTGATGACAAGTTATTACAGAACATGCAAAGTCACTAGCTCAAATAGTTATGTAATCAATATTGGTTTTATATACATATAAAGAAAAATAAAAAATGATCAAACCTCCATTTATTTATGCCTACATTAGAAGAACTAGCAAACCAGGGATCTATTATGAAAACGCATCGAAACGTGATTGCACCATTGAGCCCTTCCCTCAAAGCAGGATTGTCGTGAAGTCGCAAACCCTTCCGGAACCAATGCACAGTATGTTTGCCAACATGACATTGTGTCGATGGTGCAGGCAGAGGCACTTCGGGAGTGTGTGGTCGAGCGCTGGACGCGGGGAGAGTCTCCGCTGCTGCTGACATCACAATGTCGCCACCGACATGGTGTTTACTGGAAAAATAAATACATATATTATTATTCTTGTTGTTTAAAAAGTTAATAACGCAAATTTTTCTGCAGTACTGAGTACTATAATTCAATTTCACATTAAAAAATAATGCAAACATATTGATTGCCTGAAAATTTCTCCCCTTCCACTTATAATTCCTCAGTATCATGAAAAGACGTGAAGATATTCCCTCTCTTTACATTCTAATGGATGGAAACTGTAGCAGGTGAATAAGTTTATAAATGAATGAAGCCTAAATTTAAACTTATAATGTAGACTTCCATTTAATAATCGGAGTAATAACCTGTAACTTTTGCTAATTTTGTATCTCCCTACATTATCAAAAAGAAAAATTATATAAGGATGAATTATTTCTGCATAAGTACTTAATTCCTATTATACAAATATATGATAAAGAAGCAATGGTAGTTTTACACACATGCTAACTACCAGGCAAAATGTACCATCCCTACTGACTCTACAATATGGTAACCTAGTTCAGAATAATATTAATTAAACATTTTTGACAATGAAACTGTAATTATTGACTCCAACTCTTGCAGCCTGCTGGTAAAAATGCCACTGAAAAAAAGTCAGAGTTATAAAAAAAGGATATGTTACTATGTTGTTTTATAGGAGTGACAATTCCAAAACCATCCTATTTCTGTATACCACTATATATGTACACCACTACCACATATGTTGCCCGTTTTTGTTTTGTAGAAGTTACAATATCAAACCTTACCTACCATTTTAAAGAGGGAAAGGGGAGGAATTGCTAGTAAAGGAGACTAGCAGCCCCATTGCCAACAATATACCTTGTCTAGGTCGACCTCCTTGTGGTCCCCATTACAAAACATCATACTTAATTCCAGGCGAATTTGTCACTATGGGGTATACTGACCTGCCTTTTCATCTTTACCTATCATCCCTAACTGATGGTTTTATTTATTAACTATGAGAGACTAACTGAGTAATCAAATATTAAAAAAAAAAAGTAAGTTTTACAGTCATCTGAAAATCAATTTAATATGTGGTGAGTGAAGTTATGTGCATAAAAAGTTGTTTCCCCTCAGGTATATCAGGACTAACATACCTATACTGATTTATATTAAGTAATTTCGGTCTTCAAATTTAGTACATTTTTTTAAATTTGCATCTATGTCTAGTTGGTACATTTTGGTAACTTACAACCGCCTACTGCCACAGCTCGTAACAAGTTGACGCATTTTTAGAACAATGTACATTAAGTATTGTACATAAAAAATAACGAAAACAAGCACAAAAAAACAATGTATAAAAAATAGGATGACAAACCTGCTTAAATTTTGGGGTATGATTACACTACTTCGTATAAAAGCGAATTAACGAATTTGTCACAATCAAATTATCTATAAAAAGTTAATGAAAACATTAAATAAACAATCAATTATACAATAATCCTACATTTTCATGAACGTTTTTTATTAAATATTTACTTTTTATCCGAAAACCTTTTTAAAATTCCTAGTAAAATCATGAACTGTGAAGTCGTAATTTCCAGAATATCAATAATTATTTGTTTTGTACCCAGTTACTTAGATATTGAAGCAAACAAACTTTTGATAAAGAACAACGAACAGTACAATCAGTTGAGTCAGTTGTCAAAATTATCCACGCCGTTTGCAACGTGACCACAACGTGACCTACAGTTTCTTAAACCATGTATACACAAACACGTTGTATTAATAAATAAATTACGTAATGTTTTTGTATTGATCAAATCGTAATGAAACTAAATCTCTACAATATTTACACCAAATAAGAGTTAACACGTATTTAAAATTTTCAATATAAACTTGCATCGTTGGTATTACTTTTCAATTTTTAAAAACAATGAACTATTTTAAATACTTCTAAATGAAATTTGAAAATATAAATAAAATAGTATACCTATAAATATCTTTCTCAGATGCAGTCAGCTAAAATTTATAACTAAATGCTTAAAGGCCATGACTAAGAAAAATGTACTTGGAAGCATATATGCAACAACGCTCAAATTATAGGTAATTATACTTTGTTGAATTTTAAGAGCATTGCTATTTATTTATAATCAAGTTGATTCTGAAGTGCAATTATTTATTTCTATCTCTAAAATTTCAATTTAATATCACTAATGATGAGTAATTATTCTAAGATCCAGTTTAATATTGGTTCTGTAACCATTTCGTTGTAAGTTTTTAATAAAATTACATTAAAACTACTTCACTAAAAAAATACACATTCACATAAAATACAAATACATGTATATAAAATAAATTTTACTTTACTTTTTGATCTTTACTATAATAGTTTTGCAAAAGTATCAAATTATAATTGTAATCTTAGAAATAAGTTTAAAGTATATCTTATTGTATATTAGCGACCCGCCTCGGCTTCGCACGGGTGCACATTACATCAGAGACCTTTAAAATTATTAGTGTTTCTGTACAATATTATGCATGTATTATACATATAAACCTTTCTCTTGAATCACTCTATCTATAAAAAAAACCTCTTCAAAATCCGTTGCGTAGTTATAAAGATTTAAGCATACATAGGGACAGATAGACAGGGACAGCGACTTTGTTTTATACTATGAAGTGATAATTCAAATGCTTTGTGGAGCACACAAACGCACTTACTTCTACATACTATATAACTTATATTAGTTCTTTTGCACGCTATATAACTAAATTAACATAATATAATTTAAACTAAATGTTTATATGTATGTTAGGCATATATATATATATATATATATATATATATATATATATATATATATATATATATATATATATATATATATATATATATATATATATATATATATATATATATATGTATATATATATATATGTACATGCTATACGCTAATATTAATTTTATCTTTATTTAATTAACAGTTTTATTTATTCTACTGGAACGCTAGCGCCTTTGCTTGAGGAGGTCGGCGTCGACAGCTACAACACAATTATTTTAACTAATGTGGCTATTATCGTAGGCTACCCTACGATTTTATGGTTCTAATAAATAAACAAATGTTAAAAAAAATGATTTGATTTACTGAAACTAAGATTGCGCTTTTAAATTTCATTAATAATTTTGTTATTTACTAATTAGTGTTTATAATTTAATAGTTAAGTTATAAATAATGATAATAAATGATAATAATAATAAATGTGTACACGTAGCTTTAGATTCATACGTCCGCGGGTATGTCATTGTCAAAATTTTGATAATTTAGTTTGACAATGACAGATAAATCTCAAACATTTTTTTTTAAACTTCGAATTATTACAGCAGTTATTCTTAGTCTAAGTGGAAAAGATTGCACACCACAGATATATAATAATGAAGACCTTTATTATTAAGAGTCTGTGATGTAGGCTATGAAATAGATAAATGCTTTTTATGTTGACATAGTATATATACATAAATAATTTATACTAACTTTATAATATTTTTTTAGGAGTGGTATGGGGGCTGGCTTTTTGGCTTCTTGAATAAGACGCACATATACTTATTCCTATATATGCCTGCAATACATGTTTTGGTCGTATTCCGTAAGTGTGTTCGGGACAATTCTGGGTAGTTTAGGCCCTAAGAGGTTTAGTCATATATATGCATAACAACAACAATTTTATCACTATTTTTATGTTTGTATAGAGTATTCTTTTTTCTATATTTTACAAACATAGTGAAAAAAATATTTAGTTTTAAAGTTAATATATAGAAATAAGTTTATCCTGAATATGAGTTTTCTTCCAGCAAATGTTTCCATGTGAAATAAATTGTTATTTAAAAACAAAAAATAAGCAGTCTTATGATTTATGTACATTTCAAGAAAAATACCTAAAATTATCATCATAAACTTTTTATAAAATAAGTACACACAAAGTGTAATATAAGTTACATACTAAATAAACATATAATTAAAATAAATAATATATAAAAATACAAACATAATATGTAGCCTAAGTATGAAAAAGTTTTTAATCATGTTTGTGAACGAAGTTCTTTATCTCTTAAGTATAAAAATTCATAATGTTCGCGGAGGTATTATGCAATATGAAGAGTTTATGCAATATGAGGGAGGGGGAGGAATATCACCAGAGGGAGACTTTGTACAAAAGTCGATTGCTTGGGTACCTCTGTCCCATTCGTGTTTCAACCGTGAAGTAGTTGTGTTTGCATGGCTGTGTTTCGGTTTGAACGGTGGGATATGGCGTGAATTTACTGGGTACAGAGGAATAACACCTGAGTCCTCAAGAATAGCAACGCATGAGGGGTATCATGGGCGAAACAGTATACTCTGTTATGTCCATGGTACTGCTCATGTCTATAGGCCACGGTTACCACTTTCCATCAGGTAGGCCGTCAGCTTGTTTGCCATTCTAAGTTGTATAAAAAAAAAGTATGTTGTAAAAAGCGTCAATATTTGGCCATTTAGTAGTTACAAAAAATTTGTTTATTAAATCAGAAATCAGTGAAGGTAAGTAAATTATAATTATTTAGGGTGCACCTGCACACATGATGCAGGGAAATATAAAATTCTATGAAACATTATCTTACCCATTTTAAGATACTATTTGTTACCTAAAAAGCCAAAATCCCCCTTATCTGATTTTATTGGGGCTGCTATCACTTTCGTAGTAATTTTGGTGTGTAATTTGTACCCAACAGATAAAACGAGACCAAACAAATCAAAATTTTAATTTTAGAGATAGAGAAATGGCACATCAGACTTAACCCCAATATTGTTTATACATCTATCCCCTTTCTAATATCTACTTATTTACCTACTATGTATTTTACTATTTAATCTATATATTTTAATTTTAAAGGAGAATGTATTTTTATTTCTTTTTAGATATATATGGCTATATAAGTAATATAAATATTTGTTCAGTTAAGTACATAATTTTAGTCTATTTAAGACTAAGTTTAGGTCGCAAACAACACCCAATATGAAAAAATCATAGATCAAGGATTCCTAGAGGCGTCTTAGATGTAGTATCATTATCATTTAGAAAAATGCTAACAAGTTGGCAACACTATATCTGTCATTTTCTTTTGAAAAGGAACCCTCATCATATGTATGTAATATTATTTTCATCCTAAATTAAATCAATAATTATCTCTATGTATTTAGTGTATTATTAAATGATAATAATGGAATAAAGGTTTTTGAATTTCTAATTCTTCATTGATGCTTATATTTATTATTAACAGTTGTGATAAAAATTTCAGTGAGGGGATTTAACCATGGGTCGTGTAATTCGTGCTCAACGTAAAGGTGCCGGCTCAGTCTTCGTTTCACACACCAAGAAAAGGAAAGGGGCTCCCAAATTACGTTCCTTAGACTATGCTGAACGTCATGGCTACATTAAAGGTGTCGTTAAGGTATGTATATATAACCTTAGAATTGAATACAAACATGCCAGAAGCTTATTGTTTAAAATTGCCTTTCTGTGAGGTAATTTCTCTCGGTAATACGTGATTGGTGATCTTTACTTGGGATATTCGAATATTGGTTAGAATCTTGGAGGGTCAATTATTATAAACATTTTATTTTTGTTGAAGATAAAAAATTTATTTTTATGGTATAATTCCTTATGATTATATCGTCTTGTTACATGAAAAATTTCTTTAAACTTTAAAGCGGTCCAATATCGAAGCGCCATTATTCTTGTTTTTAAAATTAAAATTTCAATTTGATATCACAGAGATAACACTTCCACTTACCTCAAAGTTTTTTTATTGGTGAAAATGAAATGGTGACCCCATCTGCATTATCAGTGTAAAGTGGCAGGTCACTTTGAGTGATGATAGGTAAGGATGAAGTAGGTCAGTTGCTCCATTGGGACTAATCCAGGAATAGACCATTTCCAGGGGGATCTTGTGTAGATCGACTTAATAGACTACATTGCTAGTAATGGGGCTGCTAGTCTCCATTATTAGCAATTGGTTTCTCTCAAAAGAGTGGATTTCTAAATTTAGACAACTTCTCATATAAAGATCTCAATTAAAAGACCTCCCTTCCCATATATAAAGTTTTCTTAAATAGCTCTCATCTACAGGCATTGTCTAGTTACAATTTTATTATATTAGTAAGTATGATTAAAAAAAAATTATGACGGAAAATAAAGTAATTGGTTTTATGACAAATTTCAATGTATTGAAAATTACAATTATTTCTCTATGTAACAGGAAAATAGATGTTGTTAGAAAAAAAATCTATTCTAGAAAAAATAAATTTTACACAGCACATGAGGAGCATACTTGTTCTTCATGTATGAACTAAGATGATATTTTTTATATATCATTATATAAATTCCACATGGACAAAGCTGATGGAAAAAACTAGTATGTTACAATATTAAGGATATTCAATTTATAATTGATCCTTAAAAAATTGCAGGATATCATCCATGACCCTGGAAGAGGTGCACCACTTGCAGTAGTCCACTTCCGTGATCCTTACAAGTTCAAGACACGAAAAGAACTGTTTATTGCACCTGAAGGCCTGTACACCGGCCAGTTTGTATACTGTGGGAAGAAAGCTACTCTTGAAGTTGGTATGTTTTTACAAAAGGAAGTGTATTACTTGTCATGTAACTTTTTGCAATGCAGCTTTTTACCTTCTTTGCATATATGAATTTATATATCATTGAGTATCAAGTAATTTGTGACAATTATGTTTTACATTTTTTTTTTATTTCTATCACTTCCAAATGGACCAATATTACTAATCTCTTTATTGTTACAGGCAATGTAATGCCTGTGGGTGCTATGCCTGAAGGTACCATTGTTTGCAACTTAGAAGAAAAAATGGGTGACAGAGGTCGGCTTGCTCGTGCTTCTGGAAACTTTGCTACAGTGATTGGCCACAACCCTGATGCTAAACGTACCAGAGTTAAGCTCCCATCTGGTGCCAAGAAAGTATTGCCATCCAGCAACAGAGGCATGGTTGGTGAGTATATTTATATTTTGGAAAGAAGAATGTTCAAAACTGTTTCACTACTTAAATTGTAACTATGTGATTGATGTAATAATTTAAGATTGTAGTTCACAAAAAAACTGACTTCAGTTATGGCAAAACCATTTATTTAAATAGTAAACTTAATTTAAAAACTAAACTACTGAATGAATTTTGATAAAATTTCTATGGGACCAGTCTGTAAATATAATATAATAAAAAATAATTTTTGATATTGGTTTAGACAGAGTTTTGAGGTAATAAATATAAATAAAATAAAACCAAATTGACAATCTACCTTTTTTTAAGTATGTTGAAAAGCACATTCTTGTTAGTATTACAAAATTTGAAACTTTCTTTGTCCACATTTAGTTATTATAATAAAAAATTATAGATGGCCCAAACTTTAAAAAATGGCCATTCTTCTCTATTATTGCTTTATATTCTTATCAAGACTATTTGGATAAATACATTTTATTGAAATTTGTAATAAATATATGATGACTTTCACTTACCTACTCTGAATATTTATGATTACACAGAGGCTCTTTCTGATTGTTTAATTCACAATTAAAAAAAAAAACATATACTTTAAAGTAAATATATTAACTTTACTAAAATTTAATTTCAGGTATTGTTGCTGGCGGTGGACGTATTGACAAACCTATATTAAAGGCAGGTCGTGCCTATCATAAGTACAAGGTGAAACGCAACTGCTGGCCATATGTACGAGGTGTTACCATGAACCCTGTAGAGCATCCTCACGGTGGTGGTAATCATCAACATATTGGTGAGTATATTTAACAACCTTTTTTTTATTTCTTAAGATAGTTTCCATTTGTCCATTTTATAGTCCTTTTGATTCTCTGTCAACACTCGACAATTTTATGCCAGCTATTAGTTTTTGATTTTTTTGGAATCCCTCTTAATTCATTTTATAATGTATTGAATTAACTATTAGTTTAAAAATTGATTGTAATATTCCACATAGCATTCAGTCTGTACCCTACTACCTCCACCGCGTGACCCGTATAAAAAGTAATATAAAATAAATAAATATAAAGTAACAATATATCCTTTATATTATATTAAATTTCATGACGATTAGTAGAGTCCTTAAAGCAGCAAGAAATAACATACTCAGTTACACATTTTTAATAAGAAGGCAAGGCTACTTTTATTCTTTGTTTTTTTTTATATTCTGATTTGTAAAGTACATTTAATTTTCAGGTAAGGCTTCAACCGTAAAGAGAGGAACATCAGCTGGTCGCAAGGTTGGTCTTATCGCTGCACGCAGAACTGGAAGAATTCGTGGTGGCAAGACCGACACGAAGAAGGAGGCATAAATATATTTTTATTGCGAAATAAAAAGCATAAAAAATCAATATTTTTGACTGTTTTTATAATAAATCACCCTTAAGAAAATTACTCTACTCTATCAGTACAGGAATGTTACTTTTAGAAATCTAGAAAAATTATATATCGTAAAGCTGACGGTATCACCATCGGTTGTTTTTCGTCTTCGCCCGATGAAAAAACAAATAATTTCCTTCTAATAAAGAGTATTGATGTCTGTGATTTCCATCGAACAAAAGATACATTTTGTCTATATTAGTTTTTAATATTAAAAAATGCGACAATGAAGGTTTGTAATCTAGTAGTAACGTTTTGTATACATACATGAATAAGTTACACATACAGGAATATTTTCTCCGAGAACAAAATATCGTCTACGCAGCCCTAATAAATTAAGCTTCATGCGACGTTCCAAAGTAGTTTACCAATTGTATAGAACGCATACTTTTCAGTTAGTTATATGAACTGTAATAGAAAAGTTATTAATTCAAACTTCGAAACATTGATTAAAATATACTTTCATTCATATAAAACATCATTACTTAGTAAACTGAAACCATAGAGATTCTGTGATTACACTTTAGTTTGAAAGATTGCTATGAACATTTTTCAAGGAGCTGTCAGGGTTTATATTTATCTTATCCATTTTAGGTTTATGTTCATCCATTTAAACTATTTTTCAGACGCAAACGATTTATAAGAACTAGGTCAACTGATATTTATCAATATACTAGTTGGTACCCGCGCTTCTGCCCGTAAAAATAGCCTACATATATGTTGACGTTGAACATTATCTATTAAAGAACAAATTTCATTGAGATCTGTTCATTCCTTTTAGTTATTTAAGTAACATATATAAATATCGTAATACAGATAAGGTACAGTTACTAGCCTAAATACGTACCCTAGTACAAAGTATGCCTCTCACACCTCAATCTTCAGCAATGATAATAAGGGGGTATGCGCGACACAGTATACTCTGTTATCTTCATGCTACTGTTCATGTCTATAGGCGACGGTTACCACTTTGCATCAGCTTGTTTGTCATTCTAAGATGCATAAAAAATATCTTTACAAACTTAATTTTATAACAGGTAAGTACTATATGTACCACGCAACGTTTGTTGACCTTGTAAATTGCCAAAGAAGGATCATAAATGTGTTAATTTGGAATAATTTGTTTATAATATTTATATAGTACATACTAAATATTAAAAAACCTATTTAGCTATTAAAGAGTATCAAACAACACTCAATGCAATAAATTCATTTAATTTAATTTCCAAACATCTTTATAAATTTATATGAATAATAATTATATTAAACAATAGTAAATATTACTACTTGAATAAAATAGAAGTATTAAGTAAAAGCTAGCAGTAGATACCTATAAAAATAATTAGATACAAGAATTTTCGGATTTTCTTAAAACGCCTAAAAACGGTGACTCCGTTTAGTGAGCGAACGGTGACTCGGTCTAGAGTAAAATCAAATCTAACCGTGTTTCTACCGTGAATCAGTTTTTTTTTTAATGGATGATAATGGTATGGTAACCCCGCCTGCGCTAATGGGATACGCTGCCGGAGCACCAGTGAAGGGTGATCGATGAGAATGAAAACATGCCTGTTAGCCCATCATAATGAATTAATCAGGAATTAACCATGATAATTTCCAAGGGGAACCGCGAGGAGGTCGACCTGATTGGGTATATTGATAGCAATGGGATTTTTAGTCTCCATTACTAACAATCCCTTTCCCCCACCGTGAATCAGTTGTGCCTGAGAAGCTGTTTTTCGGTTTGAAACGTGGAATATGGCAATAAAATTAAGTAGCACGGAAGTATAAAACCATAGTTTTCAGGAATGGCAAAGTATAAAGGGTATTATAGACGTAACAGTAATATTTTGTAATGTCCATGGCGTTGTTTATGTCTATAAGTGACAGTAATATTTTGTAATGTCCATGGCGTTGTTTATGTCTATAAGTGACGGTTATCACTTTCCATTTGATGGACCGTCACAGCTTGTTTTATACAACTGAATTGAGAAAAAGGCTCTTCCTTTTAGAAGTAGTTTATGAAAAAAGAAACTATATTCAGGATGCTGTTGACTATTGATTTGTCCTGTTTGTTTTTTTTTTCTACTCTAGGTACCTTAATATATAAACATGCAAAGAAAATTATTTATTCACTTATTTAAATAGAGATTTTGTCCAAATGGAAAAGGGGTTGTACTTACCTAATTAAAATATTGGTACAAACATTGTACAATACTTACTCTATGTGTACACAATTAGCTCGGTTTTTTTTAAATAAAGTACTTTACGTAATGTCGTTTTGATTTATACAACCTTGGATGAATTACTGTAGGTATCTAACATCTTTATATACGACAACATTTTTACCGTATGGTTTCTTTTGTATAGTGAAGTATAGTGTTTTTTAGCCCGGTAAGTATTGAGATGCAGGTCAAAATCCTGTCATATCTTTGTTTCAGTTGTTGAGAGATAAAATTTTTCTATTTGTAAGTACAGGTACGATATCTAGATACAGTTTTGTTATCCCAATATTTCAGTTTTTCCACTGCAGCTAAAATAACTGAAATAGTTTAACTATGTATACAGTATGTCCACCTATCGAGAGTGGAACGTTTTCTTTTCGGTTGATTGTATTTATGGGCCACGTTATTTCTGTGTTCGCTCAGAATGGTATGGTCATATGTAGTGATTTAATAAAAAGTAATTAAAAGTTATTGGAGGTAATTAGAGGGTAAACACCTAGTTACCCTCCTACTACCCTATAATTATTAGTATAATTTCGTTATTCATATATTTTAGTCCTTTGGTTCCGACCAATAAAACTAAATCAGTAGGATACTGAAACAAACCAACTACACAATGTATGTTAAGTTTTACTTAAAAATTCTGTAAAAATCTGTGTAGAAGTACAGTAGTGTACTTATAATTATTAATAACATAAATTTAGATCCATTCTAGATAATAATGGATAATAAAAATATTCAGACGCAACAGAGTATGTAGACCAAGTATTGAGATTGGCGATGGCGTCCCCGAGACGACGTCGCAAGTTCGCGACCCGGCGCGGCGCCGGCAATGAAGCTCCATACCAATCAGTATGACGGCGACCGGCGTCCGTAGTGTTAGTCGTCATTTGAGTTCTTATTTCGCTTTTCTGTATCAAACCTGTGATATTATATTTTTATTCATTAGTTAGTCTTATTTTTTATTAAATAACTTTAGTGCTTTCTAGTATGTGAAATATAAAAACGTTTAAAATTTGATGCTTGTTTGTGATTACAGTAATTACATCAAATGTTTGTATTTTAATAGCTACTTACCAGGCCACACTGTGATATTCTTGGGAATGTAAAATCATGCGGTGCTATTTTTTATTATGCAATCAGACAATTGACTGAATGAGATACGTTTTATATAATAATAATAATTAAGTTGACAATAAATCATTTGTACTATTTGAACCAAATAACACTATAATTATTTATGTGACGAGATAAAAAGTGCTTTTGTGTGCATGTAGTCAGACTTTCCTGTTATCGTGTTTACATAGTGATCATAATATTGGATTTAATCAATTGACAAACAATGGATTCTAAGGTGGTTTTAAAGGAAAAAAATCCCCACGACAAAGCCAACATCATTTCAAAAATCTTTTTAATGTAAGTATATGCTAAAGTCTATCTGTTATAAATAATATTCTGTGAAAAAGTGGTCCAGTGGTGTGGTGGCAATGATAGTATTCATAAGTTGTGTTTACTTCAAGCTTTATTTTCGTAACATTTATTACAGTATTGATTATTTGGATCGACTATATCATCAGAAGTTATATGAACGTCATAAAGTAGTTAACTTATAGAATATGAAAAACAAACCCATGAAGTTCTAAAATACATTATTACCTACGAAACTTTCTCCAGGACATTCATGGAATGTTTGGTTTACTTTATTTTCAATAGAAATCATCATTGCTTCGTTTTTATTCTGTCTTATATAAATTTCTCTGTTTACTGTTTTTATGTAGGTAGGTACCCATATCATCTTTAATGTAGTCTATAAAAATATATTCTTTGGTCTACTTCTTTAAAACCATATCTCAATAGGATATATAATCGATTATAATACCATGGTTAATGCGTATCTCAATAGGTTATATGGATAGCAAAAATAGTTCTTTAAATTTTGAAGTGCTGTCTCCTATACGAGGTCTGTCCGGAAAGTTCGTATAAAAGTGTTCTGGAATGCGAGAAAGAGGAGTGGGGAGGCCAGGTAAGCGCAGGACCCCTTCCTTATGTCCCTAACAATGCTTCAGTTCTGGTCTGACCGCCGTGCGGTGCGAACTGGCTTGTCACGCCATCTGTGAAGTTACCTCTTAACGAAACCCCGTCGGCATGGAGCCCGCTTCCGTTGAAGAGCAGCGCGTCGTAATCAAGTTTCTCTCGAAACTCGGCAAGAATGGCCGTGAAATTTTTGCCGATCTCAGAACAGTTTATGGGGATGATGCTGTGAAGGAACCAACCGTCCACAAGTGGCTAAAAAGATTCAGAGAGGGCCGAGACAATGTTGATTGTTTTTTTCGATGTTCGGGGGATTGTCCATCAAGAATTCGTCCCTCCAGGCCAGACAGTTGATGGAAAATTCTACGTCGATGTGCTCAGACGCCTCAAAGCTCGTGTGGCACGAGTTCGTCCAGAATTGGCGCGAGAGGGGCGTTGGATTCTTCACCACGACAATGCCCCTGCCCACACCTCTCTTGTTGTCCGTGAGTTTTTGAGTAAAAATTCCATTACGGTGACCGAACACCCCCCTATTCGCCGGATTTGGCCCCGTGTGACTTCTTCTTGTTCCCAAAAACCAAATTGGTACTTCGGGGGCGGCATTTGGGGGACATAAATGAGATAAAAAAAGCTACGACGGGGCAGCTGAGAAACCTACAACCAGAGGACTTTCAAGGAGCCTTCTCACAGTGGAAACGGCGTTGGCACAAGTGCATTATGTCACAGGGGGAGTACTTTGAAGGGGATAAAATTGATTTACCTGAATAATTGTAAAATAAAATTTTTAAAAAACTTTTATACGTACTTTCCGGACAAACCTCGTACAAATGGTAATCGTAGTGTAATCCCAGATTATTTAAAAGTATCATTAGAGTATAAAGCACCTTCTTTCAACTATTTGGGTAAGTAAAAGTAAATTTGAACCTATTTTTTTACCATTGCTCAATAATGTTTTTCTTGTCCATAATTCAGACAATTTTATAGAATTGACCACGTTTTAGCGTCTGAGGATGAATACCCAATCGATGGCGAAAAATAATGGTGGTTGTTGTTATCATTTTAAACAATTCTTCAGAACAAAATCCGTTATACAAGCGGTAGAAATAAACGGAGGCAAAGTCTCGCCTTAGGCTTAAGGACTCGATACTGCTTCTGAGCTTGGGATCGCCGACAGTTCCCATAGAGGCGAATCATTTTCGAGCCGATTCAATGTTATTTTTAATATGAAAAAGCCTGCAACAAGTACGTATGCAGCCACAACTATGACCGACTTAAAAAATAAATTATTCTCAATTTTAGTCATATTTATGTAATACCGACCGTCCTTCATGGCCTATTCTATCAAAATATCTAAGGTTTGTCGAAGCATGTCTTATCTAAATAAGAAACTGGCAGTGCTTTTGTTTCAACAGTTATTCGAAGTCTATTATAGTTCCGGTGATTTTTTAGGTCAACGCTCAAAAGATGTAAATAATATTGGTGATATTTCAAAGGGACGTAGCAGATCTGATATTGTAAGGATATATCACAGTATTAGTATACGCCAGGATCAAACACTTGTCTTTGGTCATTTACCAGAGGGAGACTTTGTACAAAAGTCGATTGCTTGGGTACCTCAGTCCCATTCGTGTTTCTACCGTGAAGCAGTTGTGTTTGCATGGCTGTGTTTCGGTTTGAAGAGTGGGATATGGCGTGAATTTACAGGGTACAGAGGAATAACACCTGAGTCCTCAGGAATGGCAACGCATGGGGGGTATCATGGGCGAAACAGTATACTCTGTTATGTCTATGGCACTGCTCATGTCTATAGGCGACGGTTACCACTTTCCATCAGGTGGGCCGTCAGCTTGTTAGCAATTCTAAGTTGCATAAAAAAAAAAAATAAAAAAAAAATTGAAGACTTCATTCGATTTCTAGGGTGGTCAAAAACCAACCGACAGTCCCTTTTTTCACGACAATTTTTTCTGTACTTGTTTCAATTACGCGTTACCTACTTGTAGTAGTAATATTGGAACCCTTATTTGCATGTTTTGAATTTTATTTACCTTCTATAATAAACCTGCTTCAATGAGTTATTTTATTAATAAAAGGTCTCAAGTTATATTCAATATATGCTCAACTGATTTTAATAAAACAATAAATGGCGGCACGTTATCGCAATGTGTAGTTTCTTTAGAAAAACCTTTACTATATGCACTCTACATATTATCAAATACTTCCGTCATTATAAATTAATTATATTTGCTAATCGGTAAAATTTTATTTATATTATTTTTGAAATCGATAGGTTTTACCCTTTGTGACAATTAAAGATTTCTGTGGGGACCACAATTTTAAATTGCCGACCTTTAGACCTACTAGATATTTAGTTGCATGCAGGAAAGAGAGAGAGAGAGTTCTGTTGACTAATTTTAATATAAACTCAATAATCATTTAGTCCCGAGGATGAAGCTGTATCCAATGCATTCATATTACTTGTGCATTTCGTTCACAATTGCTCTTTGTTCATGATTAGTTTAAATTGGTCTTATTACTGCAATCTAAATACTTAATTACAGTTAGGCTTATATGACCAACTGTATGATAGGCGCAATACACAACTCCAGTATCATAAATTAACGCATTAATTCATTGATGTACGTCTGACACTGAATTTTGCATGAGTTAAAGGACATGCAGACGTGACTAAAAATGAGAGCTGATTCCGCGTATAAAGTCTCCACCATTTCCCATTCAACACTGGAATACTCTATGCCTCATTCTCCATCTCTTTTGTGCATCATGGCGTATTGCAAGCCACATACGAAAGCTGGTCCCAAGGTCGACACTCAACCTCTCTTTTTCCAAAATTATCGTGTACAACCAAGTTCAGACAGGTAACGAAAGCTCCATTTCCACCTTACACAAATACTATCGGGATTTTTGTAGCCAAGCCGACCAATATTTCCATCGGTTCGAAATGTCCTTAACTGGCACTTGCCTATGTGACCACATTACAACGCAAACTTTTGCACATCTTCTGAAATACTGTTCTAGTTTTGAGCTGAAGAGTCTGAATTACGTACTACTGTGAAACAAGATCCCTGTGGAAGTGTCTTCGTTTAACATTCTGGAATTACTTAATAAGATTTTCCCAGATTAGGCAGCAGTAAAAAATCATAAAAAAATATATATATTATCAATCTCTGTTTTTTAAATTAATTTATTTGAATTATAAGTTACATAAATTAAATAAAGAAAAAGTATCTATCATTGTCTAAATAATAATCGATATTCCGCCAAAATCGATAAATAACATTTCAAAATTTATACACGGAATTATAGCTATTATATTTTTTATTTCACTCCACGTAGGACAGCAGCATATACTTACCTTAATATAATTTCGCTCATATTCGTCATTAGAAAGTGGGGTTAAATATCGAATAACGGTCACCCCTTCCTTACTTTCTTAAGATAACCGCGTATTCACTGTACATTAAAGTTATTTTACTCACCCATGGCGAACCGAACGATTATTTAAAAAATAAAATTGATTAAATCGAACTGAGCTAGGTATTTTACCAATTGAACCAATCAAGCTAATGTATACGATAGGAGGGAAAGCGATTGCTAGCAGTATTGAGTATATTGCTAGCAATCAAGTCGACCTCCACGCGGCCCCCCTGGGAATCATCATGGCTAATTATTATAGTAGTCGTTAAGATGGGATAACTGACCTGCTTTCATTCTCGCCCATTTTATTAATTTTAGTAATTTAGTATGGCAAAAAGTTAATGGCCCACCTGATGGACAATTGTAACCGTCACCTATAGACATGAACAATACCATAGACATAACAGAGTATGCTGTGACGCCCAAGATACCCTTCATGCATTCTTGAGGACGAATATTCTATTTAAAAAATGTATATACATACGATAAGATAAGCAGTGATTAATTGTTATTTTACTTAGTTATAGTGTTTACCATTTTATATTAATATAATAAATATATACAGAAGTAATATATAAGAGCACAATATCTTTTTTTTTTAAATACTTAGGTGGAATAAAAAGTAGATTGATATTGTCGAAATCGAAATTTTTTTACCTCTGGCATGGCAACGCACTTGTATTGGTTCTCTGTCTGTAGTAACAAAGATTTTACTTTCAATATCTCTCAACTATTATAATCTTTAGCATTAACTTGAAAACAAAACAAATATATATTGTAAATTTATGCAACTTTAATTTTCAACAGACTTCAAAAAGGTCTTCCTTTTTTTTCAATTCGATTTTATTTTTTATGTTTATTATCTCATAACTCCGTCAGTTCTAAACAAATTTTGAAAATTCTTGTATTATCTGAAAGTTTATACTTACAGATCAGTACCATAGAAATGTTATCAAAATCGTTTCAGAAATTTAGTTTTCTTCAATCAAAATAACAGATTTTGTTACAATTGAAGTCGATTTTTTATGTTTGTGTATACCCTATACTATAAATATTTAAATTTAGCGCTATCAAACATAACTGCTTTAATCGTCACAAAAATATGGGAAAAACAACGACCGACCATTGATTTGTAAAAAGAATTGTGAAAATAGATTCAGAAGATTCATGAAGATTCAGAAGGTAGAAGAATTCTGTAGAAAATCGCTTAGAAATTAAAACTGTCCTTACAAAAAATAGTAAATAAAAATATTACGTTACGTATTGTTTCAGATGGAGTTTTAATTTATTTCGAAGAGGATATAAACATGGTCTCACCGTGGGGGACCTGTGGCAAGCGCGAGATGGTGATCTGTCTGGCCGAGTGTCCGATCGCCTGGAGGAGGCTTGGCAACAAGAACTTTCTAAAGCCAAAGTTGAGAAGAACTACAAGCCGTCATTATCCAGAGCTATCATACGCGTTTTTTGGCTAGAATATATGATTTGTGGATTTTTTACAGGGATCCTTTTTATTATACTCTGGTTAGAAATTAAAGAATCTATTCCATTTTTATTGGCATCAATATATTTTGAAATTTTAATATGTTAATTATAATTATTAATGGCAATATGTATTTTTCAGGCCTCTTATTCCATATACCTTGGGTTTATTTATTGACTATTTTTCGAAACCAAGGACGGCAGAAAATTACAGAAATGCTCATATTTATAATTTTTTTATGAATTTCCTGAGTGTATCGACATCTCTGCTATTGAATCACCTACAGCTTGCCCAGAGTTGCATAGGTATGAGAGTAAGGATAGCTAGTTGTTCGCTGTTATATCGAAAGGTGAGTTAATATTAGAAGATTTGTCAGAAATGCCAATCTGTTAATATTTTAATAGTTGAAATCTAAGGCGCCATTTCTTTAAACTTATCTCTTAATCTAATACACTCAAGAACAATGAATGCGGGTCACCTAAAAAAATCTATAATCTTGGAAACTAAGAATGCTAGCTTAATAAAATACACGGTGTTTAATAAACATTATAATACCCCTTAAATGAAAGTAATAAAATTAATAAGTCACTACATTTTATTTATTAAAAATTACATAAAGAAAAAAAAAACTGCTCATCTCGTCTTAAAACAAACATAGAAAACATTTTTGTACAACAATATGATTTTCTTGAATTTTAATACTTTGTATTGCCTCCTCGTGCTTTCATTACTGCATTTAAGCGGGTTTGGTATACTATATACCAAGTTTTTTATACGATTTTGGCAAATATTCTCAAATTTCTCTGTGAGAGCAATTTTGAGCTCACGAAGCGTGATTGGGGGAAGGTTTCGTGATTTTACACATCTTCCTAGCTCGTCCCATGCATGCTCGATCAGGTTGACATCTGAGCTGCGTACTGGCCACTCCATACGAGTAATGTTCATCTCTTGTAGGTTGTGAATTTTTGATTTTGAATTCATTCACAAATTCACAATTAAATCTGTATGAGTTGTTTTCTATGAACACCTGTGCGGCTCTCAAATGAAATTCCAGCCCACACAAGTACAGACCCACCACCGTAGGCTACTTTTTCTTCTATGCATGCTTACTTGAATATTTCACCTGGTATTCTATACACTCTGTGTCTTCCATCGTGCTTGTAGAGCATAAATTTTGATTCGTCGGAGAACATAATTTTCGACCAATCTTCAATAGTCAATTTAAATGGTTCTGGGCATATCTTAGTCTTAAAATACAATCACCACGCTCTAGTTTAGGGTCATTTGCAGGTCTAAGTGGTTTTAAGTTAGCTTCAGCAAGTCGTCTTACTGTCCATGCGCTTGGGTTACTTCCTCCGAGGCTTCAAAACTGATTTGTAAGTTCAGTTCCTGTGAGAAAGCGATTGGTGTTCACCAAGTTCACCTTCTCGTGTTGTGGTACACCTAGTTTTGCCTGTTCCTGGTCTACGTAGATTAGAGCTAGTTTCCTCGTAATGCCAGCGAACTCTTTGTACTGTTGACAGCGACACACCGGCAGTCCTAGCTGTATCGCGCTGACTCCGGCCGGTTTCCAGCATTGTGAGAATTCTGATGCATTCTTCAGTTATAAGCAACAGGATTACAGGTTGAATAATAAATATTGAACACTATCAATATGGTTTACATAGCCACTTAAATGACAGATTAGAAACAAAAGCAAAATCGAATGCAGTAATTTCGTAGATGCATCTTCGAAAGTCTCCCTTTTTCAAATAAGATTTTTTTATGACATAATCTTGCAGTAACTAAGAAATTTTAATACCTTAATTTAAGGAGTATTTAATTGTCTACTAAATACTAAAATGTCTACTACTAAAATTCATTGCTCTCGAGTGTATTTTAATTTAGTAGTTTCGAAAAAATATTGTACTATGTATTATAAATTATAAATACGAGTATAATAATTTGTAATATTTTTTAAAAATCTATTAGAAATTTATTCGTTTCCTGATTTCGTTGTGATATCAAATTGTAAGTAAAATTAGAGATCGGTTTAGAGAAGCGGTGCCTCAGAATCGATCCCAATGATAGAAAATATAAGTCGATATTATGAAACGGTACTTACGTTCTTGTGGACAATTTTTACATTACGGTAGGTACGGTATTTGAGCTAGTTTTATCAGATTTCTAGTAAATACACGCCAAAATGAAAATTTATTGCATTTCAATTATAAGTAAAAAGTCATTATTCTAAATTAAAATTTTCTTAATAGACACGTGTTCATATTGTTCGCTTAGATTGTATATTTATACTTTATTGCACATAAAATTTACATTGTTATAATTTATATAAAATAAAAATGTACAACAGGCGAGCTTAACTACATATGTAAGAGTTCTCTTCCAGCAAACCTTGAATGGAAAGGAGTATTAATTACCAGCGGGTAGCGTGCTTACAATAAGATATATTATTCATAAATAATTTATCCAAGTTAAATTGTCGACAACTCAAAATATAAATTTAATGTTATTTAAAACTTGTAACTGCTTTAATAATATTATTGAAGTAAGTAAACGGGTTTTAGATGTGATAAAGTGAATCAGAAGAATGTACTATTTTCAAATTATGTGATTTAAAATTCTCGCTTTCGGCTTGTGTATCAAACGTCACACTCGATAGCACTCGGTCACTTTTACCTTGCTTTTACCCTTCGATGAACAATATACGTATTCTGTTTATATTATTACCAATTGACGGAGTAAATGTTAGCGATAAATTTTTGCAATGAATGTGTTTTAATTTAAAGAAAACTATGTAAATTACAAATGACCATGAAATAATGACTAAAATACAGACAGATTGGATAATAGATGTTAAAAGAAGTTTGTTTGAATCGAAGCATTCATTCTTTCCGCTGATTTATATGTATGCATGTAACAAATGTGAAATATATTTCTTTGTTTTATGAAATTCGGCATACGTATATTACTCGGTATGCAAAAAGATGTAGGTTATCTTTTATAGCGGCCACATGGATGCGCAGTTAGTCAGTAATAGAAATAAATCAAATTAGATCTTAACGGTATATTGTGAAAAATTAACGGACTGACTGATTACATGCAAACAATCTGAGTCATTTCTCCATACCAATATGCACGCCTGCTACTACTCTGTCTTAATCTTTTAAGTAGAAAACTAGAAACAGATCATAATGCTCATAGAACACTAAGTACTTACTACCTATAATCAAAATTAACATATTGATGTAAATATATGCATCCTAAATGTTGCCAATTTGTTTATCTTATCAACACCATGTCATGTATGTGCGGGACACTCATGTATGATAATTATATTAATTTATTAGTTTTTACCTACTTGTAAGTATGGGAAAATCAGTTAAATTTCTGATAATTACTATATTATCTCATGTCTATGATATTTATTGTGTAGATCAAGTATATATTTATATACGTTGGTTTTTGGATTTAGTATTTTCTGCAGATTTTATAGAATACCCTAGGTATCTGCATGATGTCACAGAAAAAAACTTTTTTCAAATAGTAGTTGGTACCTTTTACCACAAATCTTTTTTATTAACTCTTACCTGCGGTTTTTCTGTGCATCCAGGATATGATTCTTGGTTTAAATTAAATTTCAATTATTTATATATAATAATTAATTAATTATTTATAATTGTTTAAGTACGCTTGACCGATTAGATATTTGGTCAAAAATCGAAAGAAAAAGGTTGTCTGATTTTTTTATATGTTGGCCCCATATTAAATCTAACGATTGAAGTCGCAATTCTTCTTTTTAAAGCAATATCTGCCTGCAGGCACACGATTTCTCGTTCTAAATTAAAATTATCTTAACCTTTCGTCGTTCATCGACGTGTGTTTTCACGATTGAAGATGCTTTCTTGCGAAGCTTGTAATGAAAAATAAATAAAGTTCTGGATAATCTAAACCTATCTGGATATAGCATGCTCTCGAATATTCTCTACATTTTAGTATTAGATTTTAACATAGTAATTTCTATTTGCAATTGCAATTTTTAAGCTTTTTCATACTATTTTTAGATATTGAAACTCAATCGGGCTGGAATGAGTAAAACTGAGCCAGGCCATGTTATAAATTTAATGTCCAACGATGTGAATCGGTTTGACATGGTATCAATGTTCCTGAATTACCTGTGGGTGATGCCTATTGTAGCGCCCGTCGTCGCGTACCTGGTGTGGCAGCACGTCGCTTGGGCCACGCTTGCAGCGCTTGCTGTTATATTACTCCAAACAGTACTCGTTCAAGGTATGTTATTGTCAATTATGAACCTAATAATAATTCATCAGATTCGTTACGGCGGAAGGTAATCGCAGCAAGAAGGGAGTTATTAGCCATTTCAATGTCACAAGCATACTTATCGTTTCCACAATGTAATGCTACGAAATATCGCAAGAATGACATAACTATATTGAGTAAGTCCTTATATAAAGATTTATTTAAATTATTGCACTAAATAAAACACACTATAAAGGATATTTGTTCACTGTAAGAGTGCCGGCGTATTTATTTTAAAAATTGATACCTAAATATCTCTATTTAGTCCAATACCTAAAACCTTTTACGTTTTATTTCGCTGTTATTGTATTACTAGAAAGTAAGAGAATAAAAATAAAATAAAAATGTGTGTACCTACACACTTAAAAGATTATACAAAATTTGTTTTAGTTGAGTTTTCTACCTAAAAGTATAGTTAATAAAAATATATTATTGTAAATCAAATGTTTATAATTTGGTATGATTGTAAAACGGCAAAAAGAAGCTCTCAAGTTGCCAGTTATACTCGTGTTATCTACATTTAGATAGGTGTGTGGCAAAAATAGATTGTAAGCATATTTATTTATCTTAAAAGCGATGAGAATTGCTAGGAACTAGATACTGGGTATGTTATACCTATATTTGTTTACTTAAATTTAGCTAATTTTATAGAAAGCATTGAAAAATATAGATAGGTACCTGTTTTATGTAGATAGGTACATATCGATCTACCTCTTACAGGTACCAGCGATGTAGCTGGGTTGCAAAGGACAGACTGATTACCTAATCTGGATAAACACAAAGTCAGACTTAAATATCTAGTCAGTGGCGTATTCGATATTTCTTCTTGTTGTACTTACACACCTATTTAAATTATTATTTATATATTTATTAATTAGGTACGTAATTGGTTTTTAGCTTACTTGAGTAATCTTCAGGGAGTGTTACGTGGAAAAATAGCAAAACGTACAGATGAAAGGGTAAAAGTGATGAGCGAGTTAGTAAATGGAGTGCAAGTAATCAAAATGTACGCTTGGGAAATGCCTTTCCAAAAGCTAGTCGACAAACTGCGTAAGTAAGTACTCATTTCTAATATTTTTGTGATAGCGTAAGATAATATAAATCTAATTGAAAATGGCTTTTCTACCTCATAATGAATAATCAATTTAGAGATTAATTATGACAGGTAGCGTAGCGTATAAAATTAATACAAATCAAATATTTTAAGATTTTTGTTTCACAAAAAAAAAAAACCAGCAGCTTCGATCATAACAAAATAAAGAGAGACCAACACGAGAGTAAATCCCATTGTTTGGAAAATAAATCATCTACATTTGTTCAAATGGCAAATGTATGGTATAACATATACTTTAAAAGAACAAGAAAAATAATCAACAAGAACAATAAAATGGATAGATGGATGTTTATTTATTACTCTTACAAATGGGATCAGACTCTTATTGTGCCTAACCTCAAAGCATAAAGCCCAGACATCTCAAACAAGAAAGTTTAGAAGCGGCAAATATAGCTGGGTCTTGTTGCCAGAATTAAATCACTCGAAAGCCCTGATTAAGGGACTTTCAAAAAATTACACAAAGAAATTAATTCTTTTGAGAAATAGTAATATGTGTGTATTAACAAGGGCTCTCACTGGACACTGCAAACTAAACAAGCATATGGCTCATCTAGGCTTATGCCCAAAAAATTTTTGCAAATTTTGTCACAATGAGAAAGAAACACCGCAACATTTAATGGGTGGCTGTACATAAACGATATATCTCCTTTGGAAAATACACTCTATAACTTGAGGAGATAAAAAACGTCGCTACAAAAAACATTTTAAAATTCCTATCATTGACAGGAATTAGCAGCGAACTTTAAAAAGGGCGAGCACAAAAGATGATAGAAAGGTCGCCGTGTCACAGATGTTTCTGCTTGAAACAACCCGTTTTTCAGCAATAATAAATACTCTTTTATGCAAAAATTACTGAACGGGCTTAGTACACGGGTAGGTTATATGCTAAGTTAGCACATAGGATACTTATCTTACTGAAACTCACGGAGAAGCCGCGGAATACAGCAAGTATAGTTCTATACTTACTCATACCTAATATATTTTACAAACCATCTTTGTCGAGATTGTCTTGTATCCATTGCCAATACTCAGACCGTTTATAAAAACAATTGAGTGAGAAATAGGCTGAAGTCCAAGGTTTATACACATAGGTTAATAAACCGGGTTTAAAATAGCTATGCATAAGACAAATACATTTTATATATATAAGCACTTCTTTGCCACTCGGATTGGCAAACAAATTTTTCGACCAACTCAGACAATTTAAAGTGAAAATTTTTATTTATGCAAAGATATAAACAATACTTCAATATCACAGTATTAGAGGTAGGTCTAGATTATTTATGGCGCTCCTTATAGTGTTGTTTATGGCACTCCTCATTCGATGTCACTTCTGAGAATTAAATTCTTATGCACTACTACTTTATATCATAAATAGATAAAACGATGGCATTCTAAATATCTTAGCAAATAAAATCAATATGTTCACGACTATAATTCCTAATGGGGTAGTCGACTGTTGTCGTTATGGTAAATAAAACCGTATCCATTAAGTACGTATTTCGCCAAACATATTAGGATCTAACGTGACAGGAGTCTACCACTGTCGGGTTTATTTGATTTGTTATTGGTATTTTCCATTACCAGGAAAATTAGTTCAACATTTAATTTTATACATAAAGTTTTTTGGTGTTAGTTAGGTTTGAATTTACACGCGTATACCACTGAGTGACAATGCTCTAAAACATCTTAAAATTAATTATAACTAGTTTAATTTCTAATTTAATTAAATAAATATTCAAAGAACCTACATTATAAGTACTTTGGATGATAATAATAATGTCACACAATCACACCAATCGCTTGGTCTTCAACATAGGATATGAGGAACGAGGCAACGAATATTTGGAGCACAACTCAGAGCAACCAGATTCGAGCCAATTAAAAAAAAAATTGTGTATCAAATTGGCCCGATCGAGAATCAAACCGGAGACCTCATTTATAAAAAGCAATATGCACACCACCATGCTAACTTAGTAAATTAAATTAATTTCTAAATCATTCACTATTGGCATGTTTAGGCTCGAGGTAAATTTCATCATGCGCACATCGATGATCAAGGGATTCTCAACTGCACTGACTGTATTCACGGAACGGTTTATTCTATATGCGACCGTGGTGACCTTCGTGCTCATTGGTGGACACATACACTCCGGCATTACCTTCTCTTTGGTGCAGTACTTCAACTTACTGCAGCTCGCATGTAACATCTTCTTCCCGTTGGCCCTGGCCTTCCTTGCAGAAACTAAAGTATCCATACGACGAATTGAGGTATTTCTATATATATTTACTAGATACATATATGTTTACTATACAGAATGAATGAAATCGAAGTCATTATTAGTAGATTTTTACTTAACGCTAAAACTAACAATCTGTCCCGATACTATAGAACATATCGGGACAAAAAATATCGTGAATCAAAAATTCAAAAAATGTAGCCAGCCTCCTGGGTATGCTATTAGTCGGTGGTGACATTATGGGAATTTTAAAAAAATATTCTTTATCAGGTTTAACATATATTTTAATATTATAATAATAAAATATTTTGAGCATCTAATATTACTTGTATGGCCACGCGGTGGTTAACTTAACCACCGCGTGGTCATAGAATGGACCGCTCCTCCCTTTCCCCTGGATATCGTAAGAGTAAGGGAATTTAATAATCGAGGGATAAACAGCTCCTGCTCTCTGCAGCTGCGCCCTTTTTAAACGTTACTAAAGGCCTAACTACGGTTGCCAACCCGCCTGGCAAGAGTGACGACTATTGTCAAAACCCTCCTTAGAGAACGTTCAAGCCATAGCATGAATTTCTTCAATAATAAGGCGCATTCACCTGATAATTTAGTATGGGATAAATCGATCCATGTTCCTATGGGAAAAATATTACACTAGGTATAAAAAGGATGCTGAATAATAATTTATATATTTTTTTTAAATTATAAGGCGAACATTTGTACTTCACCTAATAGATCAATATCTGTAAAAAACAATGTTCTCGCAAATAAATAAATCTAATCTAATCTAATCTAAAGATTTCGATTTCACTCTGTATACAAAATTAGTCGTAATAGGTATACCAAGCCGAATTCCGGGGGTAGTGTTAATAAAACTGAAAAATTTTCAGAACATCAAATGAAATCTTAAAATAATTTTATCGTTTTAATAAATCGACACATCAATCCGAGATTAAAAATTATTCCGAGGTTTGCAATTTTTTCCATAGAGTGTTTCGTGAAATCTATCGTTGGGTTTCGGCTGTATACCCATTACGATTAACCTGTCACGACACTTACAATTCTCTACCTATCTACTCTTATTACGTTGACCAACTAGTTTAGTATATATATTTTTATTTCGTTTTTTTTTTTCTTCTATTATATGCGACGTTAAAAATATTTCTCTATATCTATGATTTCAATTAAGTAAAATTAAAAAAATGTCGATTACAATATTTTCGTTAAAAACTTCTTAAAGTCTCTTTCGAGTTTATGCATTTATTTATATTTATTTTAAAAACAAATAAAATGTGAAATCTGTTTCGGCTTAGTACGTGTACTTATCAGAATTATAGTTACAACAGTCGAGTCATGATGAGTTCTAATTATCTATTAGTGTTGACTTTACACAACTCATGTTATTCATTAGGTTTGTCTGACGCGATGAGAACTGACATAAATAATTAAAATACTCAGTAGTTTTCGGATCAGGAAAGTCAAAAATAGATGGCCTTGGCCTGCAGCTCAAATGTGGATATAAATTACTAGTACAATCTAAATGTATTTTGTATGTCAATATTCGATTGTAAAAATTTCATTTGAGTGCTAAATTTCTATTTATTTGTACATGATAGATATATAGATAATTATTATATCGAAAAATTTGTAGTCAAAAACGGCATTTTACATGAAATTTTCTAGACACTTTTTGTCTTGATGATATTGATAGCGAACCCATATTCACGCTCAGTTATAGTACACTACAGTATTAGTACTTGTGTCGTCTATCTATATTTACCTATGTTTGTGGCTTATAATTTCCATATAATATAATTTCCATTTTGATAACAATATAATTCCATAGACAAATACACATGCACATATTCATCAAATGCTTTCTCATGAATACGCCTACGTATTTACTTATATACCTAATTATGTATATATGGATAATAAATGTCGTGTGTAAATTAATTATTGTGAAATTCTAAATTGTTATCATATCTTTGACAGGAATTCTTATTCTTAGACGAAATCGATACTCCAAAAGCAATAGAAGCTAACAGTGAAGTAAAAAATTTAGAAGTTACTAGCAATGGGACAGAGAAAGATAAAAAGTTAGAGAAGGAGAACCAGAAGGATAGGACTAGTCTTTCTGGCCTAATACTGTCTGGAGTAACGGCGAGTTGGCAAGATGACACGATTGTAAGCACGTTGAGAAACATTACAATGTCAGCAGCACCTGGTGAATTTGTTGGTGTCGCGGGACTTGTGGGATCCGGCAAGGTGAGTTTAATAATAATAGAAGTAACTCTTGTCGTCACAGGGCGTTACCTTCATACGAGTTGTAACTACTTGAATTATAGACATCTACTACTTAGTGAATATATATAATAGAATCCTATTATAGAAGAGTTCTACTAGAAAAAAAATATAGTTTTCCCTAAGAGGCATGTCAATTTAATAGAAACTCTGATTCATTGTTGGATGCAATGTGTTAGTAGAGGAAACAGGGAATGTTTTAAGTTTATTTTTATAGGTATTTTTTTATGGGTGAAAATGGTATGGTAACCCCGCCTGCGCTAACGGGATACGCTGGCGGAGCACCAGTGAAGGGTGATAGATGAGAATGAAAACAGGCCAGTAAGCCCATCATGATGAATTCATCAGGAATTAACCATGATAGTTTCCAGGGGGACCGCGAGGAGGTCGACCTGGTTGGGTATATTGCTAGCAATGGAAATCTCAATCTCCATTACTAACAATCCCTTTTCCCCCTTTTTTATAGGTATTATGTGTATTATATATAACATGCTTACAAAACCTGAATACTCAATAGAAACAAATGAAACGTTCATGAAGTTATAAATGATCATAAAGAAGGATTGTATTAATATACCATCCATCCATCTTAATAGATGACTATCATAAAAAGCGTAAGCTTTTAGATACCTGTTACATATAGATGTCTAGGTTATTACGTAGAGTCTATGCTCAACTAAAAATAGACATAACTAGTACACTTTTCACTTCACTATAGACATAAACCTGTAAGTATCACAGTTTTACCACACTAGTATGTGGTTTTACAATGCCTCATAGCAGGTAGTCGTTAAATAGCTAGATGTACTTACTAGTAAAGTTACGAGTAAACGTTGTCAAAGGTCTAATTACATTAAAAGACTTCGTGGAAAGTTCAAAATAGATAGCTAAGTAATTGATGTTTTAATTCAATTATAACCTTAAGAGGATTAAAAGTTAACGTTTTCACGACATAAATATGTATAGATAAACATTTAATAATAGTATGTTTTGATAGAACTTTACACGTTTTTTTCTCAGAATCTAATATCAGGTTATGACTAACTTTTAACAGAATTCAGTAAGTATCCACAACTATATAACTATATATACTTAGTACCTATCTTGATGTATTTACATAATACAGTGTGGAAACTTCCATGCTTGCTTTTCGATTTATGGTGGAAAAACCAATAAAGGTAGGTTTCCTATTTATGATTGAGGAGCTATTAGGTGTTTTTCCAATAACCATTGAAAATAAAAAAAAATAATTAAAAAGTATACATTTGTATTGATTCAATTTAGTTTTACTATATTTGTAAGACACGACAGGATTGACTTTGCCTGTTTATATTTTCCTGTTATTTTAAAAATACATAATACTGAATGAAAAAAAAAATCATTACATTAGCATCGTTTTAAGAGTTTACTAGTAAAACCAACCAATTTAAAAAATGGATTGAAAAACAACAAAAACTTTTGAGTCTCTCATTCTTACTTGAATAAATTTATTTACGTATTATTATTTATAGTTAGTGGAATATGGAAGGCTCAAAATTTGTCATTGCTTTTTAATTCATGTTTCTTTGAAATAAACATTCAATTTCGCGGATAGAATAATTCCTTAAAATAATGCTAATTATTTCATTATTGCTCTATGTTTCCCCAGTCGTCACTACTACAACTGATCCTGGGCGAGTTAGTACCCTCGAAGGGTACTCTGTCGATCGGCGGTGCGCGAATTTCATATGCAAGCCAGGAACCCTGGCTATTCGTTGCTACTGTGCGCCAGAATATACTTTTTGGTCTACCATACGATTCAGCCAGGTACAAGAAGGTAAGATACTATGGAAAGTTAGGTATGTACCTAAATGAAGTGTAATTGGAAAAATCTTTTTGAAGATTATAGTTTTCTAGAAGGTTTATTTTACTTTGAAATAAAGTATTCTTCAAAATTGAGGATTAGCCATTTAATGTACCTAATTATCTGGTAATTATTATAATTAAAGTATAGATTTCATCAGACAATCAAAGACACAATCAAGAGTTTAGGAAAATTTAGTTTTGTTTTGTATATTTTTGTTAGTTTTTCGATTTTCTGGTACTACTATAATTAATAATTACTGAAGTCACTTGTTTTGCACTTATCATATTAATTATGATAAGTGCAAAACAATTGAAAAATCGACTATTAGCGTATCTGTTTTGACATGTTTGTTATTTTTAATACTTCAGATTTCAAATTAATGATATTTGTTTTATATGCGAGAATAGGTAGTGACTGCGTGCGCGCTCCTACGAGACTTTGAACAACTCCCTTCTGGTGACGGAACGCTGGTAGGTGAGCGCGGTGCCAGCCTCAGTGGTGGTCAGCGGGCTCGCATTGGACTCGCTAGAGCCTGCTACCGGCAGGTATCGTAACATGCTTCAATTGAATTAACATGATAAGTAGTTATTCTGTTCTACTACCCCATGCTACTACTTTTTATAAATGCGGACTTTTGACGATATTTGAATAGATGGATGTTTGTAACACTTTCACGAAAAACTACTGAATGGATTTGAAAGAAAATTGGCACATACATATCCTGTTAATCCTGAGAACATCGTATATTTTATGTACAGGTTCACGCAAACTAAGCCACTAAATAAAGCCAATACATAATTGTAGTTAGTGGCATTTGTCGACTGTTGCCATTTCTTAAAACGTAATAGTTTTTTCGACTTTACATTTGACTCGATTAATAATGCTCACGTTTTGTTTAGCAAATTTGAATCCAGAATAAATTTTCCAGGGGTTGAATCTAGTGCCATTGTTGTTTCCTTATAATTTAATAACGATGTTTTCCACGACATAGAGTATTTTCGTAATCTACAAAAGCAAGCTGTTCAATTCCATGAAATTATCACTGAATTTCGACTGACCCTGTAGATATGAATTCGTTTATGAGAAAATGAGATAACAATTTATTCACGTGCAAGAATCTCAGTATGAAGTGCTTCATGCGTTATCGTTACATAATTGTAATCTAATACTGAATATAATATTACTCAGCATTTTATAAAAAATACATTATGCACAAGCGTTTAGGTTTCCATATATATTTATCTTATCTTAAGAACCACTAGCAATAGCGAATAGATATAAGAGCGTTTCATCCTAGTATTGCTGATAGGCTATATACCTACTTACCTACTTATGATAGCCACTGACAAAGTTTTTTCATACACTTGATAACACAGTTTTATAAATAATATTATAAGCCAGACCCCTCTGAACATGGGATTAGTAAATCTATTTATAAGTTAAATATCAATGCTTAGCGTCTTATTCCTTCACATGCATACAGTAGTGTAAAAAGTATTTACGAGTACAACACATGTTTAACTAACCTTGTAAGAAACTGACAGCCACTTCATGTGACTCTTAGTGTATTAGTTTATCCATAATGTAGAGTATATATAAAACTATAAACAATTTTAATTCAATAGTAAAACAGTTCATGTAAAACTCGACCAATGAGATTGGACTCAAAAACTAGAATGACTTTCTATAAAGAACATTATTTAAAACTTATGTAATTTTTGAACAGTGAATCAAATCAAATCATGAGATCGATTTAATTTAAAAGGTTCATATTTTTTCCAGCTTTCTATTATCCTAATCGGGGTGAGTTGTTGAATTTCACGAAAACTATCACTTGGCTTCGTACTTTTTATAATTAACCCTGTGTACAGGGTATTTTTACAGTTTAAAGTCAGAATAAAATCGAATTCATTGCCATTATTTTTAAGGAGTGTCCTGTTGTATGTTTCCTTGTGAAAATTGTGATCTACTTCTTATAGAATGTACATTATATATATTCCATGTCACTAAATAAATAAAAATGTAGGTAGCGAATAATATTTGCCTAAGTATTATTTATATATTATAAAGATTGCGTACATATTTGTATACTTATATGTAAATAGATATTATATTGTGTAATATTTATCTACAGTTTTGCAAATATTACTTTTTATTATTAATATATTATATATATATATATATATATATATATATATATATATATATATATATATATATATATATATAGGTATATTTAATATTGAGTCTTTTTAACAGGCTTTTAGGGATCGTAATTATTTTTTTCAGCTGACAGGAACTGATAAATAAATTAAAATTTAATTTTAATTCATTCATTTAGAATGAATACAAAATAAATGTACATAACATTAACTTTACAAATCGTATTATATTTACTTAAAAAAATAAAATAAATATCTAAACAGAATAATATAAGAAATCTTATAATTGTACAAATATTACGTAAAATTCTTATATATATATATATATATAAAAACAACGTGCTAAACAAACGTGCAGCACCACGTTTCTATTACCTGTATTTAATAATGCAAAAGCTTGAAGTCGATCCTTAGTAGCCATTTCTCTAAACTTACCTCTTAACCCAATATTTTAATTCCATAATTTTACAAAATTACTGTTTCATTAAGTATCATAAATTAAAATATCATATATTTAAATTGTTAGAAAATTAGTTCATATTGATCTTTACAATAAAGATTTCTCTGTAATATTAAATTGAAATTATAAAGTAATTAATCTGTGATAAAGCACTACCTAACTATTCTTCTCTAGAGTTTAATATATGTTTAAGATAAGGTTTTAGTTTTTGTGGAGAGCCGTTTCGCCACGGTAACAATATTTGTTAACGGGTAAAATGTTATGTGAAAATATTAGTATCGATTTTGAAATGCCATTCTCTAAACCTAACTCTAAAGTTTATCTTTTGATTGGATAGTTTTGCGAAAGTACTATTTTAGGGATAACTAGTTTTTTGCCCGTTATTTCGTACTTGTAGATTTCAGAAGTAGGAAAACTAATATAGATAGAATAAATCACTTCTAAACGGCATATCAAGATAAAACATATACCAGTCTTTAAGTTAGACATTCAGGAACTGTCCTAGCTTAGGTTTGATCAGGTCAGGTCAATGACTTACGCATTGAAAAGCAGGCGTTGTTGACTATCGTAATCCTTCTAATATTATAAATGTGAAGACTATTGGATATTTTGATATTGAGATCTATGTTCTTTAATTTTGAATACGGATTTAAAAAAATATATATATAGACGTACATTATATTCTAACTTAATACACAGAATACTTTATAATATACTGATTTACGTAGGCAAAGTCACGGGGAACAGCTAGTATTAGATATGAATTATAATAATTTGCAGGCAGATATCTACCTTCTGGATGATCCGTTATCGGCAGTTGACACGCACGTGGGCAAACATCTGATATCTGAATGCGTAACGGGTTTTTTAAGGCACTCGACACGCATTCTGGTTACCCACCAACTGCACCACCTCAAAACAGCTGACAAAGTTGTAATACTACATAATGTAAGTTGGAACAACATATTAAATAATTATTTCACTGTTATTGTAATCCTTTACGCTGTAATAATATAATACGAATACTAGCGCACCTTCCGTGCGTATATTTATGAGTATTTATATTTATTTATGTTTCTATATAAATGTATTTGCAAAAAAACACACAGTACAAGCTCTTCTTAGTTTGGAAATAGATGACGTTATGTAATATGTATAACTGCGTTTATTATTATCATACAGTTATAAATACATAAGACTTCATTTGAATTTTTAATTAACCAATTGTGCTAATTGTTTATTTAACAATTGGAGTTTTTAGCTGTAGTCATGTATACTCGTACATCTTCATACATATCTTCATACATACAACATATCTTAATTATTACAAGTATTTGATGTTCTTGTTAAACAATTGCCCCAGATGTTCATTAGCATAGTTTGAAGAATCCAATTACATTGTTTTAAAAGTAGGTTCTGTAACACTTATTTGTGTTTATTGGATATAGCTATTGGTATTTAATAATATCCACTATTACTATCGTTATCAGGGTGAAATAGAAACTCAAGGAAGCTTCGAGGAGGTGTCACGATCACCGTTGTTCGCGGAACTATTACAGGAAGAAGAGCATCCTGAGGATACAACGGCCCAGAAGATACAAAGGCAGCGGACCATGTCTATCAACGTTAGTATATTAGCAGAGATATACGCACTAACAACCGTCTACCACGTTTTAACTATTAATTAATTCTGTGACTAACTTAAAGAACTGGTATCCAATAGGATTTGCTCAGAATTTGAATTACTAATTAAAATTATATCATTTTTTTTTTTATAGTTCAGAGTTGGATTATTGTTATCATGTGGTATTCACAAAAATTATTATTGTTTAAAATAGCTTGGTTATTTATAATTCATTCTAATTATATAGTTTCTATATAAAATGCAATATATAGCGATAACTGATTATATTAATATATTTTTTAGTCTCACATGAGTACGAGCACTATTCACGATCCACAAGTGCAGGAGGAAGATATCGCGCAGGAAGACGAGGAGATGATGGAGAAAGGTAAAATTTTATTTTATTTGAACTAGTTATTACGTTTATCTACTTATCAACTAAAATAAACATAAGTGATTTTATAGTATGAATTATCAAACAATAATGATAAATGAACTGTTTACATTTTTAGATTACATTTTCATCAAAGCAGACACTGAAATTTCTAAAAATAATAATTTAACTCATGCTTAAAGTAAAATATTGTGTAACCTTCTCATAAAAATTCTTTAAATCTTGTGGGCAGAAATTTGAAATAATTTCTATAAACATAGCAATAGAATTTAAATATGTAATTTTTTTTATATTGTAACATCCTTATTGCAGATGAATGTTAGGATATTGTAGGCTCAACAATAGGGTATGATCAGTGCATACCGTGAATATAGAAACGTTAGGGTTATATTCAAACTATAAAAGTAAACTTATTAATTCTGAATTAGTTATTGATATACAATTATGTATCAATTCATGTTAAGTTTGTAGAAAGTAGCTGGATGAATTAACATTCAAGTTCATTCTACACATTTAATTGATTTTGATTAATATTCATGAGATATTTATATAATTCAACCAGTATTATTTATTTTATGTATTTATATTATTTTAATATAGTTAAGTGCGTATTTTTGAATACATACACGTTTCGACGTGGATTGCAGTCTTGCCGTGACCACGACGTGGTACAATCCACATCGAAACTTCGGCAATAAAAAAGCAGGTACTCGTATGTAGGTACTATTTAACTAGTTCCGATTGTATATTTAAAAATATGGCTACCTAAATAATGCGAAAGTTTAAAATTAACTATTTAAGAGCAGTTAGATATAATTGTACATTCGTACTCCTAATAATACATACTGATTTTCTATTTAGGTCGTGTATCAGCGTCTGTGTACACTAAATACTTCCGTGCCGGCGCCAGCTGGTGTCTGTTGTTCCTCACATTAATCGCTATAATACTTGCGCAAGTCGTCACTTCAGCTGGTGATCTTTGGCTTACACACTGGTAAATACATACTAAGATTAAAGAACATTTTTCTCAAGGAATAAACCGAAATTTGATCTTCTCTTACGCGCATCTGTTGTCGTTTTTCAACTTACATTGCTTTAAACTAACATATTAGCGAGTTCTTATTACTAATTATACCTTTCCTCTCCCTTCTAATGGAGAGTAGAGCAGTACTGCTGCGGATGGACATTTATGTAACTCACGCCTGTATTGTACATGCTCTTTATTTGTATAGCGTGTATGTGTATTTTTTTTTTAATCGGGCTTTAGATTTTAATAGCTGTTAATTATTTTATGTGCCTACATATTACAAGTATTATATTTCCATCCATTCTTTAGTAACTAACTCCTTTCATAATAATACGAATCAAAGTGGGGTTCCCTGCCATCTGCTCGGTTTCATGTCTATAGTAGATAACTTTATCTCGTTTTATCATTGCCAAACGTCGATAAGCTTGCCTGCATTAAAATTGGGTTACATTTGTCATAAATTCATGTTTGCAATGTACTTATATTTAGTTTCTTGAATTCATTAACCCTGAAATTTATTTTTATTATCTCTGCCACATTGCCTAACAACTATATGACTTTTACAGGATGAATGATATAGAAATAATGCACTCGCCTAAACCAAGAAACGATGTTCTAAATAATACTACAAATGATACAAATAATATTACCAATTTGACGTTAAGTACCACGGACTCCACACCAGTAGATGCTATCTCTACTGATGTATATACTCAGTTAACAAATGTTACTAATCCCCGTAACGAAAGTGTCTCGAATTTCTCTCAAGACGCTGATAATTACGACTTTTATATTTATATTTGGACCCTCGGAATAATTGGCTGTATAATACTCACTACGGGCAGGTAAGTGACTTGAACTTAATTTGTAAAATAGAGCAGGCCTTTTACACAAGCGGCAAATGAAAAGTATCAATAGATGTTAACGAGAGGATGGTTATCACATTTAAATAGGTGTAACATTAGTCGTTAACCATTTATCCATGTATCGATAAAAGTTCATAAATGACCCACTACAGGATACGGGTTCCTCCCCTTGAATAGAGAGAGTATACTAGTTTACTGCTGTATCAAATTTATTTATATTATTCTAGTTTATTCTTAACACTAGGTATTCTGTTACTGCCTAGTCGACTTTTTATAAAGCTATTTGAGTTTTATAGAGTATTTAGAGTTTTTTTTCTATTGGTACCACTTACCACAAGCAGTGGACGAAAAAATTGGTAGCATTCTTATTTTTTTTTATTAAAATCACAGCATCGGAGTATAAAACGTACCGTGGTACCACATTTTGTTACTGGACGCTAAAAAATCCGGTTACCTATTACTACATAGTAGATAGTAGACCTAATATGAAGTTATTACTTTTATTGTGCTGCTATCATACTTTTTACCTAATACTGACATTAATCACTACTTTTAGTATCTATCAGAAATTATATACATAACACTAGTAGGTAGGTACTATAGATATGATATGGTTTTCCGAGAAAAAAATAATTTATTAATTTCAGGTCAATATTATTCTTGTGGGTGTGTATGCGTAGTTCAATAAAACTACATAATCAAATGTTCGGCAATATTATGGCAGCGACCATGCGCTTCTTCGATACCAATCCTTCAGGTCGCATCCTCAACCGGTTCTCAAAGGATATGGGGATCATGGACGAGATCTTACCTCGGATGTATTTAGACAGTATTCAAGTATGACAATGTTATTTATGTACTTATTTAATTCTAATTTTTAATTAATTATTTTATAATGATAGTGGCAGATCATCAAATCAAATAAACTTTTTTAATTTTAAACTAGTGATAATAATAGGACAAAACACAGTTGATAATATTAGGTACTAATTACATTAGAGAGAAAAAGGAAGAAAGGATGTTTGGCGCAGTTATTTCTTCTTTGACACAAGCTATTCCTCACGCACTAAAAAACTGCGGTCTTTCAGCAAAATTTAGGAACAACAGAAAAATATTATATTATAAAAATATAATATTATTAAATAAATAAATATTCAATTAATCAAGGGTTGACGTCAGGCAGGCGGCCGGTCGTAAAACTAAGCCAAATCTTTTTGTAATATGGATAAAAATATTACGCCGACCCCAAATAATAATTGGGATAGGGTAGGAAGATGATGATGATGATTCAATTACTAAGTATCTGCCAGCGATGTACCTACTTAACAACAAAACATTTAGTTTAAACACTACGGAACTAGGTGTTAACATTATTTATAAACGGCATGTGTAGCCGTACAGGTGAAATGATACATCAAACTTATCACTCACTGCATAGCCGCACAAAGTATCTGGTTCAATCAACAATGCAAACATCATGGTGTGATTCCAAATTATATATTTATTTATACCAATTCATTTCAATGCGTGCTAGTATTGTATTAAAGAAAGTACAGTTAATCTGGCTTTATGAAGAGTCACGTCGATGGTTTGCAAATAGAGATAATTTTACATTCCATTTGAAAATCCTATATTCTTTCCGCAAGATAACAATTTAATCTAAGCATTTAACGTTAGTATTTTTTTTTTCACAGGTATTCATGGTAATGTTAGGTATTATAGTGATGGTGGCTATAGTGAATCCATACATGTTGTTAACGACGTTAGTCTGTGCCATTCTTATGTATATATGGACTTCCATCTATCTCAACACTGCGCAAGCTATTAAAAGGTATTGTTATTTGTAGTTTCCTAAATTTTAGAAGCTTAGATAGTTAATTAGATTAGAAAATCATAAAGGTAAATTCGATTATAATAATCAACAGGGTAGAAGGCGTTTCTCGTAGCCCTGTGTTCTCCCACGTGTCGGCGAGCATGTCCGGTCTGACAACAGTCCGTGCGTGCGGCGCTCAGGAGATGCTGCGGCGACAGTTCGACGACAAGCAGGACGTGCACACAGCCGCCTGGTGAGTGGTTGTAGTTTTTTCACGACACATGTCGGCGAGCATGGCTTGACGATAATACGGGATTAAGGTACTCAGGAGATGCTGTGGCGGCACTTTGACGACAAGCAGGACGTGCACACAGCCGCCTGGTGAGTGGTTGTAGTTTTTTCACGACACATGTCGGCGAGCATGGTTTGACGATAATACGGGATTAAGGTACTCAGGAGATGCTGTGGCGGCACTTTGACGATAAGCAGGACGTGCACACAGCCGCCTGGTGAGTGGTTGTAGTTCTTTCACAACACATGTCGGCGAGCATGGCTTGACGATAATACGGGATTAAGGTACTCAGGAGATGCTGTGGCGGCACTTCGACGACAAGCAGGACGTGCATATAGTCACCTAGCGCAGTTGTAGTTCTCTCATGACATATATCGATATAAAGTCATTTGTTACAAAATAATTATAGATATTTTGAATGTTGCGTATGATATGCGAGTAGGTAGGAATTATATCTGTATACATATATGTGGAAGTGGCATGCTTGACTAAGTGTTAACAATCATTCATTATAATTTTGTTTCCAGGTATTTGACCCTCGTTACAAATACAGCTTTTGCAATCTGGCTGAGTTTAATATCAGCATTCTACGTTATAGTTGCTTCGTATACATTCTTATTTTTGGATAACGGTGAGTTTATATATAGGTAATTTACGTAAGTTTAGACATATAAACATGTTAAATAACAATCAGACCGTATCAGGCAATCTAGATAAGTGGCAAGCAAATTCGTCGATAGAATGGACATCGCTAGCGAGTCCGTGAGATAGAATGAGATAACAACGTTGGATGTCTCATTCTAACTCATGGACTCGCAAGCGATGTCGATTCCATCCACGAATTCGTTTGCCACTTGTCTAGAGGGCTAGGCCTACTTATATGTAAATATCGAATGATTTATTATAGGATCTCTCCTTTAGTGAATTATTTTTCTCTCTATATTATAGTAATATATTCATAACTAAATGATAACCATAAACAAATACGAATTAATATGGAGTAAAAATACAATGTATCACCCCTACCTTTCACTCTCAGGATGTCGTCTAGGTGTCTTTACCTAGATTTTTGCCGCAATATATTTTAAACAGCTTCACGGATTCTAATAAATAAAAATAGGATGTCATTCAAATTGCCTTAATTCTGCATGATGATCAAACTAAGGCTAAAACAAAAAATTTAACAGTCGGTTTATTTGTTCACACCATCCACCTTTGTATATACAGGTTCTACGAAGTCAGGCAATGTGGGCTTAGCTCTCAGTCAAGGCCTGATTCTCGTAAACATGGTGCAGTATGGTATCAAGCAAGCGACGGAAGTAATATCACAAATGACGAGTGTGGAACGCGTGGTGCAATTCACGTCGCTGCCGCAGGAGCGGACCGCCGGGCCCATGCCGCCCGCTGGCTGGCCGCAACGCGCCAGACTCGTCTTCAAGGATCTTTACCTTCGCTACGATAAGGACTCTGATCCAGTACTCAAAAACTTGAACATAGTTATCGAAAGCGGTTGGAAGGTAATATAATTGTGCTAAGCATTCTAAGATACCTTAGATATAGTTCGGTGGTGAAGATTAAAATAAATGATTTAACTTTTAGTTATTTAAATATATTATTATTGCATTAATATCTATTTAATTGAGACAAGAACTGTTGAAATCAGTCAAGTAACAGAACAGTTCAACTTAATATATATCAAGTATTGTATCTACGTTTAGAGTGCGAAGTAAATATTCTGTGGTAGAACCATAAGAATAGAGCGTTACTTCAAGTTTTTAAAAATGACACATAATTGTATTTGTATGGATGTCACGATATTTGTTTCAACATGTATTGAGTGGAAACGGGGGGAGGGGGACTGAAGAAAAAAAAGACTGTCGCCAATTAGTCTACAGATATTTTTTTATAATCACTTACTAGGTAAATACTTTACTTGTAAGTCTATACATAAGGAGGACGATGAATTGTACAGGTAGGCGTAGTGGGTCGCACGGGTGCCGGCAAGTCGTCCTTGATATCGGCTCTGTTCCGTCTCGCGCCCATCGACGGACACGTCTATATCGATAACATCGACACCGGGGACATCGCACTTAAGGTATTATAATTCCTATTTTGTAATTTTATTAAATATAACTTTGTACATTAATATTTTGTTAGTCACGCTATTCTTTATTTACAGGAGCTTAGATCTAAAATTTCAATCATCCCCCAAGAGCCTGTGTTATTTTCGGCTTCTCTCCGCTACAATTTGGACCCATTCGATAAATATACAGACGCTGAGATATGGACGGCATTAGAACAGGTATTTTTTCTAATAGAAGCTAAACATTTTTGTTAAACATTATTTTTTTATGCCAGAAAGAATGGTAAAGATGAAGTCAGGTCAATTAGTCTGTCGTGGCGAAACAAGGAAAAGGGACCGCGGGTGACCGTCCTGACAGGGTATATTGATAGCACTGAGGTGTTAATCTCTATTACTAACTATGATACATGTGACGTGTTTTTTTGACAATGAAATAGTAACCCCGCCTACTATCAACCACTATCGGTATACGCTGGTGGGGCAGCAGTGAGTGATGATAGGTGAGGATGAAAGCAGGTAAGTTGGCCCATCGTGACGAATTCCACTGGAATTAACCACGATAGTTTCCAGGGGGAACCGCGTGGAGATCGACTTGATAGGGTGTATTGCTAGTAACGGGAAAATTAAACTCCATTACTTACAATCCCTTCCCCTCATATATGTAACGTGTTGCATGGACAGGTGGAGCTGAAGAAAAGTGTGACGTCCCTGACGTCAACGGTAGAGTCAGGCGGTGCGAACTTCAGCGCGGGCCAGCGACAGCTGCTGTGCCTGGCGCGCGCCGCGCTCGCGCGCAACAAGCTGCTCGTGCTCGACGAGGCCACCGCCAACGTTGACCCCAAGTAGGTGGACTACAACTTATAAAAACAAATAATTATACTAATTTTAAACTACTTTTGAAATGCCCTTTCACAATAAACTTTCTTGTTCATATTCATGATTCGTATGTTTAATTCTAACTACAATATTTAAGTAATATAGTGATGTGGTGGCACATTGTATTTTTTTTTCTGTCATCATATAAGATTAAATTAAAGAGGTTTTCCCAAGAGACTACAACATGGGGTTCTTTAAAAAAGGGATAAAGAGGTTTCTTCAGGATCGGTAACGCGCACGTAATACCCCTGGTATTGCAGGCGTTCATAGGCTACGGTAACTTACAATCAGATGGGCCGTATGCTTCTTTGACATTTCAATGGAATAAAAAAAAGTGTGGGAACTTATAACAATTCTGTGGGGACATATTTATGACAATTATTACTTTTAATAAATAATGGGGTTATATAATCACATTTTAATTGAATGGCATGGTGGTCATTAATACAATTAATACAACATAATGATGAATAAATGTATTCTAAGAAATGTATAGTATAATAACAGACACGTATTTTAAGAGTATTCTTGTTCTTATGTGTCTGTCTATATTTTTTTTAGCACTGACGCATTAATACAAAAATCCATACGGAAACATTTCGCCGATTGCACTGTGGTAACTGTCGCACATCGGCTCCATACTGTAGCAGATTCTGACAGGGTCGTTGTAAGTATTTAGGCAATGTAATAGTTACAAATATATATCTACTTATAAATTAATTTGATCTTGTTAGTGGTAATTATTCATCAGTAAATATATTATTCGTCTAATACGTGTATATACTTAGTAATGTAAAGTTTTAATTCTGTTCAGTGTAACTGGAAGGAATGGACTGGAAAATTATAGGATAATGGGGCATTTTATTCAGCTCCCTAAAATAGGGTTAAATGCAATGTTTGACTTATCCGTCATACTCATGAATGAATCCTACTTATACAGATTGTTTTGCTCTAGTTTACTAAGACAGTTTTAAATATATATTTGTAAATATAAGTCTAATTTTGTAATGTACAGATACACAAAATCTGAAAATTTTAAATCCACCTTTTGGTAGAAAAGAGCAACTATCAAGTTTTTGATCCATTCTAATTTCCATTATATTTTTTTTTCAATTGAATTGAAGCCCAAATGTAAATACCTCCTACTGTTTAGGTAATGGAGGCCGGTCAGATAGTAGAATGCGGGCACCCACACGAATTGCTGCAAAACCCAGATGGTCACTTCAGCAGCATGGTGAAACAGCTAGGAACCGCCTCGGAACAGAACCTACGCGAATTGGCGAGCACCGCGTACGCTCAACACATCAAATACGTCGATGCTGATGAACAAGTAATCGTCAAAAACAAAAATGCCTAATCATTAATTTTCTATTTATAGTATTCTGATCGCTGACATCTAGATAGAGTGTCTCTAGAGATTTTGTGAAAAGTGATTAATTTTTTTTAATTAATAGTACATTTAAATATAATATAAAATTGTGTTAATATTAATGATGACTTATACAAATCGTCATTTTATTTATTTGTATTCATTATATTATCAATATTATACTTTCAGATTTTTATACAGTATAAAAAAAGGTGTCGGTCAACAAGTCGGCTGATTATGTTTTGGGATGTTTCTTGACACTCGACACTCCACCTAGATGTATATGATCTAAATCAATTTTAATAATTTTATCGAAATTTATGAGATTATTAAAAAAATATGCACAGCTACTTACATAACCAGTGTTAAAATAATATAGATACTTAATTTATCAGTCCAATATGTCACAAATATTAAATTTAAAGTCTATACTATGTACTTAGAACTAACAGTTACATTTTTACTTAATGTTGTACAATCGAGACTAGTACTTATTACTACTGTACCTATACTACAGATATGTATGATGTACTTACATATTTAAAAAACAAAATAAGCAAATGTTTCTATCGACTTTATTATAGGTTACCTTTATAAAATTTACGTATTTACTGCCGTGTTGGTCTTATATAAATGTTTTTTATTTATTTTTTTGCGGAAAAAAAATTAAATTAAGTACTTATATAACTTTATAATATTAATGTGGCCTTTTTAATGTGATAATTAAATATAATAAACCAACAAAAAAAAAAGATTTACGTTGACCTATACAGGTCATTTTATATTTTATATAAGTACTTACTTGCTTTATATACCAGACTATGAAGTAACACTATTACTTAAATGTGCCTATTGTGGTAACTGGAAACAACAAAGTGACTTAGTTATATAATTTAATAGACTAAAATGAAGCCAAAGTACTTTTTCTAGTGCCTAAATATTTTTGTAGTTTATGGTCTGCCCAGACGACAATTAATCTTTGGCGTACATTTTTATTCATCACAATAGAATACAGAAAAATATGCTATATACTGTGCACGGTCGTTTTAATAAAGGTTTTTTCTACGAACTAAATGCCTACTTTACGAAGATCGAATTACGAGAAAAGCGTCAGAAAATATCGATAGAATGTTTGCAGGGTAAAGGTGTTATAACTATCTAATTAATATAAAAATTCCTCCTGCAAACCATCGTGGCTAATTCATGTTCTATTCGTCACTGGGTTAACTGACCTGCTTTTACTATACCTTTCATCTCACTGGTTTCCTGTCAGCGTATGTCAATAACGCAGGCGGAGTTACCATTCCATCTTCACTTACAATTTTGGCAGAATAGATATAGTTAGCGGTGCAGGTTGCGGTATGGGTAAGGTGTAAGGATCTATTTTAAATGGGTTTATTCATACTGAAAATGCAGTGGTAATTATTGGTTTATATTAACGACGTATCAGTGAGGCGTGATAGCTAACAGATCTCTAATAGTAAAGTTATAGACAGTGGTAACAGGTTCAATTTGTTTCTTTAACCATTGCAAACCAAAATGAATTTTAATTGCCATAAACTGTCCATGTCACAAATTATTAACAATTAATACTGTACTTATTTTTCTTAGAATTATATTATTATTATCATAAAAAATAATACATTGATTCCTGAAATACTTATGAAATTACTATATCTACCTTATAGAGCATCGGATTTTTATAGAACTATAAGTAAACAGTTTTGCCTAATGCATTATTGTGTTTCGGTTTAAAGGAAAGAAAGAAGAGTAAACTACTCAATATACGTTGTTATTATGATATCTATGGTTTCATTTTATCGATGGACAATGGTTACCAAATATTGATTATATTAAAAGTTCAAGACCTGCGCAGATGATGGACATTTTATATAATTTGCACAACACGTGTTTAGTTTGTTTGCAGCATGCTTCTTCAGAGTTTTGTTTAAAATAGGACTAAAATTTACCCTGTAGACGATCTGTCGTCATACTTGAAAACATAGAAACACAAGGCAAACATGAATATAAATTTTGTCCATAGACAAAATGTCTCTCGTCTGCGCAGGTTATCAAGCTAAGGTATTTTAGAATCCCAGTACTTTGTATAAAATAAACTAAGTAACTCAATTTACCACAATTTATCTTAAGTGTTAAATAGTTGAATGTAAACTTCTGTGTTGTTGAATGGTTATATACAAATTATGTTTATTAATTAAAAATAAATTAAAATGAAATGTACATAGGATTAATATTAAAATTAATCCTATGTACATGTTGTGTCAAGTTGCACTAATTTAAACTCGTTATTTGTTAGGTTATAAGAATTAAGTGCCTAGATAAAATTGATTCATCGTATTTACCTATTGTACTTATTAATTTACAGATATAATAATTTTAGTTAAATAATTTAAATATCTATTATTATTTATGTTACTAATGTTACTGTTATTTCTGTACTGTTATAATTTACTTAAAAATTGAAAAACAGTGATCGAAATAGCTATATAACAAAAATAGTTAATGTAAAATATTGATGAACCAACTAAATTACTCTGGATATAATATGGAGCTATATATGTAAATCTTTAGTAATAATCCTAAAATATTCATTGTTCCTGATATTGCATTAGGTAAATTTGCAGGCATTCGAAATTACTCTCAAACATATTTTTTGGAATATTTTTATAGAATATAAAATGTATTTGTCTATTGTATGTAATAAAACCTAATTATGTAAAAAAGGGATTGGATAATCTTCTAGTTTTGTAAAGAAAGTTTATGCAGCGGTTCTACCGCATTATGCAAATACATAGATATATGTGTGATAGATAAAATTATTTAGCATTTATTTGTTTCCTCGAATTTATCAATGTAGGTAACATTGAACAACCAAAAATAGCAAGAAATTTACTCTTTTTTTATTTAAAAAAATGTTTAAACTCCAATTTATTGAAATAGGTTTTTAGACTTGATATCATACAAAGCAAATGCAGGAGTTTTTTTATTCATATTAGTTTTTAATATTCTTATTTATTAAAATGAAGAAATTATGAATATACGTATATTATAATATTATAATATGGTAAGTAACTTTATTTAATAAAAGATAAAAATAGATGCTTATCATTTTCTAGAATAAATTTTGATACTCATTAATGTGAAATAAATATAGACATGTGATTCTAAAAAAAATTCTGAACATAGTGGGTGTGAATTATATAATAAACCTCGCTACAAGTTTTAAATTTATAGTTATAATACCTACAAAATAACTGTTCAGCATTTTCTTATATGCATTCCATGTTTAGAATGGTCTAAGACCGTAATAATTGTTGCCTTACCTGATAGAATTGTTGAATGTATTCATTATTCGTGTTTTCTATATATTAAATATATGTATTTTTTATTATCGTTCTTTTATTTCATTATATTTCATATTCAACCACTTTGAAAGTCAATAATTTTTTTAAATCTTTTTACAGCTGGTTTGTAAAATTGATAGGTACTTAGCAGTTTTGGCGTCTTACATATAGACACTATAGATTAGTTTTATACAAAAAAGCATACGGCCCGTTCGATGGCTGCGTCTTTGTTCAGTTCGAGAAGACTGGTTTCCCGAATAATTTAACCTTTACAAGAGTACTAATTAATATATTATACATTTCATACTTGGGCGTAGCTGCAGGGAGGAGGGGCATTGAGGGGTCCTACCTAATGCCTTATCTTAAAATGAAAGGCCCCAAGGTCTTCAAATTACTTCAACTAAATTATACTGGAAACTTATATTTGTGATAAGCATCTTAAAAAGTTATATATTTTGACTGATGTTAAAATTTTAAACTTTTTATATAACATTTTGATATAAAATTATTACAATAGTATCAGCAAATTAATGAGTTTATCGCTTACGAGACCAAAGACTATATATCGTAAATAAGATATATAATCTTTAACTAGACGATATAATATGTATTCAGACAATGCTAAGTTCTTATTTCCTCTTCCCTTCGAGGATATCTGCAACCTTCCTGAAATAGTGATGATCGATAGAGCATGGAAACTAAAATAGCACGGAGCTTAATATACTATTCCCTCCCGCTGGTTTAAATTATTAGCGGTGTTTGAAATAGCACCAGCACTTTTCAGGTAATCCTAAAACTTATGACTATACCAGTTATTTAAGTATATCACAATGGATGTTAGTGTACGATTTTTTAATATGACATTCGCTTTTCATTCATGCTTTGCATTCGCAATTCTTCACTAGCTTCTTACATATACGTATATAAATTTACGGTCCGAATCTAAAGGGTAAAGATAGACTTCGCTTTTGTTGTATTTAAACAACAGGGAGCCTCTGACCTATTCTGTTTGTTGCTATTCATATATGCGATTTGTTTTTGATAAAAGCTGACAATAACTTCTGCTAGTTATCATAGTATTAACTCAAAAATAAAATATTGAAATGGTAATAGGTATCATAAGAGTCTATAACGGACCTGCACGAATAAAGTTATTTTAATTTAATTAAAAAAAAGGAGTACGGCTAATGCTATAAAGCCAAACTGTCAAAAGTTTAAACAAATTATATTTGAAAATAAAATAAATGCGTAACCCTGCATTTCAAAATCTTAACTTATTAATAAGATGAATTAACTATAAGTAAATAGATACGTATTTAACCCGATGCAGTGCTCCGATACTCCCTTTCTTATACATATGTTCCGTGATATATTATTTACACTCTCGATATATGATTGTGTATGATTTATTTTATCGAGTTGCATGTTCAAGTCGATTTGCATTCGATTGAGTTGCGTCGACCGATGCAGTTGATTGCGTTTATATACTCTGCATTCATGTGTTTGTTATTAAATAAATATTATTCGTATAGTTAAAGAAAGTAACATAGAAACATGTTATTAATAACTTTATAAAAGTTTATATTTATAATTAGTAAAAATCAAAGTGTGCCCATCAGTGATTTATAATAAATATTTATATTTAGTGATACTATTTATAACAGTGTTAGTTAAGAAACGGATCAAGTGTAATTTGGAATTGCTTGTAAGGGTTCTTTATTTTAGAATTAATCAATTATATAGGTACATACCTAATTAATAATAACACTCAATCAATTGAACAGTAGGTACTTAATAAAAATTTATACTCGTATATAAAAAAAAATATATTAAATTGTATAATATATACGTTCTTACTACCTTTCCATTTAGTTTAGGACCAGATGGTTCAGTAAGATATGCAAGGAAATTTATTTTTAGAGCTTAGATGAAATCTTAGAAATTCTACAGAAGTATAATATCTGAGATCTAGGTTGCAAGTACGTAATATCTCTAATAGATTATTTCTTTATTAAAAAAAAAATAATATCTACTGGATCTTAAAATTATAGCCAAACTTCCGTCAGTATGTAACGATGGATAACGTAACACAAAGAAGCTTTTCATCTTTTAATTTTTATTTAAATAATATTTTCAATTAATATATTCGTGAAAATATGATTTCATAAAAGATTAGGTTCTCAATCTTAAAATTCTCAATTAAATAGTTTTAAAATTGCTGTGTGATATTTACACAAACAAAAAAAAGTTACGTAATATTTTCGCCTATTTTGAATGTCTTTTCATGTTTTTCTTGGCATACCGTAGGGATCATTCCTGTGTTAGTCCCACCCATACAATATTTTTTTACAATTAAAGTTAGTTTCTTGTTTTTATTCATGAAACAGTATCATTAAATACTTATGTTCTTTCTTACATACTTTGTTTTATATTACCATAATGGCAAACAGGCATAAGCTCTGTCTGATTGAAAACAGCAACCGTAACCCAAGAACGTCTGCAATACATCACGCGTACATTGCCCATGCTTAAGAAGCTATATTATGCTTTTTTTGAAGAATTCCATATTTGAGTCTCTAGGAAAAACTTCGACAAGAAGTTTATTTCACAATCTGAGCATTCGCGGAAGAAAGCTCCTCTGAAATCGTACCGTACGCGAATTATTATTATTTTATTAGTATAAATGTACCTATTTATTATACGGGATTAACATACCCTTTAAAATGAACTCTAGGTGCTAATAAATATATAATTATATTTACTTATAGAATAAACCCGTGCCATTATGGATTCGAAGTATATATTGAAAAAGAAAAATCCGAACGAGAGTGCCAACTTCATTTCCAAAATTTTGGTTACGTAAGTATATACCTACTTGTTCATACCATACCATCCTACAGTATTTAAAAGTAAACATTTTTAAGTTATCAATTCTGCATATTTCACGAAAACAGTTTTTACCAGAATAAAAAAATATTGTAGTAATTGTACAGTACTGCATCCATATTTACGCACACATAAAAAAATCTTGACATCTTTTTAGCAAAGTATCTATTTATTTGTATAGAGACAGTTAACCTTGAGGTATACAATCTAAGGTAGATATTTTTAGTTGAGTTGAAAATTTATTAACTACGGTTGACTGGAAAATATTCGAACTGGAATGAGATGAGTTTCATTAGACATTTTGTTTTATTAACATTAGATACTGTATAATCTCGTAAATAAATTTCGTTCAAATCTCGATCACGGAGATTTGGGAAACGAAATTTCAAGATTAACTCGTGACCCAGGTAATTTTACAGCATTCTAAATAAGTAGGTATAATTTTGACTAATGTTTCAATACAATTTATTTTTTTAACAGAATTTAATAATAAACTAATACAATAAAATTCACATATTTCCTAAACTGTCATCATAAAGGTCGCAACTATGATCACGTAATGTATTTTTTAACTATTAGTATTCATATTTATACTAATATTGTTAAGAGGAAAGATTTGTTTGTTTGCCAAAATGGATACGTTCGATAAAAAGAAATCACCTATAAATAATCCAATAACATAGGTTATATATTATATTCGAATGTTCTATCTATCCTTGAAAAGCCTGGCCGAATAGTTAGTAGATAAATAAATCTATTATTATTGTAATATGTATAGTACTTAACAACACTATACAACAAAAACCAACACTATTGAATTAATACGTAAAATCAAATCGACAATTGTTGACACGTTTGCTTTATGATTAGTTATTCATTGCGAGTACATGTGTTAGTATTAGGTATATAGTATTTCCGCATATCTCAGTATAATTATGCAGATGCATAGATATGCCTAATATAATATAATAATGTGTTAAAGAAGATAGGTCTGTATGTATTGTATTTGTTGTAACTGTAATGAACTCAAATATATATATCTAGATATACCTATGCAATCTCAAACTTCAAATATTATAAGGATCTACTATTTAACATATGTCAATAATAATCTGTAAAATGAAAGAGTTATAAAAGAAACATATTTTAAATAGAAATCGAAAAAGATTACCTATAACATTTCAATTTTACAAATTTTTATTATTTTATATATTTTTTTATATGGATACATAAATATGGATACCTATAAAATAAAATTAAAATTTAGGTATCCATATAAAATAAATTGTCTTTCTTGGTTAAGAAAAAGAAACTACCTACCAACTTTAGCAGTTGTAATATAAAATAAATTAATTTGTTTTGCGTTTATTATATAACCAGCTGTATTTATGTAACTAAATTATTATATTTCGTTTTCAATGCCAACTTCAACCAATTTAAGAAAATATATTTGCATAATAATTATTGTAAAATAACACATGCAATTTTATTTTTATGTAATATCTGACTTACCTGCAGTACTAACAAAAACGAAAGAAACTATGATTCACATAGACTTATAAGTACGCATGGGTATGTTTAAAGGCCGGGCTGAGTGGATCGTGTCATACCTACCCCAGGAACAGGAGCAGCGCTTTCAGCTATATGTAAAGATATATCTGAGAGTACATATTCACTTTTTTCGACATACTTTAAAAAGAATTCGTTTGTAGTTTTTTTATGTTATGAGGTAACTCATAACTTTATCATTTGTAAACAGTATACCTACTTACAAATTGGTTTCAGTATAGTTTTTTAATCAAAATAATTGGTTTTGCCACTATAACAGTTGATTTTTTTAAGGAGTAAAGTCAAGCCCTCTTCAGAAAATAAACACGCCAATGCCTCCAAGTAAAAAACACATATATCATCAAATTCCTGCCCTTATCCCAATTATTTTGAGTCGGTGTAATACATTTTTATTCATATTACCCAAGGTTTTGGCTTTTGGTTTTACAAACTACCGCCAAAATGACATCAACCCTCCTTGGTTACATCATTATACATCACACATATATAACTGACGAAATAATCAATATTTACATAGTTATACTGTACTTGAAGAGTATCGTAGCATATCCCAATTTACAGACCCCATAATTTGTAGAAGTATATGAGTATTAATAACATAGTTTATAGACATCACATTTTCGACTATTTTCCAATTTCCGATTCCCTTAGAAAATACAGTTAATTTTCATGATTAAACAAAATCTATTGATTGTCCAGGTATACAATGTATCATCATCCAAGAGTCTTGGCATTTTCCAATCTTGGGCACAGCATTTATAAAGTAGGTATAGACTAAGAAAAAGATTAAGGAAAAAGACTTTAGATAAAAATATAACAAACTCAATTGAAAATATGCTCCTACAAAACTATTAGTCTTGATATTATTAAAAATACTTTATATTTATAAAAAATTCAACGCTATTTACATAGTTATCTTTAATAGACAAAAAAGGTGTCATTACTATACAATGACAATAGATCTTTTAATTGTAATTGCACTTTTAACTTAACATTTTTTAAATGTTATTTTTTTATGTTTAACTTTTTTTTTATCGGAAACGTATCCGAAGTACGAATATAAAAATGAATTACTTATGCCTAACTATATAACAAAATAATAGAATCTTTTATATTATTTTGTCAAACTCACTATACCCTTCCGTGTCTACCTTTGGATGTATGGTATTTTTTTTTTATTTTGCTGTAATTAATTATACCGGATGGTATAGGAGATTGTTACAGGAAAAATTATACTTCCGATAATAATAGTGTAGGTATAACTGCTATTCATTAATTATAGCCAGCTATCGTTATATATTACAGAACGCAATATATTTTTACAGATGGACAATTAGCATATTCAAAACGGGATATAAAAATGGAGTCAATATAGAAGACATTTGGCAAACTCGACAGAGCGACCTCTCAGAAAAACTAACAGATCGATTGGAGATTGCTTGGCAAAATGAACTAAACAAAGCCAAAAAATCAAAGAACTACAAACCGTCGCTTTCCATAGCTATCGCCCGAACATTTTGGCTAGAATACATGATATCTGGGATTATTGTTGGACTCACTTTCATCGTGGTCTTGTAAATATTTTATATTTAACTAGCTTTATCCCATGACTTCATCGCTGTTATCGATATATGTTGATTAATATAGCCTACAGGATAAATTTAGCCTACATCGTTCTTCATTCCAAATAATACTTACACATATACCAAATTTTATGGCGATTGGTGAGCCATGAAGGCACCAAGTGTAAGCCAACAAATATACTCACTTCCCCATTTATGATATATTGAAATTTTTTAATATCTTCCCGATCACGTGTTTATTTCTACCTATCTATATAATCCGACGGCATTTAAGCGAGAAGTGAAGAAATGCATTTGTAGACTAACATGACGATCGCCAACATAATATAAATTGCTATGATGGTGACTCTCACAGTTGAACTACATACATTACTTGTTTACCTTTAGATGGGGTGTGGTCTCTTTGACTAGCCTCTATAAAAATATTTATTGACATATAAAATTATATTGACTGTAACTTTTGAGCAAGTTTATTTTATACTCACCAATGGAAAAAAAAAATACAAAGAACTATATTTTAAATCAATTAACGGCCTTGTTATTAAACAAGGCCGTTAATTGATTTAATTTATTTTAATTATAAAAAGAAGAATGTTTGAACCAGTTAGACAGATAACAGGATTTGTTTCCAACTACGACAATAATACTATAACATGCTAATAAGTCATATTATAAATTCAATGTTTGTTTCTTACAGCCCACTAATCCCATATACACTGGGATATTTTATAGAATATTTTGCTGGACCAAGAACCTCTGAAAATTATAAAAATGCTCATATTTATGTATTTCTCATAAATTTATTTAGTGTTGGAACACTGTTGTTATTTAACCATGGAGCACTAAACCAAAGTTGTACCGGTATGAGAGTTAGAATAGCGTGCTGTTCACTGGTATACAGGAAGGTAAACATACATAAGTATTATAGTATTATCAGTAGTAACTAAATTCACAATTGACAAAAATAAAAAAAATAAAACTTTAAATGATTACTGTTTTAAATCAGCTGCCACCATAATTAGTGATACTAATAGTAGTAATATCATTATCCAAACATCGATATTTATATTTTTGTTAAAATATCTCTTTTACCTACTCTCTGTTTCCAGATATTGAAACTTAATCACACCGGAATAAATAAGACAGGGCCTGGACATGTAATCAACTTGATGTCCAATGATGTAAACCGATTCGATATAGCTGTTATTTATCTACACTTTGTATGGATAGCGCCTATAGTAGCATCTTTCGTCTCATACCTTGTTTGGAAGCTCGTATCTTGGGCTACTCTATCAGGCTTAGCAGTCATGCTATTGCAATCTGTAGTTATACAAGGTGAATAACCTGATTTATAAAAACTACATATAAACTACAAATCATCAACAGATATGCTAGTCATGCGCGTTTATTTTTAAAAGATTCAATTATAAAGAAGTTTTGTTATATCCATTCATAACAGCCTACAACTCATTAACTTCCTCTCACCGGCCATGGATCTTCTGGTAATTCTCTTCTCGCAGGAGATATAATCGGATAGTATGGCGCAGATCATTAATAATTCGAGCAGCCTGTCTTTGAATGCGATCCAATAGAAGAAGCTGGTACTGTAAAGGTCCAGCCTATAGGTAAGAATAGTGTTCCATATGTGGGCAGAGTTGAGCTTTATACGATGGCAAGCGGTGTTCGGCGTGAAATACCGTCTCACTTCATTGAACTCTAAACTTTTCGGAGGCCATTCTCTCATTAGCCTTCTCTTCCAAATGACCGCTTCCAAACGACCGCAGGACTAGACGACATTGAATATATATATAGAGGAGCCCTAGACTCGATTTATTATCAAGGAGAGTGTTTTAAAGCTAAGGAGATACGACAAACATTTTACATGATGCTTTATGCCTTCGGTCATCGTTTTCATTTACCTAGAGAAAAAGTATTCTTGATTATTATTCATTAAAAGTATTTTCACTCTATTACCACACGGAGATTAATATAATACTCATCTGGGTACTTCTATTAGACATTCATTTTCTATTTTATTTTCTAAACTAGTATTTTTTTCTTTCAGTTTATTTAAGCAAATTACAAGGAAGTTTGCGAGGAAAAATTGCAAGACGTACTGATGAAAGGGTGAAGGTGATGAATGAAGTTGTTAGTGGTATACAAGTTATCAAAATGTACTCGTGGGAAACACCGTTCCAGAAGGTTGTTGATAATTTGCGCAAGTAAGACTTTTTATTTTATAATTTCTGATTCTAATAGATGGGGATACCAATTAACCAGGTCAAGTGTAAGTCAAACAAGTATACGAGGGTTTCGTATTTAATTAATCATATGTAGATCGATATTAACAATCTATTTAACTCATGCGTGCACACATTCTAAGATGTTATGTCTCTGTCTGTACTTTATAATTGCATTGCTATATCCAACATTTCCAACCGAAATACAACCGAAACAGTACAGCTGCTTAGATGTACTTGCATCAGTCACTCGATTAATATTATATTTAATGATAATCAACTTACTTATTGTTAAGCCAATTAAAAATACATACTTACACTATGAAACTAATAAAAATATATTAATAGGATATTCCATGTTTGCTTTTAGGCTTGAAGTAAAATTTATACTGCGCACATCAATGATCAAAGGATTCTCTTCAGCACTAGGCGTGTTCACAGAGCGGTTCATACTGTACGCAACTTTGGTGACATTCGTTTACATTGGAGGTGACATATCTTCTGGTGTAACCTTCGCACTAGTGCAGTATTTTAATCTTTTGCAGCTCGCGTGCAATATCTTATTTCCAACAGCTATGTCTTTTTTCGCTGAAGCAAGGGTTTCTATTAAACGACTTGAAGTAAGTAACACTTGAATAATGTATAAGATAGTCAATATAACAACGATATGAAGGTTATCCTATTAAAACGTAGCTACAGAAGCAATAGCTAAAATATTAAAAACACTTGTATTTTATATAAAAGGGTTTCGTTACATATCTTCCTCCATTTTAGTGTGATGCAGTAGAACAATTGTCGTTCAATTTCTTAAATTATTAAATCATGGCCGTACTCGCAAGAATTATGAATAAAATATATGTAAAAACCTCGTTTAGTATATTCAAGGGTAATTCAGTAACAAACATCCAAATATCTATTTAATATTTTAGGATATATGAAACTTTTTTTCGTTTTTCACATGATGTATTGTATTATGGAAAAAAAAAAACTGTTCTTGCCATAATACCTCATGTACTTATAATTTACTTTTGCACTCACCCATGATTATAAAATAAAATGATAATTAATCTATTCAATGGTAGCACATTAATTATCGATTTTAATTACCCATATTAATTAGCAATAAACATATAATTACATGTTATCATCTGTTTTCTTTAAGTAACAGTTCAACTAATTTGGTTCTAATGATTAGTTTATATTGCACTTCATTACATAGGTACCTATTTACCAAATTAATACGTCATAAAATTGTGCAAATAAAAGCTTATTAAACTAATTATTATAATTTTATTATTATGAAACAAGCTTAGTATCATTAAAACTAACCAGGACTCCCTAATTTATATTTACTAAGATATAAAAAAAACAAAAGCTAAGTATACATGTGTTTACAGGAATTTTTAGCACTTGATGAAGTAGAGGACCATAAAGCTATAAATAATGAAGTGGGTACAAACAGTTCGAAACAAATGACAAATAATAGTAATAACCACGATATGACAGTTTATAAAGAGAAACACACACTTGATGCCAGACTCATCATTTCTGAAGTGACGGCCAGTTGGGAAAAAGATTCTAGTAGCACTTTAAAAGATATTTCGCTGTCTGCTGCACCTGGAGAGTTCATTGGCATTGCTGGACTAGTAGGGTCCGGAAAGGTATGTATCAAGAGGCACGGCAACGCCTCCGCCGAGTCGAGCACAGCCGTACCGCTCTTTTCTTAAAGCGACTCACTGCATTTTGACACCTTTGTAACGTTATTGTTGATAAAGCAGAAGTTTGAATTATTAGTAATCAAGAGGACATACTATAATTGGCTATATTTCCAATATAACTAGCAATTATACCTTATAGTTAACGAATTATTGCTAGTTAAAGTTCTTCCGATTACCGATCATGAAAATTTTGAGTTCCTTCTAGGAATCTCATAAATTTCAAAATTTAGATTTTAATTAGCATTTAGCCTATAAAGGAAGGAAAAATTAAAAATCCCGAAATTTCGCTATACACTATTTAATTAAATGAAAAATGATGTCATCCATTCGCATAACGCATCGCGCTTTTAGCCGACGGATAAGATACCTTAGGGAAAAAGGAGGATAACCTACAAAGAGTTGTGACATTTTATGAAAAATAAATCAGTTACTTTAGTTAGTGTCTATCTACTGAAACATCTATTTAACAATTTTGTTATAAATGGTATCGAAATAATTATTTACCTATCATTATGTATAGTGCATCAATATTATAAAGATCTTTATTTTTATAATAATTATAATGACTTTGCACGGTACTATAATTATAAAAGAATAATCTAATACAATATCTACTATTTCGATTACTATGTAAGTTCTCTTAAGAATAAGGTATTTTATGAGATATGTAGCCCTATAATTGCCAGCGTCGTAAAAGGCTATACTCGTATATTCCTCTAATATCAGTACCCAGCAACGGGATGTTAATCAGTTTTAAAGGTTACGGTTATGTAATTATAAAAACTGTAATTGAATTGCAGTAGGTGTAGATATGTGTACGTAGAAAGTTAAATTTAACTGTTTTTTTTTTTTTAATTATTGATAGCGCCTTACTGTCCGACTCGACCCACTGAAACTACGCAGAGATGTTGCATCTCTATGTATCTTCTATCGAATTACTCATGGGGAGTGTTCTGAGGAATTGTTCGAATTGATACCTGCTGCTGATTTTCACCACCGTACAACCTGCCATAAACTAAAGTTTCATCCCAACCATCTGGACGAGTGGCGGTTTTCCACCATGCGTTTTTCAAGGCATTTTCTTCCACGCACAACCACTCTTTGGAATCAACTTCCAGCAGCAGTATTTCCGAACCGATAGACATCATAACCTTCTTAGAGAGCATATTCCTTTTTAAAAGACCGGCGACACACCTGCAATCCCGTTGGTGTTGTTGGTGATCATGGGCGGCGGTAGTCACTTACCATCAGGAGAACCGCATGCTCGTTTGCCCCCTGTGTTGTAAAAATATTGTATATATAATACGAACTCACAATCTTACAAAGTATTAGCATTCAATGCAGTTACATTTTGAATTAGGTACAATGACATCATGCAGACTATATTTATATACCTACTTAAGTACCTACATACATGGCATGCACGTATAGGCATTTTAAACTTGACCTACCCACTTTACAAGATCTAAAGACCTGTTACATAATTGATTGTTTATTGATATAATATTTATGATCCGTTCACTACAGCATCAAGCTTACAACGAATTATTGTCGACGACTATATTATAGGTAGATCACCCCTTCCTTTCACCTACAGAAAAGGAAGGGGTGATTCTATGCCGGGATCACACGGCAGGCTATTTGAGTATATTAGAATTATTGGATATATATATATATATATATATATATATATATATATATATATATATATATATATATATATATATATATATTATTAATAAAATATAAAAAACTGCACTTAATAAAATTTATTTGAACCGAGCAATTTTTTACAGCGCTTTTTTACAGCATTATCAAGGTAACAAAGCAGAATAGCTAAAATAATGCTCTTTGCGTTTCATCTGTTGTTGATTTTCAGTCTTCATAAAAATAATTAGAAGTGTACTTTCAATATTAATATAAATCGTTTTGTTTATGACGAACCTATATCTCATTAGTAAATAAAAATTTTATTTAATTTTAAACGTATATTAGTGTATTTAAATATATCAGCTTAAATGTATTCTCAAATATTATCTTTAACCGAAATAGTCTACAGAAAAGAAGTAGATTTATTATAATTAAAAAGGAGATTATAAACATTTATGATTTAGACTCAACTAATATACGTTTTTTTATTTTATTTTTTCTATGCAATTTAGAACGGCAAATAAGTCGATGGCCCACCTGAAGGAAGTGGTAACCGTCGTTTATAAACATAAACAGAAGTATCATGGACATAACAGAGTATACTGTTTCGCCTATGATACTCCCCATGCGTGACCATTCCTGAGGACTCAGGCGTTATTCCTCTGTACCCTGTAAATTCACTGCCATTTCCCAACTTTCAAACCGAAACACAGCCATGCAAACACAAGTGTTTCGCGGTAAAAATACGAACGGGACACACGTACACAAGCAAATGACTTTTGTACAAAGTCTCCCTCTGGTAGACACTTTCACTTTCTGCTGCTCACTTTAGACAAGATCAAAAATATTTAATCTATTTAATAAGAAATTTCAAGCAAAATACGTCTTTTCTAATTTTCGATAGACTCTAAGATAACAATATGTTTTACATTGAACTTATTCAAATGTGCACTCTAATTTTAGCATATTGCTTCGCCTATAGATGAATCGTCATTTGGCAAGGGGCCATATTTATTATTTATCAACATAGCAGAATTTTATTGCAAGTAATATACAGAGATAACAACTATAGAATTGCATGAACTAATTAATCTTTATATTATTCATTTATTATGTTAATCATAATCAAGACAAGCGAAGTTAATAAGGTAACAAGAAATCAAGTGCACAGGAAAATTATTGTGGGTAATTATTGTCTGAAGATATAAATGACGTAAATACTTAGATAATCTGAGACATAATAACAATTATATAAAGTTCAATAAATTAACCTTCAACGCAAAAATAACGGTGTTAAATGAATAAAGCCTCTATCTCGGTAGGTACACGCTTATCTGTGGCATTGTAGCGTCTATACCTCCAGACCGATTTATTTAATCATTTGAAATAGACATACCAACTATTTTTTATGTAGCATGCTGGTAGGTATACCAAATGTACACAATATTGACTAAGTACATATGTATATAGATTAGGTACATGCATACTATCGTCAGAATATAATTGAATAAATTTACAATAAATACAAATTAGTTATTATAAAATTCAAATATATATCAAGACTAGGCAATACTGTGAACCTACATGGTCTACAGTACTTTACCGTGACTTTGCGTATTTTTTAGGATGAATCGATTTTGTTATGGTGTCGAGGGTTTCTTATTCGAGTCCTACTGTGATGTACATATATATTCAATTAATACTAAAGCAAGTACTGTTAGGGTATCTAAGTACACAAAAATGTCTAAACTTGAATATTAAAAATAGAATAAACTATTACAATAGTTACCTATCAAGTTCATATTAATGATGTTTTATTGAGAGATCAAGCAACAATATAGACAAACATTATATGTTACGTAAAAGACATTTTATTAATAAACAATAGATTAGACATCATAATTACACTTATTATTATCTTCTATTCCTTTTAAACAACACGTTTGTTTAATGCACGTACTTACCTACTTATCTGAGACAGGTAGTTATACGTCGGAAAGTGAAAGAAACAGACGACCACGTATTTAGTCATAAAAACGATATTAAATAACATTACTCATTTTATCTTTGATTAATTCAGCATAAAACACCTATATATAGTACCTAATATTCTGTATCTCAAGTCACAATACTGAACGCGATTTTCAGGCCTTTCAGTCTTTGAAATCATATCAATGTAATGCAATACAAATATCACTTCATAATTTAGCGGCCATATAATAAATAGTACCTACTTTTATCTATTAACATTTGATTATTTCAATAGTCGTCACTACTGCACCTGATATTGGGTGAGCTGGTGCCGTCTAAAGGCTCAGTGTCGCTGGGCGGCGCACGCGTCGCATATGCAAGCCAGGAGCCCTGGCTATTTGTCGCCACTGTACGACAAAATATTCTCTTTGGACTACCTTATGACCCCGTCAGATACAAAAAGGTGAAATTTTGATTTTGTTCATTATTCATATATATCATTATCTTCATTTCTCATGAAAGACAGCGCAAGTATGCTTAAATTAGTACTGTATGTGGTATGGTAAACCTGTATCAGATTAGAATCCTTCTAATTTTATACCACTTGTACTGATAAACAAATTGACGACCGATCCGCTGGAAAGTTATAACCATGGCCTATGGTGTAAAGGGTGGGGGGGGGGGCTAGTCCCATTGCTAACAATATATCCAATCAGATCAACTTCCACGTAACTCTCCTGGAATTCATTGTGCCGAGTTTTAGGCGTATTTATAACTGACTTGCCTTATCATTAATAGGTGAGAATAAATCTATCATCAAACTAAATTAACAATAAACTTTACAAATTAATATTTGCAATACAATTATTTAATACAAAAACTTCCTTGAAATCAGTCTAGACGTTTCCAACGAATCCTAAACATATGGAATAACTTTCACATATAAGTAGTATTAAATAGTTAGCCCTATTTATGGATTATATTTTATTTGAAATAAGTGAAAAATTAATTACAAAAATGTTTTCATGTTTTATGATTTGCGAGGGCAGGTGGTGACGGCTTGTGCTTTGATCCAAGACTTCAAACAGCTCCCGTCGGGTGATTCAACACTAGTAGGCGAGCGTGGCGCCAGTCTCAGTGGAGGGCAGCGAGCGCGTATTAGTCTCGCTAGAGCCTGCTACCGACAGGTACCTAAATAATATCTATTTCGAATAAATCAATACATATAATAAAATTGTAATTGGTCGCTGTCCGTACATGGAAGGTATATAAGAAAAACTATTATAGGGGGGCTTTGTGAACGCAATAGAACCCAAAATAATGTTTTTTAGAATTTTTGTCTGTTTGTCTGTACATTTGTGCACGCTAATCTCAGAGACGGCTTAACCGATTTGAATGCAGTTTTCACTAATGCGTTGCAGTTTGCTTCACTTAACATTTAGTGTTTGTTTTATTTTAATCGGTTCATAAATAAATAAATAAATATCAATAATAAAGAATCACATATAAAATGTTATAAAATGACCGATTATTTAAATTAGCTGAAATTTTATGAAGGTAGGTTATATATCATATTTTAACTCATAGGGTATTTTATTTACCGATTTACACGGGCAGCGCCACGGAAAACAGCTAGTATTATAATATATTTAGGATATTTTATTATTATATCAGCCGTTTACTATTCATTGCTGAACATAGATCTTCTTCATAATGGGAGTTTTGTCAGTAGTAGCCAGGCAGGCGGGTTGCGACCGCATTTAAGCTTTGGTGAAGTTTTATGTTAAGAGGAACGCTGGCCTTCCATTCTTCGATCACTAAATTATTACTCTTACAACATCCACGAGAAAGGAACGAGATCATTCTATGCCGGGACCAGATGGCATTTTTTTTTATATTCCATAATTTAAAATTTTATCTCAACACATTATATACACATACAACACATATCTTTGATTGATATTATAATAATTAAGATTTCCATAACTTGCCACCGCAATGGCATTCCAATAGCATGCTACTAGACATTTAAAAATAAAAAAAAAATTTGAACGAAAAGAAGTAAAAAGATTTCAATATTTTTTTAAATGCCTTAAGATCGATAGATCGAGGCCTCAATCTGATTTGTTATCATTTTGTTGTATAGGTATAATGATTCCAAATTCGAAATGAGCAGAGTCCTATGTAACTGTACTAAAATTTTAGAAATTTGTATATATTTTAGGCAGATATATACTTACTGGACGACCCATTATCAGCTGTGGACGCTCATGTGAGCAAACACCTAATGTCTGAATGTTTGATGGGGCTACTGCAGCACTCCACCCGCCTCCTCGTCACTCACCAACTGCACCACCTCAAGACCGCCGACAAAGTAGTTGTCCTTAACCAGGCAAGTTCCCAGTCTCACTATATTATTATTATTTTCCAATCGTTACAGAGAAGGGAAAAAATGTTTAGTATTAGAGATTAGCAGCCCCATTGCTAGCAATATACCCTGTCAGATGGACCTCAGGTTCCTCCTGGACCAACCAACGCGCTTAATTCTTTATGTATTCATCGCAGTCGAACAACTTACCCTATTTCATCAGGGGAAGCAGAGCTTATTAGTAATTGGGACTTGCAAGCTAGCTAGCTCCATTGCTAGCAATATATTTTATTAGGTCGACCTCTATGTCAATTATTGTTAAATTCGTCACAATGGGTCAAATGACCTGTTTCCATTTTCATTTATCATTCCTCAATGGTGCTCCGCCAGCATATACCGATAGCGCAGGTAGAGTTACCATTCTATTTTCATTCATTAAAAATAACCATTTTCAGAAAGCAGGAAGTAATTATAATTATGATATAATAATTAAGTATGGAATGATAATAAGAATTATGATAGTTGTGCAATTGATAGTTTTTACGTTTGTCTCTTACTAATTTGTATTCATTAAGTTGACTGTGCTATGAGAGCTAAGATAACCTTTTTTTAATAAAAGTAGTACATACTTTTAAAAGGCTCATTGTACGCACCTTTATAAAAATTGTACATATATATATATATATATATATATATATATATATATATATATATATATATATACATTAATATTGAAATAGATACCTTTAAGAGATAAGTCCGTCAGTGTACGTTGTTGTTATATCAATATTAAAAATAATTGTACAAAAGCATATAAATAAATAAATACATACATATACATACATAAATAAACAGAAACTTTTATAAAGCTATGTTACATATAGGGTGCAATTGACAGTCAAGGCAGCTTTGAAGAAGTATCACGGTCGCCCTTCTTTACGGAGTTGATGCAAGGAATCACTGCATCAGACGAAGCGCCATCATCGGAGCGACAACGCTCTACGTCTATTATTGTAAGTATATAGAATCCTGTGTAGATGCATAGATATAGAATTAAAATAATTATTTCTAGCCATATTTGGTTAAGGCCTCTAGAACTGAAAATCCTACCATTCACTACTCACAACAATTAATTATACATATTAAAAAAAATCTTGTGTGATTTTCAACAAGGGATAACTTGGAGAGAAATTGCCATACAGAAAATCTAAAAAAAAGAGATTGTAGCTCTGAGCGTCTAGTTTTCATATCTTAATAGTAAAATTTTTAAGCGTGGGCAGTTTTTAATCCGAAAATCAACAAAAAAAATTTTGCAAATTTTTGTTCTCGTCATTAAAGAGGTCTGTGGAGTTTAAAAAAAATTTTTTTTCATTATGCGACCAGATGTCTCTTTTAGAAAATTTAATAAGCTTTTATTTGAGCTTCGGTTCAGTTTGGTACAATGATTTGGTGCAGAGCTATCGCCGATCAAAGCAAAATTGTCCATTTTAAAGTTGACAATCAATTACCCGGGAACTAATGACCGTACAGAAAATTAATGTAGGGCAACATGTTAATGTAATTAGTGGCTGTTGATAACAAAATTTTTGATAATGTAGGTCGAAAAAAAGTGAATTTAAGAATATTTGGAAAATTTCGTATAACTTCGGATATAATGCATGAACGAGAGATGTCGCCAATAACATCAAAGTGTCCATAAAAACCTCTCAAAATTGCAAAGCGTTGTGATGTTATTTTGTTAGATGCCCCGAAGTTTTAAATTTATTATTTCTGTCAAAAATCACCAAAATAAGCAATTTTTTATATTTGATGGATGATAATGATATGGATACATGTTTCTTACACTTTAACGTAAAAACTACTAAACTAATTTGACTGAAATTTAGTATATAGGTAGGTTATATTCTAAATTACCATATAGGATACTTTATTTATATATCAATGCACGCGGGATACTGCTAGTTTACAATATATCTAAATATTTCTCTAAAAAAATTCTCTGAATTTAATTTTCTAAATTTACTAAACTATCTTAATTTTTAAGTATCTTAATTTTTAGTCCAGCATCAGCAATAAAGAGACGTCGGAACAACTGGATGATACTGCCGACGAAGATGCTCAGGAAACCGATGAAATGATCAACAAAGGTAGGTAGAAACTTAATAAAAATATTCAAAAGTAAACGTAAATAAATGCTAAACAACATGTCACAATATAAAATAATAATCACGCATTACCTATGTCCATAAAATATATTGAATAATATAATTCTGAACAACAAAGTATAAATATTATATATATATATATATATATATATATATATATATATATATATATTTAAATGTTTACATTTACATTCCGTAGGACGAGTGGCTGGAGCCGTATACAAAAAATACTTCTGCGCGGGCAATGGTTGGGCTATATTGCTATTCACTTTTATAATCATCGTGTTGGCACAAGTTGTTACTTCAGCTGGTGACCTCTGGCTCACACATTGGTAAATGATCTAATCTAAATATAGAAAAAATATCTATTACTTGTGTCATTGAAGGAGACTATTGCAAATACGTTACTCTACCTGTCGCTTAGGTATATGAATCTACCGATAGATAAATTATATCCTTGCCGTATATGCTGTACGCATGAAGCGAAAGGAAGCAGCAACACTAGGCGGCTTGTTTTAGAGAGAGATCGTTCTCAATTTTAACTATATGGGATATATTGTTAGCATTGGGGTTAGTGACATCGAATTCCGCGCAGTGCCTCCTGAAAACTATCGTGATTAATTTCATGCGAATTCGGTACAATGAGCTAACTGACCTAACTTCTTCCTTGTTACTTCACTAGCGCTCAGCAATTGTATTAGTTAGTATAGGTGGACGCACCGCTCTGTAGCTATACTTTCATTACCTAAATACCTATCTATATAATACATACTTAATTGTAAATATGTATTGTATAAGTAGGTACTTAGATCATTAGGTAATAGATTGTAAGCACCATACTAATAGGTATTAGAAGCAGAATTATTACTGGCATGTTGTAGTAAAGCGACATTCATTAATTTTCTCATATGAGACAATCACAATACATAACGAATAATAAACTCATTTCAGGATGAATAACGTAGAAGAACTGAAGTCTTCCAATGTCACTACTACAAGTGATGATTATGACACATCAACAGCGGTTGCCTATGATTATACAGACTCATCTAACTTAATGACAGATAACGATACATTCGCCACGAATATGACCAGTGTATCTTATTCTTCTCCTTCGAATATTAACCATAAAATGTACATTAATATTTGGACCATATGTATATTCGGGTGCATAGGCTTCACTGCTGGCAGGTATGGACTAAAAATCTCTGGTATTATTTCGTAGTAATAAGATTTGTTTACAAAGTTAATCAAAACCATTTTACCTTGAAATATGTTAGACTGAACATACACCTGTTGGTATTCCTGATACTCATCACACTCATGTGTGTCGCCATCTGATGGCAAGAGTATTTTTCTTTCGCTATAGACGAAGGTCTCTAACGTGGAATTTCGGACAACGACGGCTTTAAGTGCCTTCCTAAATTCTACCCTTATCCTAATTATTTCTATGGGGTCAATGTAACTCGTATGTTTTCCTCCTCCATCCAAACATTAATTTAAAAGAGAAAATATTTCAATAACTAAAATGGTTTATGAGACGTTTAGTTTTGATAAATAAGCCCCTTATTCAACAAATAAATTCGATCTTGTGATCCTTGGACTGCAGTCCATCGTTCTTATTGAGCTGTCTCCGCTTCCCTAGTCCGACATCCTAATGATATCTAGACTAATTATTTACCGATCTAATTCTATTGTATATTGTTGATTTCAGAGCTTTTATGTTTTTATGGGTGTGTATGCGTAGTTCTGTAAAACTACATAATCAAATGTTTGGAAATATACTGGCAGCGACCATGCGTTTTTTCGACGCCAATCCATCAGGTCGCATCCTGAATCGATTCTCTAAGGACATGGGGATCATGGACGAGATCTTACCTCGGTTGATATTAGATACTGTTCAGGTAAAGAATAATATTTTTTTTACTACAACATATTTGATAGTTCAAGATTTGAGTAAATATTTTTATTTTATTTCATTGAGGTGGCAAACATGCAACGGTCCAATTGATGGTAAGCAGTTACGGTAGCCTATGAACGCTTGCAATAGAGACATTACGCGCGCCTGAAGAAACCTCTTTACCTCTTTTTTGAAGATTACTATTTTATTTTAATAATACTAAAATATTACCATAGTAGTGTAGCAGTTTAATACACTGCATTGCCTTTCAATAATTGCAGGTTTGATCTAATCATAATTATGTAGTCAGATGACCAGGTGCAAAAAATATTTGTATATCATAGAAATTCAAAGTGACACAAAAATTTTGTGTGGTCAGATCGAACCGGACTCACGATCTTTGAAATGTATAAGTCAGGGTAGTATACCACTAGGCCAAGATATTTTCATTTGAAATTACAATTACATCGAATAATTTATTATTTAAAATAATAATATTATTTAAATCAGGTGTTCATGGTGATGACGGGTATTCTAGTGATGGTGGCCATAGTGAATCCCTATATGTTGCTAACAACAGTGATCTGCGCTGTCTTCATGTATTTATTGACGATTTTCTACTTAACCTCCGCACAATCAATAAAAAGGTATGAATAGTATAAGAACCCCACTTGTGTGCAGGAAAATATTTAAATTAGATAATACCATAGTTCATAATTTACTAGCTGCTTTGTCTACGGAATTAAAGTAAGGAAAGATTTTATGTTATTTTAGTATTAAAATACGTACTGTTTATGTATTAAATTTCACATTTTTCATATTAAGTTATTCTGGATAACTGTACTTAGTTAACTGTTCTATTACGGTACTTACTTATATATTAAAGGTCAGCAATAAACATTTCCTCAAATTTCCACGGGAATAGCTATATAGGAGAGATAGCTAATGGTTTTTTATTTTCCACCGGCTTCAAAAAAAGAGGTTCTCAATTCGGTTGTATTCTTTTGTTTGTTACCTCATAAGTCCGTCAATAATAAACCAATCTGGAAAATTCTTTCTTTTTATCAAAAAGAAAATATACCTACAGATTGGTCCCACTTTTTTTTTATAAATTTGTTCAATAGTTTAGTTTTTAAATTAAAATAACTAGTTTTTTATATATACCTTTTTTTTGTAATAAAATTTTAATTATGATAAACCAAATGATCCCCTTTCCTTTCCTGTGTCATAAAAGGCAACAAAGAGAACATAATGGTCGAGAGTTGGGCAGCAGCGTTCCTCTTAAAAAAACAAAAGCTTAATTGCGGTTGTTAACTAGCCCGACAAGCGTGGCAAGTACTGGCAAAGTTACAGGGGAGGTTTAATAAAAGTTTAGGGAGATGTCTCAGAATCGACTCCATAGTCAAATTCTTATTTGCATACCTATTTATTTTATTAATAGGGTAGAGGCTATTACTCGTAGCCCTGTGTTCTCCCACGTGTCAGCGAGCATGGCCGGTTTGACAACGGTGCGTGCGTGCGGCGCTCAGGGGATGCTGCGGCAGCAGTTCGACGACAAGCAGGACGTGCACACAGCCGCCTGGTGAGTGTGGTTTTAGTTCTCTACTGCTTGCTTATGATGTTTAGAAGATACTGTGGTCGCCTGATATGTTTTCTGTACTTCGACATATCGGCAAATGAGCGGGCCCGATGACGATAGGCCAATGCAATTCTATGTTGACAGTTCGACGACAAGTAAGTAAAACGTATCACACGCATTATTAGAAATATGTCTAGTTGTCTCAGCAAGCAAAGCGGTCAAGCTCGTGCTCGCATTACAGTTGCTCACGACTCAAGGTCCCAGATGATCTTGAAACTATTGGAGCTTTGTCGACTAAAATACACGTAAGTTAAACTGGTAGTTATTACATTATAATAGGTACTTATGAAATATTTAAAGATAAAACAGTATACATGTGTATATATGTACAGACTGGTGAGTAGATATATGGTATCATATTACTATTATCAATTTATCACGCTTAGTCCTCCTAGAATAGAGAAAATCGAGTGCTATAGCCTCTAACTTTACATACTCTCGCTTTATTCATTACATTCATACACGGTAGTTTAAAAGTCTTCTTCCCTTAAAAGCCCTTCGTCTTAAAAGCTTCTTTATGAAATAACACATACATAGTCTATCTGATCATACGTTTCCCCACTGGGGGTAATTACTAATACGAGTGGGTCAGTTTAAGGCTCTTCTCAGTAGCTGCAATCTTCCGCTTACTTTCGCACTACTTTTTTACAAACTCGATTTGCCAGTCTTGACTCGTAAATTTTGGGCATTGCTTGTATTATCATACCTATTAGTACAGTATAATATAACAGTGTGTTAAAGCATTAACAATATGCAATGAATATTATTCACTCCTGCGTGTAATGAAGCGGTTTCAGCGGTAAAACCAATGGACGACTGCTAAGTTATTAATAGATAATCACACACAACATCAACCAGTCACAAGAGCCGCTCATCACGACATCGCGAGAACGCCAATCATAACGCAGGAGAAATTTACATGACCTTTCAGGTTTCAAAATTGTAACTGACTCGCAAAACAAAACTTCAACGCATTACATCAAATTTATATTACATCAACGCTTCAAATTATTATCTATTTTTATTTACCCTAGTTAAATCGCTTCAAATACTAGGTGTATTTATTCATCATCATCATCATCATATCATCCGTTCATCATCAAAACGCAAACGCACATCATTAACACAGTGTAAATAACTTAGAATTGTATTACTTGAAATTTGCATTTCATATTAACATTATGGTCCTCATAACGCCATTTATTTTATTACAGTTGAATCGGAGAGAATTTATCAAGTATTTCTCTGGTTCAACTTTCACGAAAGTCGTTTGCTTTGGTACCTCTGTCCCATTCGTGTTTTAACCGTGAAGCAGTTGTGTTTGGCTGTATTTCAGTTTGAAGGGTGGGATATGGCAGTGAATTTATAAACATAACACCTTAGTCCTCAGGAATGACAACGCATAGGGGGTATCATGGGCAAAATAGTATAATATGTTATGTCCATGGTAGTACTGCTTATGTCTGTAGGCGACATTTACCACGTTCCATCAGGTGAGCCGTTAGCTTGTCTGCCATTGTAAGTTGCGTAAAAAAAAATTGAAAACATTTTTTTGCAAACCTAATAAATAAATTATTTTCAGGTACTTAACATTAACAACTAATGCAGCTTTTTCAATTTGGTTGAGCATCGTGTCTGCTTCCTATGTAATTGTTGCCTCCTACATATTTCTTCTAATGGATGGCGATGGTAAGCTACTGCTGAGCGATTTCTGCTTCGCGAATATGGCTGTGCGACTGTAAAATAGGTATATGTTCAATGTGTTATGTATTTATGTAGATAGATATATACTCTTTATTGTTTCCTCCAAAAGATTATAATAGTAAACCTATTATAGATACAAACATTTACAAGAAATGATCACAGTGACAAAACAATATGTATTATCTTGATTATAAAAAATGTGTGGAAAATTTACAAATAAATCTGTCCAAAGTGAAGGTCTATTCTAATAGGGAAGCTTACTGCTAATTTTATCTCAGTAGGAGCGCCATTGTGTTATACAACATAATAATTGGCAATACATAAGTTTCCCCATTATGTACAAGACTTTATCCAAAAATAAACATGTAATGACGTAAGTATAAATTAGTAATAAATTTTATGGAATGGTTGTATGCGTTGTGTACGGCTGAATATATAATGTATTTGTTCTCATTCGTACAGGTATTTTTTCTTTTATATTTCTATTAGAGAACTTATATTTCTTCTTGGCTGCTTCTGTTCCATTCATGTTTCTGCTATGAAGCAGTTGCGTTTGTATGGCTGTGCGTCCATATAAAGGGTACAATATGACAACAAAATTTCAGGGTAAAGAGGCGTAACACCTTAATTCTCAGGAATGGCAACGTATGAAGGATATCATTGGCGATAAAGTATACTCAGTTATATCCATGGTACTGTTCATGTTTATAGGCAACGGTTACCACTTTTCATCAAGTGGGCTATAAGCTTGTTTACCATTCTAAGTTTCATAAAAAAAAAAACTTTAGAGACAAATGCTAAACACAAATATTTAGCATTCGTGTAATATTTATTTTTTTTAATTTTCAGGAAAATATAAATCTGGCAATGTAGGCCTAGCTATAAGTCAAGGGTTGATTCTTGTAAATATGGTGCAACTCGGCATAAAACAGGCAACGGATGTGATATCGCAAATGACGAGCGTGGAACGCGTGGTGCAGTTCACGTCGCTGCCACAGGAGCAGAAAGCGGGCTCTTTGCCACCTGCGGGCTGGCCACAAAAGGCCAGGGTTATTTTTAAAGATCTTTATTTGAGATATGATGAAGAAGCCGAACCCGTACTAAAGAATTTAAATGTCGTCATTGAGAGCGGATGGAAGGTAAATTCTGAAACAGTAAAACTCTAAGGAATTTAAAAAATAAAATAATGCAATCTCTAACCCTAAAAGGGTTACATCTTAGATCTGTGTTTTGATAACATGTGAGACTCATGACATAATTATCACAATATTATTGTTCATATCTATAGGCCATAGTCACAATTTGCCATCAAATGGACTGGCAGCTTGTTTTACATTCCTGGTATTTAAAAAAAAATGCCACTGACACAAATTTAGTTTTAAAACCAGGTAGGCGTAGTGGGACGCACGGGTGCCGGAAAGTCGTCCTTGATATCGGCTCTGTTCCGGCTTGCGCCCATCGACGGACACGTCTACATCGACGACATCGACACCGGAGAGATCACTCTCAAGGTAGACATACCCATAAACACTTAATGTATCAACAGAAATCACCTTATTAATCGCTTATGTATGTAGATTACTAAAAATTAATATGCTAATAAAAGCTGTATTATTTTACAGGCACTTCGGTCAAAAATATCGATTATTCCTCAGGAACCAGTGCTCTTTTCTGCTTCTTTACGATATAACATGGATCCTTTTGATCAATACCAAGATGCTGATATCTGGAATGTATTGGAGCAGGTATGTATGTACCTACAACACAATTAGTTTTATATATATAATGGAAATCGAAATCCTTTTAGGGGTCTCCTATATTCTAGTGAAACTGAATATTTCTCCTAAAAAAAAACATATTGATCGATAAGTGACAAAAGATTTTGGGTCTCTTATATTCTGAACTGAACAAATATAAACACTGTGATAGTAATAGTCTTTCTTCTATTTTTCTATAGATATTTCTTTGAGAAAAATGATGAATTTTACTGGTAATTTAAGGATACTATTTTAATTTTACCCTGTATATATTTTGTTTTTGGACCGAATATATTTCTATACTTAAAAATAAAATAATTCTAGGTTGAATTGAAGAGCAGCATTAGTTCGCTGTCTGTTAACGTGACTTCGGGCGGTACCAACTTCAGCGCGGGCCAGCGGCAGCTGCTGTGCCTGGCGCGCGCCGCGCTCGCGCGCAACAAGCTGCTCGTGCTTGATGAGGCCACCGCCAACGTTGACCCTAAGTACCTTTATTAATTTTTAATTTAGTACTAAAATATAATATAATCAAAGTTACATACCCTTATTAATAAAAACGTCAAACTCCTTAGAAACCCGTTTTAACTATTGAACTGTTTTGTTTCTTTCTTTAGCACTAAATTTCCAATTTGGAAGATAGTGACAAAACAATGTAATAGTTAAAGTAGATTAGTAGAAAGTTTTAGTTTCTATAAATAAGAGGGATAGAGTTTTGTATAAAGTTTTGTATAAGTAATAGTACTAAAGTACAGAACGGACACTCCCTACCGTCTGCTGCGATCAGACTTCAGCCTCTCTCAAATACACGTCAGTACTCAAACCCTATTTTCCCGCGTTAATCGTAACTACAGACGCCCATCTGTACAGATGATGCTTGTTTCTGTAGTTGTATCAAGAACGAATCGTAGCATTTTTGTATGGAATATCTGGAATGTCGTATAAGACTCGATTTTCTATTTTTGAGTGCAGCTTGTAAGCGAAATGTACCAACGTCTGAATTATTACTTTTCAAAATCATTTTTAAAATTACTATTTATTTATTATTATAAATGTGCGTCTGTAAAGATTGATGGGTGCATGGATGGATGGATCTTTGTTACTTTTTCATGCAAATACTAAACGGATTTGAATGATGAAAGGATATGCACTGATGTACGTATGGAAAGCCGAGATATGTGGATAGTTTTCAATATTTCTGATTGATTATCTAAAACGCATTTTAAAAACGAATAAAATTATTATAATAACTAGATTAAGATACAGGCAACGCATGGGGGGTATCATGGGTGAAACAGTATACTCTGTAATGTACATGGCACTGCTCATGTCTATAGGCGACGGTTACCACTTTCCATCAGGTGGGCCGTCAGCTTGTTTGCCATTCTAAGTTGTATAAAAAAATCTATTATATTGTGTTGTGACATAAGAGTAAAGGCTAGATTGTGGCGTTATACTGTGGTGACTTATAGAACCTAAAGCTACTAACAAATACTTGTGTATAGATTTGAGTTTTTGACTAATCCTCTGCGGTATATCTTCTAACCCATGTTCTATTTGTAGCACTGATGCCATGATACAGAGATCCTTACGAAGATACTTCACCAACTGCACGGTGATCACTGTAGCGCACCGTCTACACACAATAGCAGATGCTGATCGCGTCATAGTAAGTTTTTTCTTAATTGAAATAGATACTTATTTTTTTTTTAATACAACTATTTTTCAGACTCTTATTATTAATTAAGATTAATTGAAATGATTAAAAAAAGCTATGTTCTCATTACTTATTAATCACTCATACTTTTATGAAAAACGTGAACAAAAAATGCAAAAAATAAATTTCTATCCACATTTAATGCGATGTAGCACACTATTTTGTGAATTTTAACTGTAAAAAAAAAATATAGTGACATCTCCAAATATTTAATGGAGATGAATAGCTGAAACAATCATTGTAATTACAACAGGTGATGGAAGCTGGTCAAATAATGGAGTGCGGACATCCACACGAATTACTACGCAACTCGGAGGGTCACTTTCACAGTATGGTGAAACAACTTGGTCCCACCTCGGAACAAAAAGTGCGAGATATCGCAAGAAATGCGTACACACGTCATAACAAAAATAACACACCCGATAATGGCGAGAGCTCAAATAGATGACTGCTGAAGTGATATTATAAACACTTGATATTTGGCAACATTTTAATGTAGATATTTAATAATTTTAGTTGAAAATAGTATGTACGTAGTAGAGATACGTATTAGATAATAAATATACAGGGACCTTATATAATTTATTTATTTAAAGACACATAAGTAACTGATATATAATTAATACGAAAGTGTCTATGTAATATAAAATACATGTACAGTAAAGTAAGTCCATTACTGATATGTACAAAAATTATATTACGAAATATAAATTAATAGAAAAAAGCAATTTATTTTAGTATGTATGTAAAGGAAGATGTGAGCTATTGCCGAGCCGAGTATTTTAGTTAACATTTCGAATTATTGTGGTTTTTTCAATAAATAAATTTTATTTTGTTACTAATCTGTTTATTATTTATTAAATTAATTACATAATTGAGTTTATTTTATTTGAATTTAGATTTCCGATTTTAAAATAATGGGATATTAATATTGTTTAATTCCATTTTAATCCTTCCAATAAGAAGGTTAGCACTTGCTGTCAGCACTACAGGGTTAGTCTAAGAACTATATAAAAAATATGAAAACGATATGTACAAATATATAATATGAAATCCATCAGTATATTGCTATTAAACAATTTTCATCCATGAATATGAGGTAAATAAAGAAAATAATGTAAACCTTCATATAAAAAACAGTCTGATGATGTAAAGGCTACAAAATTTATTTTCTTGACTCATAAATATTTAATAGTACCTCATAAATCATTGAATGTCATGTAATATAGCAATTATTTACAATATTTATATATGAAATTGTGGATAATAATTGTCTGGAATTGTATAAATTCAAACCTAACTGTATACAGTAACTCTTAGAGTTTACATAAGAACACTTTCATGTAATTTTAATAACGGTATTTGTATAAATTTGATATATATTCCATAAATGTTCCTTTTTATAAATTTTATGTCAAATTAATTGTACTTTACCATTTTTAACTAAATCTGCTATAGGTTTGTACTGCAGTATATGTTGAGATCCCTCTGAAAAAAAAAATCTTATTGATTAAATGTTTTATAAAATTAGTTAAATGATTCACAATTTAATCTCAAATGGGGTAATCAGATGTATCTATCAACTAAAATTATCTACATTTATTCTATTTAAAAAAGTACTTTATACATAAAGTACTTTATACATAAAGTACTATATACATATATACCTATGTTATTTGCTAACTCCGAACTCGAGACAGGTGAATATGAGACTGGGGATGATTATGCAGTGCCATATTTCTAATCTCTAAAATTAAAATACCTATTTGAAATCACACAAAATCTTTTCTCTAAGGTTCAGTATGAACTAAATGTTTAATAGATTTAAGTCAAAATTTTTGTAAATTTAATTTATGATTGTTAATAAAACAGTAATTTTGCAAAACTGTCAAATTAAAATAGTAGGTTTAGAGATAGCATAGAAAAATGGCACCAAAATTGACTCCACCATCACATCAGCACTGACTAAAAACTTTGATAATTTTGGAGTTAGTAATTAGACTTAGTGAGTATAAATTATATATATATATAAATTGAATTAGTACTATAAATAGTTTTCAGCATTGAGCACTCCAGACAAACTCTCAAATTAAAACATTCCATATATTATAAATATGAAAGTTTGTAAGGATGGATGAATGGTTGTTGATGTTTCACAGAAAAACTACTGAGCGGATTACAATGAAATTTGATACACGGGTAGCTTATATCTTAACCTAGCACATAGGATACTTTATATACTTTTCATATAGAAGAAGCCATGGAATACAGCTAGTATTTAATAAAAACAATTAGTGGAACAAATAACAATTACAAAATTTAAAATGGATATAATTAATAAATTGTGTACAAACCTTCTAAATCAATTTCTTCATCCTGATCACCAAATATATCTTCTAACACTACTCCATTGACAGTCTCATTTGCTTGTAAAAATACATGGGTTTGTAAATTTGGATAAACAGCCATTTTACTCATTTCAAATGTTTGCATATTGTTGGGAACCTTATTTAAAACAACTGTTTTTAAATGGCTTTCCAAGTTTAGTAAATATTCCTGTGCATATTTATATTCTGAAGGTGTTAAATAATTAGTTCCCGAATCTATACGTTGTTTCTCCTCATTTAAAATTGGAATGCAATATTTTTCAATTTTATTTAACCTAGTTTTGAGGTAATTACATATGATAAACTTAATTCTACTAAGTTCCATTTTGTGAATAGAAGCGCGAAGATCTGTTTTCGGTAATTTATTTATATTCCTCTCCATGTGCTGGATCTGTCCAAGCATACATTCAACCATGTCATTACGGTGTGGAAGTATTTCCGGTGCTAAACGCTCGTTTTGCCAAGCACTTTGGAGAGTTTTTAATACTGTATCTGCTGTAATTTCTTCTTCGTCATTACTGAATTCTATGTCATCCTCTAAGTCCATGGCAGAAAGGTGCTGTTATATACAGTACCTCAAAATTCAACTAACGCTCACGGTATTACAAAAAATAATTATACCTTGTAGACAAAAAATTGTAGTACATACAGTTCAATGTGCAACTGTTAAATTAAACTGACTTTTAAAATAATTGTAAAGTCTACTGAGAAAGAAAATGATTAAAATAATAGTAAAATTTCGAGAATTTACGTTTTTTCTTTACTTGGACCCTTAGATTCCGCGATCGGCCGGTGACAATTCAAATATTAATTGTCAGTTGTCAATGTCATTCACTGACTGACAATACTAGAGCCGAAAATTTTATAATTTAAACATAGTCTCTCTAAACTGTTTAAATAATTACGCAACAGAAATTAAACAGATCCAAAAAAAACAAATTGAATACATGTGACCAGACTTAAAACATATCTACCTACTATTCATAGACGTATTTAAAAGGCCGAGTGCGTAGTGCCCAACCAACTTCTGCGTTAAAAGCTCGACAGAAAGACTTCCTCTCAACTAAAATTAACATTTTCGAAACGTACCTACGCCCGCGCCCCACGAACGTTGCGTTTTTTTTTTATGGATGGTAATGGAATGGTTATCCCGCCTACGCTATCGGTATACAAATTCACTAATAAATCAATCACAATAGTTTTCAGGGGGAACCGCGAGGAGGTCAACCTGAGAGAGTATATTGCTAGTAATAGGGTTGCTAATCCCATTATTAACAATCCCTTTTCCCCCCCGCTGGCGTGGTACGCCAACACAACGGAGCCCTTAAAGAAAAAAATCCAAAGCCCATCAGAGGCTCACTATGCGTGCCATTACCGGCACGCACAAGTACGTTAGGAACACCACTTTTAAGAGGGATCTAATGATCACCTTGTTGGACGCCCACATCGAAGACCTAGTCATCAGAATGTTCGCGCATGTAGACGCGTCAGACTAGGACCACTTCAAGGGCCTGGCGCCGTTGTACGCCCAGAAACAAGACTTCAAATCATACACGCGAACACTTGGCTTGCACGCGTGCAGAACAAGAAGCAGCCGATCGCTAGCGACGGCAACGTTGCCGTCCGACTCTTTCATAACTGGCAGTTTGTTAGGCCTTTCCCCATAGAGTCTCACTTGGTAAACAAAGACCGCGCAGAATGATTTGGATGAAATAATTATTAGACCGACTTCGGACTACAGTCCCTCGCACATATTTATGAAATACATGTCTAAGAGTGCATATACCTTTTTATGGACACTGGCCATCCCCTTGAAAAATAATTATAAATATGCGTTGTTCATAGTAATGGGGACTAGCGGCCCCATTGTTAGAAATAAACTCTATCAAGTCAACCTGCACGTGGTTCTCTTAGGAAACTACCGTGGTTAATTCCGAATGAAGTCGTTACGATGAGCTATTTGACTTTTTCATTCTCACCTATTATTACTCACTGGTGCGTATAACGATAACGGGTTACCATTCCATTATCGTCATTTGTTGTGGCTCCACAGTTCCAAGGCACGTCTCTTAACATCTCTAAAAGCATTGGGATCCTTGGTGTCGACATCTCTAGTGATGTACAATCCCGTGGCCACCTCGAAGATAAGGTGAAGCTGGCATACACAAAAAACTCGGTGTGCTCAATAGAGCGAAGCATTACTTCACGCCGGATCAGTGATTAATACTCTACAAATCGCAAATCCGGCCCCACATGGAGTATTGCTATCACTTATGGGCCGGAGCACCTAAATACCAGCTTGAACCTTCGACTCGTTGCAACGACGAGCTATGAGAATTATCGATGATCCCAGGCTCACAAGCGGTATCGATCCATTAAGTCCTAGGAGAGATTTTGCCTCACTCTACGTGTTCTACCGCCTGTACAATGGATTGTGCTCAGAGGAATTGTTCAATATGATGTCCACAGCCACTTTCTACCATCGTACGGCTCGCCATCGACAGGGAGTTCATCCTCATGTCCTACAGCCTCAATAGTCGCGTACTGCACGGTTTCAGAGATGTTTTCTCCCACAAACAATCAGGTTGTGAAATGAGCTTCCTGCCGAGGTTTTCCCAAGAGACTACAGCATGGGGTTCTTCAAAAGGGGGGTAAAGAGGTTCCTTCAGGGTCGGCAACGCACGCGTAATACTTCTGGTATTGCAGGTGTTCATAGGCTACGGTAACCACTTATCATTAGGTGGGTCATATGGTTGTTTGCCACCTCAGTGGTATAAAAAAAAATACAGTTCATACAACATGTCTAGCGAAATTACGTTATGCAATGCGGTTATAAAAAATATGAATAATGGATGATAATGAAATGGTAACCCCGCTAACGGTATACTGTTGGGGCACCAATGTAGGATGATAAGTGAGAATGAAAAAAACAGGTCAGTTAACCCATCGTGCTAGCTATGCGTGTATAGAAAATCAGCACAATGGTTTCCAGGGGGGCCACGTGGAGATCGACCTTGTACTATTACTAACAATCCCTTCCGCCTCTATACAATGGGATTAAAGGAGTGAATAGTTGCTACTATCAATACACTCGTATTATTAACAACAATAATTACCTTAATTAAGAGTATATAATATATAGTAAAATAGGCTAAATAAATAGTAATTGAAGTTTTTTATTTTTTAAGATCTAATTGGTTTTTATTAAAATAGATGCATTATTTCTTGTCTTAATTGATATATAATTTTTACCATATAATTATACCATAAAATATACAAAATATATACCTAGAACTTAGAATTAAACGCTATAGGAAAAAAACGACAGTACCTTGCATACTAACATACAGTTACTGGTGGGATATTATAGGTAGGTATATATTTATAATCCTGTTAGCTTGTATACCTACTGTTATACTTCTTAGTAGCCTTATAACGATATTATAGTCCATAAGACATAATACAGGGTGGTACTCTATTCATACGTAAGCATTTAAGTAGTACCTACAAGTATATATTGTAGGGGATACCTATTTAGATATTTTCTAATTTTTATACAACATTTTTATGTGGTTATATGGATAAGAACATATTATGCTGGCCCTAAATTTATATATGTAAAATAAGGGCAGGAAGATAACGATGACACTATTATGTAACCCTTGCCTGCACTATATGAAAGAAGGTCAGTTGGCGCACCGTGACGAATGCAATGAGAATTAGCTACGATGGTTTCGACGTCGACCGGATAAGGTATACGGCTAGCATTGGAGCTGTTAGACTCTTTCACTAGTCATTCCTTTTCCTCAATAGAAAGAGGTTTTTTTATAATAGGTGAAAATGAAATGGTATCCCTCCCTGCGCCATTGGTATGCACTGGTGGGGCAACAGTGAGGGATGATAGATGAGGATGAAAACAGGTTAGCCCATTTTGACGAATTCAACAATAATTAACCACGTTGATTTTCAGGGGAATCGCGTGAAGGTCGACCTAATAGGATATATTGCTAACAATGAGGCTGTTAGACCCCATTACTAACAACCCTTTTCCCCCAATAGAAAGATGTTAGGTGCTATTAACCCAATAAATGCTTGCGCCACGAGTGATATTTGTGTTACCGTGGCTAAAAACATTTTCATAACATATTTTTTTATTAACCTCATGTTCTATGTAGTCTTTTAGAACATAAAATCTCCACTAAAATCATACTACAAACAACATTTAGATATCGAAATGAAGGATGAAATGTCGATTTGGTTTTTTGGTCGACAGTTGAGAGTTGAATACGACGATGGGCATTATGTTAAAAAGTTTATAAATACTCCCACATTAAAAAGTTTTTCACATTGTACATGTGGAAGAACCCACACAGAAGGAAGCAGTCTCAAAATCAGTTGTCCTATATTTCGTATAGTTTTTGGAATGGTATAATTTATAAGTTTTTATAAGTTCATAAGAATATTTTCTTCCTTTGTTAATTTAATTTTATTAATTATGTAAGGCGAGAAGCCACCCCTGAGAAGTTTCTTTGTAGAATAATATATCCACCTTCTTAGATATCTATATCTCATTATGAATATCGATTTTATTTGTGACGTCGTCGTTAATCCTCAGCATTCCCTTATAAAAGACAAAGACGGCTTGCTAGAAGACGAGTAGCCTCCGCCTCGGCAATCCTACCGCATCACGAGATTGGTTATACTACACTAAAGACTGGAGTAGTTCGTGAAACGATTTTCTTCAGTATTTTTGGTAATAACCATCTCGGCGGCCTTCCTCAATCCTGGATCTAACAGTAAGTGCCTTAATTTAAACATGCGGTGTTAAAGTTCCGATTTATTAATTTAAAAATTCATGATCATGCTAATTTGGTATTTAATTCGAAATAACTGGTTCATGGGTGTGATTATACTTAATTCAATTTTTCCTCGACAGAAGTTGGTGTTTTCTTTTGTAGAATAAAATTTACTCGTTTATTCTTTATATTATAGGTATATAAAAAGACTGACCGGTCAGAAACTTCAAGCAATAGTCCTGCATATTCAGTGACTGCTGCTTATACGGCTATAGTAATTATTCATTATTGGAACTAATATCGCCATATAACATTTACTTGTAAAAAACAATTTATATGTTGTTTTCTAAAGATACGGGCCTACCTAAAATACTGCATAGTTTTGTGGTAGAATAGAATATATTAAGATTTATAATAAAACTAATAAAATTCGTATAGAATCAACATGATATACTTGTCTGTCAGTATTATTGTTTATAGAAAGAAATATCATAATCGGTTTAGATTTGACAAAAGTGTATTGCACAAAAACATTTAAAACGATTTAAGATTCTCCTTTTTGGTAGGCAGTCCATTTAGATTTTTTAAAGGAATTGTATAAAAAATCTACATATTTGTACAGGCTTTTAATGCATGATAATAGAATGGTAACCCCGCCTGAGCTATCGGTATACGCTGGGGGGATACCAGTGATGGATGACAGGTGAAAATGAAACAGGTCAATTAGCCCATTGTGATCTATAAACACCATCAAAAATTAACCACGATGTTCTCCAGGGGAAGCCGCGTGGAGATCGACCTGTTAGGGTATATTGCTAGTAATGGTCCTGTTAGTCTCATTTCTAACAATCCCTATGCCCCTATTTGTACAGGTTAATCGCTTATCGTAATTCGTGTGAAGATGTCTTTTGTGAACTTGGACCCTGGACCGGGTGTAGCTGCTCTACAGGCATGGGGTGGACAAACAGCAGCGTATGGCGCGTCAAATCAGACAGTCGTCGATAAAGTACCACCAGACATGTTACACATGGTGGACCCACATTGGTAAGTAAGCAACTAGATAGGTGTCACTATTTAGAACTAATAGTAAATTTAATATAATATGTGAATAAAGTAAGATCGAAATCACTAGTATCCTTGTGAAATGCTATTATTGTCACTAAATATTTCAACTACCTTAATGCTCTCACTCCTAAATTTCGGAAAGCTAATCATTTCTCAAGATGGTTTTTATAAAAATATATTCGTGTTTTTTTATACCACTGAGATGGCAAACAAGCATATGGCCCCCTGATGGTAAATGGTTACCGCAGCCTATGAACACCTGCAATACGCATGCGTTGTAACATAATCTACTGTATACTATTTTTTCATACAAATCCGGATAATTGAATTATAAATATTGAAAATTTATAAGATCAGTATCATTAATAAGAAACAAGTTGATAAATAAATTCTGACCAACAGCTGGCCGAAAAACTTCAAATTTATTAAGAAGTGTAAGTCCATATTAATACGGATATTTGTCTTATTTAGGTATCAGTTTCCACCTATGAATCCTCTGTGGCACGGACTACTGGGTTTCACTATTGGCGTTCTCGGTTTTATCTCTATCACTGGCAACGGAATGGTCATCTACATTTTTTCTTCCACTAAGGTAACTTATTGCATTAATACTATCGTATTAACATACTACATACATTAGGTAGTTTTTAATTTGTTTAATAAAAAATTTTTATTTCCAGACTCTCAAAACGCCTTCAAATTTGCTAGTAGTAAACTTGGCATTCTCAGATTTCTTAATGATGTGCGCTATGTCTCCGGCCATGGTTGTGAATTGTTACTACGAAACTTGGGTATTTGGTTAGTAAATCCGGTTCTTTGTTTATTTAATGGCAATACATAGGCGATCGAACGCTACCATGATACCTAACAAAGCTATTGGAATAGAATTATTTTATTTAATTCTGCTGCCATTAGTATGTGTGTGAATGCCAATATTCGCAGATTGACCACCACTAATACAACCAGAAGTTCCACAACCATCCATATTAGCCATTAATCTCTGACTACCAATTTGTTCAAGCACCCTTGGCGACAAATGCGTAAATAAAATTATAGTCGGACAAGAAGATTTTTTATGCAACTTAGAACGACAAACAAGCTGACAAATCCATTATGGGAGGTCTGAGATGGTTACGTCTCCTATGTTATACCATATACTAGACCTCCCATCAATTAGTAGTAATAGTAGCATACATAAGTAGCACCATGGACATCATGGAATAGTATAATAGTAAAGATTCCTTAAAATTTCATTAGATATGTTGTATAGGTACAGGTATAGATATATAAATACCAAATACTTATAAAAAGCCGTAACATTTTATGTTCGATCTATTTATATAATTTTACGGAAAGATATAGAATGGAAACCTTTTAGTATAGGTATAAAAATGAAAAATTAAGTGCAAGTTAATTAATTGATTGGATATTCAAAGTTTAATGGTAAGAATACTGACTTCGGCGTTGCATGAGTTGCGGGTTTAATTTAACAAATTAAAATTATTTCAATAATAATAATCCCTGAACCTGGCTAAAAATAAATTCTTCTTTAGGACCATTCGCATGTGAATTGTATGGATGTGCTGGCTCTTTGTTCGGATGCACGTCTATATGGACAATGACAATGATCGCCTTCGACCGTTACAATGTCATTGTAAAGGGTATCGCTGCAAAGCCCATGACAAACAACGGTGCTCTGCTACGCATCCTTGGTATATGGGCGTTTTCCCTCGCTTGGACTCTAGCACCTTTCTTTGGCTGGAACAGGTAGGTAACGTAGTAGTTTAAATAAAGTTTTAAAAGGAATATTTTTGGCATTTACAATATATTCATATTTTATATATATGTTACATGTTACTAAAGATGGAACTAAGCTAAATTAACCTAACAGAAAGTGTAACTCGTATCAATATCTTTTATAGATATAATATCTATCAATTAAAATATGAAAGCCAGTGGTACCCAAATGATGCTCTCCAAAGGACTAAATAATGTTATCCAATTTGTGTCAGACACTTCATAGGCTTTCTGATATAATCAAAGCACAACATGCTATTGTTTCTTCTCTAAGATGATAATCTTTATGTAGGCATTTTTAATTAATATATACTTTTATAAATTAATAAATACTTTTCATTAGATATGTCCCGGAAGGCAACATGACCGCCTGCGGAACTGACTATTTGAACAAGGAATGGCTAAGCCGCAGTTACATTTTAATCTATTCTGTCTTCGTATACTTCACGCCACTTTTGCTCATCATCTACTCATACTTTTTCATTGTCCAGGTTTGTATTTATAAGTTTCAGTTAAATATTATCTGAATGGGTCACTACGATTAAGATTCAGTATTTATTTAGCATTTGAATTTCAGGCCGTGGCAGCTCATGAAAAGGCCATGAGAGAACAGGCCAAAAAAATGAATGTCGCTTCTCTTCGCTCTTCTGAAGCGGCTAACACGAGTGCTGAATGCAAATTAGCTAAAGTATATAACTACCAAATTTCTTAAAATTTGACAAATAATTGGATAGACCATCTTACTAAACATGTTTTAAATTTTTTTTAGGTTGCATTAATGACTATATCACTATGGTTTATGGCATGGACACCATACTTGGCGATCAACTACACGGGTGTATTTGAAAGTGCACCCATCAGTCCCTTAGCAACAATTTGGGGATCACTCTTCGCTAAAGCTAACGCCGTATATAACCCGATTGTATATGGCATCAGGCGAGTATTTTTTACTCATTCAATAATAGCAGATGTAAATACCACTTTGAAATACAATAAGAGAATTCGGATCATTAATCTTAAATATATATCCGAGATTCAATCATATATGTTCGAGGTATCGTAGAAGTAATTGACTGAGGATATCCGACAAATGCCTAACATTTTGGCACCATTTTTCGAATGCATCGAACTGGATCCGAATGCCCATTTAACTTCATGTTACGGATTTTCATTCAGAAGATAATTATATTCAATGAAATGTAGGCAAGTCAAAAATTCCTTTTACGATGTCGGTAACATTCAACAAAAATATCTGAGACTGTCTATCTGAGATATAATGTGCATATTTTTTTATTTTAATATTTTATTTTGCAGCCATCCAAAATATCGCGCAGCGCTCTACCAGAGATTCCCATCATTATCATGCGAATCCTCCCCTGAAGACTCTGGCTCGGTCGCATCTGCCACCACTGCTGTCTCGGAAGAAAAACCTGCAGCGTGAACACTTACTTCGACGACGACAATGAGGCTTACAGCTCACCGGACGCACGATATTGCTAAAGCGATGTTATTTATTATTTTTATACGCAAACATTTACATTTATACGATTTCTAAACTCGAACACAGAGCGTGTGCTGGTTGCAAAATATTCAGGCAATTGTAAATTACGTTTTTGTTATTTGTCACCTGCGTATTTTGAGTTCACGTTTTGTGTCTCGAGTTGAACGTTGCACACATTTCTTACACCTATATATACTCCAGAGGCCAGCGATATAAAAAAAAATACAAAAAATACAACATGAATAAATGTCGCTAAGCCGCCCCTACCATGAGACTGCTCCTATAGGATATAGATACTCCAATAGATATCTTTACGACGAACAAATGCTCTGTATCTTGGACCAATAAAATATATGAAGCAAAGTGGTTAATGACCACAAATGAATTTTTTTTTAATGTTTGCAAATTTTCCTTTATATGTATAAAAGAAGGAGGTATCAAAAACGGTACAGTATAGTTTTTAAATCAAAATAACTGGTTTTGTCACGAATGAAATAGTTTTTTTTTTTTTTTTAATTTATAAATTAATAATAGACGATTAATTAATAATAGCGGAGTATATTGAGATATAATTTATTTTACTTTTAAAAATAGAATTTTTTATTTATTTTTCAGTCAATTCATATTTGAATAGGAAACGTCATTAAAATATTACATATATTTGATTTGGGAAAAAACGGTGAAAACTGTCAAGGATATTTTATGCAAAATGCTTAAGAAAGCATCACTAGTAACCTAGTGATGACACAAATTAACTACTGTGAACTCAATACGGTCTTTTGTGAAGTCGAAAATTGTTGTAAAGCGTCGAAGTGCTTATTAGAATGAAAAAAAATTATTCAGAGAGAATTGTGTATTTTTATTAGAACAAGGACACGAAGACAAAAAGGTTACATCGAACAGTAATTTTAAAATTATATCAAAACCTTTCCAGCCGTTATCAACAAAAATATCATCAATTTGAGGCTATATAGCAGAAAGCTCCGAAAGTTCAATAACTTTGAGACGTGCAATGTTCTTGAAACTCGATATGGAGGAAAATGAACATGACCTAAGTCAGTTGGATGCCAGTATTTTGTCAGGACAGCGGCCAGTATGTGAAAGGATCGTTAGATAGAACAAATAAATATTGATGTATTATATTTTTCTAGTATATGCAATATTCTTAGATTATATTGTAATGACGTTTCCTATTCAAATACGAATTGACACAAAAAAATCTACTTTTAAAAGTAAACTAAATAAAACTTCGACGTACTAACCATCCCCCCCCCCTGAGATGATTTTGCAAGACTGACAGACAGACAGACACAAAAACTACATTTTACACAAAATAATAATTATTATAACATTACAAGCCGAGGGGCAAGGGATTGTTAGTAATGGGGAGGTTAGTCCCTATTGTTATCAATATACCCTACCAGATCGACCTCCACGCGGTTCCCCTGGAAACCATCATGACTAATTTATTGTTAAATTCGTCACGATGGACTAACTGACCTGCCTTTTCATCTTCACCAATCATCTCTCACTGGTGCCCCGTGTGTATAACACGAGGCAACGGCTCAAAAATTTTACTCGTAGAATCGACATTGTTTATATTGCTTCAAATTTTCGCAAGATCGCCTGATTCAATCACTAATGCATACAATCGCTAAATAAAAGGCCTTATACATTTGTCCTTATCAGTTTCTTTTTAGCAACTCTAGGGCAATAAGATAAGACCTACTAGTATATGAAAGGTTCGTTGGCGACTGAAAATAGATATATTATATTTTTTCTAGTATATGTAATATTCTTATGACGAACCTTTCGTAGAATCAAAGCGGTCGCCGTGATCGAAAACGATCACAATTTATCATTTAAATTCCTGTTTAAAGACTAAACAATATGCAAAACCTTTTGATATAAATACAGAAATTTAATCAATGATTAACCCAAAAATGTAATAAGAACTTTTATAAGTAGGTACTAACCTACCCAGTACTACCCTACTTACATTGGGGAGAAAGGGATTGTTAGTGATGGAGACTGAGAATCCCATTGCTAGCAATATACCCAACCAGGTCGACCTCCTCGCGGTTCCCCTTGGAAACTATCATGGTTAATTCCTGATGAATTCATCATGATGGGCTAACTGGCCTGTTTTCATTCTCATCTATCACCCTTCACTGGTGCTCCGCCAGCGTATCCCGTTAGCGCAGGCGGAGTTACCATTCCATTTTCACCCATAAAAAAAAACCTACTTACATGGGGGGGGGGATTAGTTTAAGGGATTGTTAGTAATGGGGTCAAATAGCCTCATTACTAGCAATATACCCTGTCAGGTCGACCTCCACGTGGTTCCCCCTGGAAACCATCGTGACAAATTCTAGTCGTCTGGATGGGCTAACTGACCTACTTTCATCTTCATCTGTCATCCCACACTGGTACCTCGCCAGTGTACCAATAGCGCAGACAGGGTTACCATACCATTATCACCCATTAAAAAACCTACTTACATTATGTTCATATTTAAAAATAACTCTATAGTATACTTACATAGTCAAACAAAATATAAAGTATAGATTAAGGATTAATACCTGACATATAAATATGATTTTTTGACAAAACTTTTTGTGTTCATTTTCATGTTGCTTGGCAACATAAACGTAAATATAAACACAACAAACTTCAATCGCGTCAAAGCTTGCCCCATATCTGTTGCTTTGCATTAAAATAATTGTTATAATTAATTTTATTTAGCAAAGAAATTAATAAATCAGTTATTACTCAGTACAATGGCTAGCAAGACTTCGTATGAACTCCATCATAACTTCCCTAAGTTAGCCGAAGAGTCTGGCTTCACTTTTAATAATATTAGACCTCGCATTCATATCGACTGGAATAAAATTAGTAAGTATTATAAGGCTTTCTATTTCAAAGATACTTACATGTATAAGTTTTAGTTATTCAATTACTGGTTATTTATTACAATACCGTCCTATAAAGTTTTATAATGCGTACCAAGTTTCATTAGATGTGATTATGATCACAATTTAAGACTATAATACAATTTTTTTACATTAATTTTGATGTTATTTATGCTTGAGTGTATATATAATTTATATTACAGGATTAATTGACATAGACTATTTAATAAAGGAGAGAAAATTTTGTCTAATCGAGCAACACATGAATGACGTACGTAAAACTTTTTTTAAGTTTCTTTCAATTTAACAATAGATATAACCTTAAGTTATGCTGTCTTCAAGACAAAATTGGAACTTAAAACTTAAGCACATCATTAGTTCTAGCTCATCATATGCTCCTCTTGTTTGGAGAAACCCATGCAGAGGAGCGGCAATGAATGTCTATATTTTCTATCAGATATGCCATCATCACGTCTACAATTTCGACTAAGGACTACGTTGTTATGGTTTCGTATTCTTTATTTTCACTACCAAATACCCTTCAAACCAAAATAAAAAAAAAAAATTACTTGTTTTACATTCTTTTATATTTATTAAGAATTAGAGATTCATGATGAATTATTTATTACTATTAACATGATACTCTAGCGTATTAAAACTTAAATTAATGATTTAACATAGGTACTAAACTGTGTATTGGAATCTGAATTCGATGTGCGTATTCTCAATGAAAGCGTACTGAAGATGTTCCGTCTAGCGCAATTAGCAGTCGAATACCAACAATTTTGTCGGCACTATCTTGACCGAAGCGTTTATGTTCTACGAGAGGAGATATCTTCACTTATGCAGGTTAGGTAATCTAAATAAATTAATAATCAGTAAAATTAATAGTCATAACGTAAAATTTTCTCTAAATTTCACAATCAAATAATTTTTTCTAGGAGCTCGACCTGACAAAAAAAGACCTACGGGAAAAGGAAGAGGAAATAAAAAAACTAAGAAGAAAAACAAAACATACCTATAGAACTCCACTCCCATATGGAAATGATAATATAGCTAACATGATTTTAAAAACTCTTACAAACAGAAATGATATGTTTGCTTCGACCTCTAACGTTGATACCATGCAATATAATAAATGTAGTTATTGCGAAAAAGTGTTTTTAAATCAACTTTATTTAAAAAGCCACATATCCAGGCGGCATACCAATGTTATGGAAATACCTGAAAACGACAGAGCAGAAAACATTCAAAGTACACTTAATAATAAAGAAAACGCGAAATTAAGTGACGAACTGATGGAACTTAGAGCTAAATTAAAAGAAATGGAAGCAATTATTATTAATACTGTGTCGAATCAAAATAAAGAAGAAAATAAATCGACAGAATATATAAACAATGAAGATAAAATTGAAATAGGCAAAAATGTTTCAAAAAATATGAAAGACGTAGAAGTTTCGACAAATAGTGAAGATTATTTATTAGATAAAATAGAAGAATGGAAAAAGGAAGAACATGAGAAATACAACAAAGAAATAATGCTTTTAAGAAACCAAATTATGGAAACTATTAGTTCCTTTAAAGAAAAAGAAAGTAAAACAATTGTACAGAATGAATTGAATATTATAGATCAATTGCATGCTACAATACGTCAACAGGGCACTGAAATTTTAGCCTTAAAACAAGAATTAAATGATTCGGTAAGTTATTTGTTATAGATATTGGTACTGGAAACAGGCTGGATAGATATGTATATATGTATGTATATTTATAATACATTTAAAACAAAACAGTATAATGTTAATCATTTATATTTATGATAATATACCACCCTAATCTATATAATTTTTAAATAAAAAACATATTTCTAGAAATCAAAAGCGGCAAATGAAAATGCTCAAAGATTTAAAGAAGCTGAAGAACAAATGACAATTTGGGGGAAACGCGCAGAAGAACAAACTAAACAGTACGAGTTGTTACTTAAAAAATTAAATGATGTAGCTAAGGAAGCTCAAGAATCAAGAAACCAGGCCGAAAAAGAAAAGGAGAAAGTAGCACAACTGCAGGCAATTTTAGAGGAACAGTTACATAAAAATAATTCGAATGATAATGAAAATATTTCCAGCGATATTGAGGTAAGCATTCATAATTTAAGATTGTATTCCACAAAAAAGGCCGACTTCAGTGGGGGTAAACCAGTTATTTTGAAATACAAACTAAACTACTGAACTGATTTTGATAAAAAATGTTTGGAACCAATCTAAAAGTATATCCTTTAATATAAAACAGAATTTACCGAATCAGTTTATAAATGACGGAGGTATAAGGTATCAAGCAAAAAAAAAAAACAACCGAATTGAGAATTGAAGTCGGATAAAAATGTCTTGATTAAATACCTACTAATAACAAATTATGTTTAAAAGATATTGTTATATGCTGTTTTATGAATTTTCAAGATCTTACTATATATTTATGCTATGTGAAATACTGGCTATTAACTAATACAGTGGGGCTGCCGCTGCATAATCTCGTAATAATATTTTTTAGCGAGGAAAGAATTGTTAGTTAACGTTCCCATTGTTAACAATATACACTATCAAGTCTGGAAACCATAATGGTAAATTTTTGATGAATTCATCACAATGGGCCAACTAACCTGCCTTCATCCTTACCTGTTAACTGGTCACACGTCAGTGGACACCGATAGCGATAAGGGGTTACCATTCCATTATCATCCATTAAAAAAACTCACTATACATTAATATAGCGGTAACCTCAGGAGCTATCAAAGCGATTTTAATAAATATTTATTGGAAAATTATTTTGTCTCTAATTATTATATTGTTCATGGGGAAAAATATTTCATTTTTACCCAACACACGAATTTGTACCATCAAAGTCACGGTAAAGAACCAGTATATAATAAAAGTAAAATTTCAGGAAGACCCTAAACCTGGCAATAAAAAGAATCATTTTAAAGGAAACGGCAAGTTATCTGCCACATTGATTAATACGGGAAATCCTATAAGAAAATCTACGCCATTGGCTGATCGAAACGCTCTCGAAAAACTTCATTTAAAGGCGCAAGAACTTCTTAGTATTGCATCCATTAGTTCCAGCTCTTCTGATGTTTCAAGCACTGAAATAAATAAACCTATTATACAAAAACAAAAACCAACGAACATAAAACAAGATCAGCTAAAGCAGAGAAAAGATATCAGCGACTTTAACAAACAAGACATAAAAAATATAGAGAAGGCATCTAACAATCTGATTAACTCTATTAAAAATAAATCAAAAGAATCCTTGAAACTAAAAGAAGCTAGTACAAAAAAGGATAAGATAAAATCCCGTTCAAAGGTTGTAACTAATGGCCCTATTGTTGTTCCAAGAAGGTGGGAAAAAAATATATTTACATCTATGATTTATTATTGATTTTTACAGATCGTAAAATAGTAAATATTTATAACTCCCATCAAAATTCCCATCAATGAAAGAACAATACTTCCAAAAAAATTGAATTTATGTGCATAATAGCATTGATATTTTATTACAGTCCATCAAAGTTGGTGCGTGCAAAACTAATAGAAGAAGTAAATAACCGTTTAATAATGGCAGGAATGGACCCACTCAAGAACAGGTTACCCAAAAGTATATTTCAAAAACAGCGACTCCTGCTACAACAGCAACATGAATTGAAATCTAAGGTTTTATTATTTTGTATTACTCTGAAATATCTAATTTACTTGACCTACGTAATTTGCGTATAAGAGCGAGTATTTTTTTTTTCAGAAAAATTCTGATCACGATAAAATAAGACATACAATTTTGGCTTATTTGGATTCAAGTGTAATAAAAAAGAAGAATGCAATTCCTGACGACTATGTTTCTCCAGATAAAGTATCTAAGTTTAGTAGTATAACATCAGTTTTGTCCAATGTAAAAAGTAAAGCTTTGTCATTAGTGAAATCAAATGACAATCAGATCAAACACAAACCACTGAACTCGGACATGACAAAAAGGGCAATGTCTTTATTAAAGACGCCTCCTGGATCAGCGCATTCTAGTCCCATAATTAAACAACATAGTCCCATTAAAAAGAATTTGGAGAAAGAAAAAGAATTAAACCACAATTCAAATCATGAGGTCAAAAATAACAATGCATATAAGAATAAAACTAAAAAAAGACAAACACTGGCTACAAGTTCCGCATTGGACACATCAAATAGTGATTCCGCTGAAAACGATCATAAATATTATAAAGCAGTTGTTCAGCAATCATCTAAAACTGTAGAAAACCTAATCAAGTCTCCCGCTAGAAGACCTTCATCCGCTAACTCAGATTATAAAAATGCCGTAAAGAAATATGCTTTCGACGCCGATGTAAACACTATACATTCTCAGTCAAAAGCAACTATATCTAACTACCAAAATGATTTCACTAATGACAAATTGATAAAAGATGATAAAATCGTAGAGAAATACGACAGTAGTGAAGAATCGTTAAAAAATGTAGCTCTTGTAAAAGCAATCTCTGAGGAAAATATTCATAATCCAAAACAAACTAAGGGAGTTTTGAAAAGTGCATCTTCAATGTCTTCTTTAAATAAGAAGAAAGTATTATTTGATATGGATGCAATTCAAATGAAATCTGTAAGTGCATCGCCATCGCAAAGCATCACTGAAAAAAGTGATTCTAACGAAAAATACGAACTAGGCCTGATAAATCTCGATGGCGAAGAGTGGGATATATCTAGGTTTGTATTTTTGTATACTTCACTATTTAGTACTTATATAAGTACGATAAAATAAATATAGCAATTGCTCATAAGAGCAATTACGTTATGATACTTTAGCTTCTTACTTGTACACTCACACTAATACACTGACATTTTCGCTATATAAATACATAAATACAATACATAGATAACACTAATATTAATGACAATTTTTTTTATTACAGCATAGAAAATGAACCTTTAAAGACTGCTGCTAAAATTCAAGTAAATACACGTACAAGTCCAAAAATTGCAGAACTAAAACAAACTATAGAGTCACAGTTGGCACGGCGCAACGACACTCCTTCTACTGTTCTTGTTGGTGGAGTAGATGTTTTGTCTGGACAAATGATAAAAGCTTCTTGTATAGGCGGCAGCAATACCAGTCTGGGCAGCTCTATTCTTGACGATTCTGATAGTATACCAGCAACTAACCACAAAGCATTCGTAAAACCGAAAAATGTCCCACAAAAAGATGACAGCGAATTGGATATTTCTGAATTCAGTATAGATGGATTAGGCAATAAGAATGAATCTTTTTAATATTGAAGATGAAAAATATTTTTATAATATATAGTTAATGAAATGCACTTGTTTTATTCAAAGATTCAACTTTATCATTTCAGCAATTAATACTCCACTGATTAATATAGGCCTCCCTCATTGATAAGAAACAGTACCGAACTATCTATCTGCTTCTACTGACTCCCAACAACATATATATTTTTTCTTTTTTATGATATTAATCAGCTTTTTTAAAATAGCTAGAATTAGATAATATCGTGGGTGAAAATTAATGTTTTGAAGAACAGTCCAGTAGTTCTCTCAAAATAATTTTGTTAAGCTCTTCCAGCTTTAGTGTCCAAGTGTAATACAAGTCATCGTCTCAATCTTATAGATTGTTGTGCTGTGAGTAATTCTCCAACTAAGTCCTTTATATCGTTTATATGGTGCTATTTATATTTTTTGTTGTTTATCCTCATCTTTTCTTTAACAGTGTCAATTTGCAGATAGTTATGTATCTCCTTATATCTAAAAAACCATGGGGCATTGTTGCTTATTTGAATTCACATATGAGGTCATCATTTTATTTGATAAACCATTCTATAATACATTGTTTTCCCATATGCGATTGCCACTCGCATTATGATTACCAGATTCTCGCATATTATATAGTAAAATGGAAGACTTCCTGTAGTCATTATTATAGACAAAATCTTACGTAGTTTTTTTAACTACTATTTATAAGAATAAATAGTTAATTATTAAAATTTAGTATCCTGAACTGTATTGTTTACATCTAATTAAGTTCTGTTTATACTATTAGTAATCATAGTTTTGTTAAGGAAAAAAAAAATAATCAAACTAATAGCTAGTAAATTTTCTTAAAATGACATTGTATGACCCCTTGTTTTCAATATTTAAAAAGTCACCAAAAATGGCAATATTAAAATCCAGTGTTTGAAAGGGCTTAATTCGATAAACAGTTTATATAAATATTCTATTTGTATCAATAGAAAACAACACTTATTTATTGAGATAAATTTTCCATCCTCATTTTACATATAATGCAATGAAAAATCAGGATAAAAAATTTATAGCTTGTTATCCAAAATATTATAGTATGATAGTAAAAAAATAAATACAACAGCATATGGATTCAAACTTATATTTAAATTTTTTTAAATGTAAATAGGTATGTAAATCACATGCCTATTTACATTTATACACAAAGATATTTTAGTATCTATTTTATTACATTCCTATTTAATAAATAACAGTGGCACAAATCATTAATAAATAAAATAAAAATTACCTATTACAAAGCCCTTTGAACTTTACGTACATGTTGACTTTTTGATTCTTTTAATGCTTGATCCAACACATTTGTCATATGTATTAAATTGGGCAAGTCACACTGAAGCAAATGATGATTTATAATATTCTGGCAATGACTTGCTGCTTTTGCTTCCTGTACAGTTGAATTAATGTGTATTGGTGATACATTTTTATTATTATTTTTAGAGTACTGGTCTATTTTATCTTCACTGGGCTGTCTAAAATTCTTAGGAGTCATGACTACAAAATCCATTGAGACCATTGGTTTGATTTCTTCACTGGAGTTTCGAGATGCAATCTGGTAATACAAAAATACAATTCTATAAATATAATTTTTAGAGTTCTGTACCAAGAGATGAAAAGAAACTCTTATGGTCCATCTATCCATCCATTTCTAAAAATCTATTTCATATGAGAAATACTATAAAAGTCATTTTATCTCATATTTATGTGAATTTATAAAAATTTGGATGTTTATTACCTAATCACATTTACATAGTTGAATGAATTTAAATAATATTCTATAGCTATTTTTATCTAGACTATTTATGCAAGAAAATTTGTCAAGACAAATATGTAATAATAATAATAATAAATAATTAATTAAGAGACCTCCATGCCTATTTTAGGGATACTTTAAATGTTTTTATTTTCATGACTTCATCATTATCATCATTTCAGCTATTTTCTGTCCACTACTGAAAATAGGTTTCCCCTATAGACTACCATAAGGAACAGTCCTGAGCCACCTACATCCACTGACTCCCTGCAATGCATTTGAAGTGATTACTTTTCATGACTTAATCTTCATTAGTGCACAAAATACAGACATGAAAAAAATTATGTATGAAATAAATTGTGTTTTGGAGTTGGTTTTTGAACCCAAAAGATAAAAAACAATAAATATTTATATTTTTGAAATCATGAATAATATACCTGCACTTCAAACCTCCAGCTTAAGTCCTGGTAGGTGGGATCCTTTTGCTGTAATAAATTCAGGGCACTGGACAGCTCAGTTTTTTTTGTATTGTATAACTTCACCAATATTTCTTGTTGCTCGGTAGAAAATCCAGCTAATGCTAGTGATGACTTGAAATCTGATTCAGATAGCTGAAGAAAAATAGATCAACAGAATAAAAATATTCAAAATTATCTTAACAATTTCTCAATAAAACTTGATTTATTAGTGTTGATAATTCAATGATTATAATAACTGATTCACATGATTTTGTTCACATACATATATATACAAAGCATCCTAAATCTAAAAATGTATACTTACATTATGTTTGCAAGCCTCAATGATAAGATAAACTAATGCATGCACCAAATTTTGTACAACAGTCATAGGCACATTTAGTTTTTCTGAAAAAATAGTAATATACAAACAATTATATTTAAAAATATTTAACTAATTAATACAATAAGCAAATATTAATGTCAATTGTGATATTTATGGTGCTCACCTGCTGCAATATTGTGCTTTTTTGGGTTAACTCCATTATTCAAATAGTCTATTGTGAGTTTACAGAAATCAATTAAAACTGTAAAGAAAGTAAATAATTTAATAATATAAAATACATTTAAAAAAAGTAGTTATTTTATGTTGTAATTCGGATACCCTTAGGGGTGGTACTGATATTCAACATACTATAACCACATTAAAACATATGATATTAATATATTTTAACTTACCTTGAATGGAATGTTTATGAAGTAAATCAAGATGTTCTTTTTGAAGTTCACTTAAAAATATAATCATACTGACTTTCTCTTGTTATAATATCTGTAAATATACTATTTTGCTGGCAATAGAACAAAGTTGTTAACCGGCAGCATTTAACACCGGAATTCACAGTTTCTCAATTATTTCAATCTACACCATTTACCAATATAGGTCTGGCATAAGAATTACGTATTAAATCATTTAATACTCGAGTTGTAATTAAGTAAAGAATAAATCACTATTCCTTATTTTGCTAGGTACATTTCAATGACTTTGTGTGTAATCTTCCATTTAAATTCATAGAAGTAATAAATATTTTCACTAGATAAATAAACTTAGATAATTGTGAGCGTATTTCTATATATATTTTAAATTTTAATAACTTTTAGTATTTACTTCCAGTGCTTCCAGTCAAATAAATACATAGATTAAAGAGACTATGTCTAAAGAAAAAAATAAATACCACAGAGCAAGTAATAACCTAAGAACATGGAATTACATAGAAGGAATGATAAAATTAAAACTGTAAATTAAATGGTTGTCTCCTTTTTTCTTATGCAAAGGAGGCAATCATATGATTTACAGTTTTTATTTCATCATTCCATGTAATTCCTTATTCTTAGTACTAAACATTATTATTCTTAATCTACGAGTATGTGTCAAAATGTCAAATAGGTTAAATGAGTTGTCAGACTGATTGTCATCTCATCATTGTCAGTTTATCAATGGCTTAGTGCCACCTAGATAGCCATAATATTTTTTAACAAATAAAAAATTGTTATTTCCATGGATGTTGTTATTGTTTGCAAGTGTTTGTGAATTTTATTAATGCCTAATAAAATCTTTTCAACATGGCTTTGAAAAAAGTCAAAGGGAATTTTGAAAGAATGTTCGATAAAAATCTTACGGACCTAGTTCGGGGTATACGAAATAACAAAGATAATGAGGTATTAATCAAATTGCCTTTAATTAATATCATAAAGTTTTCTTGTTTCCTTGTTCTCTTTTATAATAGTTAAAATTTTTAGGCAAAATACATAGCACAATGTATGGAAGAAATAAAAGTAGAATTGCGTCAGGATAACATAGCGGTGAAAGCAAATGCAGTTGCCAAATTGACATACGTAAGTACTGCAGTTTTTAAATCTTTAATTCAAATTTTATTATTACCACAGTGCCTTACTACCCCTCAATTGGAAAATATAAACTTGAAACATATATGATAATGATTAACTGCCATATTCCATTATGTTTATTAGCAAATAAAAATAATATATAAATATACACACAGGTATAATACTTAAGTTCTAATGTAATTTAAAGGTTTTATGCATACAGCAGCTTGCTTGTCTTTCTAATTTGCATAAAAAAATATTACAAATTTTTTTATAATGTATTTTCATTTAAAAATATCTGTTTAGGAGATTGCAATGAGCCCAATATAATCTTATATTCATATATCCATTTTTTTTCTACACTGTATACACTGTTAGTATACACAACTTATTTTTATTAAAATTAATGAGGTCAATGTTAATATATCTCACATAATATATTATAAATAGATTTTTTTTTAATTTAACCATTTTGTCTTGTTGAAAGAATTCAAAATTGTTTGTCAATGAGATATATTTACTCATAACACAAATTTATATATATACTTAAACAAACTACAATGTGTCACATATACTAAGAATGTTCTTTTGAAATATATTAGGAAATGAGAAATACTAAAAAAATTGGTTTTTTGGGTTCTGAAAAGCAATGCCACAAATTCTTTTCTGTAACATATTAAATTTATTACAGCTACAAATGCTTGGGTATGACATATCATGGGCAATATTCAACATAATAGAGGTTATGAGTTCCAATAAATTTACTTATAAGCGTATTGGATATTTAGCAGCAAGTCAATCATTCCATGCCGACTCAGAACTGCTCATGCTCACAACAAATATGATTCGGAAGGATTTAAATGCTCAAAATCAATATGAAGCAGGCCTTGCACTTAGTGGACTTAGCTGTTTTATATCTCATGATTTAGCAAGAGATCTTGCCAATGATATTATGACACTGGTATGTATTGTCTTCTATAAGTAAAAGTTGTTTATCAAATATGTAAGCGCATCTCTTCAGAACAGCTGCACATATTTGGTTATTTCTTTTTTTGTTATGTTTGTAATTGTCAGGACAAATTTGAAAAATAAAATATTTGGGTTAAAGTCTCTTAAACATCTTCAAAAATATTGAGGGAGTGGACATTTACTTTTTCAGTTTCTCGTATTATTTTGGCTGATGGGTATGCTCACGCTATAACAAGAAAATTTAGTCCCATTTTCTTAATTAATTTACCTATGCGAACCCATGCTAGTGTAGACAGCTAGTTAATCATAAACATATTTAAAAGTAAATTACTATAATCTATATCTTCTGTAAGCAATTATCTACTGAGTAAATTTACATAACACTTTTATAATATAAATGATGAACAAATATAGAGAACAAAACAATAACTATTGTTTATTGATAGTATTTAGTTTAAATGTATAACTTTCAGATGAGCTCAACAAAACCATATCTGAGAATGAAGGCTGTACTTATGATGTACAAGGTATTTCTAAGGTATCCAGAAGCACTGAGACCTGCATTCCCTAAACTTAAAGAGAAATTGGAGGATCCTGATCCTGGTTAGTTACGTTACATTTACAATAATAATCATATTATGTGAGAGACAAGTATAAGATAGCCACACAAAATATTAATTGTACTGAAGTAATTATATATAAATGAGGGAGAGAATTAGCTTGCTAAAGAAAAAATACTGTCTTTTTTAAGCAACTTAAATTGGCAAATAATCTTGTAGTCTATCTGTAAAAGAAAAAAGAAGAGGTGAAATTGACCATTCCTCAATTTCACCTATTTTCTTAAATAACTTCAAAACCATTTATTTTATAATGATGAAAAATGTAAATATTTCAGACTCACAAGAAGCCCTTTCATATGTCACACAGTATAGTGTGTACATTTTTTTTTCATTCTCAAATTTACCATAGAAATATTATCCCTATATTTGAAATTAATTATATCACACATCCATATTTGAGGCACCAACTTACATGTGTACCAAATTTCAACTCAATTGGTCCATTAGTTTTGTAGCAAATTGACTGTGACGGACAAACAAACAGACATATAACTGATCTTATCTATTTTATCCTTTTGAGGTATGGAACCGTAAAAACAAGTAGAACAGTAGAACTTCAATGTAGCCATATTTTGTACAATGTCTCTTTCTGGTATAAAATATCTCTTCTCCACCATGAGTAGCACTTTATATAAATAAGGTGATGGGATTACTATAGTTATTTTTAATTTAAAATTATTTTCTAGGTGTACAGTCAGCAGCAGTGAATGTAGTCTGTGAACTAGCAAGAAAGAATCCTAAGAATTATTTGTCTCTTGCACCTGTCTTTTTTAAGTTAATGACCACATCTACCAATAATTGGATGCTCATTAAAATCATAAAACTGGTGTGTATTACTTTGATTTTTACTATTACTATTATTACATAGACATAAAAATTAGGTGAAACTAACATTACTCAATAATATTCGTATTTTTCTATTAGGACATTCCTTTTATCACTGGATGCAAAGTACTTGTAAATAATTAAATACTGAAAAGTAATGTTTAATTTATTGTCATATTGCTAGTGAGTCATATCAACCATTATGTTAAACACTCGGAAAGTTGCTGATAGTATAGACAGATTATGTCATCTCACTCTGGTTGTAGATAACATAAACAATATATTATTCCAAATTGCTTTTACTATTATATATATGTAGGTAAAAATAAACAAAAATATGTATTGAATTATATATTATTGTACTTTGAAATTTCTGATACTGAGGTTGAGCTATTTTATACTATATGCTAATAATATTGTTACTTTGTTTAGGTAGTCTGTATAATATACAGGGTGAAGGGACAGGTTGGCCAAAATGAGAATAGCCGATTCAGATTAATGCTGTGAATCAGATGGCAGATGATTTTCCTAATGGAAATGCACCACAGTCATGTATTTAACGATTCTTAGTTTTGTATTTGATATTTTACAATCCACATGACACGTAATACGTAGGTATCTCCCGGTCAATGGTGTTTCTTCCTAGGTAGTTTTCGTATGCTTGTGGCGTTGATTTTACACAGCTGATTCCACGCGTACATTGCTGTTTTTGGTATTTCATAGTTTTTTACTATAAAATATTATTTCTTTATTTTATTACTAATATCGTAGATTACATGATTTTAAATGATAAAAATCTAGAGATTTTCCAAAAAGAGTTTCTATTGGTTTTCAGTTCAGAATAATAATGGTCTAAATTCACTGTGTCTGTTTTTGCCAACCTGTCCCACTCATAAGTGTAATATACAGGGTATAGATTCTGTGTATTATACTTATGAAATATTTTGATTTGTAAATAGGCATAATAAAGTATTACTACTTAACTATACATCTCTATTAATTAATGGATAAAAATTGACTGTTGTATCACATTAGATTTCCATAATCTGACATTTACATGTAATTCTCCGCAGTTTGGTTTAATGACACAGTATGAACCAGATATTGGAAGAAAAATTACTCAAAGCCTCATAGATCTAATTTGCAGGTACCTCAAATACAGTTGGAAAACAAGTTTAGCAGCTAGACTCATTCACCATATCTCACCATTACATTTTCCTCCTTAGCAGTTAACAGTACCACATTTTTCAATTGCAGGCTGATTGTACATAAGTTGCAAATGTTACATTCATCTTTTTGGACTTAGATTCAAATAGATATTATAATTTGCGATTTAAACCATTATATCATTTATATATATAATTGCTGATTTTAAGAATTTAAAATGACAACTCTTTTCCGTGTATAAACAATGTTCACCAATTGTTGGTAGCAATTGCAAATGTTATGATAATAATAAGCCTGTTTAAGAAGATTTTTTCCACAAGATGGTACACTATTAATTGGCACAGCTCACATTTTCTGTTAATTTTGCTGCTGAAAAATTATAATGATATAAACTACGACATTGGAAAGTAATTAAGTAAATTACCAAGGGTCAACTACTGTAGAGAAAACAAAATAATAATATGCAACAATGATACAAGAACTCCAACAACAACCTACCCCATACATCATGATAGTAGTAAAGAATCAGCTTATGACGTAAGCTAGTCTTATGTAGTGTCATTGTGTTTGTTGCAGTTTGGTGCCTTAACCCCATTAGAGCCCCGACTTGGCAAGAAACTGATAGAACCATTAACTAATTTAATACATAGGTGAGTCAGTTATTGTCAAAAGTGTAATTAGAATTGGTCTCTATGGGGTGAAGGGAAATTATTCCTTTGCATAGTGAATAATCTGGATAAATTTGTAAGATCTCGTAATTTAGTCGTTTATATCTTTGTTTAATTTTTATAGGTATCTCTTGTATAACTTCTTGTATACTTCAGTATTTTACAAAATTGTTGTGATAATTTATTCTAAGAATTGTATATAATGGGCTGCTTTCATTGCTTTTTAGTTATTCTTTTAAGGCTTCATATAAAATTAAACACCTAGATTAAAAAATAAAATGTCACACGCTAGAATATGCTTAAATACAATTACATATTTACATATTTTGATTTTTTTATTGTAAAAGATCTTATTTAATAATTTTTAATTTATTTTTTTCTTAATTTTCACTTAAAATTATAGCAAACTATATATTAATGTTATCATTACATAAGTAGCAGTAGCGCACAATAATCATATAAATATACATTGTGCTGGTAAGTAAGTACCAATATATACTATTTAAATGTGTATTCATATTACGAGTATTAAGAGAATATGTACTACCATCTATATAAAATGCTAAGGTAAATATTTGATGTTTATATTATTTTTTAAATACTAGCGTAATTAAAAAACCGTTTAAATTTTATTTACCCATATTGTACATACACACCCAGTATTATAATGTAAAACATTTTTCAAGTGTTAGTAATATTACGATAGGTCAACATTTACTTACATATTTAATGTAATATAAATATCATAATGATAATTATTTACATTATCTTCATTTATGTATTAATACTATAATGTAATAGTATGACTCACAATAGTTATTATTCAAAATATTATAATAATTACAATTAAAAGATATAAATGACATGTTCGAAATTTATTATTTGTTTTGTGGACAGTACGTCAGCGATGTCTCTGTTATACGAGTGTATCAACACGGTGATAGCTGTGCTGATCAGCATCAGCAGTGGCATGCCCGGTCACGCGGCTTCGGTGCAGTTGTGCGTGCAGAAACTCAGGATACTCATTGAGGACAGTGACCAGAATTGTAAGTGAAATTCAATTTATTAAATATAACTCATACAAAATAAAAGATAGAAAATTGTAAATGTAACTATCACATTACACATAAAGGCAGTTGGTTGTGAAAACCTTAGACTTATAAACGTGAAAGTTTTTACACATGTTTTTTAGTTAATAACATGTTAAATAAAAAACAATTTATTATTCGAAGGAAACACAGAAATACATATTATCTATATAGACAAAGTAGCAAATTAAGCCAAACATTTTACATTTAAGATAGGAAGGTTATGATTTCGTAACTGAAAAATAACTCTATTTTAACTGTAAAAATAATTTGATGGGAGCCTGATATCATCAAATGACATATTGTTGATGTATACAGTCCTTCCCTTTTCCATACTTATCTATTCAGTATTTCAGTGTATGAGTAGTATCCCTAGTGGTACGACCTATAGTGTCGCCTATTATTATATGGAACGAAAAAAGTTCTTATACAAATAAAGCAAAAAATAAATTATGAAAAAAGCAATTTATGGGGAACATCTGTATTTTTATATTAATTCTCAATATTTTATTTTTAGTAAAGTATTTGGGCTTACTGGCAATGTCCCGAATACTGAAGTCTCACCCAAAATCAGTGCAAGCACACAAAGATCTGGTGTTGGCATGCCTGGATGATAAGGACGAGTCTATTAGACTTAGAGCACTTGGATTACTATATGGAATGGTAAATATTATTTATATTTACTTCTTATAACTTTATTTAAGGGTACCAAAAAAATTAAAATACAAAAAAAAAGATGAAATTGTGCTCTATCACATGTGATTCAAATAAAACATATTTTGTCCTTTGTTTTTGGGAAAAAAGTAATCATTTTTAGTTTCAGTAAGTTGTTATTATAAGACCCAAAAAGTATTATTTGTGATCCAAAATGCTATATTTAATTTTATTTCCTACTTTTAGAGTTAAGAACATTGTTTTAAATCTTTCTTTTTTTTACTATAAAAGGTATCGAAGAAGAATTTAATGGAAATCGTGAAGAAGTTGATGATGCACATGGAGCGCGCAGAAGGTACTCTTTACCGCGACGAGCTACTCACGCGTATGATCGAGATTTGCTCACAAAACAACTACCAGCATGTGGTGGACTTTGAGTGGTACGTCACCGTGCTAGCAGAACTCACCGAAATGGAGACGAGTGCTAAACATGGTGATTATCTTTGTATACTTATATTCTTTGAATATAAACACTATGCCACTCCCTCTTTTTTAAAAAGGAATATAACCCATCTATGTCTGACAAGGCTTTTAAGGATTAGACATTAGGTTGAGAATCTTTTAATTTAGAACTTCGAATTCTTTAAATATTTTCTGCACTACATTCACAGTTTCTTCAGTAGCATGAATAATTTACAAATGCGTGTAGTCAATGCTATTTTTCGAGTATGGCAAATCGCATTGTATGTCTGCTTATAGGATAATATAAACAGATATACGATGCATTTGGACGATCTTCAGCGGATTAAAGGTAGACACGTGGAGGATTGAACGTTCGACAACCACAGCATTCCGTTGGTATCTATTTGCGTAGTGTGTAATATGGTTCTAATATAAGATTATAAATATATAAATTTAAATGTTATGTATGTATATATATATATATATATATATATATATATATATATATATATATATATATATATATATATATATATACATCACATACTGTGATAATATGTTACCACATATTTATTATACCTTAGCTTTTTTTAATGGATGATAATGAAATGGTAAACCCGCCTGCGTTATCAATATACACTGGTGTCTCACCAGTGAGGTATGATAGGTGAGGATAAAGTCATGTCAGTTAGCCTAATTAATCACGAGTGTTTCGAGGGGGAACCTCATCGAGGTCGACCTGTCAGGGTATACTGCTAGCAATGCGAATGTGAATTTACAGGGTACAGAGCAATAACACCTGAGTCCTCAGGAATGACTCATGTCTATAGGCGACGGTTACCACTTTCCATCAGGTGGGCCGTCAGCTTGTTAGCCATTCTAAGTTGTATAAAAAAAAATGCGAGGGATAGTCCGCATTAGTAATAATCCCCTGTCCCCCATACATGCCGTGGTGTGAGACACGGGCGTAGTGGCTGGCTAGCCCGTGCTTGAGTGACGCGCGGTGGTTGGCAGGCGCGGCGCTGGCGCGGCAGCTGACGGAGGTGGGCGCGCGCGTGGCGGCGGTGCGCGGGTTCGCGGCGCGCGAGTGCGCGGCGCTGTGCCGGCGCTGCGCGGGCGCACCGCCCGGGCCCGCCTCGCGCGAGGTGCTCTACGCCGCCGCCTACGTGCTCGCCGAGTACTGTCAGTAAGTGCACCGCGATCACCTCTTCTTATATTCTTTCAAGTGATTTCAAAAAACATGAACGTCCCGATTCGGTTGTAGTCTTTTTATGTTTGTCAGTTACAAGGAGACTTGGATTTTTTTTTTTTTTTTATCTAAAAGGATATATTTACAGATTGGTCTTATAGAAATTTTGTCTAAATCGGTTTTAATAATTTAATTTTATATTTCAAACCGGTTTTGCCACAATGAAGTCTGTTTTTGTGGTTTTTTTTTTTGTTGTGTTTGTGTATTAAATTCCTAAGTTATTTTATCGCTATTTCTGAGAGTCTATTAATTAGTGGCTTTTTCAGCAGTCGATATGTCTGTATCCTTGTCTGTATCAATGTTTATTTCGGAAAATATATTTGTTACAAATATTACATTATAAATACATGTCTAGAATTTGATGTAAAAACTCTAAATATAGAATAATTTGAAAACACGATATTTTTGATCCGTGGAACTTCTTTAAATAAAAATTTTATTACTCCCATCATTAAAGTACTCAATGGTTTTTTTTATGACCGATAATGGAATAGTAACCCCATCTACATTATCGGCATACACTGGCGGGAAGTGAAGGATTATAGATGAGGATAAAATTAGGTCAGTTGCCTCATCGGCGAACTTAACCACAATGGTTTCCTGGGAGAAAAGCGTGGAGGTGAACTCGAGAGGGTATATTGATAGCTTTCTTTTAATGGATGAAAATGGCATGGTAACACCGTCTGCGCTATCGATATACGCTGGCGGGGCACCAGTAAGAGGTGATAGGTGAGTATGAAAAGGCAGGTCAGTTAGCCCATCGTGACGAATTCAACGATAAATTAGTCACGATAGTTTCCAAGGGGAAGCGCGGAGGTCGACTTGATAGGGTATCCTGATAGCAATGGGGACTAACCTCCCCGTTAATAACAATCTCCAGTATATTGATAGCGATGAGGACGCCCATTACTAGCAATCCCTCCCTTTTCCCCGGATGTGCGGTTTATGTGGTAACGATGCGTTTGTCCGCGGCCAGGGAGGAGGCGGTGATGCGCGAGTCGGTGTCGCCGCTGCTGGTGTGCGCGGCCGTGGGCGGCGCACACATGCGCGCGCGCGCCGTGTGCGTACACGCCGCGTTCAAGCTCACCGCGAAGCTGCTACACTGCTACGAGAAGCGAGGAGACCTTGACGCTGCTATATCCGTATGTAGAAATTTATATTTGTTTTATATTCTTCTCAGTCGATTTCTCAAGATTAAGGATCGAGATCACCGGGAATGTTTCTCCCAACAAATACTATTATATTCAGGCTTCCTGTTGTTCTGTATAAGGGCGAATTAAAGATTGTCCACCTTGTCACTGACTTGGTCTTGCACACACACACCGCAGTACAATGTCTGTAATCGATATAATTTATTCGACACATCATATCATAAAATTGTAATATTCATACACATAAAAACAGAAAAACTTGAGACCAAATTAAGTAAGGTACCAGATGGAGACTGTACAAAAGTCATTTGCTTGTGTACGTGTGTCCCGTTCGTATTTTTACCGCGAAGCAGTTGTGTTTCAGTTTGAAGGGTGGGATATAGCGTGAATTTACTGGGTACGGAGGAATAACACCTGAGAGGAATGGCAACGCATGGGAGGTATCATGGGCGAAACGGTATACTCTGTTATGTCCATGGTACTGCTCATGTCTATAGGCGACGGTTACCACTTTCCATCAGGTGGGCCGTCAGCTTGTTTGCCATTCTAAGTTGTATAAAAAAAAAGTAATCTGCAAATTTTCTATTTCACTTGGTATCCTAATAGCGAAGTGTAATTAGCGCCCAATATTTAGGGAAACGATACTCTTTAAGAAAAAAAGTCTGTAATCACGAATTGTTCCCGCGATACTCCTTCCTCCTGAATTTTTTGACGTATGTATATACTCTCGTGTATATACACTCGAGACAGTGTAGGTGTTGCCATACACTACACTTATCTTGGGCCATTTGGATTACTGACGGAATATGTAATTTGATATTAGTTCTGATTATGTTTCAGAGATGGCATATGGCCCACAAACAAAAACAAACAAGCATTTTATCCTCATAATCCAATTTTTTTATGCCAAATGATGTTCATACAAAGTGACACAAGACACAGACAATTAAAAGAGTCTCAGCCACCAGTGAATCGTTTGTGTAGGTAGTCCGCGAGGCGCTGGCAGGCTTGCGGCCGCTGCTGTGCAGCGAAGACATGGAAGTACAAGAACGTGCACATAACGCGACAGCGCTACTCTCTTTGTTGCTGCCTCGGCTCGGCGCTACCGACGGTGACGGTGACCTTCCTCATGTCGTCGACGGCACACTAGTCGACCATGAACAGAGGTACAAATATTATAAAGTGCAATCAAATTAAGAACAGGACTTACTGTTAATCACTTTGTGACATATGCCCCTTTGTAACAAGTATTTCTAGTAGATCGCGGGAAACAGGCAACTATAATAAAAGAAAGAAGTAATTAAAACATAACTTACAAATTCAACAAAACATTTGATTAAGAGAAAAAATCTATTATATGTATTAAACTTTCATTCTAAAAATCTCATTTAATACAGTTCTTTTATAGCAAATTTTGCCAAAATGTCAATGTCAACCGTTACCACACTACAGTATCTTTGGGCTCTGTTGAGTAATAATAAGAAACATTACAGCGTTCCGGGCTGCATTAATGCAAAGATCGATCTTACACTAGTGTAACAGAGTTGCAAATTGTATTCATCGCGAATGATCGGCGTGTGAAGAATTGCTGAATATGGCGCTAGCTATAGTTAGATGATTCTGAGATTTGGTTCAACAATCACGATAATATATTTTCATCAATAGGTTTTTAATTATGCAATCTTCATGTTATCTAAACTGCGTGGCCATGTAGGGAAAATATATAATGGAATATATTTCAGCAATGGTTTGGAGAAACAGACAAATGGTGAGAATGTAAACGGTGAGGAGTCGCACGGCTTCAGCGGCGGTTTAATTGAGGAGCTCGTCGACTTGTTTGAAGGCGAATTGAAACCTGTCGCACCGAAAGCACAGAAAAAAGTTCCCATGCCTCCAGAGTAAGTGAATTTAAAATATTATAACAACGTACTTGTTGAGGGCTGCAATAACCACAATCAGACTAATCATAGTTTGTTTTCCTTATCGGTTTTTGGTCCACTCCCCTTGGAATATTTTAACTATATTGTCGCCCCATTTGGACTATTGGAGCTCTGAGAAGTAGATGTGAGTACGAAATATTATAAATTAAGTCTTAAATTCAATCTTGACTGACATCAAAAATTCAAAAAAGATTGATCAACACAAATTTGATGTGGTAATTGTAAGGTACAAGTAAAGGCAATAATCAACTATCCTATTACCTCACTCACCCGTAATAGAATGTAGATATGTGACGGATTAATTATCAAAACTTAATTTATGTTATTGATGCACATACGAATTCAGTTTTGTTAATTTATATTCTTCTTTATATATGTTTTATTTTGTATTGTCAGCTTGGACCTGAATCAATGGTTATCTCGCGATCACTGGTCGTCCGAGAGCTCTAGCTCGGAGGAGGAGGCTGATGGCGGCGCGGTGTTTGCGGCGCCGCAGCCCGACCCCAGACCCACAGCGCAGTTCACTCCTGAAGAACTGCAGATGGTATTACACATTCTCTAAATCTTTTGTTTAGTTATTGGTCATTCCTTGATGTACTATACAAAGTTACCATGGCTATTACACTGCAATCTTAAGTAACACTCATGGTGCTGTTCATGTCTCTTGACTACAATTAGCAATTTACATCATGTAGACAATGACCTTATATGCTATTCTTAGCTATAAAGTATGTATATTGTTGAAAGGTTTTTAGCCGGCTTAAGTTTTATATCGGCTAAAAACTTGTCGAATTATCTATATTTTTTATCTCTTAATAATATAACTATGGGGTAAAGGTAAGAAAGTTTTATTTTACGAATGATCAAAGGATCATCTGTAAATTCAAAGGAATTCCTTTGAATTTAAAGAGGAATTTACAAAAGGTTTTAAATTTTTATAAAGATTTATTTTTTATATAATAGGAGAGAGACTTTATACAAAAGTCATTTGCTTGGGTACCTCTGTCTCATTCGTGTTTCAACCGTAAAGCTGTTGTTTTAAGTAACTGTTGTCGTAAGTTTGTTGTTTACATAGCTGTGTTTCGGTTTGAAGAGTGGGATATGGTGTAAATTTACAGGGTACAGAGGAATAACACTTGTATCCTCAGGAATGACAACGCATGAGAGGTATCATAGGCGAAACAGTATACTCTGTCTGTATAGTATGTCCATGGTACTGCTCATGTCTATAGGCGACGGTTACCACTTTCTATAAGGTGGGCCGTTAGCTTGTTTGCCATTCTAAGTTGTATAAAAAAAATAGGAAAACTTATTGCCAACGTAAAATGTCAAATACGATGATGATTGTGAATTATGTTTGTGCAGTTACGGGAGGCACGCCGTCAGGAGCAAGCGAACAATCCGCATTACCTGAAGGACGATTCCCCGCGCTCCTATCAACAAGAGGATGTACCCATCGCAGAGATTGCACTAGAAGTGCCATTACAAATACAATGTATGTATTATATCTTTGTCTCTGAACTTATTTCAGTTGTTGTTTTGTCTTTTCTTAGACTACAACATCCTACAAACCTAGTTTAAATATTATTCTATTATTTAGACTTTTTCGTAACTTTCTTACAAATTAAAAAATTTGCGCAAAAGCAAAATAGGTTTGCATGAGGTTTGACGTTTTTAGAAATAATGGAGTTACTAATTTAAAAAAAAAGTGATAGTACATTAGTATAGAAGACATATTTTACCTATTATAACAGGATATACGAGTATAATAAAATTGTAACTAGACGATGTCTGTACATTGGAGATATTTAAAAACAATTGATACGAGCGATCTTAATAGGAGTAGTGGAAGCCAAAATAATAAGTTTTGAAAATTTTGTTTGTCTGTGCATTTATTCTGGCATCACACAAAAATTACTACAACAAATTGATTGCGGTTTTCACAGTTGAGTTCCTAAACGTCTAACTTAAAATCTGATGTATGTCTCTTGACACGCCATCTAGATGGGATTTTTTTTTTCATTAGTTTGCCTACTTTTGAAATCCACACGTACAAAGTAGCGGGCAAAAAGCTAGTATATAATACAATAATATTATTGGAAAACAACGCTAATGCTTTACTATTCATCATATCAAATAATAATAATAAATTTGTAATATCCGTTGTCTACTGCTGAACATAAGTTGTCCCCCATAAGGGGGAGTTTTCCCAGTAGTTGCCACGCTTGGCAAGCGGCTTGGCAACCGTAGTTAAGCCTTTAATGTTATTTTAAGAGGAAAGTTGTTGTCCTTCCCTCTACCATTAAGATCTCTAAATCGCCTCTTACGACACCCACAGAAAACGAAGTAGGGGTCCATTCTATACTAGGACCATATCGCGATACTTTATTATTACCACAGTCTAATGAGTACTTTTCTTTTGCTCACCTAACAGACATGTTTACGCAAATTATCCTGAATTATCATGTAATTAATCAGGAGTCAAGTATCGATGACGTTGTACCATTGGTTGGTTGAGGATTTTATTTCGAATTTCCTTTCTCAATAAGTGATGTGTTGTTCTATTATTTAATAATATTAATTAGAATTTGAACAATGTCCTAGCAATTAAGTTCAGATTATTTATTTACTATTATTTTACAGCCAAAAGATCTGATAAGTACTTAATCTCAAAAGAAAGTTCAAAGAAAACCAAGAAAGAAAAACGATCTTCTAAGAAACGGAAGAGCAAAAAAGACAAACATTCCTCTGAGTCAGATAGTGATGGTGAGTTGTTATTATCTTTTATGTGCTTATTACTATAGGCACGAGCTTCAACTAATGGCTTGGACTATTGGATTCGAATAAAACCGCTACCGATTAATTTCACTGTTATATCCTACACTAATAGCGGAGCTTTGAACCAGTGGCACCTCCACAGCTTTGTATCAGTGGAGGTAAGAAGAATGGGTAGAGAAAGAAGTACATTTAAATTATATGTATATAAAGTCTTCCTTTGTTGAAGATGGTTTTCCCATAAAAAGCCGATTGATAGAGAGAAGTAAAATTGAGATCTTTAATTAATAATACGTTCACAGACGGTGAGGAATCAATCCGTCGTCCAGCAGTGGACGCTGGCGGCGAGTTGCCGGATGGCGCGGCGCCGTCGGACGACGAGCCGCCGCCGCCACACGACGACCCGCACCGCGCACTCGATCTTGACCTTGACTTGTAAGAGTTACAAATTGTTTTATAACATTATTTCTGTTTCATCACAATGACATTATAAAGCTTTCTGCAAATTTTTTACACTTGTAATAACTCCCTATGAGCCTGTGTATTCTGGTATCTGTTACTTGAAACAAAAAATATACTATTATTATTTTATTCTAAGTAAGAAAGTCTTATTAAGTAAAACTATCATAATTTTTAAATAATAGAACATTTTTACGCTTTCAGACCCCTAAGGGAAGAAGAATTGTTAACGTCCAGAATCCATCAGTATCCATCGCCAGAAAGTGGTTTACTGGCAAAGAAATCTAAAGAATCTAAAAAGAGCAAATCCGCCAAAAAGGAATCCACTGAAAAATCAGTCAAGAAAAAGAAAGAAAAGAAGTCTAAACATGACAAAAAAGTAGATTTAATGTTATCAGAATCTACTAAAAGTTATGTAAATGAAGGTTGGCTTATAGACGATTTAAGCAAATCTAATGAAAAAACCGCAACGAAAGCAAGTGATAATGATAAAGTCCTTATTGACAACCACGTGAAGAGCAGTAAGACTGAGAAAAATAAAAAGTCAAAGAGAGATGCGAAAGAAAAAGATTCCAAGAAAAAAAAATCGTCCAAAAAAGGTATATTTTTGTCACAATGTTTGTGTATGGGAGATATTTAAGAAAAAATAATGTGAAGGGTCTTAATAAGACCAATAGATGCCAAAACAATAATTTTACATATTTTGTGTATCTATCTGCTTGTATTTGTTCCAGCATCACGCAAAAACGACCAAATGGTTACGGTTTTTATCCTTGTGTTTCTGAAAATTTAACTTAAAATTTGGTGTACATATTTTATCTTTATATGCTATCTAGAATATATTTCATTGGTTTTCCTACTTCCGAGGTGTGCGTGGCGCACAAAATAGCGGATAAAAGCTAGTTATAACAACAAAAAATAGTTTTTATTTAAAAAAGATTTTAAGAAATGTTGAAAATTTAGTTAAAATATAATTTTCTTAATGCAATTAACGAACTAACTATTTTTATATAAACTTTTTTTTAACAAAAATATTATAAAAATCTTCCCATATTTTTTCCCAAAACTGTTTAAACATTTTGTTACTTTTAAACTTTGCTCGTTTGAATTTACTTTTGTATAGTATACATGTTCTACACATAAGTATATAATTATGTCAGTAATACTCATGAATAAATTTCTCTTTCAGATAAACATGAAACAAAGATTGGTTATGAGGAAGCCTTAGGAATTTCAACACCAAGCAAAGAAGTTATATAGTGTACAGTTTAAATTAATACGTCCCTGATCCTTGTCACATTATTCATGCCCGTCTCAGTGCAATCGTTAATTTGAACAACTTAGTAATAACTTTTGTTATAATTAGTTCAATATATTATATATGTTTAGTAGGCCTTTTTCATTAATATTTCAAATGAAACCATGACCATTTAAATGAATAATAATGTATCATTTCCATAAGTCTATATTGTAACAAAAGAAAAGCAAAATATATAATCATGTACAATTTATTAAAGTGATTAAATAAATAAAAAGAGTTATACTTTTACATCATTTAACTATAAAAGGCAATTATCTTCACAAAAATAAAAAAAATAATTGAAATGCAGTATATATAATAATAATAGAAGATCACGTTTTTTTTCTTTTCCGCCTGTGTAATGTGGGGCACACTCCACCGCGACCACCACCACCTTTTCCCCCTTTGCCACCACCACTTTTGTAGGAAACTGCAACCTATTTAAACTTATATTTTATACAACGGTATTAGACATACGATCTGCCTGATGAGTGAAGCTCATAGCGTAACCCATGTCTGCAACACCACAGGCATCACACGCGCTTTATCTAAAAAGTCCATGCATTTTAAAAAACTTCACAAATAGAAATGCTATTATTTTTCTCAAAAATTTAAATAAAAATTTGTGTATGAATCAACGCGAAGACTGGGCATCATTGTAAGTGATTTCGTATATTCATAAATAGCGATATGTCGAGTCGTCAATATGTATATATCAAACTAAACCAATGCCCGTTTATTGAGATATTTATCCTCGATATCCTTTTGTAAACTACACACAAGTTTTATATATTATGTTTAAATGTAATTTTATCAAGCCAATGACAAGTTTTTAATGGAAAAATAGGGTATATTCTGTTTTGTGGAGAAATAACCACACATTCTATTATAGGTAACAACAACACTTCGTCTAATGCGATGACAATACATTTGTCAGTTTCAGTAATACAAAAATAAATGGGCAGTTATTGAAATTTTTATATTTTGTAGTTATGCGATAGTTAGGACTGAACGATAACTACTAAGTTGAATTGACTATGGCATCCTGACTTAATAATTGCTTACGCATTTCTGCAAGTTCCTAGCTATTTCGTAGGGTAGTAGTTCGTTTCGTTCAAACGTGTTGAATTGCATGCAGATTATCTTAACAATAGAAGGAAGAATTATTAATAATGGGGACTTTAATCTCGATTGCTAGCAATAAACCTTGTCAAGTCGACCTCCACGCGGTTTTCCCGTAAACCATCGTTATTAATTACTATCAAATTCGTTGCGATGAGTCAACTGATTTGATTTCATCCTCACCTATAATCTCTCCCTGGTGCCTCGCCAGTATATACCGATAGCGCTGGTGGGGTTACTATTTAATTATCATCCACTAAAAAAAAAGCCTAAACAAAAGCGTGGGACAGTAAGTAGTCTGATATTTAAATAAATTGACGAGATTTGAAAATCGCGTAAATCGGAATAACCAAGTATTATTGTTATAATAAATAAAAACATAGCAGATCTAAAATAAAGTTTATTACAGTACTTTGCATCAAGCCAATAAATAAATTATGCTACATAATGAAATGAATTAATGACGTTATTACAAAATTGTACTTCAACTTTCCGAGCAAGCCACACGAACATCGGTCAACTACAAGAATTCTATCAAATAAGTAATCTTTAAATGAAACTATGTATCCTCTGTTGTAGTTAATCGATGATTTCAAATAATATTTTTCTATCACCAAATAAACATAATAATTGCTATTTACAAAAGAACAGAGTACATAAAGTACACAATACACGTTTATTGCGCTAATACACGTTTTGATGCTTCTGAGAGTCATCCATATAAATATTTCAAAACAATATTTAAATTACTTTTGAATTCCTGTTAATTTACCTTTTGAACTATCATAATAATAGCGTAATACGCAAGAGGACTCAAATTTACAGAAACTATTTATCGCAGCCTTAACAATACAGTAGTAGTTTACATTATTTAAATTTAGGAATTTGCTGCAATTCGAAAAGCGTAACGTCAATAAGAGTCCTATAATTATTTGAACTATTCAACAACCAACTATATTACTTAACTACTAGTAAACAATGTTACATCAATAAATAGAACAATGAGTGAAATAATTCTTACAGCTAATTGTTGTTTTACAACCCGTACAATATTAATCAAATTGTTCTCCCTATAAATTGTAATAATGATAAGCAAAACAAAATACACGATAAACATTTTATCTATATAACAACAACTTCAACTGTCAAAAGTAATTGTAAAGATACTCAAAAAATAAAAATGATAAATTACTATCTACAAAATAAAAATAAGACTAAGACAAGACAACCCATATTAGACACAAATGTCGATGTAGTCGAAAGCAAGTGTCGGTAGAAATTAGATAAAAAAAAACCGATATCCACAGAGTGAATAAATTGACTACGTTAATATGGATAGTTATATCGTAAAGGCAATCAGCATAGTAGATATTTGTATAAATTTATTATCCATAAAACTGAAACAATAATAATATTCTAAACACTGGTTTCCACTTATATTTGTTATTTTACATTAGCAATATAAAATGCTGGCTGCTCCTTACATAAAATATAACACGATAATACAAGTCATGATTATAGATAGACATAGAGACATCAATGGTGATTATGTAACTCTGTATCTATGTTACATACAATATTCGAGTAACTATTGAATTGTGAATATAGTTACAGCTTGCACTGCAGTTATAATTATTGTTGAAGAAAATACTGAAGTTTACTTTTCAAGCATATATCTAGGGATGTCAAATTTGACCTCAACTCCGGCCTTCCTGGCGAGTGCCACAATCTCTGACAGCTGCACCACCAACTGAGCCGCTTCGTCAAGATCGTCGCGCGGCACGATGCGAAGACCTGACTCTGCTATAAGTTTCCTTGCTTCATTCACCTTTGTCCCCTGCAAACATTGCAATGTGTATTATAATATTCATGTTCTAATCAGGTTCTGAATACTGATAACAATAACACGCCACTAATTACTTGACGACACATGTCTCCTCGTATGATAGGATTATTAGCCTAGTATTGCTACACTGGTCAGTGATGACACATGCTACATCGTCACCAGAGTTGACACTGTTGAAATATGTTGGGTGAATTAAGTGTCATATTTACTTCAATGGTCTATATCAAATATTATTTTTCTATCACCAAATAAACAATAGTTGCCACTTACAAAATACCTCTAACCTGTTTGAGACCTCTAATCATGACGTTATTCCAATCATGTTAGTAATTAGTTATGTATTTATTCATAACTATTTTTAATGTAAACAATTATTTACCTGAAGTCTAACAATGACGGGGATTTGGATGTTTAAGTTCTTAGCAGCATTGATAATGCCTTCAGCGATGACATCGCACCGCATGATGCCTCCAAAGATGTTCACCAATATAGCTGTTACTTTGGGATCGGAGAGAATGATCTTGAAGGCTTCCTGTTGATAAATAGTTGGGTTTTAATGTATCTATTATTGTAAGCAGTCGTTTTAAATGGGCTTCAAAAAGGAAAAAGTTTGAAGTACCTTTTGTAATTTGCATCAATTTTGACAATTCTTTATGTAATCAATGGTGATTACTTCCATATTGATACGATATTAATTTTACCTATTGAAGTCAGAAACAAGATCCTAATGCCTTTAAGGTTCGTGATGTACGTGGCTTTTTAAAATTTTAATTATTATACCAAGGTAATATTGGTAAGAAAAAACTTTGAAGACATGTCACTCCATTACCAAAGTTAGTCCATTCTTTGTTTGTTTTTAATGTAATGTTGTTAAAGTAAGATTGTACATTACGATTACTAAACAGAAATAATAAACAAAAAATGTGGACTTTGTCACACCATTCAAGAAACAAAAAATGAAAAACAAATATTATCAATGTATCCATATTGTAATAAGTACATTTTTTTTTATCAATACTTAAGACTTATCAAAAATCATACATTAAGTAACCAGTTTGTCATGAGTATGTCACACATAACTTATATAAGATATTACATTAATAAATATAATTAGAAACTAATAAATTCACCTAGAAAGTTCTATCAAATGTATGTATGTAAATATATAGAAAAAATTACTTACAAAATATAGTTTAATACTAAAGCTTTTTATTATTGATTATATTTTACTTCCCTTCTTTCACATTAAACCAAATATTGGCATTCCATAGCAGACATAATAAAATGGTAGTCTCCAATAAACACAAGCCACACAACAATGATATTAAAGTGTAATAAAAATAATTTAAAATATTTTAATGTAATAACTTAATTTGGTATAGATAGTTGGACTGGTCTCTAGCATCTCAAGATTAAAGGGACCCGAATGTGAATGGTCTCGAAACTAGCCATATAATCTTGGCAAATTATACGTAACTGTAACTACCGAAGTAGCGAAAGTGGCGAAGAGCCCATAACGCTTTATGCACGTAATGCTTTTTAACAGTGAAAGTGGTTAAGATTATGGTACCCATCCTCTATCATGTTTAAAAGGCTAGATAACATGATGTGGTTGCCATTGTCCATCTGTAGAATCGATTTTAACATTCACTTTAGTAAACTAAGACTTACGGAAACAGCCTGTGCAGTAGCGCCACCGCCTACGTCAAGGAAGTTGGCCGGGTCACCGCCGTATAGCTTGATAATGTCCATTGTTGCCATGGCCAGACCGGCACCATTCACCATACACCCGATATTACCTGATCAATAAAAATAGCCTTTGTACAAGTCTTCTGTAAATATACTGGTACTTCTGTAAGACAGTGGTCTTACTGTTGTTTTTGTTGTCAGGCAGCTGCGCTGCTTACATGTGTTTTTTGGTTCGATTAAATTAATGTATATTTTGACATTTAGCACAAATATGTCTTGAATTAAACTCATTATTCATTGTATATACTATCAAAACTTACCATCAAGTGCAATATAGTTCAAATTGAATTTGGCAGCTTCAATTTCCTTCGGATCTTCCTGTGTCGTATCTCTGAGTTCAAAGAGTTCCTTTTGTCTAAACTCAGCATTGTCATCAAATCTAAATTTGGCATCCAGGCAGTAAACTAAAATGTTAATAAAAATGTCAATAATAGAAATAAAAATATTACCATCAACAAATTATTCCTATCATATATTAGAGTCAAAATATAAATGAACTTACACTTTCCATCAATAGCATCTTCAGCATAAGGATTAACTTCAATTAACAGGGCGTCTTTCTTTAAAAATAGATCATACATTTTCTTGATCATGCCACATGCTTCATCGGCATGTTCTTGCAGACCAATCTGTGACAAAGTAGTGATTGATTGAATTTCGAGACAAAATTGAATTATAGAAATGAGAGTGCAAGTAGCACTGAGATTGATGAAATGATAAATTTTATACAATACGGTCGATCTGGATTGCCATTCCTAAAACTTATTGTAATTTGTAAATTATTAGCTTAGCGGATGTAGTATGTTAGACCACCAAGACCTAAAACTTTAATTTTTTTATGATACCTAGAATGGCATGACATTCCACCTGATGAAAAGGGGTAATATACTATACACATAAACAGAACCATGGATATTACATAACAAACAGGGAGAAGGGATTGTTAGTAATGAGGTCTAACACCGCCACTGCTAGCAATATACTTGTATTCTATCATTTTGACCTCCAAGCGAATGCCTCTGTAAACTAACGTGTTTAATTCTTGAATTAGTTGTGATGGGCTAACTGACCTGCTTTCATCCTCATCTATCATCCCTCACTGGTGCCCTGCCAGTATATACCGATAGTGCAATCGGAGTTACACAGGTATTATGCCTCGGTACCCTGCAATTTCACTGCCAGGTAAACGCCATATATCCTACCCTTTAAAACAAAACACAATTAAAAATTTAATTTCTGTTAGTTACAATTATATAACTTGGCTATTATATCAGATAGAAGTTATAGTTTTAGAGACTGACAGAAAACAGCTGCCTACAAAGCACAATTCTTCTAAGAAATTGTTTAATAAATGAAAATTTTAATTTTATGAAATGTTTAATCCAAAATATACTCTGGTATCCTATAGTAAAATTCAATGCTCATTTACATAAAAGGTACCTATAAAAAATAAATATATAATAGTGTAAAATATACTTAACACATTAAGCTAATGTATATTTTAACAGATTAAGCTAATGTCATGTATACCTTTTGTACAACTCTGCTAACTTGTTCATCTGTAATGCCGGTGACGATGTCGATCGGTTCGTAGGTGATGGCGTCAGGGTTCTCTGCGGCAACGTCTTCGATGTTCACACCACCTTGCGACGACGCAATAATTACAGGCCCCTAGAACAGCCAGGTCAAATCTTAGAAAACTTGTTTCATTTACAATACAATATAAAATATACCTATCTTTCAAGCTATGACAATTCACAAAATAGTACTTCAAAAATTGTTGAACCTACCACATCATAGAATATTCACAAAAAAAAAGCATACAACCTTCGAACGTATTGTATGATGCAAGTGTTAAAAAATATAAAGATATAAAATAACCAAAAGAATATATGTATATAATATTTATATCTGCTTTTAAAATGATTTCAACTGAACTTGAATTATAAGAGAATTATCTAGTTTTCATCAGGAAACTAATAAATAATAATAAACATCTTATCACCTTGGTCAAAGTGCCTTATATTTATATTTTGAATGACAGAATTAATTATGCAAAAGATTGGTGATAACATCGGTAAATTGAAATTAGGCATCTTCATACTATACCTATATATTACTAACATTATAAATATGAAACAGTGACTTAGTTTAATTGTTACCTTATAAGGCCTTAATGACTTAACCAATCATTATGAAATTTGGTATACACATACTATATGTGACAGAGAAGGCTACTTTTTGTCCCAATCAGTAAACATATCCCAGTCACGCGAACAAGATCGCGGGTTAAAGTTAGTTAATTATAATTTATAGCTACCCTCTATAGCTAAATATAGGTCTGCTGATAGGAATAACAGTCACTATGAACTGAAGGGATGTTTCTTTTTTAGTGTATATCATTTATGTAATTCATATTTACACATGACTGCTATTCTAATGGTTCGAAAAAAGATAATATAGATATATATTTTTAGAGATAGATATATTAAATGTCGAACCAAAACTATGTTTATCAAAAAAATTATAGAGTTATATTCTTAACAAAAATTCTAGTAGAAACACATACATTAAAACTGCGCTCCATCATTATAGCAACATAGTACTCTCGACGTGGGAACTTGCGTTCAGTAACCATAACCATGTTACAAATACGACCTGCAGCACCTGTTTGCTTCGTCACTAGATATTGTTGGAGCATTTTACTTCCTAACTCTCCAGCCACTGCAGGTCTGTGTATGAAAACCGATAAAAATATCAATGTTATGTTTATCATATAATATCAAATAAATAAATCTGTAATATAAAAATCATTATTATATGATAAATAACTAACACACAATTTAAAAATAATATAAAAATAATCTTCCTACAATACTTATGAATTCATTTTAACAATCCACAGTTATATAAAAGAAAAATATGTATTTAACTTTGGATTTTATTATACTCTAATAATATTTTGAGAAAAATGATCAGTTTCTCTAATAAAACACTAACTAAAAAAGACTAATAATTTTAATGTGAGTGTTCAAGGGAGTGAAAATAGTAGAACACAACCTTAAAAAATGATAATTACGTTTATTTTAGCCATATATTTCTATTAGTCTTCAATAAAAGTATAACTTACGAGTCCACCATCCTGACACCACCTTTAAGGCCACTTTTAAAGGCTCCCTTGCCTCTCCCGCCAGCCAGCACCTAAATATAATGTTTTAGATATAAACCTCACTTAAATAGTAAATGAATTAGTAATTGTTACATGGGTAGCTCTTTTATTAAAAATTTCATGGTATTTCCATTATGAAATGATATGAAAAATAAAATTATGTACATATGTATTAAAAAAAAAATATATGCTCACAACAGAAAGTCCTAATGAAATAGTCAGAGGGATTTAGTTGATTGTTGACATTTTAATGTAATTACAATAAGACTCAATAGTCAATAAATATTGAATCCAATGTTTGGTAGGCTCTGCCACAAAGCATGCTTACCAAAGTCACTTTATTCATTTTGCTTGTTACTGGTATTTTCTATCACTATAAGGTTAATAAAAAAATTAAGTTGGTACACAATGTTATTAATGTTGAACAGATACAAAGTACACACCTTTGCAATCTGTAAGCAATTGACAGGGGAGGCCTATGTCCAGCAGTGGACAGATAATGGCTGAAGTGATGATAACACTTGATTAAATAAGTATTACAATAATAGTTTAATAATTACCTGTGCCTTAAGCACAATGTCTTTAGTGTTGAGATCCTGGGCATACTTTACTACCTCGTCTTTAGTTTTGGCCACATTAAACTTAGGCACAGGGATGCCATTGTCACGTAATAGCGTATAGCTCACATATTCATGAACATTTAGGTGCCGTACTTGCTGTTTACTGGGAAGGTTGTTTGTTGTTGAAGCTGCCAACAACTGCAACAATAATAGTAATAGAATAATTGATACAAAAGAGTTTAGATGCCAACTGAGAGATGTAATTGTTCTCCTCTCTTTCACACTACCTCTTTTTCTGTCTCACAATATTTATTTATTGTATTTCAATTATATTATTATTCAATTTATAAATACATGAACAAGACATGAAATTAACATTTAGATTTTATACCTACATTTAATGAGACTTGTTTATTTGTGCATTATATTTTTTATAAAAAAAAATTAGATATATGCTATATTATATGTATTAAAAAAATTCAAACAAATGATGACACCATATCTCCTAACTTACATAATTTTTAGATAGTTTGTACATATATTAACTTAAAGAAATGTAATTTATTCTCATTATATTTAGTTATTGTAAGCAAAGATTAATATATAACAATTATAGATATTATAAGATACTTAATACAAATATTTACTATAATACACAAGCAACAGATAACAAATCATATTGGGAAACAATAGAGTGTCATGTACTATGATAGTAATCAGTCAAGATATCTCATTAAACAAATCACACGTTATAAAGCCTAGTTAGTGGATACATACCCTTATAAAATCTGGTACTACTTTTACAAGAAATATTAAAAACAGTATTTATTCATTAAAATATAATATATATATATATATATATATATATATATATATATATATATATATATATATATATATATATATATATATATTGCATGAATATAAAAGTGAAATCTATGACTCACAATAAACTATATTATCACTGTAATTAATATTATTCTAAAGGCCAGTGTCTCATTGATTCAAATATACAAAGTCCAGCCTAAGTTTAATTCAAAATTACATATATTGAATAAATTTTATATTTTTTGATTTAAGGTTTTGCTCTGGTACCATACTAAGGCTACTTACTGACCCATATGGAGCAATAATAATACGACTAATTTATGATAATAACATTGTCGTCCTAATTATTTAGATGCATTTTGCATGCAAATTTCAAGTCTTACTGAATATTACGTTACGTCGATGACGTAAGGTCATTATAGCTCAAAATGACAAGGTCAAATGTATTAATAATTCTAAGACAGTATCCACATTTCACAGCCAAGGTTCATGATTTTAAAAGTGATATTATACAATAGGAATTAATGCAATGTACAGTATTAATTTTGTTAATTCAAATAGGTCTTCCTTATACATAGAATTTTCGTTTTGAATACTCTACAAAACATATATATCCAATAATATATTTTATGGTAAATATATTTGAAACATAATGATATAATGCTTAGTTTACCTTATTTCCATTTTTCAATAAAAATGTTTCAGCTAAACCAAATGAACGAGGAAGAAAAGTCGCCATTTTTCTTGTTTGTCACTTGCTGTGCTGACTAGCGGATGACAGCAGGTAAACCTATGATCGAAACATAGACAATCGTTCCATTCTCTTTGACCACAAAAAAAACTTTAAATAAAAATTATGCGCACCGGGGTCGATTCAGTGATGTCCTTTCTCCAAATTTATTTCTTAATCTAAATTTTTTTAATTAATAAATTTGCGAAATTTTTGTTTTATGGACCATCATAAACTAAAATATTCAAACTATTATAACATTGATTGTGGAAAAGAAATCGGATATAGTTTCTTTTTTCAGTTGTCTAAAATTTGTATCGAGTATACGTTGGTACGGAAATAATTCTTTATTGTCTTATTTCGTAAAATCACAGTTTATGGGCTAGTTTTTGCTGCAGTATATAGACTCGGTAAATATAAAACTAGAAAGCGAACAATCGAATAAAGATACTTTGACTAAGCACATTATCCTTCAAACGGTTTCAAAAAATATATAAAACACAACTATTTAACTATACGACTGCTTATGAAATGCATAAAATACTAAGCGATTTATTCAGAGGATCGGAAGAACGAAAGAAGATGAGTTTGTTACAAGATTTCTACAATTATAAATTTGAAAGTGATATGACAATTAATGAAAATTTTTCAAGGCTCAAAAGTTTGGTACATAGATTAAAACAACTAAAAATGCACTTTGATGACGCGTTAATAGAATCCAAAATATTAAACATTTTTTCATACCAATCGTTTGTATCTGCGCGGAAATCTAAATTTTTTTACTTTCTTCTTTAGGAGTACCCTAAAGAAGAAAGTAAAAAAATTTAGATTGAGATTAGTAAAAGAAGAAAAAAGGAAGACGGAGAGTGTGCAATCAGTGGTCTTAGCTGCAGAAAATAAATTATATTGTAAAATTTGTAAGAAAACTAATCACAAAGAGAAAGATTGTTTTATTTAGAACAAAAAGGTACGATAATAAAGTTGCTTTTTTAGCCTCTAGCCATAATACAATTAAGACGTTAAAAAGTTTTGTTCTCTTTTTGTTTGACTCCGTTTGTACTGTACATATGGTCAATGACAAAACTTTACTTTTTAATATCAAATTTAAGACTTAATATTGGTATAGCTAAGAAAGATGTCAGTATGAAGTCACAATATGTAGGTGATTTTATTGGAACAAAATATGATATAACAAACGTATTATGTGTGCCGGATCTTTTGCGTAATTTATTATTAGTTGCAGAGATTGTTAGGAATGGTGGTTCTGTTCTATTTAATAAACATGGTGTAGAGTAGGTAAGAACTAGAGCCAGTAGAAAACTAGAAATATTACATACAGACGTTTGCAGTCCTTTTGAAATGGAAATATGGGATGGTAATAAATATTTCTTAACTGTTTTGGATGACTATAACCATTACACTAAGGTTTTTCTACTAAAATTTAAAAGCAAGGTCCCTACTTGTTTAAAGAATTTTATAGCAGAAGCAGTGCGCGAAACCAACTTGAAGGTTGTGACAGTTCGTTGTGACAATAGTAGTGAGTATACCTCAAATAATTTTAAAAATTATTGTAATGAAAAAGAAATAAAACTAGATTACTCAATACCATACTGTCCTCAATTAAATTAAACGTTTAAACAGAACCTTAAACGAAATTATCCGTTCAGTGCTGTTTATGGCTGAAATGGAAAAAGAAATGTAGGTGAAGCTCTTTATTGTAATGTATACTTACTCAATAGACTACCAAGTGAGTCTATAAATAATAAAACTCCTTTCGAATTATGAAATGGAAGGCTAACTAATTTTTCGAATATTCGTGAATTTTGGGTACGATGCCTCCGCTAAAAAATTGCTATCAACTAAAAAATTGGAAACCAAAGCAATAAAATATAGGACGATCGAATATACAAAAAACAGGTACAGACTTTAGGACGAGGTTAATAGAAAAATAACTATAATTTTTCTAGAGCGAGAGATATCACATTCGTAAAAAGAAATAGTAAAAAAATAACACCGAAATAATTACAAAACCAAAAACTGTTAATGTAAAAGTCTACTCAAATAACCAAGATAATCACGTTAAAGAAGTGTATATATAAAAACCAAGATGCGTCAATTTTATTAGCTATTTATGTTGATGATGGAATAGTTATTGGTAAAACAGGAGAATTAACGCAGTTGCCACATACATTAAATGAGAAATTTGAGATTACGTCTTGTACTGAATTTTCTTTGTATCTAGGTATGGAGTTAAAAGTAAATGAAGTAGGTAGGCATTTTACTCAAACTGAACATACAAAAACACTTGAAAAAAATTTAATATGCACATATGTAAACCAGTTTCCACACCTGTAGGAGAAGGTAGAGAGTAGAGTCAGATGGAGAAATAAAGTATTATGGAGAAGAAAAATCAAATTATCCTTATAGAGAAGTCGTAGGAAGTCTCCTTACTGTTAGTTAAACTAGCAGGTGTATGGAGAATCCTGAAGGATATAATAGCCATAAAAAAAATTTTTAGATATCTTTCTGGTACCTTAGAAGAAAGTTTGTGCTACAAATTCGGTTCAGATCTAAAGCTTACAGTTTTCTGTGATTCAGACTATGCGGGTGATCTTAAAACAAGGCGTAGTACAATAGGCTATGTTTTAATTATGTCAGGTGGTCCTATTTCATGGTGCTCCAGAAGACAGCCAATTGTATCGTTGTCTTCCATGGAAGCAGAATTTATTTTTATTTATATTTAGAATTTATTTATATCTACAGCTGAATGTTGTAAGGAGGCTATGTTTACAAAATCTCTTCTTGAAGATCTGAATATTGATATAAAACTTTCATTTCATATTGACAATCAGAGCGCTATTGCATTAATTAAAAATGGTGTGTTTAATAAGAGATCCAAGCACATAGACGTTCGTTATCATTATGTACACGAATTTAGCATTACCTATTGTTTAACAGAAATAAAAATTGCAGATATATTTACAAAAGCAATGAATAAAATAAAATTTAGCAAAAATTGTTACATACTTTCAATCTTTTAAGAATGGTAAAGGTGCTTGGTAACACCGGCACTGGGGTCGAGTCTAAATGTAATTTGATATTTAGGTGATTTTTATACTTTTAGGCTAAAGTGTCAGCGCGACTGAAAATTGCGCTTGGTGATCAGACGCCATAGGTAATCTTGAAAACAATTTCAGTATTTTTCGTCTATAGGGAACATTTATAATCAAATTATGATAAATTTGTAATTTTTATGTAACACCAGAAAAATTAGCAAGTTGAGAAATATACTTGCCGAAATAGCTGTACATTTAGTGGCACACAAATTATCTTTATTCTTTCCTCCCAATTAATATTAAAATCTCATAAAAATTTATTAAATTCATATCAAGCACTGATATGTGATATATTGTTATTGTGGCATAAGTTTCGAATTTGTTAAAATTGAAGTTAATCTACATTAACCATTTTTAGAGTTCCTTACAAACTAAAACAAAGGAACATTTATTTATTAAAAAAGGATTTTTAAAAGTGTACAATATCTTAATTTTAATATTACTGTGTAGTCTCGATATAGAATAGCCACTCGTAGAGCTATTTCTTTCTTTTCTGTTGATGTCGTAAGATGCAATTGAACCTAACTGTCGAAGAATAGGCAGCACCGACCCTCTTAAAACATCACCAAAATCCTAACACCGGTTGCCAATCCGATTGGCTAAATTCCCCCAATGGTAAATACCAGAAATAATTGGCCCACAGTCCCCAACAGTTCTGGTTTTCCTACACGGTAACGGTGGAGCAGAAGGTACTCTTTGCATCCTCGGAAGAGATTTTGCTACCAACAAAAATGACTGAAGACCTGGGAATATATAACATGTTAATTTTGAGGACTGCCGAGAAGATTCTAGAGCTGGAAGAAGAAGTGGACGATTTAAACTGGGATATTACAAGATTATCTGAAGTCTGAAGACAGGATACGATGATTCTTACATTTGATAATTTGTTCTACCACGGGATGGGCGACCATAATAATATCAGGTTTATCGTCCGGAAGTATTTATTATTAATCTTTTAAAGATCGAGAGTGTCGGCAAGAGAGGTATACAACTAATGGTTACACAGATATATGCGACGACCATGACATACTCTGATGACGAGTTGAAAGCAATATATGAGGATATTTCAAAAGCCGTAGGTACATTTCTTTCCATTTATTGAAATTTAGAAGAATGTATGGCTATATGTATATTTTTTAATGAATGATAATGGAATAGTAATCCCGCCTGTCTGGTATCGGCTGGCAGGGCATCAGTAAGGGATAATAGGTGAGAATGAAACGTAGGTCAGTTAGCCCATCTTGATGAATACATCTGGAATGGCTATGAATTGACAAAAATAACTGATTGTGTATTTTTGTCCTCTTTTTAGTAATTATATATGCATAAGAAGAAAGGAGGCAATTATATGATTTATAGTTTTTATTTTATCATTCCTTCTATGTAATTCTTGTTCTTAGATTTTAAGCAATTGGTTCTGTAAGAAAGAAGTCGTACACGGCCATAGACCTACTGCTCTATTAATTAGAACAATAAATTCTTTTGTCTTGTCACTAAAATATTCTCTGTAACATCGTACGTAATAAAACATTTAAATATAAAAAATTACATTATGAATGAATGAATGAGTATACTTTATTTGCATTATACAATATACGGGAAAAACAACACAATAATATAACGATACAATTATATAAATAAAGTAAGGCGGTATTATATAAGTACATAATTGGTCTCATGCAAAATTCCATGTACATCAGGTGTTAATTTTTGGCGAATTTTATGTGACAACACTGCGTTGATGACCACAGATTAAAGACTATGTCTAGTTGTTGACTAATAATCTCATTGCAATTATGGCACTTTTTAAACTTTGCTCTAAGAACAAGAAATTACAAAATCTTTGACTTTGCTATTGCCCATAGATTAAAGATAAAGCTTGCAATAAACTAGTCGTTTTTTAAATTTAAAACTCAATCGTCTATTTAATTTGTGTTCCCATTTATCTTGTCAATACCTATTAACATCAATTTTGACTTGAAAAAGAAGAAGCTCTTCTTTTTCTGCACAAGTGTTCAAAAGTTTCAAGTTTATAGTTATATATCTATACTTATAATAAATCTGTAGAGAGATAAATTCTGTACATGAAATATATTTACAAAATAACTACCCGGGGGTGATTAGTGATCGATACTGATGCCAAAAATGCAATCAGTAAAATTTTTGTCTGTCTGTCTGTATGTTCGTTATAGAAACAAAAACTACTCGATGGATTTTAACGAAACTGGTTATTCTTCATACTCCTGGGCAGGTTATAGTATACTTTTCATCACACTACGATCAATAGGAGCAGAGCGGTGAAGAGAAATGTTAAAAATAACCACCCGTGCGATGCCGGGACAGGCCGCTAGTATATAATAGATATTATATAACTGTCACATAATATAATAAATAAATCTCAAATTTCTTTGCATTCTCGCAAAGAAATTTGAGATTGTTCAGTTGAAAGACTACAATTACATAACATATGAAGTTGCCAAAGAACACAAGAATTTCTAAATAATAGAAATCTCATCAGTACAGACTGATAATAGATATGTAGGAAGAATGCACATAGTAAAACTAAACAAAATTAATAACAAATTTATATTAAAAATCTAAGTATGTGTAGATAACTCTAAATTTTCAGATTCATATAAATGTGTTAAATCAACTTTGTTTTTATATTTATCTTCACTCCATACTCCATTTCCAGAGAAATAATGATTTTTTTCCAGTAAATATAAAACTATACTTAATTTTCTTGATTTGTTCAATTTGTTTATATTTAACTGTTCATTAATATCTTGAGGTAGTCTTTGTGTTGACTGACTATCAATAACTTCAAGTATATCTTTTATCTTACTCCAAGGATAAAGAAGAATAAAACAATTTTCATAGATATCAGACTTAGAGAATTCCGTACACAACTGCTCATAAACATATTTAACTTGTACTAATGGAATATTGATCCAAAAAGGATGTCTTTTTATCAATTTTCGTATATCACTTGCACTGTAGTCATTTTCCAGGCATTGCGATATACAGAATATCAAGTCTTTACCTTTTCCCAGGCGATCACCAGGTGTTTTCTCAAATGTTTCAAAGTGAGCAGAACTACCAGATAGGATATTTAAACTGAGACATTTTTTATTGTTACTGTATAAGTTTGCCAATCTCTTCATTGCTGTTTTTTTATAGTGTATCATTTTCAGAAATCTTGGATGATTGAAGAATGTAGAAAATTCAGGTATTTTCTTAGCAGATTCAATTCTCTCCTTTATAGTAGTAGGACTAAGAGTATATATATCAAAACATCTTCGTTGTGCCTCATTGCTTATACTATATTCTTGTAACACTTTTCTAATTTCCACAAGGGTGTTATAATTTTTAGTAGCTAACTTTGGATGAAGTCTTATTATTTCTTTAATATCAATACCACCAATTGTTTTAAAATTATGAATTATATTCTTTAAATTATCTGGATCGGCATGAATTAAATAAAAATTTGATTTTATTTTATAATTTGGCACCATAATTTGTGACTGCAAAATATTTAATGTCTCATTAATTGTTTTAAGTGGACGATGTTTAATTGTTGGGTAAGTTTTTACCCCTCTATAGAATTCTTCTATGCTAATATCCAAAAGGAGTTCCAGATATCTTTGAATTATTTTAAGGCGTAAAATGTATAATGAATACTTGTTGACATCTTCATAAATCAAATTAGTGAGTGATGTAGGCCACTGAGTCATATGACTAGCTAATCGATTTTCTAAGTTTATATGAGAGGGAATCAACCCCATCTTCTTTAACTCCCCAATACTTTTCTGTTTTACCAAAGGCAAGTATCCTAATAAATCAGCTGGTTGTATGTCAACAAAGCCACATTCTTGTAAAACTCTGTAACGAAATATCAATGTAACTGGTAGTAAACTGAAAAGAGACGGCTCATCTACTAATATTTTTTTAGAAAATCCAAGTTTATGTACACTTTCTATCATATGTATAATGCTCTTTTCATCTAATCTTTTTACAACAGGATATTTCAAGCACATAAATTCAGCTTTAGGCTCACTTATATTTAAATATTTACGAAGACTTTCCAATAGATATTCATTTCTTGGGGTTCTTGCTATATTACTACTACATCTATGAAGGGGTCTCCAATGAAGGAGGCCCATACGTAATTTATTCGAAAAATTCATTCAAAACAATATTTTACACAAATAAAATAACATATAATATAGATTACAGATTACAAAGACTCACAGATTAGAGAGACTATGTCTAAAATGAATGAAGTTATAGATAAAGATGGAGGAAACACTCCAAATGATGCAAAAACTACATATTGCTATCTCACTCTCTGGTGACTCTGGTCATAACAGCATGAAAAAAATTACCCACTGTACTTTAAATAATGAAATATTTACGTAATAAATTTAACACATAAATAATTTAAAAATACATGCCAATTTCATTCGGTATATTACTATATTAATAAAGCACTGCTATTCGCTTTGGTACTATTATATTAAACGTCCAATACTTTCAAATCAAAATAGTATTATCCAATACTGAATTAAAATTATCAACTTGGATGTGTGCATTTTTAGCTACACAGAGAATATGTGATAAGAAATTGAGAATGGTTTTCTAGTTGGTAATTATTATTTTTATTTTTGTATGAAGTTGTAAAATGCCTGTCCGAGGCGAGCAGGGCTGTTAGTTTTTAATATTTTAATAAAATATGTGCGGGCCGCTGCTTCCGATGTGTCAGAAGTCGCGTTGGCAGGCTCCGAGGCGCTGGTACACCCGGACGTCGACCTATCCTACTTGTGAAAAGAGAGTACTTTGCACAGTGGACGCACAAAGCACTCCCTCCCCGAAGGGCCTCAGTCTTCGCCGCAGGCGCGTTGTGAGAACGACTAGGTGCTGTTGCACCACTATATGTCGCCCTCAGAAGGACGACGTCGACGAACATGATGACGGACGCGATGATTCCGCCGTGAGGATGAACTATGGCGATCACGAAGTGAAGAATGAAGGATGACGATGTGAAGGACAGAGATAACTATGGGGCACGATGCGATGAAATAAAACGAAGCGATAATACTTGAATAACGGCAATGAAGTGAGGAGACTATCTTCCACGATTCTTGCTATTTTTCTTGCTATTGTTTCGCTCTCAATGGAGGTCAACTGCGCTATGAATCCTGGCCAATAGGGGCCCTATATTTATATCGAACTATGATCGCTGGGCATCCGACCAACGGCAAACTAGTCTCCTCGCCCCCTATACGCAAATTTATTGTGTCATCTATAATTTTACAAGTTTTGACCTAGGACTTATCCTAAATGGTAGGCATACTCATAAACAACCGGTTTAGCATGACTTGTGCGCTGCGCGGCGTGCGGTTAGCGAATAATTAACGATTCCGCGGGTCGCGGCTTTTATGTGTTCCCGCTCTCCTCCCCCGCGTATATATATTTTACGGAGCGCGGGGTCGCGCGTCACTTTACGCCCGAAAGTGCGCCGTCCGCGGCGTCTCCTCGTTCCCCCGTTCGCTCCACCGACCCACCGTCCCTCAACGGGGGTCGAAGTGTGGCGGCCCGAGCCGAGGTTCGAGCCACTTAGGCGCCCGCACGCCGCAGTCCATTAGAAAGAGTCGACACCTCTGTCGCTCCCCTCTCGCGGGCTTGGAGTGCCATCCGCACTCGTCCCTGCACACACGAGTTCGGTGAAGTTGTAAAGGCCATCTGCGGCCAACAACACTTACATTCAGAAAAAAAAAAGGATTGCGCATCAGTCGAACGATAACCGCCGCGCAACGCACATCACAATGTTTTTCCTATTTCTAGGTACGCTTTGCTGCTATTACTATTTGTGTCTATTCGACACTAATATTATCTATTATAGACCTTATTATGGCCTATTTAAATCTATAAACTATTTTCCCGATTTCTCAGGAATTTGTCCCATTTGGGACCTATTGGCTGCACTGGCCTAAGTTCTATCAATGCAGTCGTAGCTATTTACAAGTTTACTATGCCCTACCTAGGCTATTTTCAATGCTATGACTATTTTTATGGGGGAATAAAAAACGATGAGAAAAGTCCTTTATTTCTCTTGACCTATGTTGTATATATACTATTAATTATCGCTATTAGGTAGTACTTACACTCTATTTACTATTTTTCATACATATAACATCATAACTGTACAAATAGGGGAGAAAGGGGTTGTTAATAATGGAGACTGAGAATTCCATTGCTAGCAATATATCCAACCAGGTCGACCTCCGCGCGGTTCTCCCTGGAAACTATCATGGTCAATTCCTGATGAATTCATCATGGCCTGTTTTCATTCTCATCTATCACCCTTCATTGATGCTCCGCCAGCATATCCCGTTAGCGCAGGCGGGGTTAACATACCATTTTCACCTATCAAAAAAAAAAAAACTATACGAATAACATATAAAAAACACAATTAAAACAATTTGCTATAAAATTTGTACATTACATTTTATTTTTTTATTTTTTTTTAGAACCGATGTTATACGGCCATATAATCATATTAAATTCAGATACAACCTGCTTACATACTTTTTACATAAACTGTGTCGAATATATAATCTAGTAGTGAAACATTTTTCATTGACAAATAATTGACATATCAAACATTTTCTATACACTAGCCTGCTATAAATTGACAATTTTATTACTCCTATGTAATTCCTTATTCTTAAGTTTGGAGGTTGTAATATTAGATGTATGAGTGTGGGCGTGCTTTTTAACCTGCTGATAAAGATTCTGAAAATCATATTGATTTGAGTAAAATTTACATCTGGCAACCTCACATGTCACGAAGATCTTGCCAGATTTGTTCGGTTGATTTGTTGTTTGGGCGTGCTCTTTATTTGTTTTTACTAATATAATAATACTAATATAATAATATAGTATCTGTATATTTACTATATTTATGGTTATATTTTTCATTAATTCATTTGAATATGATTAAACTTTATAGGTATTGATCATTTAACGATTTCCATATATCTACTTAGTTTTTTTTCTTTTTTAAAGTTATATACTAATTGCTTTTTATATGATTTAAATATGGTTAGTAAATCTAAAACTGGTCTTTTTGCCTTAAATTTCTTTTTAGTAGCTTCTTTATTTATAATAATAGCATTTGTTAGTCCATATTGGCTAGTAACCGATGGTAAACTTGCAAATCCTAAGTTTGTGAAGATAGGTATGTATCAGCAATTTTATTATTTTGTAACTTGTAAGATTTCAATTATATCCTAAATAAGTTTATTATATTGTTAAAGGGCTATGGGAGGTATGTTTTAATGGCTTTGAAGAAATTCATCACTGGTATGATACAGTGTTTACTGGCTGTTGGTGGATATTTGAAGAGGAGTACTATATAATACATGATGTACTTTTGCCAGGATTCTTTATAGCTACTCAATTTTTTTTCACAATCACAATGTGCAGTGTGTTAGCATCAATGTTCTTGTCATACTTGTATTTGGGTAAAGATAAAGATGATGAAAATTATGTGACATTATTAGTAACATTAGGAACTGTTCTTGTTATTGGAGGTATGTGTATTCTTTAATATTGATGTAAATTATTAAAAAGATTCCTCATTCTTATACAAAAAATACTGTTTAAACAGTCTTAAATTAATATTATATAAAACAATAGTTGTATATTTAGGGAAAAATATTTACATATATTGTAAGTGTAGTTTAAAATTTCAGCAACAGTAAATTCAATACCTATCTTGTCATATAACCTATTTTACATATTTTTCTGTTCTGTCTTATCTGAAATAAAGCCTTTTAAAGAATAAAACCTTGATGTCATGTATATGTTTAAAATGCATAACTTTTTGGTTTAATAATATAGATATGAAAAAAGCAATTAAATATATTTTAAAAAATACCTATAGTTGAACTATGTTCGTGTATAATATTTGTACTGTATGGTAATAGTTAAATATTATATATAATAATAATACCTGAATTTAGATTAAAAATAGTAACTATAGTGTAACTGATACTTTCTTATAACTAAATTTGTTTACCATTCTATATTGTGTAAAAAAATAACAAATCTGTTGAATCCGTAAGTTTTAATAGTACTTGTTATTGTTTTAATGACATCATTGTCAGCTCTTCCATATCTTTTCATTCGTTTTAAGTTATTACCATACCCATTAGTCAGTTTAAATATACTATGGTGATAATTGAATTTATAACATTTTTTTTAGGTTTTTCAGGGATAATATCTGTTGTTACATTTGGAGCTAGAGGTGATGGACGAGACTGGATGCCTAACTGGGAACATAATGATCTTGGCTGGGCTTTTGCACTTGGTTGCATTGGAGTCATTTTACTCTTTCCTGCTGGGATACTATTTTTGGTTGAAGCAAGAGTACACAAATATAAGAGACTTCATGAAATGCAGAGTCGTGATCCTTCTTCTTATTCAATGCATGAAAGGAAAGTTGGATATACAAGTGGACATACTGACATATAATTATGATCTTTTATTATAATTTGCTTAGTTTTAGTATTCAAGTCCGTCCAAAAAGATATCTTAATATAAACTTAAATGAGCTTACTTGATAATTATTTTATTTAAATTTGTCCAAATATTACTATTTTTTTATATATCTCTACAAATTTTACAATTAATCACTTACTCATTTTTAGAGTTAAGCATTAGCATATTAAAATCTATTCAAGAATGAAAATTATGTATCTATTTTTTCTTAAAATGAATCTCATTTCAATTTACAAATACACAAATACAGTAAGGCTGATAATATTTATATTACTTAAGAATCAATTTACATGTTATAATAGGCATGTATTCATGTTTTAAGTATTTTCGTAAATTTAATACATATTTCATATAGCTATGTATGTCAAAATGGGGTACCCATGTCTGAAAAATATATTATTTCTTTTTTAAAAGATAAAAACCCATAAATTTCCAAAGGTTCTCGGTTCGTTTATATTTTTTGCATATTAGCAATATTATCGCCATTTCTGTACTTTTTATAATTTTTTTAACATTAATAGAGTTATAATAATTTTGTATACCTATGGGTATACCATCTGTTCGTTACATATTGATACCACAGTGGCAGCACTTTTTTCATGCTTCTGTATTTAAAATCGTCCAACCTGTGCATATCATCCTTTTTCTGTGCCTTATACACAAGACTTACTTAGATAGGTACTTCAGTGTCATACCATGTCCTATATATGATATACATAACTAATAAAATATTCATTATAGCACATATATTGTGTTCATTGATATGGAACTTAATATTGTTTGTATTAGTTTACTAACTTCATTGTAACAATTTGTACTTACATATCAGTACCTCTTCACTACTAATAACGATTTATATAAGGACATATTAAATATTTTTATTTCAAAGTAAAAAGGTGCTTATTATTTTATATCTAATTTAAAATGTTTAGCTTTATATATAAGATCAACATTTATTTCAGAGGGCACAGTGGTTTTTGAAAGTAGGGCAGCTTTTGCTGCTTGAAATCCCACAGTTACACAACAGGATTCATCTAAGCCTGAGAGCAAACCGAATATGTAGCCTCCAGCAAAGCAGTCACCTGCCCCAGACACGTTTATTATATTATCTATTGTTTCTGCTGGATATAATCGTGCCTCTGGATCGCCATTTTCGTTACTAGTAACGATTATCAACCCTTTAGCTCCGATAGTGATGATAAGAACACGAATCTTTTTTAAAACGATTTTAGCTAGCTGTGTAATTTCTAAAAGCTCATCAGATTCGTACAACGTATCATTCGCGGACGACGTACATTTTGCCATTGCTCTTAGTTCTGCTATATTTGGTGAAGAATACATAAGTCGGCAGTCGGAGTTCAGCGGCTTTATTGCTTTTCTTTTATCCGTTGGCTCAAAGAATACTGAAACAAAAAAATATATCTATAAATGAATAATATCTATAATGTATATGTATATACCTAAATTTAATATGTTGAAATGGAATGGTAATTTCGTTTGCACTGTTGGTAAAAGCTTTTTTTTATGAATGATGATAGAATGGTAATTCCACCTGCTTTAACGGTATATGTTGGCAGGGCACTAGTGAGGATGAGAATGAAAAGGCAGGTCAATTAGCCCATCGTGATGAACACAACTGGAAGGGGGGGAAAGGAATTGTTAATGGGATCTAACTGCCCTATTATTAACAATATATCCTATCAGGTCGACCTCCACTTGATTCCCCCTAGAAACCATCGTGGTTAATTCTTGTGAAACTCGTCACGATGGGCTCACTAACCTCTTTTCGTCCTTACCTGTCATCTATCACTGGTGCCCCACCAGCGTATATCGTTAGTGCAGGTGGGGTTACTATTCCATTATCATCCATTAAAAAAAAACACACACCTGGAATAACTAATCTGTGAGGGGGAAAGGGATTGTTAGCAATGAAGTTTGACAGCCCTATTGCTTGCAATATGTCTTATTAGGTCGACCTCTATGTGGTTCCCCCTGGAAACCATCATATACAATTCTTGTTAAATTCGTCACGATGGGCTAATTGACCTGCTTCATTGTCACCTATCATCATTCACTGGTGCCCCGCCGGTGTATACCGATAGTGCGGGAGGAGTTACCATTCCATTATCACCCATTAAAAAAACACCAGGAATTTATATTGCTAACAATACGTTGGTATACGCTTATAGACTTAACTCCTTATTTATAAAAATAAAACGTCCTATAAACCTATTTTAACCTAAGAACAAGGAATTACATAGAAAGAATAATAAAAAAAAATTATCATATAATTGCCTCTTTTTTTCTTATGCTAAATACTCCACTAATACTCTGTATTTATGACATTGCAAATGCGTTAGAAAAGGATAGACATATAAAAACGCATCTGCCTTTTGACTAGTCCATAGAAGTCAAATTCATCAAGATATATCACTTGGTTTTATTCTAATAAGAAGGAATTCCATAGATGGTGTGATAAAATAAAAACTCTAAATCGTATGGTTGCCTCCTTTCTTTTTTGCAAATATAATTAGTAAAAAGAGGACGAAAGATATATCATCAGTTGCTATTTTTCTCAATTCATAGCAGGTTAGTGTATTAAAAATGTGTATGTAAAATTTTTGTTCATATTGATATGTAACAACACCTGATTTACAGTTTTTATTTTATTATTCCTTCTATGTAATTCCTTGTTCTTAGTTCCGAAATCTTTGATTTTAATTTAGTGTTTTGTCACTGACATTCAAATTAAAATTAACACAAAAGGAAAAAAAACTAAACACTTCAACAGCTAAAATAGGTAGATAGACATGAACTGTATGGGCAGAATTCTTTAACTTTTTCCTTTAGGATAAACCATAGGCTTAGTATAACGTACTAACTTTAGATTATACGGTATTATAGATTGCCAATGCACGGGACAGAAAATGTAATAACCTATATATTAGAAGGAGAGAAAAATAAGATAATAATTTACACAACATAGGCTCGAAGCTGTTTTGGGGAAGTATGAATAAAATAATTTCTAATTATTTTTACGTATTGAAGTGAAATTAGTTTTAAGTGAATATAATTAGTTAGAATTAAGTGTGCTTCACCTGAATGTAATATAAATAACAGAGGAAACACAATTTCGTGTTTTACATGTAAATATGTTTTAAGCGTTTTACTTATTTAAATAAAGTATTTAGAATCATGAAAAATATTTTGTATATGTATCGACAGAGAAAATTATTACATTGAAAATAATTAATACTCTAAAGGCTCAAGTACTTAAAATAATAACAAATACACGGCATGACTAATCTGTGTCTATAACGTACTCTATATTGTATTCGCTACCCGACCCGCCCCATCCTTTGATTTTGTTTGTATTTCATTGTAGTTGTAACTCCTTCAATATTCTGTATGTTTAAAAGTTATTTGATCTTAGAATCGTAAACGTAAAAGTTTGTAAATGTGCATTTCTTTAAACTTCACACTGTTATAAAAATATAACATAATTTATTGTTTATAAGTTGGATTTTTTCAGTGGTAAGTTAATTATTAATTAGTTTGCTTGTTTGTTTGATTTTAATGCAACCTCTGTTCTAATTTGTATGTACATATATCCAAAGATCATACATTTTCAGTAGTAAAATATCTGTTTTAAATTCTGATTAATAAATCTGGTAAATCTATTATTCATGTAAAATGTTGTCCCTTTTATCTTACTTTCTACTGATATTATAAATGTAAATGTTTGTGAACATCTTGGGATGTTTATTATTTATTACCGCATTAAACAGCTGAATAGATTTGGATAAAATTTGTTAAGTACATTAGATATATTGGTGATGGTTGTAGGTATTTGGTAGGTTGACTGATATAGGTTACTTTTCATTAACCAATAATTGCTTTCCCTTGGATGATGGTAGTTACTTATCACTAGGTAACATAAACGATTCTTTCTTTTTATAAATAAAAAAATATTGTTGTAGGGTAAAACCTTAGATGATATAGATAGAGTGTTTCTATATAAATGTTACAAGAAAGGCGGGTCAATTTTTTCATAAAATTTTGTGTGACAAATAGTTATGAGTGATTCCTTTATAACTTCTGTATTTATTTTGTCTTATAAATTCTGCACCTTTTTAATGTGCAAAAATTAATTTTATTCATTAAATAATTAAATAAAGATACATCAAAATAAATAGTGTGTGTAAGTATATAGAATGTTAATAAAAAATCAGCTAATTTGATAATTATCTGACAAAAAGTCGACCTGTTTTTGAGACTGTTTTATATAATTTAAGGGTAAAACCTATGTCGGATACTTTTATCAATTCATTTACATGTAATAATTGTAAATATTAAAGTAACTCTATCTGTTAGAGCTAAGTATATGGGTAAATATTAAATAATAAAGTTTAATATTGCTCAATTTATTGTAAAAGTTTTTCATTTTCTAGATTGTCAGAAGATTTACATTTTTTAAAGTTTTTTAAAATTTTATCAAAATTCTAAATAAATTGTGTTTATTCAAGTTATTTGGTCAAGAATCCTGAATACACTCCTTAGGTTTGGTTTCTCTCCCTAATTAAACATTAGGATGATTTTATTGTTAATCTTTATGAAAATATCACCCTGTTATTAGTTACGACAAACAATTAAATAAAAGGAAGTGTTACCCATTTGCTTCCATGCCATGTAATTACACTGTCATATCGCTACCCAGCCTAGTTGGATTTACAATGTCTAAAAAGTTGTCACATATTTGTCGACAACCTCAATAGTACAGTCAATGAAGGCAAAAATCAGCTACAACCTCTGATTTCATTGAACCTTCATAGATTTGGATGAAAATTTGGGATTAAGTATGTTTTACTCTCTACTTCAAAACTGAGAGTACATTTTAGGGGTGAAATCCACCCCTTTTGTTAAAAATGGGGAAAAATGCAGATTTAACCATTCTGGCTTAAGTAATTGTGTTTAATTAGATAAAATAAATGTTTTTTAATATTTATATGCATGATTTATGATTATAATTAATTTTTCAACCCTTTTAGCAACCACCCCTTAAATCTAAAATTATGAAAAAATAAAAATATTTTTTTGTATTTCTGAGTTTTAAAATCGCATATTAACATTATATAAACAGTTTGTTTGATACTTATGATATAATTTTTGGTTGACAGTGAAATTTCAACCCTTAAAAACTACCCCCTTATTTGCAGAATCGATGTAAAAATTGGTTTCAAAACCTATTAAATAGTACATTACTGAAGTGAAATCTTATTTACGGAATATTAAAATATTAATTTATTTTTTGCGAAATTTTTCACCCTTAAAAACTACCCCTTGTCATAATAATAATTGAATAATTTTTTTATCACCTTTAATTAGTTAGAATCTTTTTTAATAGTTAAGAGAAATTTTATTAATGTATTTCAAACTTTATTAATATTACACACACTCATATATGCGTATTTAGTAAGCATGTACCTATTGACACGTTTTCCTATAATATATGCATACCAAATATCTGCGCCAAAAATGTTTCCGAGAAAAGTATAATTTGTTTTTTACAATAACTCCGTTAATTTTTAAAACGTCAGGTTTATTCAAAAACCATTTGAAAGGTAATTTCAAGAGCTATAAGATCGTCTTAAATAAGATTTTTAAAGCCCTTATTTTTTAAAAGATATAGGGTTAAAGGGTCCCGATTGCATGGTTCTCGCAGTTATGTTTTAAACGTCTCTATCTCTGTTATTTTTTATCATATAAAAATAAAAAAAACAAACCAAAATCCTTGTTAAAAAAAAAAACTCAATTTTCGTTTTTAATTATTTTTACGAATATCCAATATTTTTAAAGTTATTTAAAAAAAAAATGAAATTTAAGAAAATTTTAAAAATTGTGATTTATTGGGCGAAATATTTGAGGTCATCACTTATGCAAAAAAAAAAGAAAGTCCTTTAGGATAACCATAAATTTAAATTTTTGTGGAAATTAAAGATATCATTTTTCGTTTTTTCCAAAAAAATTCGAAAGTGTCTACTTATTTTTATCATAACTTGCTCAATTTTGATGCTATTAACTTTTTACAGTACTCATAAGAAAGGTATTTCTGAGTACTTTAAAAAGTGTTTATAAAGTAACATATATGTCATAAAATGCATCGGTTTCCTGTTATTTAAGTTTAAACATTTAGATTTAAGTACTCGCCGAAAAAAAAAAAAAATGTCTATACAATATCAATAAGCTCACTTTGAATTAATATTAGAAGGTTTTTCAAAATCTTTTATTTTAATAATGACACATTTCGCGTAAAAATTCATAGTTTTTGAGTTATTTATGAAAAACCGCTTTAAAACATGTATTTTTATTACGAAAAATTACAATCTTTTATTTTTAATAACTCTATATAACAAACTTGTGAATTTTTGCGACTTCAATCCTTATAAATTCTGACCTGTCTCATGCACACATTTACGAAATACACACTCTAATGTAACTATTTTCTTGTCTGTCTTTATGATTGCATTGCTAGTTTGTTAGTACATGAGTATGTTATGTCAATAATATCGCCAGGGAATGGAAGGCGAGACTATTCATAACTAGTGACCTGCCCCGGCTTTACATAGTATCCTTACTATACACATCTACTCCGTGGTATTTCAAAGTAGTATTAGACTGGTCAAACACTAGTCAATCTGTTACCATTGGTAAAAATACCGCCCACGTCTTGTCTGGACCAAAGGTCTTCTTTAATGTACAAAAACAACATCTCAGGGGCAGATCACGTTACTCGGTCATATGTACAATCTGTCAGAAACTATGTAGATCTAAAATCTTGTTGTTAAAATGTAGACAAGTTTATAAAACTCTTGAAAACGATACTGAAACAGTTATCGATCTATATTTTTTCAGGTCATCTTTATTGAAAACCAGACTATTGTTTTGAATGACCAAATTGCTACTGAAAGTTTACAGTCTTAAGTTTTCATAGGTTTAGTAAGATTCTATCGTTTGGGTGTTTGGTCGTTTGTATGCTGTTTAAAGGACATTTACATTTTGAATAAACTGTGTTGTCTGTATTTCATTGGTGTAGTGTCAGGTAACTTTATGATTGTTTGGTCGTCATTTGCACTGCACTCTTAAATTTTGCCACTTTGTTCGATAGTCAGCTTAATAGATCTCGGTCTATTTTCTACGAATTCTATAAGAACTAACAACGATGTTTTCCAGGGGACAGTCGATTTGATAGGATATATTAACAGTGGGGTTGTTAAACCCCACTACTAACAATCCTTTTCCCCGTTTTCGGTTTTATGGTTTGATTATTTTTTTTTATAATATTCGTAGATTATATCTAGGCCTTTTCTAATGAAAAACTTGCTCAAAATGCACATTACGAATTGAATTTTTCATTTAAAATTCACGTAGATCAGACTTCAATAAAAGTTAGAATTGCGGAAATTAGGATTCTGTTATTTACCGACAGACGCATAAGTACGTCGAAATATAAGGATTTTATACATTATTAAATGACGACCACAAAAAGGATATTAAAATAAACATATCGTGTCTATCAAATTCTCACAATCAACAAGGCGTGGGAACTTTTCAACATTGTGTTTGTTGGTGAATGTTATGTTATTAAGTACCTACACTCCACTGTACTGTGCGGATTGTGAAACACTGGACATGTTTGTTATTCCTCTCAGATGTATACAACCTTGCGTTTGGTGTAAAATAGCACAACCTTTTATGGCTCTATGCCTCATCAAAACTTGCGTACTCAATGTTCTTACTAATTAACATGTCCTAAATTATAATAACGTAACTCTGTGGAGTAAACCTTTTTAAAAATGTATGTCAAGTCGTACCTATCTCTCATTGACTCATTAGCTTTTGGGTTAGTCAAGAGGATGGTTTATATTTAGAAAACTAATTGTATTCCAAATTTATTGCTCCGTCTCTAATTGAACGCATTGGTAAGTACTACTTTTATATGAAGCGTTATTTTTTTATTATTACAGAACAATGAAGAATAGGAGTTTAGCTGGTAACTGTGGCATTGGTGTGTTCATTATTGCCCTTGTCACAGTGGCATTGGCATTTGGTACGCCTAGTTGGCTGGTCAGCGACTCGAGAATAAGAGGAGCTAAGCTCGATAGGTAATTAGACATTTTAATGTAACTTTGATGTTAAATGGTTTTGTTAATTTGTTTTGTAATAGACATTTATATCCATGTTTATGAAGTATGACGTGATTTATAAAATTTATGATGTATGAGGTGATTTATAAACTTCTATTCCAGACTCGGATTATGGAGCCACTGCTTTAGGTCACTGCCTGATCCATTAGACCAATATCAAAGACGCTTTTTTGTCGGTTGCCGATGGGTGTATGATCCATTTACTACAGGATATGACAGAATTCGCGGCTACCTACTTCCCGGTAATTAAGAAGAACATAAAGTAATTTATTTAAACGAGCTTTAGTTAGTGTTTAATTAATCATTTTGAGTGTCTAACTAATGTAACCAGAGTTGTGTCATCAACAAAAGTGTTGCATTTTATTATATTTTTTTTTTGTATTCACATTAACTAGTATAATAATAATAATAATAATAAAGTTTATTCTCTTCACAATACCAGTTGTACATCTATTATATTCTAATACATTTATTTTTGGAGGTTACATAATTTAATGTATTGTGAAGAACTGGTGTCTGAAGTAGGATAAACCTGTGTTACAGATCACCAGGTCCTCACCCCACGGTGTTGGCACTATATTACAATTTGTTCTGGTTATGAATATAATAACAACATTAATACATATACACATACATACACACATACACACACACATACACATACATATATCTACATACATACATATATATATACATACATACACACACACACACACATACATACACATATATAGTTAAGGTTATACAATCGATATATCCTACACACACTTACACAATATACATTATTTTAATAATATTTTCATAAGTTGTAATTTAATACGTAGCCTTCAGTAATTTCTCCGTGTCATCGTACGTCAGACTCAATAACCATGTTTTAAGTGCAGTTTTACAATTGAAGTGTGAATATGAATATATATTCAAAATACGGTTTATATTATTATAAAGATGGCTGCCGAGGAAACAGAAAAATCTTTGTGAAAGTATTGTTCTAAAGCGATGTTTTTTGTATATAATGTCTTTACGTCTTTTTGAGGTATCAAAATCGGTGGGTAATATCTGATGTTGTTTTAAAGTTATGTATAAAACAAATAGTTTTCTAACTGAAAGAATTTCACAATCTCGGTACAATTCATGTGTCGGGTAGTAGATGGAGTGAAATGTGCATACCTTGAGAAGCGCACGCTGTGCTCTTTCCAGGGTGATAAGGTGTGATTTACATGCTCCGCCCCATGATGTAATGCAGTAAGTGAGAATTGACTGACACAGAGCGAAATAAACCGTTTTTAGTAATTTAAAATTCGATACATGTCTTAATTGTTTAAATACGTAAATCAACTTTCGGGTTCTACTAGTAAGCAAATTAATATGTTCGCGGAATTTGAGATTGCAGTCAAGTAATATGCCTAAATATTTAATTGTGTTTACTCTTTTTAACTCGGGACAAGAACAGGGTTTATGATCTGAAATTCTACAGCAGTGGGCAAACAGACGAAAAGCATTAGAGGGTGGAGTGTTGCGTATATAGAAAGGAATCATTATGGTTTTATTAGCATTTAATGTAAGTGAATTATTAGAAAGCCAATTTAACACTGTGTCAAATCCCGACTGAGCCAATTTAAAAGTATCTTCCCAAGTATCACCCCAGAAGATGACCGCAGTATCGTCTGCAAAGAGGGTCATTGCTCCATTTTGTATATCGAGGTGACCAAGTTCGTTAATGTAGATCAAAAACAAGGTGGGAGAAAGAACACTACCTTGAGGAGTTCCATATTCCAGGACTAGCTCATCACTAAGATGGGAACCGAGTTGAACACATTGAGTCCGATTGCTCAGGAAATCTCTGAATAGATCTAATTGAAGGCCTCTAATGCCTATATTTTCCAGTTTTTGAATAAGAATGGGTATGGAGACCGTATCAAACGCCCTAGCGAGGTCTAAGAAGAGACCTAGACACTTTTTGCCTTCGTCTAGATGTTTCACGATGGTATCAGTCAGATTTGAGACAGCGTCAGATGTAGATCGGGCTGGTCTGAAGCCAAACTGTTTATCTGATAATATCTCCTGCTTATCTAAAAACTTACGGAGACGATTGTTAATAAGTCGTTCTAATACTTTGGAAAGTGCCGGCAAAACAGAAATTGGTCTATAGTTACAGAAGAGGTCATTTTCTCCACCCTTATGAATAGGGTGGACGATAGCCTTTTTGAAAACCAGTGGAAAGACCCCTTTTGAGAGACATAAATTAAATAAATATGTTAAAGGTCGGATTAATATTTTGGAGTATTGTTTAAGAAATCCACTCGATATACCATCCCAGCCTACCGCGCAATCATCTCGTAACGACTGTATTAGTCGTTCAATCTCTAATTCGTCCGCACTCTCCAGTACAAATGAATTGATTGGTGAGTGTAGGTTATTATTTAATGACAATGGTAAGAGGGTTTGATTATCCGGAATACTATCTGCAAGGCGACGGCCTACACCAACGAAATAATTATTCATTTTATTCAGTGTTTTGTGTGGCGATTCTGATAAGGAGAGTAAATTTTGTGCACAATTTTTAGATTTTTGTAGATGTGTTATTTTTTTGACAGCGGTCCAAATTTTCTTATTATCAGTTCCAGCTTTTTCAATTTCACCTTTTTCATATTCTTTTTTTATTTTTTTCAATAAATATATAAGTATAATTATGTGCATGGTGTCTTAATTATTACATGCCGCCAAACAGTTTACTCGTATGCTTGCTTATATTCTGATTTAATAGAAAATAACATTAAAATTCTTAAATGTGATTCGATAATCTTCTTGCTAACAAGTAAATAATGTGTCTGCTGTTGCTAGTGTCTACTCGTATAATCACGTCGTGGTGGCTTGGCATCAGGTGAATTGTATGCCTCGTTGCTACTCATAATATATTAAAAGAAAATGTATCTTTTACTACTTATGATCGAGGATTTATGGGAAACGTAAATTTATTTAATGTAATTATTTGTAAATTTCTGGCGCTAATGAGAAAACATTAAATACAAAATCTAAAACAATTTTTTTTTCTATCCACAGGTTTCATGATAGCTACACAGTTCTTTTTTACATTGTGTCTGCTAGGAATAATAATTTCGACTATTCTGATTCTTATATTCTTTCTCTGCTGTGGCCCAGACCAAGACAGATTTGTTTTGTTAATCAAAACCATTGGATACCTAATGTTATTTTCAGGTTAGTTTTATCATTATTAATCTAATAATCTTATGCTAAATTATTTTATTTTAGACTTGACTTTAAGAACTTATAATAACGGCAACGTTCACTTATCACCACACCATAATATTAATTAAAAAACTTTTGATTTTCTATTAATCTATCTGCTTAATTTGTAGGAATATGTGGAGCCATTGCTGTGATTGTTTTCGCCTGCTTTGGAAATGCAGATGAATGGATGCCGGATCACCCGAATAATTATTTAGGTATGCTCACTGTCATTATTTATTTAGTATTTATCTGACAAATCCATGGCTGTTTACGATGCCGCCCGTCATGTAGGCTGCAAAAGTTGTGAGTTCGAATTTGGCCTGTACCAAAAATATTTTAATAAGTGAAGATGGAATGGTGACGTCGCCTGCCTAACGGTGTATGTTGTCGGGGTGCACTAGTGACAGATGATAGTTGTTGGCCCATCACATTGTAACGAATTTGACTATATATATATATATATATATATATATATATATATATATATATATATATATATATATATATATATATATATATATATATATATATATATATATATATATATATATATATATATATATATATATATATATATATATATATATATATATATATATATATATATATATATATATATTGATATCTACTGCCTTTGCTTAGGGACTAAATATTGCCATGGGGGTAAAGTTAGAATGTTATTTTTATATTTATTTTACCCTGGAAATACAAGTCTATCTGTAATTAAATTGCGCGTTGTTACGGTTGTAATACCGTGAGAAAATGTATGTTATGTCAGTATCTCAAGGCTACACCTTGGACGTTATTGTATAAGGAAAAGGTCTTGATGCATTTTATATTTTATGGTGTTGAAAAACTTACAAATGCTTGTGAAATTGGGTCAATGTAATTTTTTTAGAAAAATGAATATATATTTTTATAATGTTTTTACTAATATTTTTTTGTAACTCTACTAAGTAAAACAGCATTTACGAGTTGCAATAATCGTAAGTAAATAAGAGTGATGACTTACCTACGGAGTTTCAATCTATCTGAAGTGAATATTTTTTAAGCTTGGTTCGTATCCCACGATTGGGCAATTTCATACATTTATTTTTCTTTACGTCTTTATTATTTTGTGTTTGGCCCATTTCCTCTAATGCATTCTAGGTAAATTCCTGGCCCTAATCTCATATCAATTTATATAAGTAATGGATCACAACATGTTTTTATTGAGGCAGTCTATATATTTTATCCACATTAACTAATTACACATTATTAAAATAGGACATTATTTCCATATAAAGTGAAATATTAAAGACAATAAATGTAAAAAAAAAAAATAAGTTGGAGAACAGCAGTATGTTATGAATAGCTATTTTTCTTTTTACAGATTTTTAAGCCCTTTTGTCTCAACAAAAAAAAAATCTTCTGTCACTTTTTCTACTTATTTTTTTTATCTTCCGTCTATTTCACAAAAAAATCTCTTGACCTCACTTATTGGTATAAGAATAAACTAAAATGTAATATAATAAAAAAGAATTGTAACATCAAGACCAAAGGACAAAATAAAAGAAAAAAAATCATAACCAATAAAAAAACGTTATAAAACGCGTAATGGATATTTTTATCAGATTCTAAATAATCCCATGATTGTTTTCATGTTAAGCTATAAGATGTTGGTCTAAGAATACCTTGTTTACAGAATAATATGGACACGAGTATAGTAATTACATCTACAAATGGGAACAAAATTATATATTATTATTAACGTTTTGTTTTATTGTTACAGGATGGTCATTTGGCCTTGGTGTAGTCGGTACAGTTGCTAGCATCGTCACATCAGCTCTCTTCTTAACTGAAGCTAATATTCAGATGAAGAAACGTAAAAGAATAAAGGAATCACAAACCCGTTTTGAAATGGAGTACGAATCGAAAGCGTAATTCAAAGTTCATTATTGTAATTAGGGCTTGTTAACAAACGCTCGTTAAGAGCCATAGAGATGTATTATTAGAGCGGCATTGGGACCACAACATTCGTACCTCGTATGAACGTATTCTGTAATTTTTATTTTACATATCTGATTTCAAATGTATGATGACTGAATGAGTTATTTTTTCTTTTAATATTTTTCTTTTAATAACGCTTGCTCTATAATATCAAATTAAGTGCCACTTTTGCTGTCTCTATTTTAAAAATAAACATTCCAGTGCCTCTTTCGATTTTAAATGCAGTTTGATATGTACATTATGCATAAAACTTAATCAATTTTCGATATGAAGTGCCTTGTAAAATCTATTACGTTTCAATTATTTACCTCTATAAATAGGAAATGGAGCTTTATTAATGTAAGATTTTAGAAAAAAATACAATCATTGTTATGGAAATTTTTTTGATGGTAATTTAATAAGATTTAGCACATGGTACATTTATGGAATTCTGAGCACAAAATAATTTAGTTATCAACACTTCACACAATTTCTATAAATTTTATCATTCGTCAAAGCGGAAAATATGAATTAAGCTAAAATAGTTGCAATGAATTCCATTTTCTTAAAGTGATTTATTAATATTTAAATTTATTTTGAATATTCTTTTTAACTATATATATATATATATATATATATATATATATATATATATATATATATATATATATATATATATATATATATATATATGTGAGTTTTCATAAAATCTATAATACATAGGATTCTTTTAGGTACATATGGATTTAGCTCTTTAAATGGAATCTCATAAGAATTGTATTGCATTGTGTAAATATTTTGTATACACAAATTATTAAATACTATCATGTACCTAATTAATATATAAAAAACATAAAACTAAGTAATCTCTGATTTCAGAAAGGTCAATTGAAAAATGTGAATGTCAAACCAATATCAGGTAAAATTAATTGCCCATCCACTATGCACGTTTAATATACGAATATTATACGAATAATAAACCTTTCTTTTGAATAATATAGTTGTAAGATTATTAATTGCAATTTGCAATATAAACAATAATCTGAGACAACGAACCAAAGCTATTGCCTTTTAGTTATATATTTAATTTGTTTTTAAGGTTCCATATGTATTAACTTTTATTTAAAAATGCACTGATTATTATCAGATTATTTGTAACTAATCAATCTTGAATTGATATCAAATTGACCTTTTAGAAATTAATCACAAAGAAATAGTTATGATACCGTTATGTGTAACTATTATGATAAGGAATAGGTAACAGAATTTTTATTGACAAAATGCCGTCCATTTTTATTACTTACAAGTACCTACTATTTTTTTGTAAAATATTTTTAGGATTAAGTATTAATATTTAGCAAAGTATTTTATAATAAGAATCTCTGTAACTGCCCTCCATCAATTTTGTATTTTAATTAAATGATATTTAATAAAATATTTTTAATTATTAAAATTATTATGTGCCTACATATATACGTATGATATGAAAGAATCACTTGGACACAATGTTCAGATGTTTTTTTTATTAATAATGTCTCTTAGTAATTTAAAGTGTTACTATTTATAATACAATAGCTGTGTATGACGCGTCAGTCGACGTACCAAGTCGGCGGGGCAGATTTTTTTTTTTTATACAACTTAAAATGGCAAACAAGCTGACGGCCCACCTGATGGAAAGTGGTAACCGTCGCCTATAGACATGAGCAGTACCATGGACATAACAGAGTATACTATTTCACCCATGATACCCCCCATGCGTTGCCATTCCTGAGGACTCAGGTGTTATTCCTCTGTACCCAGTAAATTCACGCCATATCCCACCCTTCAAACCGAAACACAGCCATGCAAACAACTGCTTCACGGTTGAAACACGAGTGGGACAGAGGTACCCAAGCAATTCGGATTCGGAATCTACACACTTTTTCATCCAAAATATAACAGAAGTGTAAAAAGAAAAATCCTCTACCGGTATTGCTAGCGATGACTTAGAGAACTTAAATATGGTTGCACTGTTTCACAGTGCTATCTGTATGAGACCGCTCCGAGTACCAATACTCGGAGCAAGTAGGCCTGAATTTCAATGTGTTATAGAATTCGAGTCTAGATATTCGCAGAACTAGTGATTGTGTCGGTTATAGTATGCAGAATGTGCAAATGAACTATAGTGTATGAAGTGGTAATGGGTTGGCCATATAGTAGTGCCATTAATAATCGATTTATTCCTATTTCATTGGCGGTATTGCAGTACGTGTACAGCAGTAAAAATTAATGGCTAAAAAGATAATAATAATCAAGACGAGTTTGGCTAAGTTTGAACCGTTTAATGAAGTCTGAGCAAATGTTTTTTAATGGGTGATAATGGAATGGCAACCCCACACGCGCCATCGGTATACACCGGCAGGACACCAGTGATGGATGATAGTGAGGATGAAGCAGGTCAGTTAGCCCATCGTGACATATTCAACAAGAATTGTTCACGATGGTTTTCAGGAGGAACCACGTGGAAGTCGACCTAATAGGGCGTATTGGCTGTCAAACTCCATTGTCAACAATCCCTTTCTCCCCTAAGTCTGACCAAATTGTTACATTTTGTTTACATTTTGGCGAAGTTAGGATAAATTCAGCTAAGTGTGATCACTTACATCAAGCACAGTATAGGAAGGCTAAGTTTGGTCCAGTTGGATTACTTAAAACGAGTTTCGCATAATTTGACTATTCGGCTCTAATCTGGTTTCATAGTGGTTTGGCCATATTTGGTCTAGTTAATTCTCTTTCAATAGGAGATTTAAATTAGCTAAGTTTAGTTTTATTTTTCTCCTATGGAAGTTGTTTGGAACTAAATGTTCTAACATCTTAAAGGAACCAGGTCAAACATTCATAAAATTATCCAAAATTTTCTTAATTTAGTAATATTTTTTAGATCATTGTTGTATAAAAAAAAAAAAGAAAAAGATCAGCAAACTCAATATAATCAAAAATTTTGATGCAATAAAACTAAATTTGGTGACTAAAAATATCAAAACGGCTACTTAGTATTTTCCCGCCCTCGCTTTTTTTCAAAAGATACCTTATAATTTATATACGTTCCCTTGTGAAAGTTTCTTTGTTCCAAGACATTCTAGCAATAAGTATAAAATGCAGATTTGTACCTATCTATGGTGGTAAGCACAGGGAACTTTTGACTGTTAAAAGAGTGTTAATCCGTGTCAATCAGTTGTCATTTGTCAAAGTCGGCTCGGGGATTCAACTGATAAGTCGGTGCATTGGGTTTTGTTTTTAGTACAGTGATCACTGCTGATTTTAATAATAAAAAATAAATAATATAAAATATTTCACATACGTTCTTAAGTATCAGTTAAGCATTGAAATGACCGCCACTGATAATGAATACCCTAAGGCTTCTAGTAAGTTTTAAGCACAATAAAATTCGGTCACACCCACCTTACAAAGTTGTTTCAAATCAAATTATTTATAAATAATTCACAAAATTTGAGATGGAATATATTGGTTTTGTACTTACTGTACACTTATATGTACTTGCTTACTCTTAGACTAGTTCAAGTACCTATCTTTAAAAAAAAAGAACTTGTTTGTCTGTAATTATTATTTAATGAAATTATTATTTTTATTATAATTATTATAATTTTTATTTATATATTTTTTAGATGCCACATTGATTGGTGCCAGCATCACGTATGTGGCAGGCTTGTTCCTGTTGCTTTCTTTTGCTGGTCCATACTGGATAGAATCTTATCCAGAAATGCTGTCCTCTTTCAAGCACATGGGCTTGTGGGAATATTGTTTTGACAGATTTAGGTTCCCATCATATCAATTTGATAAGCTGTTTCATGGTTGTCATTACATTTTTAGTCAGGTAAATATTTTGTAATGCTAAAAATGTTTATATCTGTAGTTTGGCAATGACTGCTTTGTCTCGTCTATTAAAGAAAATGTATAAATATTAATTGTAGAAAAAAATACATATAGATCTATCATGAAATAAATAATTGAAAATGGATATAATGCAGATATTATTAGATTTCAATATAAATATTATTTTTCTTTGTTATAATATACTAGTTGTTCTCATAATTGTGTGATTTGCAATGACAGTAAAGTAACCTATGTTCTTCTTCATATCATATCAAATGGAATATTTGATTTTTTTTTGTTGTAAATCAACTTTTATTTGATATAAGCAACTACTGAGTTTCTTGCTCATTTTTCTCTGCTGAAATTGCATTTTAAACTGGGTGGTAGATTTATAAAAAATGATTATTCAAAAATGCTTATAATCAAATTTACTTGAATAAAAAATATTTTTATTATTATTCAATGTGTATTTAGTGTAATTGATACTGATTACTTGTTTTTACTTAAATTACTTTTTATGCAGTTGAGTATCTATAAGGATATCTTACCCATTTAATTTAATTATTCAATTCTTGTATGAATAAAATATGTAAATAAATAATTAACCATGGTCTTATTATGAAGTCTATTGCATTCTACTTGTTTTCTTATATATTAATAAGTGAGTTTAACAAAACTTGAGTAATTATAAACATTGTTTAGTAATTTTTTGGCTTGATCATTAAAAACAATATTTAGTTATAACTGAGTTATATTAAGACTCAAAGAGGGTGCAAACTGCAATTTTGGTAAACAGCAATTGACATCTTGGATATTGTAAAAATTGGCTGTATGATTAAATTATGTTCTTGTTTCTCAGGAATTTTATGTAATTCGAGAGTGGCTCCTTCCTGGATGGCTTATGGCAGTGCAGTCGTTTGTCACATTGGCATTTATGTTATCTTTAATTTCTCAAGTCATACTGGCGTGTGTCATTGTCCGATGGCCCCTACGTACTGTTCTGCGTTATGAATGGGTACTTGTGTCTGCTGCTTTTGTTATGGTGACAATTTCAAGTATGTATGCTTGGTTTAAATACCTATAATCATATATTATGAATAAACACTGTGCTGATAATAATTATACAATAGATGATAATCAAGATATATAGTGTAGTATAGTACTACTTTTAGAATTTCCTTAGAATTTGGCAGACAACATTTTTTGGTTGTGATAAACATCACTAACAAAGCTAAATAATATAAGAGTTAAATTGCAAGTTAAATGGCAATTAACAAATCAAATATTGCATTAAAAAAGATCTGATGAGGTGGTCAGACCTCATCTGGGATTACAACTTTTTAGTGTTCCACCTAAGTGTCAATGTATAGGTCACATGTGTCTCAATAATGATAAACTTATTCAAATAATATATTTATCTGCTTATTGATGCAAAATCTAGAGTTTATTCATTTTCAACTAATTTAAAAAAGAAGGAGGTTCTCAACTTAATTGGTACTTTTTGTTATTGTTGTTTTGTTTTGTTTGTTTGTTACCTCATAACTTCGTTATAAACCAATTTGTAAAACAAGTTGTAATAGAAAATTCTTTTTTTATCTGGAAAAATATGTTTACAGATTGGTCCTATAGAAATTTTATCAGTTCAGTAGTTTAGTTTTTAAGTCAATGTAACTTTGTAACAAAGTTTTGCCACAACTGAATACTTGTATTATTTGTCGAACACAATCATTGTATTAATTATTGTATGATATGACTTCATAGAATAAAATAATAGTATTAAAGATTATTTATATAAAATTTTTAAATTTTAGGTGTTTTCCTATTTCTGGGAGTGGCTGTATTTGGAGGGAACTGTTATCGTCGTGATTGGTTGTTGTATCCTTCATTCAATGTTCTCTCATGGTCCTATGCTTTTGCGGTTATTGCTTTTATCATGTTTGGTAAGTACTTTTATATTAATATATTATATTTTATTATAGATATTTTTTCGTATTTTTGTTTTTAAATTTATAATTAAGTAACTGATAATATATAAAACATGTTTGTTTTGTTTCATTATAAAAAATTAAGAGTCCAACTGCAATCGGTATATGAATAGAAGTTTATTATTGTAGTGTAAATGATGTAGAGTAATCCCCTTAATGTCTTTAAGGTTGAAGATAAATATATTGAATATAAAAGATGTTGAAACTCTGACTGACATATTAATACAAAATTAAAATCTCTTTATTAGAAATTAGAAATTTTGCCATGAAGCTTCTTTATGTTATAATGTAAAAAAGTACCTACAAATATTTTTAAAGCCAGTAATGCATTGCTGAATTCCTTCATGTTTGTGGCTGATGGTAACAATTTCTAACAGGTGGATGGGCTGTTCGTTTGCCTTCCTAACAAAAAAATGTAGTTTAAGTGGTACTGTTGAAGCTCATGGAAACAGGTACCTAGTATAGTGAAAGGATTATTTAAAAAAATTTATTAAGAAAATAATTTTGAAAGTATTTATTTACATTAGAAATAGTGGAAAATGTTTAATAGAAAATTAACGGATCAAACTTATTTGAAAAACAACACCTACAGTTTGATTTAATAAAGTTTTGATCAATATTGAAGTAATTAATATAATTTATAATAGGTATTGTGTATCATTCCGCTTTTTTATTGTATAATTTTCTGTATATTGACCGAAAGAAGTCAATGGTCTGTGTTACTTGCTTCGTCCACGTTTTATAATTCGTCTCATGCATGCACGTCGTTTCCGGTGGCTTAACTCGCGACATGATACGTTCTACCTAATTATAAATGGGTTAATCTTATGTCAATATTTTATATTCATCTACTTCCGCATTGTACTATATCGTTCAATTAATTCGCTTGCTGTCATCCGCGGCTTTGATGACAGAATGAGTGCCCGTCCAGATGGATTCTATAATCCCCTTAATCTACTGTTAAACCTATATAGGTATATATTTATAGTTTATTATGTATTGTTTAGGTGCTGCAGCTATCCTGTTATACTTGGAATCGCGCAAGCTCTACGAGCTACGTCTCGAAGCTAAGAATCTCGTTGCTCAGATGCAGCACAGCCAACCTGAGCATGCGTTACATCAGTTGCGTGACCAGTTGCAACAACAACGACAGTGGAATATGTAGACACGGTGATAGTAATGACTAGTGATGTGCCGGATATTCGTGGATATCGTAGAAGAAAATGAAACTATATTTGTTTCTTTTACTTTTTGCTGGATCTTGAAAAAATCTTATATATTATTAAATAATAATTCGCTTATAAAATTTTGAATATAAGTAGCATTGAAATCCTATCAAATTACATTTAAATTAATTAATTAATTTTTATTACAGTGAATTATTGCCATCAACTAGAGAAAAAAGTGTAGGTCCGTTTCCATATTCGTATTCGCGAATTATACATTTTTAACGATCCGTCACATCACTACTAATGATTGCTACGTAATGTTTGTACCTGCTATCGTTTTCCTCCAAAATTATAGTTGTAATATTCACTCGCAAAAATTTCAACCACATACTTTTTCAAACTACGAACACAATTCTATGTTTTATATACAAAAAATGTAAGAGATTCACCAAGAATGCGATGCAGTATTCGGTTAAGTTTTGTGGTTTTTCATTATTCTTAATTTACATATATAAGACATTACTTTATAATTTATTTCATGGACATGTTAAAATTGTGCATAGTGCACTATAAATAAGAAATGGTTATGAACCACTACATGATCATTTTTATTGTATTTATTCTTCCTCATCTGACTGAATACTTTAAATTTATTATATGCTATTATAGTACATACAGTTTCGATTTATTTTTAAAGTAATATCTAAAGTGAAATTATAACAATGAAAAACTACAAAAGTTTATAAGAGATAGTAACATTCTGATTTTTGTTCATAAGTGCTTCTTAGGTGTTTTCATGTATTTTTATATAACTATAGTGTAATATTATAACGTACATCCTATTGATAAACATTTTTTATACTGACATCTTAAAACACAATATAAAAAAAAAAACTTAACTAACAGGCTGTCAATATAATAAACAAGGATTAGCTGCATTACTCATATTCCACCTCCATGATACTTAATGATCTATCCGCATGTAAATCATACATAATATTGTCCGAATGAATTCAATTTTTATATTTTCGAGATAGAAGTAATTTTCTATTTATTAATCTTCGTTTTTTGCCTTAATTAAGGATTAAATTATTTTTTGTGTCCGACTAATCTATTGCAAATAATATCTAACTCTCCCTGGGGCCCTGAACCCCGGCCGACTGTGCTTCTGCCGGGGGTTAGTTGCCATCTCCTCTCCTTAAGAGGGGAGATGAGAATTTTGGTAAAATAAAAAAAAAAGTAATAATAATAATAAAAAAACACTATCTTTAAATATCGACGAAATATGAGGAGCAAGGCAATTATTAAAATAAAGTTTAGATTATTTAAAAAAGCTTCCATGCAATGCCGTTGTGTCGGTAACACTTACTGTACTATAGTGTTTTGCTATTTAAATGAGCAAAAGCTTTACAAATACCGCTTTTGTAGCAATTAAATTTGTCATCACACTAAAAAGTAGTTATTATTTTTTTTAAGTGTACTCTAGATTAATTTTGAACTGGGGTTTAAATGATAATAACGGGAATTACCGATGTGAAGGAATTTTAAAATCAATAAGGAAACTATATAACTGTAATGTGATAAACATCTAAAAATGAAATCTACTATTCTTATTATTAATCTCACGTTGGTAGGTAATTAGTGGCTTATCTATATATACATATACAGACAAAAAGTAGGTTTTACACGAGTATTCATTTATTATATTATATTTATATTTAGACTTATTTTAATTTCAATAATTATGAATTAATTATATTTTTTTGAATGTGCAATTATGTTTATCTCAGAAATCTATATAATTATGATACCACAGTGTTAGATCAGCACCAAGAATGAAACTATTTTAATTTTGGTACTATGTTAGTATGAGATTTCATATTTTTAAATATGTAGGTATTTATAGATAAAATATAAAGTAAAGATTACCTATTATTCACACATTATGCCTATTTTTTTTGAGACTTATTATTTTATAAGATTACAAAAAGACTTGATTAAATCTTCTGCCCATTGTAATGTACTTACTAGTTATTTGGAGATCGAGGGCAAAGTAATAGTTATTATTTCATCTCAGTTTTATCCTCAAACACTTGAATCTCACTGTATCTCATTATTTCTGTTTTAATATTAAGTTAATTAGACTGAAAGGCACTAATGTTACTATATATAATTATAGGTACACATTAGATAACTAGTGTTTCATAGTCTCCGAGTAATTATTATGTAAAAGAATGTTTTTCCTTTTGATTTCATGTATGTATTAATCTAAGTTTTAGGGTTCTCGACAAGTGCGTCTTATATAATATTTATACATATTATATGCATTTGTCATAATGTCTTGCTAATTTTTATTTTATTAATAAATTCTGTACGGAGGAACAACACATCAGGAATAGCAACCCATATTTTGTGGATAAGAATTTATGTGTATGTAATATATTACATATTTATAGATACTTTTAGTTAATTATTGTTATAACATATAGTAATTGTTATATTAATTAAGAATACTATGTATAACACATTTGAAAACGTCGTCTCTGATTTCTTGTCGAGAGTCAATAGGTAATTAATTATAACGTTAGACTAATCCGTCCAATGAAGTTATATATTCATTTAGAGCGTATTTCCATTTGATGGATAAGTATGATATATTGTATTATGTATATATTGAGTGGAAATATATTTTTAACTAAAAGGACTTTCTTATTGTTTGACCTACTTATTGTATGCGTACGATAAATCAATTTCCCTTCGATAGATAGATACTTATCAAAGATCGCCAATTGGTTCTATACTTATATTTTCTATAGGTATGCAACTCATATTAGGTATTCTCCTTTCATAATTTGTAATATTATAAGTAAGTATAATTTTAAATGGCTTATTTAGATCGGTATGTACCTTCGTTTGTAGCTCGTCCTGTCCTAAAATTGACACAGTTTGAAAATAACTGAAATGGATTATTGTTAATAATTAATCTATCTAAAATGTATATGTATACAGGAATGAAACATATAGCTATTGTAAAGTTTTCAAGTTATTTTTATATTTTTAAATCACGTACAAAGTAGACAATGGAGTCCAAGTAGATAATGGGGTTAATTTTGAGACGTCTATTAATCTATATCTATTTAAATTTGTTAGTTTCTCGAAAGTACTATTTTAATTAAGTTTAAAATACTCCATATATTTTAAACTTAATTTATAATAATTGTGACTTAACTGTATTAGAATTATTAGAAACGTAGTTCATTTATTGGTCTTTACAATAACACGTTCAAATTTATGGTAACAAGTTCAAATTTAAATTTTTGAGATAGTTTTATAGAATGGCGCTACAGAATTGACTCCAATGCATTATTTCTCTGATTCCGATTGGTTCACCCATAGTTACTAAGTCGTTTTACTAAACGTACTTAGACGTATAGTTTCTAGAAGTAAATTATAAAGTGTACTTATTTATATCACGTTCAGACTTTTTGCTGTGTGTGAATAACAAAACAGTTAAACAAAAATATTTATTTTTAGTTTGAATCTGACTGACAAAAAACTGTCAATTTAAATTTCTAATTAATCATTTTTCTCATTATTAGATTACATTTAGGCTGTTTATGCACTCTAGCGTTTTTGTCCAAATTAAGAATACGCGACAGTGTGTGGATTAGACGAAGGAAAACATACTACTTAAATGCTCAAATATATCAGTCCCTCTTACTCTCCTCAATAAAATTTGTCGCCCTGATAACGCCAAGTATCTATTAACTTTAGTCTTTTCTCCTTTTGTATATGTCCTAGTAAAATTTCTGTCAAAAATAATATAAAATTATAATATCTCCTTTTAACTATCATAAACAATTCTTCCTGAAAAATCCTAATATAGGTACTTAACGAACACTAACAAGGAAATCTTATCACATTACTGATAAAATTGCAGTGTCTCTTCTAACTTTGACAATGGCAAAATCGTCGGAGCCCCAATGGAGCCATAATAAAAAAAAACAGGATGTTGAAAAACGGCTATATAGTATAACGACTAATCGACAAGTTAAAAGTATTTTCTTTTTTTAGTTTATTAAGCAATATACGACCTCTTTTCTACAACGTCGATAGGCTCGCCCTCTGACACGTTGATATGTTCGGCGAAATGTAGGCATGTTGAGTGTTATTTTCCATAATAGTAATAGCTCAATAAGTAGTACTATAGTATAGTCGACAAACGTTATAAACTGGAAGGAAGGATTGTTAGTAATAGTTGGCGGGTACACGCACCATTCCATCTTTATTTATTAAAAGGTCTAAGACTACTTCATCAGAGAATGTCATGAGTCATATTTTTGTTGATAAAAAGTATTCATATAAGTAACATTTATTCATTCTTATACACTTTCGGATTAATTAATAGGTCTTTTTAATTGACATTAAAAAGAAGAGGACGTTTTCGATTTATAAACCGATTTGAAACATTCTTTTTTTTAAAGGAAATAGTTTTTGTTCAGTAATGTAGTTTTGAAATAAGAAAAAGTGTAAAAGATGTGTTTCGTAACGATTAAAGCCGGTATTTTTTTGTGGAGCAAAATTTACTTATTAATTTTGTTATGTATAACTATTTAAATTTAGTTACCTGGTTTATTTAGTTTGTTGCATTCTTGTATCACGTAGTTCATCGTGCTTTGCGGAACATTGCCATCTAGGATAACAAGTGGTGCCTGCTCCAGCAAATTTATGTGTTTGTTTACCTACAAAATAAATATTATTAAAAATTTAAAAATACATGGGAGTGTTTTTGTGAACAAGTGAATTTGGTAATTTTCTCCAAAGAAACATGAGTTCCATGTTATCCTACATTTTTATCCTACATTAATTAGGCTCCCTTCTCTCATTCTAACTTGTATTGTACTTGGGATATGTTAGTATGGGAGGTAAAATTTTAGAGTTATGGTTTTCCAGCCGTAGTTACAATTCTTAAGCTGAACGGCCTCTTAAGTATTTTTTTTTAATGTTAGTAGTATGAGTTATAAATATACGACTTACACATCGGCCATATTTATGCCGGTGCCTTTGCTAATCATCTTGTTTTGCTGTAATATTTAATTCTGCATAATATACGTATTTTAATATTTATTATTGCTTTCTGTTCTCAACTTTAATATTATATAGGTAAAATCTGATTCTCTACCAATGGTTCTATCTGATTCATATTATATATTCTTTTTTTTAATGGATGGTAGTGTAATGGTAACCCCGCGTGCGTTATCGGTAAGGTTGTTGGTAAACGCTGTCGGAGCACCAGTTAGGTACGATAAGTGAAGATGAAAGCAGGTCAGTTAGCCCATCATGATGAATCCATTAAAAATCAATCATGACAGTTACAAGAGAGAATCGCATGGAGGTCGACCTGGCTATATTGTTAGCAATGGGGCCACTAATCTTCATTACTAACAATTCCTTTTTTCTATACATCGATAGGTGTTATGACCCTCTATAGTTTATTAATATTTGTATTTTGTACAGCTAATAATTCCAAACAAATATCTACAGGATTAAACCATGTCAATTAAGTTAAGAATAATATTTGGTAAATCTGTTTAGAGTTACCAAATATCAGAGAGAGACTTTGTACAAAAGTACCTCTGTCTCATTCGTGTTTCTAGCGTGAAGCAATTGCGTTTGCATGGCTGTGCTTCGGTTTGCAAGGTGGGATATGGCTGTGAATTTACACAGTACAGAGGAATAACACCTTAATCCTTAGGAATTGTAACGCATGGGTGTATAATGAGTGAAACAGTATACTGTGTTATATCCATACCCACTTTCCATCAGGTAGACCGTCAGTTTGTTTTACATTCTAAGTTATTTAAAAAAATTTACAAATATAAAAATAATTGGGAATAATTTTGAAGACTATTGAATAAACGACTTCACAATGTTTAAAAATTAAGTAAAGATACTTATGTATCATTTTTGTATATATACTTACGAGATCAATAGTGATATGGTCGTAAAGCGCCATGTCCCCTAGACCTAGTTGGCACTCTCCATTTGCATCCAACACGGCTGCGTAGCTCGGAGTTCTACCCCCTTCAACGATAGAATCTGCAGTAGATATTAAGTAAAATTATAGTATAACATATTAACTACGTACTACATTTTATAATCTAAGAGTAGAATATTTATATATTTATTTATATTAGGCGACTAGTCCTTATGCTTTACATTTATACTTAGTACTTGATATTAGGCAAACTACTAAATAAAGATAAATTTGTTTCTCGGATTAGTTTGCTTAAATTAGTATAAAATAGTGAAGACAGCTCTGTTGGATACACGTTTCACTGCGGTCTGTGGATCGTAGGTTCAAATCCCAACTTAAGTATCAGAATCTACAAATTCCTGTTTAGATTGGGTACTTAATAATTGTCACTCGTTTCGTGCTTTGGAGAGCACGACACATAATTCGTACTTAAATAACGAACGCGGTTTAGAAATCTCCAAAATTCTGCATTATTAGGTATTAAATACAATAATAATTTAAGGATGCATGCATGAAAAAAGTAAGGATGCTTGAAGTACTTCTTATGTTTCTGTCTGTGAAACTGAATGTTCAATTAATAAGTCACTAGATAAGAGTTACGTATCTATGAATGAATTGCTTGAAAGCGGGTTCACTCATGATTGTTTCTGACAGGAATCGTTTCAACCGTAAAAAAAATCGTTAGGCGTTTTTAGAGTCATGCGTATTTCGTCAGGCACGCGGATTAACCTCGAAAACGTGGTCCAGCCATCACGTTGTTTTACGCCGATATTTGAGTATCGCGCGTGATTCTTGAATGTGGGGTGTGTGGAAGTCATATTGAGTGACTCGCGAATGTTCATTATTCGTGAAAACATATTGACAAAGAAAAATGTTATTATTTACATTTGAGTGTAAAACGTTAGGGATAGTAGGTACTGCTAGTATCTAATTATTAATTTAGGTATCTAAAGCTAGGGTTACCTTCAATTATAAGTCCCGGAATATTGTCAAGGAGATAGCACCCGTCCGCGTCGTCCCCGATAGCCGTCAACAGGCGAGTTTTGCCTCGCTGTAGTCGCCACAGAATCTCTGCAATGTTCCGTCCCACGCCGCCCGCACATTGTAATGTCGTGCACGGGTGGGTGCTCCCGTCTAACTGTTAAAAATAATAAAAGTTATGACCTTTCATGACTTTAAAAAGATTGTAGGAGTATCGGGGCATCATTTTAAAGAACTCACGATAGTATTATAATTTTTTGTCCTTTTTGAATTTCATTCAAATATGTACAGGAAGGTATTAGTGCATTGTATGTATCGTTATAGGCACCTTAATAGGGTTTCTAAGGTCCTTTTAGTACTTATTAGATACAGATGAAAAATGTTGTGGGTTGTACTAATAAAAAAAAAAATTATTACCTATACACTGAAATTATATATTGTTATTATCTTTCTACTTTTAATGCATTATACATTGTGGAAGGGATATATTACACAGAGACTGCTATGGCTATATACTCAGTTTGCTCATAAGTATAGTCTTCTTTTAATCTGTATAAAGATCAATAATAATTTGAATAAAGATCAATAAAGTTGTTCTATGTTCAGCAGCGGACAGTTAACAGTTGTAATAATAATTATTATTATCATCGCTATTTTTCATATCTCGTTTCGCTATTTCAAAAGATTTTACACTCGAAAAACATCTACCTTACAGCCATTTTATTTAAATTATAAGCGCGCCATTTTATTCGTGTCGCGTGTCGTCTTCGTAAGTACAGTCACATAGTTAAAATTTTTAAATTACGGACAATAAATTTGATGTTTTTTTTTATTTCGAATTACGAATGTTTTCAAAACATCGATACTCTAGAACTTGTTGCATTTAATCGTTGTGGTCATTCTTCCGCCCTAATTTATCGTCTTTTACAAAAATTCAATATTGTAATATCGTAGATTTGTCAGGCAAGCGGCCGGTCGTAAAAGCTAAATCCTTTAGTAATATGGATAAAACCATATTACGCTGACCCCAAATAATAATTGGGATAAGGGTAGGAAGATGATGATATTGCACAATTCAATGATTCAGTGTCAGAGAGTCGGTGTATGTAGGAGGTTTAAGGCCGTTTCTTATGGCAGTCTATGAGGAAGGCCTATGTTCAGCAGTGGATAGATACAGGCCGATATGATGATAATGACAATTAAACAATACAATGAGATGTCTAGTATTGATGACAGAAAACGATCGGATCAACCTCGTTCTGTTCGAACCCCAGCTGTAGTCAAGAGAATTTAAAGCTCGAAATAGAAGAAATACCTTTAGAAATTAGAAGTTAATAACATTACAAATGAGATTAAGCAGAAATACGGTAAAGATGCTGAACGTAAACCTTGAACTACGTGCCTTCCGAAAAAAGAGATCATTTTCTAAATGCTTGTTTAATGGAATTTCGTGTCAAACAATGTTGAATTTACTTAAAGCGGTACGCTAGAAACAAGTATAGTGAATTCTTGTGTCAGATGAAAAAAGTTTAATATCGAAGAGCAGTGTCAAAATGACAGAATTTATGTATACACTAGCAAGATGCCAGCACTGTCAATCCACGTGTACAACGCGGTCATTGTTCCTCATCGACGATGGTTTTGGTTAAGTATACCGTATTTGGGACTGATTGAGCTCCTTCTTTGTAAAAAAAGAGTCACAGTCAATGCAAAAGTCTACCAAAGTAAAGTTTTAAGGAAGATTGTGGAACCCCTTAGTGAAACAATGTTTCAAAATAAACATTGGGTGCTACGACAAGACTCGGTGCCAGCGCATAAAGCCGACAGTAAGCACACTTAGTTAATCATGAATAAAATTGATTTAATATGACATGAAAATTAGAAAATCTGGGTTAGACTAAGATCTTAATCCGCTGGACTATAAAATATGGCAGTATTTAGAGGGAAAAGTAATCGCAAAACCTCATAAAAATTTGAACTCCTTAAAGTTTTCATTTGTGAAAGCAGTGATAAATATTGATATGAGCGTTGTGAGCGCTGCGATTGGCGACTAGCCCCGAAGGCTGAGAGCCTGTATTCAAAACTAATGCGGGCATTTTGAGTAATAATGTTGTTAATATAATGCATTTAAATTTAATATTTCACTAATAGAAAACTATATTAAAATATGTTTATTTTTTTATTTATATTAATATAAAAAATTTAAGAAACTTACCTTATTCATAAAAAAACTAAATAGTTCTACAAATCTATTTTAATTCATATACTGTTTTGTCACTTTCTCTCAAATTGAATTTAATTAAAAAAAAAGAGACAAAATAGTTCTGTAATGAAAATAGGTTTATGAAAGATTTTACGTTTTTGTGAACAAAGAGGTAAGTATATTAATTCATCAGAATTTTTTTTTGCAACTTAGAATGGGATATAAGCTGACAGTGCATCTGATGGAAAGTGGTAACCGTTGCCTATAGACGTGAACAGTAACATGGACATATAACAGAGTATACTGTTTCGCCCATGATACCCTTCATGCGTTGCCATTTTTAAGGACTAAGGTGTTATGCCTCTGTACCCTATAAATGAACTACCGTAAATGCACTCTTTAAACTAAAACACAGACCTGCAAACATCTGCTTCACGGTAGAAACATGAATGGGACAGAGGCAGCCAAGCAAACGACTTTCGTTCAAAGTCTTTCTCTGGTACATTTACGCTGTCAATTATAAAATAAGATTACCTTTTATTTAAAAATAGTATTATTTTCTATATAATTTGAAATGATCGTGTAACATAACAACATCGAATCTGGACCAGAAACCATGATTATGTACTTATTAGAGAGCACATTTCAATATTTTTTAAAATATTTATTTATGCCATAAATAGGTATTTTAAATGTTAGTTAAAATAAGTTTTATGTTATCTAATATACGTAATGTATATATATTATGCGGACTTTACAGTACTTAGTACTATAAATTACTTGTAGTACTAAGAGGCCTATGTAGTTTGCGCGATATATTTAATGATATGTATTTGTGACGGCAATATGGGCGCTCTAAATGCATATTATTACCTACGTTAGCACCTATAAAATTATAGAGTGGGACTTACGTGGTGAATTTGATTAATTTATTAAACTTGCTAGGTAATAGAAAAGAGACTTTATGATACTATATTTATTTTTTACTTACTATTAAAGAAAGGAGTAATGTATTTTTCGTGTACCTTTTTAGTTTAAAGTCGTCTAAGCTTTATGTCGCACTAAATATCCAATATGCAGTGGATGAAACATATTTAGTTTGGAGGGTTAAGGCGTAAAACTTAGATTATATATCAAGAAGAAAAAGAACAAACTCACCTTAATATTTATGGGTAATATCAAAACAGTATAATTATCTTTGGTATCTAGATGAGCCTAAGTAATTATTTTAGCTAGATCATTTGTTTGATATGTCTACATACATATATCTAATGTACCTAAAGAGTAGAATGTAAAAAAACTTCGAGGCCGGGATTAAAGAATAACGAGTACTTAAGGAAATCTTGTAGGATGGTAGTAAAATAACAAGTGCCTTTAGATCCTCAGTGTGACAGTGTTAAGGTTCAGTATAGGAAGGGAATGTTACTGTAAAACAGTAACATAAAGCATTTTTTTAAAGATATGCATTTCTAGTTTATTAAAGTTAGTTGAATAGCGTTTCTGCAAAAGTTTGATCATATTTTCTAGATCTGTATTCTAATAACAAATTACTATATATTTATTTATATTCGGAAAGTCTCCAGTAATATTTTTTAGTTGTCGGAAGACTAAAAGTGTTTAGATCTGTCGATAATATTTGTATCTGGGCGTAGATACACAGACAAACTGCATTTTAATGCAATATTGTACATTGTAGTAGCAGGTACAATTGAATTACTTGTCTACCGACATAATTGACATGTGAGGTGTAACAGGAATAGTATAGGTATAGTCTGTGTCTGGTATCCCCTAGCAAGCTTATGAGCTGTGCAGACGGCAAGGTAACTTGTTCGCCGGGTTGTGAATTGTGTAGCAGGAAGAGAATACATTGCACGAACCTGTAGGCATTTTCGACCTCTCATATTAAATACGTAATCCTGTACGTCTGTCGCCCATAGCTAACAACTAAATCTAATGACAGTATTCGTGAATTTCAGTAACTGACTCTAGGGCACGTGAGTCAGAATATTTTTCGAACTATTCAACTAAACTAGGAACGGGATTAAGCGATCGAATAGTACTGTTTATAACTTTAGGGGTTGTTATGGTTGGTACAAAACAAAGTTGTATTTTAAGGAGCAAAGCAAAGCTGTGTTTTGCTTCTTATATATATATATATACAAAAATAGAATTCAATAATATAATGTGCACGAGTCTATGGGAATTTCCGATAAATTAATTAGATAATTATGTCCTTCGCGGACAAATATCCCCGTTTGCGCAGGCCGTAAGAAGCAGTCCATTTATGCAGCCGCGGCCACCGCAGCGATGTTATCAGGCGTCTCACGCGATCCGTCGCAGTACGCTGTTGCATTGCGATCCACTTATTTCAGTGTTCACTATAAATTCACCTTGCTCTACTATATGTTTACTATTACGATCAGATGTCACGTAACATGGGGACAGCGTAATTGAATGATGCCAAATTCACAGGCAAGTTATAGGTAAAGTAAAAGACAAGATTAAATAAAAAAAGTCTTTCTATTTAAATAAAAACATTACATTGCATGAATCATGATGTTGAAATCATTAATTCTTTAAATGGAGTATTGTGACAGTGAAACTGAACATTTGTGCCAAAGAAACATGGGTCTGAAAGCAACAAAAAATTCAGAGCCATATTAATAATACTCCCATACTAATATGACAGCTGGACGCGCTGTGTTACTTTGGGAGGCTCAACATTTTTTATTATATTTTGACCCATGTTTCTTTATGTAATGTCATTATTATAGCAAGGGTGTTAATTAAAAGGTAATAAAAGCAATATTGTGATAGAAATGTTGCTATAACTAACAAGCCGTATGTTATATTACGAATTTTGTAATGCTTCTAGGACAATATGCATCATAATGTGCAATGTAAGAGTATTAAATAAACAAGCCTGTATATGTGTAATAAGTTTTTATTCGCCATAGGTAGCTATCTAGAATAATGCTTTTGAATATTTGGTACTTTTTCTGCCTATATTTTAAGTAAATGTAAAAGTTTGTAAGACGTTTGCTACTAGATAAAATGAGCAAAACCGCGGGATAGTTTGTTTTGCTCGCGTGAGGATAGAATGTATATAATATAACAAATGCATAGTATACCGTGCACCTATAGGTACGAAATTTAATTCAATACTGTTAAGAAATTTAAGCGTGATTGTGTAAGAAATATCCAAACATGTAAATAATTTTAAAAATATTCATATATATAATATCAAGTAGATAATAATGAATTTAATACTTTATAAATACACTAGAGGATATGTAAAATAGTAAATGTTTTGTATGCTAGTTTGATAAAAGGTACTCGTATAATGAATATAATTGTATTATATTCATTATACTCGTAATGTATTGTGACAGTACCTAATGTCTACAAGTATCGTGTTACAAATTAATGTTTTAATGATATTTACTCCGCGTGTCCCAGAATGATTAATTTATTTACAAATATTAATCACGTGATTGTACACAATATAGATAATAAATACTAAACAAACACTAGCTTAAACTGAAAGAATGAAAGCTTAATTTTCCATATTTGCATTAGACATTTGGTAAGTATCAAAAAATAAATACAAAATTAAGATACGAGTATGTTTAGTGAGTGGTGCTCGTACTCGTGGTCAGAAAGGTAGGTTAGGTTAGGATTGTTGAAATCTCTTAAATTATCTTTCTTTCTTAGGTAAAACCTAGAATTTACCAATGCACGGGCTTTTACAGTTACATTTTTGTTTAGTTACAGCTTGTCTCTACTATATTAAAGCACTACTATATTAATCCTTTCAAAAACAAAACTGTTAATTAGATTCTGTTGAGTCTTACTGTATATAAAAACTGGATGTATTTTCACTAAATTACTCGTGTTGCAAAAGTTATAGCAAATCGCTATCACATGAAATCCTTTCGAAAATGCTATTTATATCTAATGTTTTCTTTTATATTTTTCTGAATTTTATACCGGTATTTCCAATCGTGATTTAGTTAAAGTTCAAGTAAGTTTTGAGCAAAATTTGCTAATTAAAGTACATATATGCAGTTGCGATATCTATTCTGTCCATAAATTTGATTAGAAGTATGAGGCGTCCTTTTTGCCTATTTTTATGAACTATATTTTTTGTTTGTATCTAACTAGATTTTTCGTCATTTCATTTTTATCGATCTTTTTTATTGTTTACGTAGTCGATAGGATTTATTCCCTAGGTGTTAGTCCAATACTAATTATGTCTTGTTTAAATATTTTTTGAAGAACAATATCTATAATATAAAGCTGAAATAGCGCTACTAGCATATTATAATTATATCTTAGACTTATATACATAAGTAGTCTTGTATATGTAAATACAATTACACCTATTTATTTAATAAAACTAAAGGCGACTAAGTGGCATCAAAGGATATTGACCTATGTCTAGAGAAATTGTTTTCTTCACTTCTTCCTTATATAGCTAAAATTAGTATAGAAAATGTATGAATATTGAACTATAAGAAATGAGTATAATCACTACAGGATATCCAAACAAGCATAAGTTTTTATTCCTTTGAAAATTATATAAATTAATAAATAATAATTAATTATATAGTTGTAACAATTTTTCTGATAACTCAGTATTATAACGTCAACTGAATGTAACTCAGTTACAAATAAACATAATTATTTATATACTCTTTTCTTGATTATACGGATGCAATAATTTTACTGATAACTTAGTATTTTAAAAAGTGTCAACTGAGATTGTCAATTAAAACGATGCTACGGATTTGAGACTTACTTTAACAATATAATATATTATGGTCTTTTATTAATTATACAGTTGTAATAGATTTTCTGAAAAGTCAGTAACCTAATAAGCGTCTATCTGAGTTCTAATTCATGACAGTGTGCTATGGCATTCAGCTTCTACGGTGCTACGAATTTTTATTAAACAAGGTGTTTGGATGAAATATGTGTATTAAATAGTTTTTCCATTTCGCATATCTTACAGGTGTGTCGAATTTTTACGAGTATAAAACTAAAATATCAAACATACTAGCTTTTAGTAGCGACTTTGTTCGCATAAAATTTATTCGTAGCAGGTGTGACAATAAAAAACAAAATACAGAAATAGAATTAATTTTTATTTTAAATCTCATCTTCAAAATAGACACAGCCATAGCCATAGTTGTAAGTTCTGAATAGACAAAGTCTAGACAAAATGTCATAATTAATTGTAAGTATTTTTTTTTATAATTTTGTATTTGTAACTGTTACTCATGACTTCCTCAGCGCTAATGGGATATTGTAATGGACTAGGATAAAAAGTACCCTCTGTGCATGAGTAAGCTATATTTTGCGATGATTGGTTGAGCCGTTAGAGTACTATAGTAGAGTAGGTTATAAACAAATAAACCCACAGATATAACGTATCTTATGTGCACGTATATGCCAAATTTTGTGACAACTGGTTGCGCCGTTAAAATGTTATAAACAAACGCACTTTCACATTTATAACATTTAATATAAGGATACAGACAACACAGTTTGTTATTTTATACAAAGTATCTAAAAACTATTTAAGTTAGGAAACAATTTGTGTGTAAGTCGATATTATAAATCAAAATCAAGCGTAATATAAGCTCAGACAGAAATAGACACGAGGCCGGAGATCCAAGGCTAAATGAAATAAAAAATCCTCTAAAACACTCCGTGGAAATCGTTTTAAGCCGGCGAACTTAGCAGTTATGTTACATCCGACTTACAACATCGTACATTATATCTATAAATAATTCAATATAGATTATAAATAATATTTTACAGTGAGTACTTGATTTTTTATAAATGGTTTTGCAATGTGGGAGGGCGCTGGGAAGGCGGCGGTATCGAGCGTGGGCGCGCCGCCCTGTAGAAGCCCTAGAGTTCAGTCCGCGGGGAGGCCCGGCGAGCACGGACGACACTCCAGTACTCCGGCATACCGGCATACACGCTACTACACAGGCCACTACAGTACATTACAAGTACATAGTAGCCACCTAGCGACACTGGTGATGCACGTGCTTCTTGCGCGTGATACTTTATTTTCGAATTAACGCCGCGTGTAACGTGCCACCAATAAACTTTATAAACGTGATTGACATTGTAAAATCATTAAAATTATTAGTGAAACGATATTATGATATGTGACGGTAATTAGTGTTTTTTATATCAACTGGGCGGCATTCACTGTATCAACGACGTCATGATATGGGGTAAAGTATAATTTATTGTCTTATAAATATAAATAGCTATGATTACTACATTTCTCAGATAATTGAATGCGATTTTTTTATTTATAATTATATTTATATTATCTTTTATTTTCTAGAGTTTATTAAATTACAAAAATAATTTATACAAAATTAAAAGAATAACATTTCTAATGGTGTCAGTTTTTGACAAACACGTTTTAAAAAATAAAAGATGAAAATATAATTATGCTTAATTGAGAATCATTTTCAGTGAGAATAATATACTTAAAGTCAGTAAGCTGCTGATTAGGATACTAATTAAAATGTAATTTTAAGTTATTCTAAGTTGCCTCATTGTCGGCAAAAGGGCTTCAGCCGGGCTTAGGCGTTGAATAAAACGAATTCATTAAATATTTATGATCAGGACAACAATGGAAAACAAACGGCCCTAGCGAGGCTGTTTTGTACTTGTTGTAAACTTAACTTCGCCCTCGGGGCCTGCTCCGGAACTACGATCAAAGTGAAGGGAGGTTCGGGTTCCCTGGGGTATCGATACGATAGCGTTTCATAATGTTTGTGACGTCACACACATCAGAAACGGTAAAATAAACTCATAAATGCTAACCGATATAGCAGTAAAATATTTGTAGTTATTAGAAAAGCAATGTGCAAACAAACGGAACGATATTCTTGGTGAGAAATCAATAGATATGAATCTCATTTAAAATTTAGTTGTAAGCCAGTTGTATTACGTTTTCCAGAGTGCTACTCAAATCAAATTCGATTCATCAAATCAACGACAATTCTATTGAGTATATAAAGTGTACCAAATACTGCCTAATGTTTGATTCAGTCATAATAAATATACTATTGAAACAATATTACGTTGTTACTTTGATAGAATGTTGGTAAAATAAAGGGAATGTAACTTATGAATTGTAATACGATAGGTAAGTAATTGTGCTATTATCTACGCCATTGATAGAGGAAATAAAGGATTTTATCATTATTATTATTAACTAGCAGACAAAAGGTCTATAAGTGAGGGGTAGGGATTTTATTTATCGTTAATAACAGTTCTAGTGGGTATTGTGAAGGCAGTTACGGCTGTAGCTGAAGGGATCGTTTTATAATTAAAGTTGAACATTATAATATATTGTGAATAATCTGCAGTATCCTTCATTCTGGTCAATTTTAATAAATTGCGTTGAACTTATTAATAAAAAAAACCTGTAGAATTTAGGCTCTTTGGATTCCGTCCCATTGCAAGTTAAATGTAAAAGAAAAACAAATTTACATTTACCAACATTTCAGATATATCTTTTTGATCGCGCATTATTTAGAAATACAAATGTGATGGGCCATAAATGTTTATTAAATTGGGTTATAAACTTGTATTTTTGTTTATTGGATATACTAAACGTAATAAGACTTCCACAAACATAAGTTTAATATATTAATGGTTTTGAAAAAGATTTTAGGTTATTTAATAGTTACTAACTGAAGGAGTCCTAATTCTAATTTTGGCACAGACAGTTCAAAGAACCTTACGACATTTTTATAAAACATACATGCTTACGAGTACGACTATAATCTTTGATGGGGTAGTCACGATGTATTTATAAAATGTTAAAATAGTTTTATTTCTTAAAAATCATATAATGGAAAAAAACAAAATTGTAATAGGATAAAGTAGTTGCGTTTGCATAGCTGTGTTTTGGTTTGAAGTGTGGGATATGGCAGTGAATTTACATGGTACAGAGGGCTAAAATCTGAATCCTCAGGAATGGCAACGCATGGGGGTTTCCTGAGCGAAACAGTATACTCTGTCGGCCGTTAGCTTGTTTGCCATTCTAAGTTGTATAAAAAAAGGATCACTTCGATGTCTGTTTGTTCGTCTATCAGTTTTCAATATTTTTTTTCTCTATTTTCTAACATGTATATTATTATTAAATAATTATTAAACACGTTTCCCATGTATGATTAAAACTTAAATTTGTATACTTTCTGTTCTTCTATCATCTTGAAAGAGTTAATTTTGCACACTGATTAATCACATAAATCATTAGTTAAACCATTTGTAACTAGTAATAATTGTCAATAAAAAAGATACATTTGCGCAGACAACGGACCTCCATTTACTTCACGCTTCAGCACAAAGAAAGTCTTAATGTCGGTGCTTAAAGTGAATGTGGCAATAGCTCTAAGTCGTTCACGTCATCCCATAATTCCATGGGCGTTATATTTTGGCGAGGGGTCTAATTATCAAGGTCTCTGGAAACCCTTCACAGATATATATAATTTAAAATGCCTTTGTGGGGCTCTTGCGTAACCTGATAAAATATTACCATGTTAATTTACAATAATACGAACATGGTGTAGGGATTCTACACCATTAATATTCGTGGGGAAGGAAATTATTTGAGGTAACATAATTACTGAAAATTGTTTATATGTCTATAAATCGATAAATGTGTAACAGAAGGATGTAAAATGTTCGAATAAAATTATTTCTATTAATAACTAGCGACAAGCTTTAGCTTCGCCGTAGGCAAATTTAATACACAAATCTTCCATAAATAATTTAAGATTGTGTTCCACAAAAAAAAAAACAACTTTAATTGTGGCAAAACAAATTATACCTACTTATGTAAAAACTAAACTACTGAATCGATAAAATTTCTATAGTGCCAATTTGTAAGTAAGCTCTTTCAAGTAACAAAAGCAATTTTTTTTAAATCGGTTTATTACCGACGGAGTTACAAGATAACAAACATAAAGAATACAACCGATTTGAGTACCTCCTTTTTTTTAAATTCGTTGAAAATTACTAAATGACAGTAGAAATCACATTTAAATCCATTGGTGTCTTTTTAGACATTGTTTTATATATTCACTGCATTTTGTCTTTGAGATATTCAGATTATTGAGATACACAGAAAGTAAATGGGGTGGACTTGCTTCTAAATAGAACATAAAAAAGAGCTTCCTAACGATAAATTACCGATATTCATCTTCTCATTATTTTCAACTACATCTATGACTTTATCCACGTGGTCGAGATAAACTATGGGAAATACTATACATGTAGGTATGAATATATAGAATCGAGGCGATCTGCAGCCATTCTAAATGGTGAGTATGATATTAGTAAGAATTATTTATAAAAGTTTACAATGCAATTTTGTAGAGTTCTGTTGGTATATACCTTTCTATATGAAAATGAGGTTCCGTATTCGAGTCTTGGCCGCGTCAGTTTATGATACGAAATTGGGTATGGTCTGGTTATATTGGATTATGCAGCCAGATGTTCGTTTGAATAACGTGCCAGTGGGTGATTGTACAGGCCTTTCATTATTATATTGAATTAGTATATTAACGTAATACAAAATAGATAACAGTCATTATTAAATCTAGCATAAAGGTTTTAAGAGTCTTCATATATTATTAAAATGATTCTATTTTGTAATTGAATTTTCATTAAAAGAATGTTAATATTACAAATGTAAAATTACCTTCTGGAAGACAGCTTTAACTATTTCAATGAAGTTTGCTATACAGAGTTTTTTACGGTTGACAAATCGACCTGACGGCACATATCTGTCATCTCGGGGTAAATTCGATTTAACGTGGTAATTTTTTTCCTCCACGAGTGAAGCTCGGTCGCTCGCCCAAGTTTTAACATATTTCTTCGAGGAAAGCGGAAACCATGTTCTCATTTGTGGACTTGCGGTGTAAATTGCAATATTTATATCGCTATCTATAATAAATATTGGGAACATAACAGTTTACATTGGATTTTAAATTTCCAATCAATTTTGTGTTGAGAAAGTGTCGATTTTCGTTGAAAATTGTAATAGTTGTTAATTTTATGGCTCAAGCACGAAAGGTTTCTAAAATAAAGTAATATAGTATGTTGTCTTACATTATTTTCAAGAATTGCTAAAGTTAATTTAAAATTAATAATATCATATTTTTAACCACCAGTTTAAAGATAGGTTGAATTAATTAGAATATATATAACGAATTTTGTTAACAAAATTTATAAGGTATAACTGAAGGTGTAATTTACTATTAGACATTTAATATCTGCTAAGGAACATTACATATGATCGACATGTCAAGTCAACATTGATAAATGAATCTAAATTTAACAAAGATACATACTTATCAAGCAAATTAATAGAAGCATTAGATTATTTCGACTTGTAGTCAATAACAACATTACGAATATGTTAATAAGAATAAAAATTATTATTATTACTTGTTGTAGAGTGATAATGAAAGATTAAAATGAACTCGACAAGTAAAATCATAATTTTTCTTTATACAACTTAGAATGGCAAACAAACTGACGGCCCCCCTGATGGAAAGTGCTAACTGTCACCTATAGACATGAACAGTACCATGGACATAACAGAGTATACTGTTTCGCCTATGATACCCCCCATGCGTTGCCATTCCTGAGGACTCAGGTGTTATTTCTCTGTACCTAGTAAATTCACGCCATATCCCACCCTTCAAAACGATTTATTATCTAGTTTCCGAAATTATTGTCTAATTTTGACAGTAGGAAATGTGCTAGGATGCTTTCTATGTATGTTATAGAAGGGAATCAGATAATAGAAATGTTAAGCATTATTTAGAACAGGGTTGGTTGAGAGGTTGGCTGTGATTTACTAGTTAACTATGAAGGTGATAGCACAGATAATATAATACTATACGCGATAGGTAGGCGTTTGAATGGGTTTACCCGAGGTAGGTGAATAAAATTAAGAAGGACGGAAAATATCCATTTCAAATATAAACGCGTATGTTGGGTAAGCTATTCCAGTGAAATACGAATTTAATTACATTGATTAATAAATACCTAAATAAATTGTTGACTGTATCATGCAGTTGACCTCATTAATTTTGTTTTTTTTTTTATGGAAGACGATTTCTCTGATTTCGAAAGCAATGGTTAAATGTATTTGAATGAAATTTGGTACATAGACCAATTGTACTCAACCACTAATATA